CCTTCCTTATTATAATTAAAGTAGATCTATAAGATACTAAAGATATAAGACTATAGGCTTTATCTCTTTATAAATAAAGTTATTATAATAGGTTCTATTATCTTTATCTTCTTAATAATAATATAATTTATAAGAGACTTCTCTAAGTTCCTAGGGCCGTAATAATCCTTATCTCTATATAAGAGATCTTAATAAGTATTTTATTCTATACTTAGATATAGCTTTATAAATAGAAAGATTATCTCTTTCTTAGATTTTAAGAATTCTAAATACTTATAGACTTTCTACTTAAATACTATAAAGAAAAACTTAAAGAAGAGATATAATTATACTTTCTTTATATTCTTTATATTATCTCTAATTTTAATCTATTACTTATATTATCTCTATTAGTATATATAGTCTATTTCTCTTTTATAGGGCCTTATCTAAAATATTTATAATTATACTTTTTATTTATAATTCTCTAAATTATCTAGTTATAATTCTAGGAAAGTATAGAGGCCTTTTTTTTTAATTATAAAAGTTCTTAGATATCTTACTCTACTAAAGATTAGAGAGAATATAATCTAAATAGATTATTATAACTTTAATATATTTCTTCTTATTCTAGTTATTAGCTTCTATAGTAGACTCCTAACTTATAATAAAGGCTTAATATATTATATAGTTATAGATTAAATATCTCTTTAACTTAAGTAAGGATTAGATTTAGATATTAGTCTTCTTTATAGATAGTAAGAATAATTTTTTTTTATTCCTAGCTTTATAGGTATTTTCTAAGGCCTATATCTAGATTATTATAAAGCTTCTAGATTTCTTATAAGAGCTATAATTTCTATTATAAATACTCTCTTATAGGGGTTGCCCTAGTTAACTTTAGGTCTATTAAAATAAAGAAGTTTTATAAATCTAGCTTATTCTTAGAGTCTTTCTCTTTATAGGCTATCTCTTTTTCTATTATTTAATTTTATATAATTATAGAGAAGGATTTATTAAATAGTTTAGGTCTAACTAACCTCTTTTATAATATTATTTTCTTAATAGACTAGTTTTAAAGGTTAAGTAATAAAATATAAGGATCTATAATCTATAAGAATTAGAAACTAGTATAAAAGAAGAATAATTATAAATAGATTTAAATATAGATATTCTTATTTAAAGATATTATTACTAAACTTTAGAGTTTAGTAATTATAGGCAGGGTTTATATCTTTATAGGTTATATAACTATTTATATAATCTCTTATAAGGAGCCTTCTTATTAGTAGGTTCCTCTATAAAGGTAGCTTTAATATAATACATAATAGACCTTTGTGATCCTTACAGGGGGGTATAAGAATGCTAGCTGGATTCTAACAGACCATAAGGCTAAAAGACCAACATTACCGCAAGTTGCCAGACAACTCATGGATCCAGACCTATATAGTAGTATACTAGGTAGCTCAGGCATCTCTCTCTCTCTCTTAGAGATCCTTACAGGGGGGGGGGCAGTTATAAGGCCTCCTAATAGTATTAGTAAGATATCTATCTTACCTATGTAAGGGTATCTCCATCAGCCCTTACTAAGCAGAGGATTAGGGTAAATTCTCCCTTATAGAGGAAGAAACCTAACCTAGTATTAATCTACTAAATTATCTAAATTCTTAAAATCTAAGCTATATAGTATCTATTCTTTTATACTAGTTATATTCTATATATAAGATCTAGTAATCTTATATTTAACTTCTAACCTAATTATAATATAATAATAGAAGAGTCCTATAGACTCTTTATAATATTCTTTATAAGATTATTCTTCTCTAGAAGTACTAGTAGTAATTCTAAGAGTCTCTATAAGAGATTATACCTATATAGCCCCTCCTACTTATATATATAGTTAATATCTTCTTATAGGGTCTCTATCCTCAGACTGTAAGATAGATATCTTACTAATACTATTAGGAGGCCTTACAAAAATACTATAGACTAATAGACCCTTAGCTAATTAGATTACTAAAACTAACTAAAAGCTCTATCTCTCTAAGCTAAATATCTAGAATTAGTAATAATAAAGACATTTAAATAACTAGAATAATAGAAAATCCATAACTTTATAGGCTCCTACTATAATAACTAATTAAAAAATATTATAAGATTAATATAATCTTATACTTAATAAAGGAGCTATAGAACTAGCTACCCTAGAATAAATTAACTAATTAGAAGCTATATAGCTATTAAAGAACCTAGAGAATTAACCTATACTTAGTAAGCTAGTAAATTAAAGACTATATACTAAGTAAAATTAATTATAGAGCTATAATCTATAGAGAGAGAAGGTAATTATTAAAAATAGTATTAGAGAATAGTTCTACTAAATAAGCTAGATAAGGTACTAAGGCTATACCCTAGTAAATTATAGGGCTAGTTTAGCATATAATGGCCTAGTGTAAAACCTTACTGGTAGAGGAAGATTCCATAGACTAGTAATTAGTTCTCCTATTGACAGCAATATAACCCTATGATCCCTTCACACTGATCTATTACCATCTATCAGATATTATACCGATTTTACAGTATTATAATAATATTAATTTTATCTTAGAATTAGATAATCTTTAGCTTAAAGAGAAAGAGATCATTTAGATCTAAATATTCTATAATATTATAAGTATATAAACTAAGAAGCCTTAGATAAAGAGCTCTTAGCATGACAGATGTTGGAACATGACTCCTATAGACAAGTATTGAGGCAGTCTTGAGACATACCTAGAATATGTTAAGTGACTTTTCTGTCAAGATACTATGCTAAGAAGTAAAGCATGCGAGAGAATGGGCAGTTTTCAGGCTAGGGAGTGTCAGCATCTGTTGAGAAATGGGGGTAGTCTGAAATGAACGGTGGTCTGGATGCTCCCTGTAACTCCTCCTGGGCCATCTTACATCTTTTGAGACAAGTAGCCACACCGCCAACCATTCGGAAATCGTGGCTCCCGCTAGACAAGTGGGAGTTGCGAGCCGCTGAGGAAGGCTTCGCTCTCTTCACTCAATCCGAGAGAGCCCATAATATGTCATCGCTGCTCTGGAACTCCATCACCATGAAATGTGAGGCCGAGGCACCATGACTTCGGCCATCCCAGACAGTAACTCGTCCTCTTCGCCACAAGGCCACCCCCAAAGCGAAGGGGACTCGTCCAACCGCGAGAAGCGCAAAGGCCCCCGTCTCGCCCACCGCAAGTCCAGGACTGGATGTCAGCGATGTCGCGCCCGACGAGTAAAGGTAGGGGGAATCCATTCAGTTGCTACAAAATCTGGCCTGACTGATGTAGTGTGACGAAGCGCGACCTGTGTGTCGCGACTGCCATCGTCATGGGGTCCCCTGTGTTTATGACAGGCCTGCGGAGGATCCAGGAGCGATGCCCCTCTCAACCTGGATTCAATCTCGCCCACTCGGGCCCAGTCCATCGGATTCCAGTAATGACGAACACATGGGGCTGCGCTTGCTGCATCACTTTACTCTATTTACCAGCGCTACTATGCCCGGGGCCCACCTGAAGCGTATCAAAGACTGTTGGTCGATCGACGTGCCCCGACTCGCCTTCAGTTACAAACCGCTCCTGCACGCCGTCTTCGCAATCTCCGCCCTGCATCTGTTCAAAGCCAACCCAAACGAAGCTAGCTTGCCGGACATCCACTGCATTTACCTCGAGCAGGCTTTGCGCGAACATCGACTCTGTATTGGTGGCATGACTCCGCAGACTGCGGATGCGGTGTGCTTTACGAGCATCCTGTTACTGGTCGGTGAATTTGCTACCCTACAGGATCGTCCTGTTGCTTCTTACAAATCGGTAAATGAATGGATGCATCTAGTGCGCGGGTCGGTATCCGTCTTTGATGCGGCCTTGGAGATTATCAGGCGTAATACTCATCCCGCGAATATCTGGTGTATTACAGAGACCTTTCCTATCCCCTTGCGGACGAATTCTGATGCTGGAGCATTTTCCTTCCTGCTTCCGACTGTGCCCGACGACAAGGATGACGAGACGGCGCTAGAAGCATATCGTGGGGCCGTCGCGCATATCAACGCCACCTGGCTGGCCATGGAAGCAAAGGAACATCCGCAAATCAGCTGTCGCCGGCTCATGGTCTTCCCTTTGTTCGTGACAACTGAGTTTATTGACCTACTCGAGAAGAGGAGGCCGCGCGCTTCGGTGGTTCTAGCCTACTTTCTCGCCTTGTCGGCACCATTACGCGACATATGGTGGATTGGAGACACTGCACACAAATACATTATGGCTCTTCAACGAATTCTTCCGGCCCAGTGGGAACACCTAATGTCCTGGCCTGTGAAAATAATTATATCTCATGCCACACAGCAAACACAAGTCCCTATCCAGCCACCTCTGTGATTCCCGCCCGAAGCAGCGCCTTCTCGATCACAGGCATCTTAAGCGGCACCAGCTCTTTTGTCTGCTCAAACGTCTCGCTGGCCTCTCGTAAGTACGCTGCAAACGTCCCTGGTCTGATATCCGCGTCATGGTTCTCCGGATTGTCCCATATCTCAGCTAAATACTCTCGGCCTGCAGTAACAAGGCCATGCGACACCTTCATTGTCGAGGACATGCTCAGCACACCTTGGACAAGTGCCTCAGCCTCCTTAGCCCCCTCATTGTCCAAACTGTCCTCCCCACGTGGCAGGTTCAACAACTCATACTGCTTCCTCCCGTTCCAGTCCGTCAATCTCTGCGCCCAGTACGCTTCTGTCACACATTCAAATAGCAAAACCTTCTCTTCAAAGAACTTTGGTCCGTCCCATCTCGTTTTGGAATCAACCAGATGCCTAAGCCGTTCCAGACAAAAGACCTGGGCAAGGTAATCTGCAAACTGCGCATACATGAACGGTGGGCGCTTTCCGTTCAACGAGGGTGGTTCATAGACCGGCAGATGCGCCAGCAGCGGGTGTGAATGCATCCCCGCACAGCTCGTTGCTCCATCCCACAGCGTGCGGAAAATCTCAAGCCAATACTTGATGCAGAGACTTCCCCGCCGCGCCGCAATGAACCCATTGAACAAGAAGGAGATCTCGGGGCCCATGGAGACCTTGAACGCCGCCACCTCGTACGGAGTCTCGGGATCTTCCAGGGCATTCCAGCACAGGGCGTCCAGCGACCGGAACAGAAGCATCCCGACGTCAAGCCACACTCCGCCATAGAGGTAGAGCAGCGGCAGGCGGATAAGGTCAGAGCTATGCTGTCCTACATGAGGGCCGGTCATTGTTCGATTCCAGAGGACATCTGGGAGCATTTCGCGGGGAATATACTGGGACACATGGTTGGGCGAGCCCTTGACGAGGTCTAAGACTCGGACTGTCCATTTGGGACTGAGCCGTCGAACCCAGCTAATGACATTGCGCTGGTTCCATTCGGGGCTGTTGGATAGGCCTTTGTCCCAGAAGGCCCAGACGTTGCGGGTGTCTGAATCTGTGACGGGCTTGTACGTTTGAAGGTCGGATAGAATCTCGGCGTCACTGAGGCGGTTACTCTTTTCTTTGGTTGGAGTGGCCATCTTGTCTGCAGTGTGGTTTAGAGGGAATTATGATATTCAGTTCACCCAGCATGCACGCAAGAGAGTTGATATTCTCTAAATTCTACCATACACCATCGCCCGACAGGAGAGTCGGAGATATGTCTGCTTCCCCATTGTCTCTATCGAAAATATACTAGCTCTCGCCCAGGATGCCATGCTTACAGCGCTATGCGCGACAGGGATACTCGGTCTCGGTTTCGGTCTCGGTTTTGGTCTCGGTCTCAGCGTCAATCTCCAGTCTTGACCTCTCATCTAGCCATTCTTGTCGTGATCATGCAATATAATCTCGCATTTGGGGACCAAAATCAAATAGAGGGGTTGTACGTGTTGGCGCCGGTGATATCGATCGGTCCCTACCAAGGCTTGCGCAAGCTTGAGCAGACTGGGCAAAGCTTGTACAAGGGTGCTACCAATGATATTAAGTAGTCGTCGAGGGGATGTGGGGTCTGCCTAATTGGCTACCTCACTGACTTCTAACTGCCCTCAGTCGTCTCACTAATTACGCTTACGCCGTATTCCACGTCTTCAGCGCACCAACTCCACAAGCACCCCATTCTTGTTCGACAAGTTCAAGCCAATCTTCTCCATCCACGGGCGCACATCCCTGTTCTCGAGCCGCTCAAAGTCTGAATGATCCGGATCGTCGCGTACGAGGCCTCGAGCAGCGCGTATTGTTCTACCACCATCGCCATTGCTATCAGCATCGTCACCATCAACAAAACAGCAATCTATGGAAGGATTATCACTTACGGCCTAGACACACCCTCGGGCCCGCGCTAAAGGGGATGTACCCCAACGACTCACTCTTCAGCCCCTCCCATCGCTCCGGCCGGAACTCGAGCGCGTCAGCTCCGAATGAGCGCGTACTGCGGTGGCTGCCCCACGAGGCAAAGATGACCCGCTGGCCCTTACGGATGAGCACACCGGATTGCCCGTCTGGGCCTCCACCCGCTGGCAGGTATGTGTCCCGGTTGGCGGTGCGGGCGTTGAAGGGGACTGGCGGGTAGACGCGCATTGCTGGAGATTCAGTCAGCTGGCCTGGTGTATCCACGTATGTACACCTGGTATTTCCAGGTAAGTACGCTGACGCACCTTCGTTGAAAACATAGCGGAGATAAGTGGCCTTCCTGATGGTGTCGTATGTCGGTGGCTCGGTGCCTATCGTGTCCAGAATTTCCTGGCGCAGCTTTGCATACACGCGCTCATGGCGTGCGAGGAGAAAGAACGTAGTGGACAACATACTGGCCACCGAGTCTGTGCCCGCAATCAGGATTGTGACAACCGCGTCACGGATAGCAGGGACGTCGTTGGTATGATCCAGGATCCGCGACAGCAGACTCTGCGTTCGCTTCTGACGCTCGTCATCCACTGTGGCTGCATTGGACTGCTTTCGATACTCCCTCGCCGCCATTTCCTTCCTCACAACCTTCTCCACATACACCTTGACAGTCTCACAAGCCGCATAAAAGTCCTTGCGACTTAGGAGATAATGCAACGGGCCCAGAAACCCGTCCCGCGCCATAATCTTCTTTGCGTACATTAGCGCCTCGGCCACTTCTTTCTTCTCCGGTGACTGATCCTGATTGAGCGTTTCAAGCCCAGTTCCCATCGCAAAAGCACTGTTCACATCCAGTACCAGCTTCAGAAACACCGGCGCCAGGTCCACTGCCTGGCCCCGCGGAATCTGCTTAATCAAGCCCTGGAACCCATCCTCCTGCAACTGCAGATCAAAGATTTTCCTGGTTGCAGAGAAGATGTCCGCATACAAACTTCTGGCCTCTTTCCACTCCGCCCCGTCCACAGCAAAGATGCCGTGCGGCGTAATCGGGGCGAAGAGATGGGCGCGCACATCCGAGGCGTCAAAATCGCTGAACCTATTGATCAGGATATGCCTAATGTTTCGTGGGTCGCAGGTGAAGTACACCCGCTGGGTGAGGATGCGGGAGGCGTAGGTGTCGCCGTAGCGTACGAAGAGGGCGGAGACGTTGCTCAGCGCGGTTTCGTTGAGCAGGTGTTTGGTCGAGGAGTAGATTTTGATCAGACCCAGGATGTCCCAAGGGCGTTCGGTCTTGGGGGAGGAGCAATTGTGGGCTTTTACGAGCTGGGATAGGGTCTTGCGGGTACGGTGGTGGTTGATTGCCAGCACGATGGTGTAGTGGAAAACAGCGATGAAGACGGCTAGGTAAAGGGCTGTATACATGATTGCGATTGTTCTGTACAGGCTTGAAATTAGGTAGGAGGGGTTGAACTGGATAAGTGATGTGGTGGATGTGATGGTGAATGGTGGTAAGTTTATATAGCCTTCCCGCCCCCTCGCCCTGTCCGGATTAGGGTTGATATCGGTATCGTACTGTTTCTTGTACCAGAGGAAAGCTGACACGCGCGGTACAGGTTTCGGCCCAATCTGCTCCATTCCCGTGAGTTATTTACGGATGTTGGATGTGATAAGGAAGTATCCAATAGATATCCAGACAGCCCGCCTCGTCGCAAGCTGATGTCGTGACGATTGTAAGGATTAGGCCCTTGCCTGGGATGGAGAAGAACCAAGGTAACAGACTAGGCCCCCAATGATGGTACGCTTATGCAGGTGATGATGACCGGGCTGGTCTAGTTCTGAGGGGAACGGGGCGGCTGATCAAGTACTTAAGGGTCTCTGCTAATCACCCTGCTTCTTTTGCTCAGTATCACTGACAATGGCAACCTTGACGACTATGGCGACTACGGCAACCATGGCAACTACAGAAGCCAGCCAGCCCCTCGAAGCCCAAGCCAGAACGGCCCTGACCAAAGCAACAAGCTACGCCTGGGAGATCATCTCCAACCGCCACTGGTGCGGCGAGCTCGAGTCTAACGTGACCGTGACCTGCGAGCACATCTTCTTTCTTTACGTTCTCTACCAACACATCGACCCCGACGAAGGTAGCCAATACCGCCAATGGCTGCTCTCGCAGCAAAACGCCGACGGCTCTTGGGGCATCGCACCCAACTACCCCGGCGACGTCTCCACAAGCGCAGAGGCATACCTAGCCCTGAGAATCATAGGAATGTCCCCGGACAGCCCTGAGCTGTTCCAAGCGCGAACCTTCATCCGGGCCGCCGGCGGGCTCTCCAAGATGCGCATGTTCACCCGCATCTTCTTCGCGGAGTTCGGTCTCGTCCCTTGGACTGCCATACCCCAGCTGCCCGCAGAGTTTATTCTTGTCCCCGCTCACTTCCCCATCAGCATCTACCGCCTTGCCTCGTGGGCGCGCAGCAACGTCGTCCCGCTGCTTATAATCGCCCACCACAGACCCCTCTACCCGCTCCCCAACGGGCTACACAAGCAAAACCCATTCCTGGATGAGCTCTGGCTCGACCCGGCCACAAAGCCCCTCCCCTACGGCTCCTTAGACCCCACTGACCCCCTCTCCTTTGTCTTTACCATCCTCGACAAAGCCCTCTCTTACCTCGGCGGCCTCCGCCGCTGCCCCACAAGAGGTTATGCGCGCCGTCGCTGTATACAGTGGATCCTACAGCACCAGGAGAAAGCCGGCGACTGGGCAGGTATCATCCCGCCCATGCACGCTGGCATCAAGGCCCTTTGGCTCGAAGGGTACAAGTTACACGATGAGCCGATCCAGCTTGGTCTAGCGGCCATCGAACGCTTCACCTGGACAGACAACCGTGGCAAGCGCCTCCAATGCTGCATCTCCCCCGTCTGGGACACGGTACTCATGATCCGCGCATTGCAAGATACTCCCGCCTCCCTGGGCATAAAATCGGACCCCCGCATCGCCGACGCCCTGGCCTGGACGGCCGAGAACCAGCACCGCGGCCCCGAGGGCGACTGGCGTGTTTACCAGCCCAACATCCCCGTCGGTGGGTGGGCGTTCGAATACTCTAACACGTGGTACCCGGATATCGATGATACGGCGGCGGCGGTTCTAGCATTTTTGACGCATGACCCGGCCACCGCGCGGTCGAGGCTCGTGCGCGATGCGGTGTTGTGGATTGTAGGCATGCAGAATGCCGATGGCGGGTGGGCGGCGTTCGACCATGAGAATAACCGGCTGTTTCTGAACAAGATCCCGTTCAGCGATATGGAAAGTCTTTGTGATCCGAGTACGCCGGATGTGACGGGGCGGACGATTGAGTGTTTGGGAATGTTGCGCGATTTGCTTATGCTTCCGGCCGAGAAGGCCGGGAAGAAGGGGGAGAAATACGGATATCCAGATGGCGAGAGGGATGCAGCAGCGGATTCACACCTCCTCAAAATCATCAACACCGCCTGCGCCCGCGCAATCCCCTACCTCATCCGCACCCAGGAAGCCACGGGCGCCTGGTACGGCCGGTGGGCGGTAAACTATGTCTATGGCACATGCCTCGTTCTCTGCGGGCTGCAGTATTTCAAGCACGACCCGACGTTCGCGCCGGAAATAGACACCATGGCGACTCGTGCCGTGAAGTGGCTAAGGCAGATCCAAAACTCCGACGGCGGGTGGGGTGAATCCGTCCTCTCGTACCGCGAGCCCTGGCGGGCCGGGTGTGGGCCTTCCACGCCCTCGCAGACGGCATGGGCGCTTATGGGTCTCTTGACAGTTTGCGGGGGCGAGGATCGGTCGGTGCAGCGCGGGGTGAGGCATCTGGTGGATACGCAGGATGATATTTTGAGTAAGGGTGAAGGTGGGGCGGCGGCGTGGACAGAGCGCGAGTTCACGAGCACGGGGTTCCCGAACCATTTCTACATCTCCTATACGCTGTATCGGGTTTATTTTCCTATTACAGCATTGGGGAGGTATCTTTCTTTGGTTGAAGGCGGCAAGAAGGAGAACGGTGGGGGCGCTTAAGCTGATCTTATTTGGTTTAAGCTTTGGTCTGCATTGCCTGTTTGGATTTCGTTGATGGCTCCTCGCATTGATGCCTCGCAGATGATTGGCTTTGATAGACAAGGATGCTCGGTCTCGTTTAGTAGCGTCTCAGCCTAGTCTTGTTGCCTAAGATGGATACTATATCTTCTATCTACTACTAGACTACTCTATCCCAATCCATCCCCCCCCCATCTCTCTCCCAACCTACACCACATCAACTCCCTCCTCTCCTACACTGAAGATGACATCCGGCCTCCTCATCGCCCAACTCGTCCTCTACGCCCCCCTAACCCTTCCAACCCTCTACCTCCTCTACAGCCATGGCCGCCACGGCCTCCCTGCCTGGCTCTACCTCCTCGCCTTCTGCATCCTTCGCATAACCGGCGCCGCCATGGGCCTCAACGACCCGCACAACACAGGCTCCCAGATAATATCCAGTATCGGGCTCTCGCCGCTGCTGCTTTCGATAGACGGGATGTTGCATGAGGCGTACGTTACCCAAAAGACTGACCCAACACCAAGCCTTCTCTCCTGCCACTCATTCAGGAGCACGAAAAGACCAATATCTCATATGTTCTCATTGTGATATAGGAGAATCTACTGGCTATCCCCGAGCAAACGAACCGAATGGGCATTCATGGCGCTCATCCATGTCCTCGTCGCGACGGGGGTGGCAATGGTTGGGGTTGGTGCTGGCGGGTTGTTGGGCGATATGCCCAAGGACAGTGATTTATCCGACATCAAGGTCGGTATGGCGCTGTTGGAGGTTGTGTGGGGTCTGCTCGCTTTGTGGGGGCTGTGGACGCTTTGGAATGGGAGGGGTAGGGGGTGGAAAAGTGGTGGAAACCGAGATGCACCGGGGGGCTTGGTATGTTCGTCCCTTCCTTTTCCCTGATCGCTGACATTGTCTGGGTTGGATAGCTAACACAAGACTGTCTACCCGAAACACAGCTCCTAACCGGCACCCTCATCGCTCTTCCCCTCGTCGAGATCTCGGTGATCTACATGCTTGTCGCGGAATCAACGCAGCGCGCGGATCTCAACCCGACGACAGGGAGTTTGGCTGTTCGTGTGGTGTTGGGGTTTCTCCCCGAGTTGCTTGCGGCGATTGTTTTGGTGTCCGTTGGGATTATGACGAGGGGGGTGGGTAAAGTTGGTGCTGGTGGAGCTGGGCTGGAGCAAGGGCAAGGGCGCCGGCATAGACATGCCCATGGGCATGGAAGGCGCTTGAGCTCGAAGCATGGGGCTCGGTTGCATTCGAGGTCACATTCGCGTTCTCATTCGCACTCTGCTGGCCGGAGTGGGTGAGGATTAGTATCGAAATGGGAGGTTATTTCTTTTTAGATGGTGCGCTATATGCTGCAAGGCGCCCGGCGTTATACAATCAAGTCTATTACACTTCCAACCCTTAATATGTGTGTTGTGCTGGCGGCGTATCTACTGCCTGTTTGGTATAGGTATATGTCTGAGGCGCATTTGCTGCTCGCGGGAAAAGGGTACGCAGCTTATTCGATGCACACTGTGACAGGCCAAAAAAGTGGCATGTTGACTTCTCGCAGCTAGTCAAGGAATGTATCTACGCAGTTTTAAGGAAGCTATCCTCTATATATATATATATATATATACTGGAGGTCATACTAAGGGTGGTGTTTATACTCTATATTCTATACAATGGTATATCAGAAGACTATACCGCAATAGGAAACTCACAGGTCCTCGCTTTACCTTTCCTAAAACGCGAGACATGACACGCTCCAGTCACGTGAGAGCATTTCTCATGAGTCATGATGGCCTTGAGGGGCGTTGCCATTCTGGGACTAGCCTTTTGACATCCGCCTTGACCATCATCAAAACAAAAGACAACAGCCAGACACCAGGAAAGGGACAATAGGACAGAAGGGAGACAAAGCCTGTGGTTGACATTGCCCTGTCTACAATTGACGGTTGTTTTTTTCTCTTTTCTCTTTTCTTGCTACCGTCGCGAAGCCATCGAAGACTGCTCATTGCTTGACATCATCCTGGACGGATCTATCTCCCCTGGTTGCTAGGTGATAGAAAGTCGGTGGAGGACATAGAAATACGATGGTGAGTCGTTGAGAAATCATTCATTAGTGAAACAATACTAAGCCGCCTCCCAATACAGCGCTCAAGTTTTCGTCGTCTCGCTGCAGATCATGCTGGTCTTCACGAGAGCCTCCCTCCAAACTTCCTGTTGCCTCCCGAAGACACCTCATCCGATGACCTAACCCAGCTCACTGCCCTGCTGGCTGGACCGCAGGGCACACCCTATTCGCAGGGTCTATGGCGACTGCACCTGAAAATGCCCGAGGATTATCCCAAGAGCCCGCCCAAGGCGACCTTCAAGACACGCATCTGGCATCCAAACGTCGAGGAGTCGACAGGGGCGGTGTGTGTCGATACACTGAAACGGGATTGGAAATCGACGTTGACGCTCAAGGATGTATTGGTGGTGAGTCTTGAGACCGGTTCAGAAAACCGAAAAACAGAGAGAATTGCCTGTGTCTAACCCAGGTGGAACAGACCATCTCCTGCCTTCTTATCTATCCCAACCCTGATTCCGCCCTGAACTCGACAGCCGGCGCTCTCCTGCAAGAAGACTACAATGCCTTCGCTCGTCAAGCGAAGCTTATGACTTCCATCCACGCCCCGGTCCCTACAGACCTGAAAACTGCAGTCCTCGAAGCGAAATCCCGCGGCGAAGAAGCTGGAACCCTCATCCCAGAGCACGAGGACACGCGCTGTTTGCGCTCGCGCAAAGGCACCCGAGTCCAGTCCCTCACCATGAAGAAGAAGACCACCACATCGCACCCTGATGTCGAAGCCGCACGCCCATCCTCAAGTCACACCCCACGACCCATCGCCCAAGAACACCCAGCCACAGACGACGACGATGAAAACGATCACGAAAACGACCAACTCCCCCCTTCGACCAAAGAAAACAACCCATCCCTCTCCCCCTCCCCCGTCAAACTCGCCCCGCCCAGCCCCCGCAAAAACGCCCACGGCAAACGCCCCCTCTCCGTCCTCACCATGACCCCCGACACAGGTACAGACGCAGACATAGACACAATCCCAGCCTCCCCACACCCCCACCTGGACTCCCCAGAATCCCACCACCGGGAGAACCCCAAAATGACCGCCTCGGAAAAGAACATCGCCGCAAATCACCCCCGCTCCGCGCACGACCCCGACCCCTCCCCGCAGCGCAAATCCCCCAAACTCTCCCTTCTCAACAAGGGCGTCAACGCCTCCGGCCGCATCCGCGACGACGTCCTCAAGATCTTCGAGGACGAGCCCGCCCAGGACCTGCTCAACGCGCGCGACCCCGGGAAGGAGAATCACACCTCGTCATTCGCAGGCTCCAAGGGACCCGGCCATCCCACCAGGAAGGCCACGCCGCACTACCCGTCTGCGCTTCTTGCGCCTACGACGGCCGTGTCCGGTCCGCCGGGCTCGAGTGCACGCGCTGTCTCCGGTTCGCGCAAGGTCTCGTCGTCGAGTATGAAGAAGGCGAAGCCGCGCATCGGCATTCGTCGGTTATAACTTGTCGTGCTGGTGTTTGGACTTGGATTCTCTCTTTATCGGTTGGGCTTTTTTTTTGGAGGTTTTTTTTTTTTTTTGCATATCACTTACTCGGCATATCGCATTCCATGATATTTTGGCTTATGGCGTTGGAGGATGAATGGTCGCATATTGGGATCAGTCGGAGCATCATGAGAATGCTCCTGGGTCGGCGCCTTAGTTCCTATCATTTTTGTTAAACAGCGAGGTCTCCTTCTATATTCTACAGCATATCAAACGCGGAGTGAGTGTTGTACACTTTCAATCATAGTATATTCTGCCTTCTGAGACTGTGCTAGCAATACCATAGACTAACGCATGCGGCGCACCATCGCTGATGTCGACAACACAAAAGCCACCCGGGATGAAATCATCCGAACCCGCCAATAAGTTATGCAAATACCTAATGTTGATAAACAAATTTTCAGTCAGCCATCCACCTGTAGCAAGCCAGTTCCAAGAACGCTGTTTCGCTACCATCTTTTGCGGTTGGCCAGTTGAAACCTTTCGGCCCCGGACTGACGCTGTTCGCAAAGGACGATGGCAGACAGGCGCGCAAACACGTCAAGCTGACATGTTCATCAAAGTGAACTGTGCAGAGGTATGATCAGACCGATATCACAGTCCAAATGACCTCGAAGCGGCCGAGGAACAAACAAAAATTTCAAAAAAAACAAAGGCAAACGCGCTACACCGATTAAGAGCCATAGTAACAGAACAGGGAGACGAGATTCACACAATGATGTTTCTGGAAGTCGGTTAAGCCAATTTAGACTTGTGATAACAAGCATGACTGATTTGACTCCGACGTGCTGGTCGCTCTGACGCTGACGGCGTGCCAAATGCGGAACTGTAAACATGCGATTCTATCCGAGCAAAGTGACATAGAAATGCCATCCTTTTACAATGCATAGGGGTTCACAGAGCGAATGGTAAGGCAACTAGAAGCAATAATATGTGAGCCAGGGGGAAACTTCTGTCGAAGGACGCTAAGGGGAAATACTTACGGAGGACTCTTGCTCAGATCGGTCTTGAGAATGATAGGAATACGAGCCATTTCGGTAACATCCTGAATGTACTCGCCATCCTCTTCCCGGAGTTTGAAGAGCTTGAGATATTTCTCCTTATTCGTCAACTTAGCTTCCGGTGCATCGCTAGTGCTGCTTGCAATCTTGGGATCCGACCGGGTACGATGGGGACCCTGCTGGTGATGACCATTACGCGTGGGAGATGGTGGCATGCTCTGGGTCGATCGGTCGGCGGCAGAGTTCAAGGAGACGCCTGCAGCCATCTCGGTGACCTCGGAGATGTCATCATCATCGTCAAAGAGAGCGTCAACATCATCCGCAGACATGGTACCAGTCTCGGTCTGTTTCCGCATTGCCTCGTCGCGTTCGCGGGCACGCTCTCGGGCTGCTTCTGCTTCACGCGCAGCGGCGGCAGCCTGGGCCGCGCGGGAGTTGGTGGTCCTGGGCCGTTCGTCCTCAGGAATGTATGCAGAGGATGGAACACCCTTCTCCCAATAGAGCTCCAGGACACGAGATTCCTTACGATACTCAGCCTTCTTGAGGGGCAGTTGATCACAGTGGACACGCTTCTCGAAACCAAACTCGGGAATGAGGACATCAAAAGCAGACTCATAGACGCAGAGAACAATGCCTTCGCTGATCAAGTCGCCACCAATCTCCTGTCGCTGCTTGTCCATGTTACGGCAAGCCTCGATGTGAACACTTTGCTCTTGCGCATTGTGGGCTGAATCTTTCTTGTTGTTGCACAGATCGGCCGTCTTGCTCAGGGTCTCAATGTCATCTGGGAAGTCAATCGCACCGTTGGAAAGGACGGCTTCGAGCTGGCGATGTACAACAATGTCCGCATAGCGACGCGACGGGTTGGTAAAGTGAGTGTAAACCGGGAGGTTGAGAGTGTAATGGTGACGCTGCTCATCCTGGACAGTGCCGGCAACGTAATACTTCGCACGTTGCATAGCCTTGACCAGAATCGTTTCCATACCCTGCTCTCGATTAGTCTCTCTAATGTCCACGGGGAAAACACAGCACTGACCTTGCGGAGATCGTCATCCTGCACTTTACAGAGACTGCTCTGCAAAGTTCCACTACTTGACGGATCAAAGTCGAAGCCGAGACGATCCATCCGGTCCATGAAGGACTGAAGGCGACGGGCATTGGGCGATGACTGACGACGAAGGAGAGCCTTGTCAGGGATAGCGGAGACCAGCTTGCGGGCCACAAAAAAGTTGGCTTTGTGTCTCAACTCCTCTACCAACTCGCGGGCGACAGTCGAGTCGAAGATGTTCCTTTCTACAGGAACATTCTCATCGTCGAGCTGGTACAACAGACGCAGAGGTGGCAAATTCGAAACACGATTACCAAATCGGGTCTCTCTGAACTTCACCGCAATGGCCTAAAAAAGAAGAGTTATGTTAGCATTATACTTCCAGGGGGGCGAGCAATGTAGACATAGAACAACTGACATTCAACGTCTGAATCATATCGGCAGTGACCCCAGCGACGGGGACATTGGACTCGCCTCCGATGGCAGTATTGACGTCGTCGTAGCTCAACCTTCCTGCACTCTTGATAATACCTTTGCCGATCCAGACCTCTTCGTCAACAGCCCCGGTCTCTGGGTTAGCAGTGAACACGACGCTGACGGTGAGGCGGTCCTGTCCGGGCAGAAGAGCGCAAAGCTCCGTGGAGACGCGTTGAGGCAGCATGTTAACAAGCCGATCCATGAGGTAAACCGCCGTGCCCCGCTTCTTTGCTTCCCGATCAACCAAGGAGTTTGCCTTGACGAAATGAGCAATATCGGCGACGTGAATACCGACTTCCACCTTGCCGTCCGGCAGACGTTTGACATGATAAGCATTGTCGAGGTCCTTGGCGCCATTCGGCTCGATGGTGAACGTGGTCTCGGAACGGAAATCACGGCGGGATGCGAGGAGAGCTTCGGCTTCGTTCGAGACGGACCAGTCCTCCCAACCAATGCTCTTCATCACCGCCTCGGAGAATTCATCGGCCCCGAAGTTGTTATCTCTGAGAAGGGCATCTGTTTCGACCTTCAGATCACCCATTTCACCCAGTTGCTCCACCAGAGTTCCAAAAGGATGCAGCGAGGTGATGGGCCATCTCTTGATGCATGCAACGAAGATGCGATTGGCGTAGTCCTGATGTTTCTCCACGAAATCTCGGGGAGCCTGTTCAGTCGGGATGGCAATCAGAGGAACACGCTTGTCGGTAGGCTTGAACCAGACGATCTTGGGCTTATCCTGCTGGCGATCCTGGTGATGACGACCGTGGCCGCCATCTCTGGCCATCCGCTCAGCCTCCTGCTTCTCCTTTGTGGCCTGGCTACTTGGGCGAAGGAGTCCCAGAGTTCCAGAAAACATCTGTCCTGCAATACGCTCGATCACGGCAACAATGTGGCCTGCATAGAGGGGCTTCTGTTCGTCACTGATCTCATCCTCCTCTACCAAGAGAAGGCTCTGGCCTTCGACTTCAACATCGTCATTCTTCTTCTGGGTAGGTCGCTGACGGAGACTGCCACGGCGCCGGATGCTACCATCGGGACCGATTTCTTGACGATCACCATTGGCACCAGAGTCCGATCTCGAGAGTTTGTCAGTGCCCGCGTTGCTTCCAGAACGAGCGTCGGTGATGTCTTTGCGCTTCTTTTTCTCCTCTTTCTCTCTCTTCTGCGACCACACCTCGTCGACATCCAAAAGTTCAACGGCAACGAAATCGCCCTCGAGAGCACGGTTCCGATCCTTGCTGCCGCAGATGAAGATGTCGGCATCCAAATCCGGGCTTGTGACATAGGCATCAGAACGGTTCTTTTTGTTGACGCGGAGAATACCAGCCACCAGCTGACCGTTGCTCAACAGGGCGGGCAGATTCGCCTGGGGGAGATACGGAGTGAAAAGGGTCTTGCGCTGTTGCTGCTGCTGCTGCTGCTGCTGTTGCACAGACAGCTGCGGCGGCGCGTGTTGACTAGCGGCCAGACCAAGACCTTGACCACTCAACTGGCCGTTCTGCTGCTGCAGAGCCTGGAGTTGCGCAATCTGCAATGGGCTCAGCTGCTGACCAGCTCCGAACATCTGGGGTGGTGCCATCACAACCTGACCCTGAGGCAGTTGGATCAGCTGTGGCTGACTTGGATACTGGAAAGAGCCGATCGAGCCGATCGACTGGTTCATCGACGCCCGGGCACGGTGACCAGGCTGGAACGTGTTGCCTTGCTGCTGACCGAAACTCTTTTGCTGATCCTGTCCCTGGTTCTGATTGTTGGGCTGCCGCCAGTTGCCGTCAAAGTTTCTCGAAGAGGTTCGTGCATGGCCCTGTTGGCTACTTCGCCGCTGATTGTCCGACTGTCCACCAAGATCGCTCGATTGCGGAAACTGGAAGCCACCCATGCCCCGTCCCGACAGCGAGCCCCGGGGACCGCCAACCGCCACAGATTGACTGCGTCCATGGCCGCCAGCTCGAATATTGCCGGCCCGGTGCAGACCGAGTCCCTGGGATGCTTGTGATGTGCCTGCGGCTGACTTATCTTCCGTGGTCGATGCGTTTTCCGAGACGGCCCCAGCACCGGGACCGGGGAATTGGAAGCCGGAAGCCGTTCGTTTTTGTTGAGCAAGCTCGGCAGCCTTTTTAGCTTCCGGGAGAGCAAGCGAGTGACGACGCTGATGACCACCACCGCCAGGGGGCCCCCGGGAACGGCCATGATTCCCGTTTTCTTTTTGTTGATGCGTACCCTGCTGATGGCCGTAGTCAGAATATCCGGAAGCTCCGGAGGATGGAGCAGGTGGAGGGCCCATGCCCAGACCGGGGAGCGCAGATTGATTGCGCCGGTGTGAGTGTTGATTAGGGTTGTTCATGGGGACGCCGAGCTGTTGTTGGGCCATTTGCGGGAATTGGAAGGCGTTCAGCTGAGGGGACACACCCCCCATCGACGCACCGCCCTGCAATGAAGGAGAGAATGCAGAAACCTGGCCCAGCTGCTGTGGCTGTAACAATCCCATGTTGACATATTGTTGGTGTGTTGCTGCAATTTGTTGCTGTTGCTGCTGAAGCAGTTCAATCTGTTGCTGAATCGCCAGTTGTTCCACTGCCGTCAGAATGTCCTTCGTTAGCCATAACGATCCGAGCGTTTATCAGATTGAAGGTAGCTCGGTAAGCTGGTTTCTTAGACTTTGTCACGTACTCATGAGCGGAGTCAGCTCGGATGGGCTTCTCCTATGAGCTATATGGAGCTTGCGGCCAGCAGGGCCGGGAGCCCCGGATTGACCTTGTTGATCCATCTTCTCAGAGGAACAACGCAGGAACTGCTCGGGTGGAGGGGGAGAATATTCCTGAAGGGAACGATCTGGTTTGAGTATAAGGGAGAGTTGACAGTGACCGGATCAACTTCTGTGGGGGTGCTATCCGCGATACAGGCCGATCGGCAGGAATTTGTTGGACAAAACGACAGGCAATTTTGTAGTATACTAAACGAAGACGATGAACGAATTAGTATTGAATTATTTTAAATTTTTTTTTTTTTGTGATTTTGTTAGAGCGAGAGAGGAAATGAAGAAACCAAAGCAGAGTGAGATAGGGGAAAGAAACGAAGCGGAGGGGGGCCACGGAAGCTATCTATCAGTGACTGCCCGGCGAGAAGTGACATCAACGACGATTGTACCAAGCGGAAGGAACAAGTTCGTTGAAGCAGTCCGCAGCGGCAATGTCGACTTCAAACGACAGGAACCGGGAGAATAATAGAAGGAGGGAATCATTGCATCTTGCCTTTGAATGACCGTTCAGCTAGAGAAGAGATTCTGTAGCCGAGAAAATGACGTCTTTTTTTCGCCTTTCTTTTTTTTTCTCTCTCTCTCCTCTCTTTTGGTTATGCACGGAGCGGGAGATTTCTTTTCATATGAAGGAAGCGGTGACCAGCTGACGATTAGATCTCCTTTGTAGGAACCAGTATTTTCGAATTGGATATTGGAAGGTAGGAGATGGAATCAAATCCAACAAAGATCGGAGTGGAGAGGACGAGAATCAATGTCGCCTCTCGCTGAGAAACAGAAGACCAGTGATTTCCCAAGGAGAGGATGAAGCTGGTGGAGCTGGGGGGGATTTGAGTGGTGGAGAGAGGGGAAGACCCGAGCAGAGACAGCAGTGGAGGATGATTAACCACACTCCGTCGGCGAGTTTTCGATGCTGCTTCTCCAGGGAAAAAAAAAAGGGTGGCCCTTTTTTTTTTTTGTTTGTAGCTGTGTTCTTCTCTCCTGTAGATATATATAGAAGGATCCTCGTGGTCTGTCCAAAGTAATATGGATCTATTTGGTAGAATTGCGCGGAAGTGAATGGAGTCTCACAGTGAAGACCAAACTGGCACAGGGAGAAAAGGGGGTGGAGGAAGAGTGAAGAATAATAAGCGGCCTGAGGCAGGATAAGGAGCCGTTGAGTTAACCTCTCTTCCCCCCTGAGAGAGCTGTCTGGAGTTTGGAATCTCTGGTAGAAGTGATCAAGGTGTGAAAGTAATGCAGTTCTGATCTCAAAGAGAGAACGTCAAGACTGATGATTGATTGTTCAAGAGCGTCAGGTCTGCTTTGGGGATGAAGGAATGATGATCGATGGTTGATGATCGATGATGGTAGTGGGGGGTGGGAAGAGGAGGAAGAGGAGGAGGAGGAGGAGGAGGAGGGGTGATAAAGAAGGATAGAGGAGAGGTGAAAAGGGAAGAAGGAAGAGAAAAGAAGAAGAAGAAGAAGAAGAAGAAGAAAAGAGAAGATGAAGGTGATGAAGAGGAAGCACTTTTTAGTATGGGTCTAGTTGAGTCTAGTATATGACTAGTTGGCTACTGTTTTTCCCAGCAGTTGGGAGGTCTGTACTCTGCATCTGGGTGTGGGGAGAGCAGACAGAATTGGGCTTGGAATCAGGATGTTGGATATGCATTGGATGCTGGCTGTGTTCTACCGACTAGGTATTTGTTTATAGACTACTACTACTGCTACTACTACTACTACTACTACTACTATCTAACTGATGAGATGAAGTGTTTCTCTTTCATTTCGCTTCCCCCTATTCCAGAAGAACATCAACAGATACCTCCAAAACTCCTACAAATAATCATGAGGGGGAGTACTACGGAGACAGAGGGAGCTTGGGACAACTGCGAGAAGAACTGATAATAATGATTAACCTGTCACTAAACCAAACTTACCATACTTGAGGGACCGCGCGATCATCTGGGTTCCCTTCGGCGGGCTCTCTTAGCTGTTCGATGTACCATAGGACCAGAAGAGGGTCATTCTTACCCAGTCTCTTCTCTCTCTCTTTTCAATTACTCCATGGAACTACTCCCCAGACGGCAACATTGATTGAGAAAGAGCAGTCTTGTCTATTTGTATCTCTATCCTCAGAGCTACCTGGAATCCTTTCAGTTCCCAAGCCATGGACTCCTCCTTAACCGCCCACTTGAACAATCAGTTGGTCAGTGTGTACGGGTTGGTAATTTGGTATCAATACGCAGGTGGAGAGTTGAAGTTAACCCACTGGTGATTGGCTACTGACCTATCTTGGATGATCCACTCGAGCTGTCTGAAGCACCTTAGCAGGACTCGTGACATCGTTCTCGTATTGAAAGTGTACTAACGAGGCGCTTTCTCGTATTTTTTATGCTTTGTCAGGAGTCCAGGACTTTCAAAAGAGACCAACCAGATACCTAGGCAGATACGGATTCTACAGTACAGGCTAGGTCGCGTTCGAGAATCAGGCTCAAGCTCATGATGTCCATGATGATGATGCATACAACCCCCAGCCTCCACAGCTCCGACCGAGGAACGGTCCTGATTTCGTTCGTGGTCAAGAATCAACTACTATGGAGCAGGGGTACCCACTACCAGCTAAAGGGGCTAAGGTCGTTGTGTTTGCGCTGTTTGCCCAATCTTGGATTCCTGAAGTCCAAGGAATCCAGGCTCTCTCTTTGATTGGTACGGAGGTCGAACCTTTTTCCGGCTTCAAACACAGCGCGCGATACGACTCAACGCAGTAAATATGATTGAGACCGCAACCTTGCGAGCCTTATTGCAGGGGTGATAGTCATTTCAAAGTCCCCCATGCGTCATTCAGTCCTCGGAGAATAAGGTAAAGTGCTGATTTGGTCTTTCCGTCTGTCTTTTGTTCTTGCATTTGCGTGGATCATCAATCAATTATGTCCAACAATACTTACTCTCCCTGCGTCGGCCTCATTGGACGAATGCGGCATGCTTTCATTGCTGTTCCTTTGTTGATATCAGGCCTTCAGCTCCTCTTCTTTACGTACTCATGCACTCTACGATTGTCTGGCCGGTCTCATCTTGAGCAATCCACTCTGGCAATCCACGCTCATTAATCATGGTACTTTCGGGATTGCAAGGTCAAATAGCCTGACGGCCCTATTCACCCTTGTGAACGTTGAGGCTCAAGGTTGAACCCGTGCCAGCATCCAACAAGCTATTCACAGTTGAAAAATTGCAATTCCACTTCAGATCAAACTTGACTAACCAATTGGACCCAACTGTCTCTAGACCACTCCGCTCGATATGATCCACCTCATGGATTAGATTACCAGTGCAGATCACGTTCTGAAAGTCTCGCATATCGCCCGACCTCGACGTCCCTACCTACCTGCTACCTTCCAACGACCGTGGACTTTGGCAACGGCCCTCTCTCCTCCTCTCTCTGCCATCAAGTCCACCATTGCAAATCCTCCATCGCATCGATCCCTCTGGCCAAACCTTGCGTCGCACAAGCTACTAGCAGTCCAGCGACGAACCAATTTACAATTCTCATAATGGGCCGATTAAGCTATCCCGCGGATTTGGATAGTCCGTCAAAACAGTTACTCCTGGACCTGTCGAGAGATCTTGAACAATTCCACATCCACAGCAGCGAGCTGAAGCAAGTGAAGGCATGGGAGCGCAAGACTTTCTACGAACGGCTCGACCGCATCGACAGTGAATGCGAAGCCATACACTATGCCGCCCTCGACAAGGTTGCGGCGCGCCATGACCAGGTGCGGGAAGAAGCGCAGGAAACTCTACGGGCCCACCAGCGGGCGGTAGAGGAGGAAAAGCGGCGCAAGGAGGAAGAGGCCCGTCGGGAAGCCGAGCGCTTGGAACGCGAACGAGCCGAAAAGCTACGGCGAGAGCAAGAGGAGGCCGCGCGACGCGAGGCGGAGCGAAAGGCGGCGGAAGAGGCAAAGAGGAAGGCCGAGGAGGAAGCGGAGAAGAAACGGAAAGCCGAACAGGAAGAGAAGGAGCGAAAAGAAAAGGAACGATTGGAAGAGGAAAACCGAACGCGTCAGGCAGAGGCTCAGAAGGCGGAACAAGAGGCTGCACAGCGAAAGGCGGAAGCCGCGCAAAAGACGCAAGCCGAACAACAAAAGCAGATTGGTGGCGGCCGCCAGACCGCGGAAGAGACCAAGGTGCAGCTCCGCTATGTCGAGCTTCACCAGCACCTGAAGAAGTTCCGACAGTATCTGAAAGACGAGAGCAAGACCAATGCCGCCGTCAAGCAGAACATGGGCGACATCCGTCGGTCGATCAAAAAGTGTGTTGGTCAGCTGCGAGAAGGTGCCGGAGCGAACAAAACTCAGGTACGGGCCCCAACTGCGGCAATCTTTGGTCAGTGCTAATTCCAGCCATCTTCCACATTTAGCTCCAAGAGATTCGCTCGTCCCTAGAAAAGGCTGCCTCGATCGCGGAACCGTCGGTGGATGTGCGGCAGTTCTTTGCATTCCCTCCGGCGGACATTGCCAACTCGGACGACAACAAGGTCCCGGCTCTCTTGATCTACGCCCTGAACATCTTCTCCAAGTGCTTGGTCTCGGCTCTCATTACGGAGGCCTCCATCAACCACGGCCATGCGGAACCGATTGGCATTGTGGCTGCACAGATCTTCTCGATGGAAGCGTTCATCTACAAGGGACACCAGATGGTCGATCTTCTCTTGGCCAAGTATCGCGTCGTCTGTCCGGCGCTCTGGGGATTCTACGGCAACGAAAAGACGGAAGCGGGCCGACGAGCGATCGGCTGGTGGCGGGACGGCCCCGATGGCCCTTTCATCACCGAACAAGCCCATGCCGACCGCATGACCGCGCTGGGGGCTGGGTTCGCGGCGCTGACGTTGCGCAACTTTGGCAAAACCCAGCGTCGGAACCCCTTTCCCAACACCCTGTTTTGGTATGCGATGCACAAGATCCTCACGGTCCCAACGGATGAGATTCAAGAAACACACATCACTCTGTTGTCCGCGATGCTCAAATCTTCTGCCGAGCGGATTGTCGGCTTCTTCGGCCATATGGGTCTGGCGTTGATGCGACGGGCGATCGTCGAGTTACCCAACCGCCTCACCCGTCAGAGCATGGGTGTGAACCAATTAAAACTCCTGAAAGATCTCTACCGAAAAGAGAAGAACATCCTCATCTGAAGCGAGTGAGGGTAGTAGACCTGATGATGGATCGGCCCGATCGGGAATCATCCCAAGGGAAGGGTCAACACTCTAGCACTGGTTTACTCTTTTTCTTCTTCTTCTTCTTCTTCTTCTTCTTCTTCTTCTCTCCCGTATCAATCACATCGGGCATGATATCGGATCCGCAGCCTCATCTTTCGGGCCAAATGGACCCGACCAAAGTCTCATCCGACTCCTGACTCCTAAGGCTGTTCCGATCAGGCCACTTCCCACTGGGTTTCTCGGCGTGGTTCCACCCACATCGGCCGGGAAGGATTTGCATGGATAATTCCACATGTTGACGTACGGAGTATAACTACTACTACTACTACTACTACTACTACTACTACTATATTGGTGTATGTGTGTGGGTGTGTGTCTCAAGGGTCCTGGTGTGACCCGGTTGTGTGCCATTATGGATGTCAGGTTGAAAGGGATCTTCTCGGATTCATGGATATCGAATTATGGGGATAGAATTTTGGGAATTCTGGCGGGATATGATTGAGATTAGCAGTTCACTCTAATGATGATACCATTCATTTTTCTTCCTATCCGATTCCTTTTTCTTTTTGATCTCATGGATCTCATGGATATCAGCAATCGATGATGCCACCACTCGAGTGGATGGGCGCCTGAGGCAGCATGACGTTGTTTTCCTTTTTTTTTTTTTTTTTTTTTTCTTTTTTCCTCCCCTGACTCAACGGTGGCTATCTTTAAAGTCTCGAGTGTCTCGACTTCTTGACCGGTCTTTCCAGCAACGGATGCGATTCGACGCCTCAATCGAAACCCAAAAAAAACAAAACAAAACAAAATCTTATGATTCCGATCTATTTCCGACATTCTCCAGGCCACCGCCTCCTGAACTGACACATGTCATCGATATTCGCGTTCCATCACGGAAGCCCTGCTATCCGTCCAGCAGGGGGATGTATCTCTACATCCTTACAGTCCCGGGACTCTCGAGCACTCACCTTGTGTCACATATCAGTCCCGAGTTATCCCCGACCTATAGCGAAGCTATGTAAAATCTATATAAAATCGATATCATGACTCGATACCCCCCTCCCCCTGATCGTGGCTTTGGTTTCCATCCCAAAAACCAAAACAACCGGGCCTACCAGCTGATTGATGATGGCGACCCATCTCCCTACAGAGCTCCTGCAGTCGATTCTGCTCTCTCTCGACCTCGAATCGTTCTACTCGGCCCGCCTCACCTGCAGTTCCTGGCACCATGCGGCGTCCAATCCATTTATCCTGCGATCAGCCCTGGCGGAAGCACCTGTGTCTCTGCCTGCAACCACCCAGGACACGCTCACAGCGACACAAGCCTGGAACACCTACTTGACACAATTCGCGCACCGAACCCTCCTGGACCGGCGCCTCGGCGTTGAAAAACAAGCATCCAAGCGTCTTCTCCCAGCAGGGTACAGCAGCCCCAGCACCACCGTAGCGCTCTCCCCGGACGGCACCAAGGTCGTCGCCCTCAAAGGCGCCCGGATCATGCTCCACGACTTCCACCGCGACACATGCACCTCTTCCTTCGCCCTCTCGCGCTCCCTGTACCCGGTCTGGGCCTGCGTGTGTCGTGCTCTCGTCTATGGTGCCGGCGCTGGCGCTGGCACCAGCCCCCTCGCGTTCAGCGAGCGGTACGCAAAGTCCCATATCGCGCTCTCCAGCCGCGGTGACCTCGTCGCCGTCGCGCTGGGCCGCACCATCCAGATCTACGACCTGGCGGAGAAGACGCTCGCGCAGCCCCCGGCGGAATTCGTCCTCGGCGACAAGACCACCGAGTTCGTCGTCGCCCCGCCGCCGCAGACGTACCAGGAGACAGACGGCGTCGTCGAGTCCGTCGCCTTCGCCGGCGACGATGACCTGCTCCTCCGCGTCGTCATCGGCAGGGAGTCCGGCTCCAGTGCGCACATTCGAGTCCGGTACCTGGGCGACCCGGCCCGCGCCTCCTCCACATCCACCAGCGCAGAGTCAGACGTCGCCTCAAACACCGAGCGCGACCGCGACCGTCTCGCCTATTGGCGCGCCAACCTCAACCGCATCTACCTCGACTCCGCCGCGCTGGCCGCCTCCCTCTCGCAACCCACATACTCCGAACCCATCTCGCTAACGGGCCTTCTCGTCCTCCCCAACTCCCTCGCCTCCCGCCTATCCCCATACCCTACTGAACCCTCATACACATACTTCCTCTGCGCCCTGCACCAAGGCTTCAAAAACAGCTACTGTCTCGCCCGCACACCCACACCATCCACGACCTCCACATCCTCCCAACCTCCAGCACCACCAACAATCCTCTTTACCTTCCCCACCCGCCCCAGCGACCCCAACCACCTCTCCACCGACAAACTCCTCGCCGCCACGACCCCGGAATCCACCTTCACGCAGCACATCCGCTCCCTCTCGCACCAGCGCTGGGACGTCGCGAACCTGCCCGCCGCGACGGCCGCCGCGCCCGTGCTGGCCGTCGCGGACGACGGCGCCCTCTTCGCGGTGTATGAGCCCGGGGCCGGCCACTCGTACCGCGGGAGCGGGGGCGCGGTGTATGTGTATAGTCTGGCGGGGGTGGGGGGTGGTCCAACGGAAGGCGAGCGCGAGGAGATCCCGGCGTGGTCGTTCCTGTTGGATATTGTGGATGTGGAGGTGGAGGGGATCCGGGTGACACGGGAGCCGGAGCGGGAGAGTGAAAAGTCGGAATGGGGGGGTGGACGGCGGGCGTCGTATATGATTACTGCTATTGCCGGGGGGAAGTTGCTGGAGTGGAGGTTGAAGTGAAAAAAAAAAAAAAGAAGAAAAAAAAAAAGAAATTGATAGAATACCAATCCATAGAATGAGTGATGACTATATAGATACTCCCCACCGCACTTAATTTAATATGATCACTGCTCGCAGAGCACCAGCATGACTGTCGGTCTGAAAGAAAAAAGAATGAATGAATGAATGTATGTATGTCCAATTAGAAGAGGGTATCTATGTGATACGCTATCTCGAGCGTGATTACCTGCTGTTAGCAGAAATATGGCAAGTCAACGGGGGGGTATGTGTGATAAGTGACAAGTTGCGCAGGATAGACCAATCGCAGGGAGTAGAAGAAAAAAAAAATCACAGAATGGAAGAGAGTGACGGATTAATACACAGAGAGTCGAGAAGAATTGTACACATCTCTCTCCACAAAGGCCAACGGGTGGTATCAGATGAGAAAAACGCAGAAACATCAATATGATGAATATGTAAAGCGGGGAGGGAAATGATCGTAATTCACTGCCATCGAAAAAAAACGAGGGAGAGTTTGTTCAAGGAGAAACATTCAAAAATATAAAGCGAAGTAAGGCAGAGGCGGAAAAGAAAGGATCAGGTGTTAATGCAATATAATGTCACAAGTGGGAGATGCCTCCGTTGGGCTCTCTATGGATAGGGCATGGCATCGCCTTGGTATGAGAAAAGGGCGTGTATAAATGTTCACGAGGTCAACTGTGGCCCAAAGGGTCCTTCTTCGGCTCCCCGGGGCGATGCAGAGACCAGTCCGTCCGCTGTGCTCTCAACGTCCTCTCCGAATGAGTCCTCTGCATAATCAGTGGGCTCAGCGTCATGGTCGTAGCTTGACCGTCGGAGCAGCGGAGGAGTGCTGGGGGGCTCTTGCATAGGAGCAGTCGGGCGTGATGCCAAAGGTCTGGGTGTCGTGTTCACATTCCTCAGCGGCCGACTTTCTGACGACCGCCTCCACCCGGGTGCTTTGGGTGCACTTGCGTTAGACGACCCCTGTCGGAAGCTGGACGCTGGAGGCGTCAGAAGCCCTGAGAGAAATGCGCTTGCATTGCTTGACTTGGACGGCGTCTGCTCTGAGGAACCGGAATTCGAGTTCTCCCTGCCTTTGCGCCAGTTACCCCAGGCCGCTGCGGCTGCCAGAGGAAGAGAACGCGGCGACGCGGTCAGCTCGGAGAGGGAAGGAAAGCTGGGAAAGCCCTGTCCGGAATGAGCCCTTTCCCGCTCCTGCAGCTGCATCTGCAGGTTGGCCTTGAGACGGATAGCCGCATCACGCACCGCATGCTGATTGAAGCTTGGACCAGACACGGTGTTAATGATATCTTGGAGGTCATCAACACGAACTCCGAGAAGCTCGCGCAGCCAGTTGATCTCGGTGTCTTTCTCTTTGATCTTGTTCGGCGCATCCTTGTCAACGCCAGACAGCTCCTGCTCCAGCTCCTCAATACGGGTTTCACGCTGTTGCAACTGGTCCTGGAGAACGAGAATCGACTCTCGCAAAGCCTGAGGGGAGATCTTCTCGGGAACCATAGATCCCTTGCTGAAGGACATGGATGGGGAATTCGAGTGCCTGGGGGGCGACTGGACAGGAGCAGCCTTGGCTGATTGAGCCGCTTCGGCCGCTGCGCGAGCAGCCGCGTTGGCGATCTCCAGCTTCTCCTCGAGGTGCCGCACACGATCCTCAAGATGGTTCACCTTGTCATCCGACAGCGCCAGTCGATCCATCAGATGAGACTCGGCGCGCTGTCTATCCTCGGAGGAGTTATGCAAAGCACGTGCGTGACGTTCCCGCAGGTCGTTGAGAACACGTTCATGCATGGTCCGCTGCTCCTCAATCGCACGCTCCCTGGATTCGGCCGCTTCAGCCAGAGCCGCGGCCCTGGTTTCGCTGGCTTCTTCCAGAAGCAACTCGTAGCGCTCCCGTGCTGTGTCATTATCAAGACGGACATTCTCTAATTGGCTTTGAAGACGGATGATCTGTGCTTCTAGCTCGGCACGCACAATGTTGACTTGGCTGTTGGCGGCCTCAAGATCCGACTCCAGCGAAGTTCGCGTTCGCTGGATCTCGGTGCGACTGGTCTCACGTGCCTCGTTGAACTCGCGCTCATAGCGAGCAGCCTTGCTCTCCAGGTCGTGGTTCTCGATTCTCAAATTTGCAACCAGTTCCTCTAGCCTGGCGTTTTCTTGCTGAGATTGTCCGAAAATGAATTTCAGCTTCGCCGCTTCCCTCTCCTGCTGCTCGAGCTCGCCAATATCGTTCTCAAGCTTCTCACGCAGCTTGACCTCGCGGCCGTAGGCGCTTCGCAGCTCATTGTACTTAGCAATGTGCTCCTCCTCCCGTCTGCGCCAGGAAGCTTGGTCACGCGTGATATCCCGAGTGACAGTTACCATCTCGTCCTGAAGGCGATCAAATTTCTCGCTGAGATTCTGCCGAATGCTCAGACCATCTTCGATTCGTGTCTTCAGATGATCGATAGTGCCACGAAGTTTCTCATTTTCAGCCTTGGTCTTCTCAAGCTCGGCCTTCGCCTGCTCACTTTCGCGCTTCCAGCTGTCGCTGGAAAACCGATACTCGTCCAGAGTGCCTTCAAGCGAGATGTTCTTCGAGGAGACCTCGGCAAGGGTGAGTTTGAGTGTAGCATGCTCTTGCTCCAAGGTGTCAAATCTAAACTGGATTTGTTCAAAGTATGGAATCTTCTCCTCCTTGAACTGAAGCAGACGAGCCTCGGCGGATTCAGCGGCCTCGCTATGGCGCGCAGCCTCATTCTCGGCAAGCTTCAGAAGTCGCTGGAGCTCAGCCACAGAGTCCTGGGCCTCTCTGCGCATGTTATACTCCTGCTCCGCGCGCTCGTCAGTAAGTCTTAACATGTTCTTCAAGCCTTCAATCTGCAGCATGAGGCTGTCGGCACCAATCTCCTCGGCCTCCGAAGGACGAGGTTGGTACTGAACCAGCTGGCTTGATACAACCTCCTGCATCATGTCTCTCAGCTTATCCGTGGGATCCTCTAAGAGTTTCTGCGCAGTAAGGGCATGCAGTTCGGCGACACTATCTTGCAGCTTGAGCAGTTCGAGATTCTCTGCCGGTTCTGGGAGTTGTGGAGCTTCACGAGTAGCCAGTGCTTCCAGGATCATATTCTTCAGTCTATCAAGCTTGCGGTCACGCTGCATGAAAGGTGATCTGGCCTCATAGATGCCTTCCTCCTCATACTCCTCATCTTCATCATCAGCGTCACTTCCTTCGATCTCAACAGATACGCTTCCCCTGATCCATTTGTTCTGCGCTTGAGATGCAGCGAGCATCACTGATTCTTGAATCGCCTCTAATGCGCGCTCCAGAGGACCAAGGCGCTCCTCAATGACGGAACCAACCAAGTCATTCACGCGGCGGTCAAAGAAGCGGCTTCTGTTGGCCAGCTTCTCATCCTCGCCAGAGGAGATCACATCATCCCAGTCACTGATGTGTTCGATCCGGCTAACTAGCTGTCGAACGGGCGAATGAACACCAGAGACGAAACCCCTGGAAGGAGACACGGAAGCTTGAGAATATGCGTCGAAATCGAGCTTAGGGACTTCGAGGGCCTGAGCCACCAAACCTCGTCCTGGGCTCGGGCTCGGTGCTTCACTTCGGATGTCGGCATGGACGTGCCGTTTCTCTTTGGATGGTCCCAAGGCAGACTCCGGGGGAACGTATGCTGGTCGGGGCGTGCTTAACCTTTCGATTCCGACGTCAGAGTCTCCATTGAGCTGTTCCATGATGGCATTTAACTCCTCATCATTGGGTGACTCTTCCTCCGAAAGAGATCTGAGCTCTTCGGCCGCTGGCTGAGAAGCTGCGGCCTCTGAAGCATCGTCCTGAATGTCTACCTCTAGCTGAGCACTTTCGGGTGGTGCCTTCTCACGCTTCGGCGAAGGTGGCGGGCTAACAACAGCGTAGCGGGAAGCCATGAGGTCATTCTGTGGCTTTTCTGGCTTCTCGGGAGTAGACAGGGTGTTCGATTCTTCGACAACAATCGGCACAAATTCACGAACAGCGGGCTTAAACTCGAACGGTTTCGCAGTCGCGGATAGAAAAGTATTTTTCTGACTAGTGTCTACGCTCTTCGCCATGGATTTATTGTGTTCTTCTGAATCAGAAGCGGTTGCCTGCGGCGCAGAAGGTATGTCTGTTTCCTGTTGTTTGCCGAGGGACTTTTGAGAAGTGTCGTCTTGGTTGCGTTCTTCTGAATCCAGTTGTGAAGCTGATCGTTCGTCCTTGATGTCAAACGGAGTCCATGTTGAAGCCTCGCTAATAGGTGTATCTTTTCGTTCGGAAGGTGTGTGTTTCTGGTTCAGGATCATCTCCGCGTTGTTCTGGTCCTGCTTCCCTGGCACCTCGTTCTCCTTGCCCTCGGCAGTTGCATGAGACGCAAGAGGCGCTTGAGACGCTTGAACGTTACCGGTCTCGGTGAGAGGGTGAGTGGGCATAGCAAACTCAACATCTCCCTCCGGGCTCTCGCCACGACGGGCACGCTTGTGACGATCTGACGAGACTCGACCATGATCGTCTTCCGCATCGGCCTTGCTCTTCTTGTCTTGTACATTGTCATCCGGGCGGACAATCGGAATCGCTTTTGATCTCTTAGATGCCTTCGATGACTGAGATAGATCGATGTCGCCAAAGATCTTGGTCCTGTTGGGTGAAGGCTGCTCCGAAGCGTTCGAGTTGACACTTGCGGATGGATTGAAGGCAGGTGCGGCGACGTTGAAAGAGGCCGACGAGAATTTGAAATCGCCAGATGGGGCAGTCTGGTGGTTGGCGCCTCTAGCCCCACCGGGCGTGAATGCAGGAGCAGTGGCATTGTAACCATTTGCATGCGGAAGCTCCGAGTTGGCTCCAAAGGTAAATCCAGACTTCCCCATGCCCGAGAACTGGAAAGCATTGCCTTGGGACGGGAAGTTTTGCATGGTCGACGCCCCCATCGGATCGAACTCTCTCGCCTCAACGTTCAGTGTTGATGTAGAGAGCTTCGATTTGTGACCACCGACGAATGAGGTTGTGCTTGGCTTCGGCTCATGCCAGGGAATGTTGTCTGCGAGCGGGCCATGTCCATGAGGGACTCCGGACAGGCTAGGATTGGTGTCGATGTCGGACCCTTCGTTAGTATGATCATGCATGTAATTCTCACCATAGAACTGCTGCAGATGCTGAGGCACACGTTGCATGCTATGATGATCATTGTTCGGCAACGCCCATCGCGATTGGTAAAGTTCCGAGTTGTTCATATTGTTTCGGTCGTCTTCATCAAGCTGCCTCTCTATTGATTCCTCCAAGTGATAATCTGACGGGCCAGCTTGGTCCAAGCCCTTTTGGAGGGTTTCGCTCAGGTTATGACCACGGCTATGACCACGCGGTGTCGGCTGGGCAATCTCCACAGTTGATGCGTGGAAATGGTCAGGGGTTTCGGCTCGGGGATGAACAGGATGCAACATCTGACCGGCAGGCATACTGTCCTGCATCTGCATGCCATGATCAAAGTGGCCAGCAAACGAGTCCTGTGATGGCCGTGATGGTTCGTCCAGGCCAGGGTGAAAGACGCCCTGATCATGTAACGGTGAAATCGGTGATAAGATAGACGTCATATTGGGCAAATTGCCAGGAATGGTTGAGGCAACGCTGCCTTGATGAACATTGAAGAAGCTCTGGGGAGTAAGAGCGCCCTGAGCGGGAGGAGTGGGCTGGAAGGGGATGTACCCCGGTAGGAGACTCTGGTCCACCCCCAGGAATGGCGTTTGCACCCCGAACTGCGAGGCTGGAGACGCCAACGACGCGATACCGTTGCTTGCATTTGCAGACTGGTTGAAGTGAGGAGAAAAATGGTGAGGAACGGAAAGCGCATTACTAGCTGCCGATGCTGTAGGGATCGGGGGTGATGCAATGAGCCCGGGGAAGGGAGCCGCCATTTGACCCAGAGCAGCAGAAGCAGGGGAGATGGATGGCGGCACCTCTTCATCGCCAAGGGAAACCCCTAGCGCCCGTAGCTTCTCTTCCTGGAGCCAATTGACGTAGGCATCCCATTCTGCTCTGTCCGGGAAGCTGACATGGCATTGTACAGCTTCACGATCCTCTTGGATGTCCTTGAAGTCAGGGAAGGACGGGCGACTGAGACCGCCGAGCTCAAGGGTCGCGACATCTTCTGGTCCGTCTTCTGGTCCGCTGATGGTGAAGCCGCGGATATCATAGCCTTCCTCCTCCCATTTCTTCATTCGTTGTTCCACATCATGGACAGTCAACAAAGGATACCTAGACTCCTCAGTACCTCTCTTATCTTCAAAAGGAAGGGCGATAATGCAAGCTTTCCCGCGCCAGTTGATTTTCTTCCTAAATCGAGGGGTTGGTGTAGGTAATTCCTTGTCCAAAGCTGGCTTTTGTGGCGCTATCGGGTTTACCGAGCTTTCAAGTGGTTGGGATATTGACGAGGGCTCATGATCAGCCTCTGCTGGTGGTGGAGGCAACGGCTTGTCAGCTGGTGACGGGGCCTTGGGAGGCTCTACCTCCGCTGGAGGTTGTTGCTGTTGTGTCTCTATTACTTCGGTCATTGTGGATGGCTGGGGATCTTTGTCGTATGCGAATCCCCAGAAGTCTTCTTGTCGGAGCGTGTCCGCTCGTTTGTGCAGGGAATCTTTGAGCTTCTGGCGCGCAAGGCTACTTTCGCTGTTCCCAGCAAGAGCTCGTCGGCTCACAAAATCGGCAAGGGTGGGCGTTCTCAAGATGTCCTCGTCGCGCGTGTCCTGCTCCAACCCAAGCCAGTCGTCGGAAGCGTCGTCTGCGAAATGATTCTGCGCAGTGAAGAACGAGGGGGCCTCACTACCGGAGTCGTCGCTCAACCAGTTACTCCGCTCCGTGCGAGGCTGTCCCGAGAGATATTGATTGATCCAATCCTGGGTGAAATCCTTGATTGATTTGCCTCCTCTTTTGCCGAATAAGTCTCGTCTAGGAGAACGATTCCGCGGATTACCCTGTGGGTGACGTGACGTCTCCGCGGCGGAAGGTTTCAGGAAATCCGTGGTGTTCACCTCAGAGCCGTGATATATACCACTACGCACCGAGGTTGGAGAGCTCGCGCCTGAGTCTCGATCGATGCCGGCGAATTGGCTCAAAGACCACGAGAGCCTCCGGGGACTGGGTGCGGCGTACGGAGAGCCCCAAGCTGTTGTATAGTAGACACTGCCCTCCTTTTCTCGAGTCTCGGGGGATGAGGTGGATGATTCCCAGGCCCCGTGCAGCTTCGGGAGAGTGGGGAGAGCTGTCGTTGGCGGGTTTGGGGTAACGCTATCGGTCCTTGGTGGGTTCTGCGGGCCAGGGGAACCGGAGGTCGAGAAACCCGACACTCCTGAGGATCCAAAGGACGGTATAAATGAAGCGACCAGATGCGAATCGTCGCGCAGACCGTTCGAGATGGCGATAGAAGGTAACGGCAGGGTAGTCGCTGAATTGGCGGAAGATGCGGACAGATCTCGATCTAAGAATAGAAGAACATTGAAGATTTAGCTACTTGGCCCCTGTATGACGATGATCTGAGAGGGGGAAGGGAACAGCAACCCATGCAATCTGACTCAACATCAAGGGCAATTGACATGGGGAGAAAATCACTGCGTAACACACACACCTTCCGTGTCGACACCTGCAGCAAGCACTTGCTTGCTGCTCCCCTTATCGTCCAGAATGTTGAAGCATGGAATATAAACAACTGAGATCGAAGACCAGCTTGTAGATTGATTTCACCTCAGATCAACGGGTAGGACAAAAGGAAATCGAGCCGTTGAGGGAATGAGGTGGAACTGCGGCTCAAACGACGAGATAACGTGCTTGGGAGGGAGGGGAGGGTTTCTTCAGGGAGGGGCGTTGTCAGAAAGAGAGGAAACCAACAGTGATAGTCAAGGAAAAAGGAAGAAGATGAGCGACAGGACAGATTACAGGCACCTAGGGTATGCGAAGACCTCGGACCATGGCGCATCCACGAAGGAGAGAGCTGGGGTGAGGAGAGGAAAAGGAATCGAGACTAACCACAAAGTCGGAGAAAGTAGTAGATACTAGATAGTATCTAATAGTTAGGCTAAGGGGAAGAGGATAGCCAACTTTTTTTTTTGTCTCTCTTTCTCTCTCTCTCTCTCTCTCTCTTCTCTTGAACGTCTTGGCTTCGTTGAGCTAAGTCATGTCATGATCAGCAAAGGCAAAAGCCAAAAGAAAAAGCAAAAAACGAAATGCAAATGAAAAGAGCTGTAGAAGCGCCAGAACGACACAGGAAACTAGCAGAGGAGATGGGTTGTCGTCGAACAGGCCATTGACACATTTGAACCTCGAAGCTGTTGGGGGGAGACTTTTTTTCTGCCAGGTAGGGGGGGACTATCAACTCCGTAGAACAGCGTCAGTCCATGAGAACCACCAGTTACAACTACGGAGTAGGTAGATACTATCCAGTATTCCAGCTAGGTCTCGACCCGATGACTCTACTGATCTTGATTCTCCAAGAATATCTAATATACTTGCAGACTTGCACTGATGATGCGGCATGCCTAACCGTTTTGTTTACTACCTTACTTACAGCTACAGCACACCTAGCTTGCCTCGAATAATACTAACTAACTATACTAGCGTTGACCGCCATCTCATTTCAGTACCCAGCGGTAATCCTCACAGAGTATGGACTATGGAGTATCTACTTGACTACGGAGTAGTCAATCTGCCATGGAGCATTAGTTTCAGGGGTGTCTCATCTCATTTTAAAATCTTATCCGTCCCGATGATATCAATGAAGGTTGCTTTGACTGCTATCAAACACGCCCTGACGGGTCGCGTTCTCGATTCAGGGGTAAAAAGTACGCTACGAACCACGGTTCTGCTCTCGCCCGCAACGGAGGACGGGACTCAGGGAGACGGCCTGAATACGTGGTTCCCTACGGAGGGCGACGGCCGAGACAACGGATTGATCTTGTTGTTGTGTGCACAAGCTGACTCAGCCATCTATGTGGGAAATGTGCATGCGCCACTGGACCATCTTTGTCGCACTTAATGTATCTACTCTACTCAATTACCCTTTAAGAAAAAAAAAAAAAAACACATATTTTGTTCACGAAGTCCTCAAGAGCATAATGGTATATCCGATTGGTATTGATATCATACAGAGAATAAAGGTCCACCGGGGATTCTTCACACTTGTTGCGCCCACAGAAAAAGCCTATAGCTTATTTACTTGTTGCACTTGAGATCGAACTTGACCTTGCGATCCGCGGAGAAGGCACCCCAGTGCTTCTCGTCCTGCATCTCGCCGTTGTCACCCTTGGTGTCGGGCTTCCAGGCCTCATCGAAGGCCTCGAAGTAGAAGACATCAATGCCCCAGTCAAGGATGCCGCAGACAGCAGACTGATAGTAGGTGGCCGCATTTTCGGTGCTGGCCACGGCGGGGCCGTAGTTGGAGCCACCAGCTGTGAGAATATTAGATCCAGTTCGTCGCCCGAGTCGATCAGCAGCAATGCGGAATAACTTACTTGTGGGCCAGCCGGTTTCACCGTTGCCAAAGCGGATCTTGTCTGGGTTAGGAGCGACCTTCTCAATGTGCTCCAGGGCCTGAGCCATGTCATCGAAGTAGGTGTTGGTGGCATTGCTCAGTTCCTGGCCTTGCCAATAGGCGAAGCCGTTGGCCAGGCTACACGACCAGTCAGCCATGATCCATTCCACTCCAATATAATTGCCTGATGATTGGGGGAACAAGGGGACTCACATGTAGTTCACACCACCCTTGATGATGGGATCGGCCGTGCCATCCGCGATCTTGTTCCAGCTGTCCACGAATCCAACAGTGACCTGAGGGAACTCGTTCTGGACCTGCTGAATTCTCTTGAGCAGATTATCGGCGGTGAGGCCCTTTCTGTAAAGGACCTCGGAACCGACTGTGATGGCATCGACGACATCTTCGTTTCCGTGGACGGATGCCTTCAGGGCGGAGAAGTCCTGGTTGAAGGATTGATCGTAATCGGGCCTGATAAGGACAAAGAGATACGGTTAGAGTCTGAACCATCTGACATAAGAACGCGTAATGATAAGGGTCGAAAGCGTACCAGACACCCAGGACGACCTTGAACTGCTTCGCCTTGGCCGCGGGGATAATGTTCTTCGCCGTGTCGCAGTCACTAGCAGAGTACGTGCGGACGAGGGTGGTCACGCCCTTCAGCGCATCGAAATCCTTTTCGTAGTCCGATTGGGATTTGCAGCTGCTATCCGCATTCTTGTTGCCCAGTGCGAAACCCAGAGTTCCCTGCTTCGAGGCAACAGCAGTACCAGCTGCCAGAGCGATGGGGAGCAAAGTAGAGACACGCATTTTCTATCTGGTCTATTGGCTTGATGTGAAGTAAAAAAAAAAGAGGAGCGAGAGTGATGGAAGACAAGAACAAAAAAAGACTTGATCTCGATTTTAAAGAAAGGAAATAAGAAGGGACTGATTGTAGCCAAAAATAAACAGGGACCAGGAGGGACAGGAATGACGGACAACGAGGATATAAATACGCAGATCAAAAGTCAGTCAAACAATAATTTAATTCACTTCAGTACGTCGAAGGAAAAAGAGAATGTGGAGTAGTTGGGGATTATTGTTTGGAACGGGGGCAAGTCAAGAAGCCGAAGTTGCCTCCTGACAGAACTAGAAGAAGAAGAGATGGATGGGCTTTCGTGGACGGTGGACCATCGCCATCCTCAGGCCTCAGGTATCGAGGATAAGGTAAGTACGGAGTAAACCGTAAGGACGGTATCTTAATCTAGGTAACTAAAGTTGACTAAGGCATCGATCCTGTGTTTCACAGCCCGCATCCACCACTGCCATTATTTACCATGCTGTGTCACCCAATCCTACGTCTCAGTCTGTTTGCCAGGCTCCGAGTGACCCACGCGTGGTACCTGGGTTTAACGTTAACGGGGCAAGGCTCTCCGGCGATCCCTATAATCCTTACGGTCTCTGCTTTCTGGGCGCATCGGGTGAGACCTCCACAGCGCACAGGGGGCCTTGGATCTTGGACTCTTGGGACCGAGACACCGAGTAAGTCGTTGAAGGGAGGGCCTGGAACCCTGTCCCTTTAAAAAGGGACGACAAGTACAATGGTGACTGGCGAGTCTGAAGTCAGGACAACGATTCTATTGCATATTTGATAAAGGGAAGCTGTCAGGGACCACATCTTCACTGAGGAAAGCCCCCCCCCCCTGTTCCTTTGCCCTCACAGTTATCATTAACGATAGTACTTCCGCCACCGATGTCGCGCGCGTAATGATGGATGGATCTTCTCTCGATCAGTGGAGTGTATCTGTCTGGCCACTGTACGGATACACATCACCAATCTTCGATGCAAAGGGTCAATGATGTCACATGGGTCGAATAAGAACGCATACATTGAAATGATCCAACCCTGGACCAACAAACAACGGGAGAACCAAAATGCGGACATGCTGAGGAAAATTCCATTCTGTCCTCAAACTCAACTTGGGGATTATTGCCTTTCCAACCGAGCGTGTCCGGTCTAGCCTTGCCCTTCCAAATTCGGCCACATCCAGACGTCGCGCATGCCGAGAATTTTCCATCCGACCGTCGGGGATGCATCTGATTTTTTTTGGCTTTCGACCAGCTCCCCGACCCGCAGCCTTGTGTCCCTTAGTTATCGATAATGGTCTTCGCCTGTCCCGGGGTGATACTACGTCCGGTTATATTGTTGAATTTGGTACTGATGGCCACCCACCGGTTGTTCTCCCATTGAGAAGCAATTCTGTGGAGAAGTACCACATCCTCTAGGGTGAAATTTTCGTCGATATAGTATATCCTCTTAGTCTTTGAACGGGGGTTGTTGCGCGCTTCCGCATACTCACCCTCGCGGATCTGTCCAGACATGGAGTCAGTTTGTCTTGCCAATCAGGAAGGCATGAAGGTGAATCCAACAGTGTGCCCACTCACGTCGCCATCTGTGACAAAATGATTGGCAAAGGATACCATTCGCTCTGGTTCTCCATCAGACTCGCTGATACTGAATTCAATGTCACCATATTCATCACCCATTTTCTGCTGAAAGCGCTGATGTCCAAGTTCGGCAAGCTGGAATGCTTTTTGGATATAGGAAAACCGCTGTTTCAAGTCCGCAATTGACCTATCACCCATTGTAACGGATATCCATTTCCAAGATAGTCCGCGGGACTTGAGTCGACAAAGAAGCTTGTCTTCTTCGAAAGACCACTCAGAGGCCCCGTTGCTACCTATGGCTCGGTCAGCTGGTTACACTTATTCTTACTGATTTCAAACAACAATCACCTGAATGATTGTTGACAAACCCAACTGGTGGTGAGGCTCCTGGCACCGTGACAGTGTGCTTCGAAACAACCTTTGCACGCTGCCACGGGTTAGAGCGACTCATGGAACTGACACAAGAAAGAGAAGGGTCATAGCACGGAAATAGATAGGATACCCTTCTCGCATCAGTAGCCAGTAATTCCTCGCACAATGCGCTTGGCTTGAATATGGACGCCAGAGGGATACGAAACGGTATGCCGTCGACCACGAAGACGGGCATTGCAATTGTTGCTAAACCCATACGTGATTTCAAATTTTCTGAAGCAAAAAGACTCCTCACGGCTTCATATTATATCAAGTTTGACGCTTGAGGATTTGCGTTGGCTCATGGTTTACGTTTGAGCCGAACAGCTACCTTTTATGAAGAAAAAAAAAAGTAACACCTCAAGCTGGGCCTCAGACGTGCTTCCTGCCTTATATGGACAGACTTATCTCTAAATTGACTTCGTAGCAAGAACGTTCCATGTCCCGAAGAAATACTGTCGGTATCATGTATGAGAGCCTCATGCCAGTTGGCAACGTTACGTTTGAGAGACTCCATTGCAATCCTAAGGCGGATTGTTTAGAGGTGGTCCGAGCGTCTCGAATTTCCAATGCTGTCGGAGAGAGAACACCTTGCGCGTCGGAGACCAACAATTAGGCCGAACATCACCACGAATCCGTGAAATTTCCCCTCCCACGAAACACTCGGCTTCGAAAATTGCATAGAATCGAAGCACTACTCACAATGCGATTCTCCGCAACAACTCTCTTGGTCTCCGCCCTGGGGTGGTTTTCCGCCGTCGCTGCACACAACATCCAACTGAAAGCGCACTCGAGAGAATGCTTCCACGAGGTATTGCACAAGGATGATAAGATGACCGTTACCTTCCAGGTCGGTGACAGGGAGTTTGGTGGGAGCGGAAACCTCGAAATCGATTTCTGGGTATGTACCCTGAACACTGGATGCTGGGCTTGGTTGGGCACACGGGGTTGTTGGATTGGTATCGAGGCGATCAATCAGTCAACGAACTGATTAATACAAGCTTTGGACTGACTGCTAATTCTGTTTTCGCATTCTCCAGGTCGAGGATCCTCAGAAGAACCGCCAGTACTTCAGACAAGCCGTCTCATCGGAAGACTACTCGTTTACTGCCCACGCCGACGGAAAATACGTCTACTGCTTCAGCAACGAGGGCTGGACCTCTAACTCCAAAGAAGTGTCGTTCAACGTCCATGGAATTGTCTACGTACCGGAATCTGAAATGGCTCAGGATCCTCTGGAAGCTGAAGGTGAGTGCTGCACCACGGAGTTGGGCTCGACTAGATCTGGGCAATAGCGGCTAATACGGTCGTTCCTTTTAGTTCGCAAACTATCGGAGGCTTTGGCTCAAGTGAAGGATGAACAGTCCTATATCGTCGTTAGAGAGCGGGTACACCGAAACACGGCCGAGAGCACAAACGCCAGAGTGAAGTGGTGGAGTATGTTCCAGCTTGCTGTGCTCATTGGCGAGGGCATCTTCCAGGTCTGGTGGCTGAAGAGATTCTTTGAGGTGAGTTATAGGTGATGAAATTATTCAGTTGGATATCGTACTGATATTGTATGATAGGTTAAGCGGGTCGTCTGATGTACAGCCATGAACAAGTTGTAATGGAGTTATCTCTTGGGTGATGATTTGGTGCCTTCTATTGCATTTACGATCAGAATCTTGCTTTAAGCATCTCTAAAGGAAGAGCGTGGTTCTTTTGAATGATTATATGCGGTGTTGTTAATCCAGACTCTGAGAGGCATCTCAATCAAAGCAACTGAAAAAAATTGTTATGAGATACTTATCTCAGACCACTGTCTGAATTATGATTTCTGTGGAATGCCATAGGGCGGATGCAAAATCTGTAAACTACTACTACACAGGGGTTATTGCCAATAATAATATCCGGACAGTAAAGTACTATAAACCCCGCACTGTCAATGAACCTCCAAATTGAAACTCTCATAGTTCTGTTTGCATACTCCGAAAAACTGCCCAGAGAAACATGATCAATAATCAAGCAATATTTCATGCCTGAAATCCCATAAGTGAACTCATTCAACTCGACTGCAATGGTGCATCCTTCCAGTCCCTCAATCCTAGGCCCTTCAAACCACAACCTACAAAACAAGAGCGCGGCCTTTCTGTCTGATGACCCTCTGTTCTATATCTGCTGGGGAAGACAATCCTGCAGCAGCTGTCTCAAAGGCGACGAGCCCTGTAGCTGGTGCCCAGTGGTACGTCACCGCCATCCTTCACGTCGTAAACACGCACGCAAACTGGCAATCCCAGGCCGACGGCAGATCCGGGTATCCTAGAAACCCACGCTTCAGGCACCTCGCTAATACAACTGCAGACTTCAACCTGTGTCCCTAACACGTCATGGCTGCCTATCTTGGCTCCCTTCAGCTCGTCACAGATCTGTCCGCTGGGATCGAGAGAGAGATGGGAGCTGCGGGCCGTGCCGTTCGGGTGTCATGTTAGTACGATCACGTTTTTGACCGCGTGTGGTGCGGTACTCGGGACGCTGGCTGTTGTTGCGCTGGGGGTTCTTGTCGTGCGGTTTCGTGGCAGGTTTCGCGGTTACTGGGGAGAGGGGAAGGTGCGTCGTAGGTGGCTTCGTCGAAGACCGGGTGATGGTCATCAGGAGAGCTACGGTGCTGAGAGCGAGCCGTTACTGCGATGATATTTGCTGCTTTGGCTTGAAATTTCATTTCCCTATCAATCATCTAATGGGGGCTCTTATGACGCTCTTCAAGACTTGTCATGCTAAAAAATTATTTCGCTTTCTCCTAGCCCTTGACAACCTGGCTGACTCTGTATTCGACGACAACGGGCTTGCCCGTCTCAACCACGAAGCGACCCTGGCCGACGAAAACCCGGTTCTCGAGCTCCTTGTACCGATCATCGCCGGTCTTTTTTTTCACGTTAGTGACTGCTTGCTCGAGATACATGCATCCTGCTTGCGCATCTTACCTCGAAAGTGAAATGGGTGAACGAGTTTCCGAATGGTGTCGCGCCATCCTTGGCTGTGCCCTCGAATACGGCCTTTTCGGCGGGTCCCAGTGTGACTACACCGGTGTAGTGCATGAAGAGTAGCTATACAAGGTCAGTCTGCGGTTTTATTCTCCACTGTGCGTCTGGAGTCGTACGGCATCATCCTTGGTCCTGTGTATAGTCAGTCAGCAAGAATCTCAATATGTCCCGCTTGAAATACGAACTTCAGGACACCATGAGCATTCAGCCGCAGGTGCTTGTTGTCGGGGTCCGCATGGATGTAATCGTTGCCGGTACCAACGAACTCGGCGTCAAGGGCAAGGGAAGCGTCTGGAGCGCTTTTGACAGTACCCCCGGTCATGGGCTATGATCAACGCAGTATTGGTTAGAAAGATGTCTCGCGGTGAGTCGGCTCTTGACGGCAGCTTACCACGACCTGCAGGCTGTTCAAGCGGGAGGCACTGCCTTGAGAGTAATCAGCATTGCTTTTGGCGATGAACATTAGGTCTCTGGAGCTTACCAACGGCGAACCCAGCGTCAATTGCAACCTGCCCCAGTGTCAACATTCATATCTGAGGTAGTATGCCGTTGGGGTGGGCAAGCTTGCTAACTGACCTGGACCGTAAAGGCAGGCTGGAGAGAAGGAAATTCAGCCATGATGAATTGATAGATTCGATATATAGTGAGTGGTAAGTAAGACAAAGTCAAAGACAAGATACCACAATACAGTGTCTCGTTGCACAAACAGAACTCGATAGCTTCTGAGGGGATGACTCCCACTTCTAATAAACACCGTCATATGAGGTGAGCCCCGCACCCTATGATGAATTGATGATAAACCTTAGGGAGCTTTAGTGGCTCAACGGATCGCGGATTTAGCTCGGCCATTGTCCTGCCTACAGATCTACAGCTCGATGATGATACTTGTGTACTTTCTCTCATCTGAAACATTTGATATGGATTCATTTGTCATTTCTGTCGCAAAGCTCTTGATAGATAGTCAGGAAGCATACAGATTACAGAATATCTTGCAAGCACAAGTACAGCCTAGTTGAGTACTCTCCGTGGTCGGATCGACACCCCACATGTAATTCCCATCAATAAAACCTCAACATGGACAACGATCGGATCTATTGCAACTTAGTAAGTTGTCAATCCTTCAAAACGAATATCGAAACACTGGTGTACTACTAAGATCATAAGATGCATTCGTGTAGATTCGAAGGGTCTATGACCCCCAGGGTCCTTCGCCCACCTACACTCTGACCAAACAGTCCTCAGTAATAGCGCACGTGGGAATAGTTCACTATGATTTCTTTTGATGCTGTTAAGTGGGAGGTTGAGTCACGAGACAGTAACGGGAATGCTCGCGTGTCAATCGGTATCCTCAAGATTAGCGAAGATAAAATGGCTCCCATCAAGTTATTCAGACTGCTATTTAACATTATTCGAACTATCACCTCTCCCATAAACTCGAACGGTCTAAGGAAGAAGAACGGTAGTACTTACCGAGGAGACTTTGCCCGATTAGGCGAGGCAGCCGTTGGGAAACATCATCAGTGACGTTGGCGACGGGTAAGTAGACTGACCTATCTGTAGTGCGCGACAAATAATTCCATACCTTACCGCTTCCATCCACCACCTTCATCTTTGGTCCGCGATCAATGTTTCAGGTTCTTTCTGACGGATGATCCCAGGTTGATTTCCCGCATCGTCGGGACATCATTCCTACCACACAAAGCATCAATGGTCCCAACGCTTCTCCTGCAGGGTATCCTGATTGCCTGTACATGTGCATTCCCAGTCTTCGAGCAACAACCGCTGGGCTTGGAGCCTCCGCAATCCAATGCTGATTCTGATGGAGTGAATACAATCAAAAAGCTCCCGCGAGGGCTTCAGGGGCGCTTCCTGCATATAACGGGTAAATTTTCCCGCAGCTGTGTACCGTGACATGCGAATGCTGGGAAATTCTGGGATCGATCATTAATATGTTCTTCTCTTCTCTAGATTTTCACCCTGACCCGCATTACAAAGTTGGAAGCTCTAGTGAGGATGGTGACCCGTGCCATCGAGGCAAAGATCGCACAGGCTCTACTGGGTACTTTGGTGCTGCAGGGTCGGACTGCGACTCGCCATTCTCCCTCGTCAACGAGACATTCAGCTGGATAGAGAAGAATCTGAAAGACAGCATCGACTTCGTCATCTGGACTGGAGATTCTGCTCGCCATGATAATGACGAAAAGGTCCCACGCACGGAGGATGAGGTTGTTCGCCTGAACGAGATTCTGGCAGACAAGTTTGTCAATGTCTTCAAGGATAAGCGACTCCCCAACGGGCTTTCCATTCCGGTCGTGCCTACGTTTGGGAACAATGATATCATGCCTCATAACATATTCAAGGCTGGACCGAACCGCTGGACAAGGAGGTTTGAAAACATCTGGGGTAAATTTATACCAGAGCATCAGCTCCATACATTCGTGGAAGGTGGCTGGTTCACCAGCGAGGTCATCCCGGGCAAATTATCGGTCATTAGCCTGAATACCATGTACTTCTTTGACTCCAACTCGGCAGTCGATGGGTGCGCAGCCAAATCCGAGCCTGGATATGAACACATGGAATGGCTTCGGGTTCAACTTCAGTTAATGCGCAACCGTGACATGAAGGCCATTCTCATTGGACATGTACCTCCCGCTCGGACGGACAGCAAGCGGAATTGGGACGAGACATGCTGGCAGAAGTACGCGCTTTGGGTTCATCAATATCGTGACGTGATCGTTGGTAGCGCCTATGGTCATATGAACATCGACCATTTCATCCTCCAGGACCATCACGAGGTGGATATTGCTGATAACAATGAGGATGCTGTATCCACCAGGACATCAGAGGACGCTACTGGAGACATCTCGATCCAGTCCCGATCAGGCTATCTCAATAGTCTCAGGAAAGAGTGGACTAAGATGCCATCACCGCCAGCCGATACATTCACAGAGAACAGCTCAGCGGGCGATTGGTTCTCGGAGGATGCGACGTCTGATGACATTGAAGACACTCAGGCCGGAAAGTCCAGGAGAAAGAGATATCGCCGATTCTTGAAGAAGATTGGTGGAACCTGGGCTGAGCGCTACAGTGTTTCGCTTGTGTCACCGAGCCTGGTTCCCAACTATTTCCCCACGTTGCGGGTCGTCGAATACAACATCACTGGCCTTGATACGATTAACGAGGCCGAATATTCAACCGTTAGTGATATCTCTGGTCGCTCAGCTAACGAGGTTGAGGAAGATCCAATGGACTCTGAGCCGACACAGGATCTGGGTGTGAAAGACAAAGGAAAGGGAAAGAAGAGGAAGGATAAAAAGAAGAAAAAGAAGAAGAAGCCATCATTCAAGGTTCCAGAGCCCCCGTCCTCCACTGCACCACCGGGGCCGGCATATTCGAATCAGCCATTGACATGGCTCGGTTATACTCAGTATTTTGCAAATTTGACAAGGATTAACAATGAATATGCCAAGCAACATTATCTGTTCGCGGAGAATTTGATTAGCATCCCCGAAGGAGATGGGGTCAACATGACAGGGTACAATAACCCTTTTGCCTTCGAGGTTGAATACAACACTAGAACAGACAAGGTCTACCGACTGGAAGATCTTACTGTTCGCAGTTATTTCAAGCTGGCCACTCGGATAGCAAAGTCCGAAGCTGGTCAGAGCGAGGTATCGGAAATAGGGACGTCGATCAATGCTACTGATGACGATATTGAACGAGTTACGACGAAACAAAAGTGGAAGAAGACTCGAAACCGAGCATGGGAAACATTTCTAAAACGCGCATTTGTTGGATACTATAAGAGTGGTGAGGTCGATGAGGACTAATGGGTTCTCCTCCGTTTATAATATTTCCATTTTTGGTCCGTGAGTTGTGGATGATTTTCGACATCGTGTATATATTTATAGTTCCTATTCTCCTTCCTCTCCAAGCCCTACCTCCCTTAGGAGAGGTTTTCGGCTTATCCTCTTAGTATATCTATTTAAGTATGCTGTTTCAATTTAAGAATCTATCAATATGAAGATAACCTGATAATCTTAGCAGTGTCCTCCATTCCCACTGTATGCCTACTACATTCGCCCAGCAGCACTCTTGAACTGACATCATACTGGCGGTGAGAAGAATGGAATTCCAGAGCTGTCTATTATCCTCGTAACGATAGAGATGAGGTTATCCTTCAGTTCTCTCAGATATTTCTGTTATTTACTAGAGTGCCCTAACACCCTAGAACTTCCATAGATTCCATAGAACATTTGTTTGAATGTAGCTGCATCAAAGTTGCACATAATAATAATGACCTTAGGGAATGCAACATTGTCAGGTGATCGATTGTGGACTAGCGGTCAAGGAAGCGGTATGGTTCTGCCTGAATATACTGTCGCAACCAAGTTGGGGGGAGAACAATGAAATCATCGCATCGTCTGGAGGGATGGTCAATATTGCTTTTATCGTCCTATTATTGTCAAGAGATAATGGCAATGTCAGATACCTCAGCGGCTCAGCCTCATATTTCTAGAGGCTGGCTACGATGCCACGCTGGCAAGTGCCTTTGCCAGTTGTCAGTCGTCAGGTTGGCCCCGGGCCCCCGTGCGACAAATTGCCTACGATGAACCGCATGGGCGCTTGAGACCACAACGGTTTAGGCTTTCTTGTCTTACCGTCTTACGGGGTTCCCAGCGGGATAAGCACAGGGGTGGACCTATGAAATATTGATCAAATAGACATCGAGTCCGCGATTAACTACGATACCATGTTGGAATTTCAACCAGCGGGGATGCTTTGATCACCATTAGCACCCAAAGAGAGGCTTGGTGGCAGCGAGATCCACCGTGTCGACTCGCAATGTCCCTATCAAATCATCCCGCTGGAATTAAAAGCTGCAAGGCAAGGAAAATCAGCAGTCGGGCTCTGACACGTATCGAGCTAATGAGCGCGCCGCCCCATTCGTGCCGCATGGCTCGCTAGCTGGGAGCAATTTGGGCTTCGGACTCGTCTGCCAGCAGTCACTGTAAAATCATAATTGCCACCTTTGTTGCCCATGTCAAGAACTATGGAGTAAAAAGCGGTGCTTATGACGAAAAAGCATCTCTGCTCATCGTCGCGACTGACTTTCTCCGATCCCTCGGGTCGTCATTATTGAAAAAGAGAGGCAACTGGACATTGGAGTGATCCGTGCCCGGTGACGGCCTGAATGCCCTTTCGGAACAGGGTTGCAAATCTCTTCTTCCAAGCGACGATATTAAGTCGTCTCGGCCTTCATGGGGCTTTAATTAGCACTACTTTAACCACAGTGGGCTTCGCTCGCCAGATTGCTCTACTCTGTCCAGACTCCAAACCTACAGGCGCACTGCTAACTTACGAACGTGAAGAAAACTCCCTTGCTTCATTACTTGTTCAGTATCTTCAATTGCTGAAGAAGCATGCAGTGAGCTAAACGCGTGTTTTATGCTCAATTGAACCGGTCAATTCAGCTTCTGGCGTGGCCATCTGCTTCATGACATAAGGGAACAACAGCGTGATAACTTTACGTTCAATTGACTGTCAGCATTGTATCTGGCAAGGACACAGGTTTCTGGGTATCATTGCGCACGTTCAGCGACTCGCGATGCATCTTGTTTCCCTTCAGCTCTGCCAACCCGACCCTATCGCCATTCGCCTATCTGCGCTCGATCAATACTCTGTTTACGCCTTGCATTGTTATTCGGACGTCTTGTGACAATAATTCAATTCCTATGGAAACTAGGAATTTGACCCATTGTCGTTTGCGAAGCGGGCATCTGTCAGCACAACCGTCTTGATACTCTCGAAGTCTTTCCGAACTCCATTGATTGCTTGGTTTAGCAGTTTTCGACAACCAGCGGTATTGTATAACAAAATTCCCACATATCAGATCCCCCGAGAGGTCGAATTATTCGCTGTATATATAATATTCTCTCTCTCGGCAGAGATATTGACTTGAAGAGGCGTCTGCATAATATCGGTCAGGCTGTTGGCTCGTTCCGGAGGTGGCCTGCATGAGACAGGAAACAAACACGAAAGCCAGCTCTACGAAGGGTGCTTTGCAGCAATTTTGGCTAAGCGCTCGCAGCGGCCAAGCCGAATTCGTTCAAATCCGGCGCTTGACATGATCTTTGAGAAAACGGCGTTTGGCTGATCTACTGTTCGTTTGCGCGCGCTTCCAAGGTAAGCTCTTCTTCTACTCCAATGCTGTTTTATCGGTCCCGCTTTTCCCAAGATGGGACCTCGAGTGCAATTGTTATGTGTAATTTTGTATAATCGAGAAGCATTGCTCCTTTCTCCAGAACTGTGCTGAATATGTGCGCCGAATCGGAGACCCACCAGCCATCAGAGCTCACCATGGACACGGCTGACTTCCATGATGATTGTGCTCTGATAGATACCGAGTCTCTAGAACTTTGGATGGCTTCCTCCGAGGTTGACCAGAAGGCCTTGGGCAGCTTTGCTGCCATCACAAGCCTGGATAATCCATTCTTATCGGCTATGTTATACCGAGTCTTGGGCTTATCGGTCATGCTGTCAAAGAAGCTTCTTCGTGCACGAAGACTGCGACGATTGGATCCCACCCGCGAAACAAAGTCTCTGCAATTATATCACCACATTATATGGCTCTCCCGCGAGGGTCTTTTGATCCTGGAGGAATTTGTGCTTCCCATGGTCGAGGCATATGTGGAGTTGAAAATTCTTGCATACAAGCTCCGGGCATCTTTCTACCACATATTCGTCCTATTCCACAACCAACCCACAATCCACTCTCCTGGTCTCCCTAGTCTTTGGAGCAACTCTACCGGACCAAGCAGTGCAGTCAGAGCAGAAACACCGTCCACAGATCAAGGCTCAAGGTTCTCGTTCAGCTCGAAACCTGAAGTGATTCCGGTTCCCGAGGATGTTAGCGTACATGGCAAGGGGGTGACGCGGCGAAAAGTGACGCAAGCCCCTCCTGGCCTTGCACCGGTTCAACCGCCGAAGGCCACCTCCTCCTTCCTCCTCCCTGTCCTCGATTACACACCCACAGCTACGGCATGCTTCAACCACGCCGCCCTTTTGGCAGAGCAGTTCCTCCCCGGATCACATCCCTTGCGGCTGTCAATCAAGCTCGAATATGCTGCATACCTATATGACTGTCTCCACGACCTCCACGCCAGCCGAAGCTTGGCAAAGCAAGCTATTGCGGATGTCTACAACGCGCAGGAGGGCATGGACGATGAGAGCTTTGAGGATGCAGCCGAGATAGTCCGGATACTCGGCAAGATGGTCAAGCGGGCGGGCAAAGGCAGCAGCAGTACGGGGCCGAGCAGCTCATCTGCAGGAACGGTAAGAGGCGATATTTCTCAAAGCGAGCGCAGCCGGACCCCGAAAGTTAGAAAATCCGTCTCACAAGCGACAACAATGACTTCCGTCTCACCAGCTCCGGTGACCCAGTCTCCGAGTAAGGCCGAAATGCCTCCAGCGATACCGAATCCAACCATGTTGAATCCGATATGAAGAGACTAGTGAGAAATTGTTGAATGATGTTGCGAGTTATGATGACTATGAAGATTGACGATGACGATGAGCGTTCTTGTCAATACGAATTTACTCGCTTTTGGGGAATCGGGTCACCTTCCTGGCAGTCACACTTTTGATTTACTATAATATTGGCATTTTTCCCCTTCTTTTTTTCCTTTGCGATTTCTTTTCTTGTTGGTTCCCCAGTTGTACCTATCACGGCTGTTCCGAGGCTGTGCTGTCACTTTATCCTTGTATTTTTGTACAAACTATCTGTTTTGGAGGCCATCTGCATTTTTGGTGTAACTACTGATATCTCCTTTTCTCACTTTTTTTCAAATTCCAGCTCCATATGTCCAGTGAAATACCACCATCGAGGTGTTGACCGAGTATCTGTGATGCGATGACTCTTGACTACTATTATTCCCGTTGCCTGAGGCTACATAACACAGGATCAAAGTTCGCCCGGCCCGAGTCAACGGGTCACTTAACCTTCGTGACATACCCCAAACAGGAAGGCGGCAGAACGTGCAGCGGAAAATTCCCCCCCGAAAGTCAAGTTTAGTCAACGGTAGAACCTAAGGGATTGGAATTCGATTGCTGATTGATGATCCCTTTGAGATCTATCTGTCTGACTCTCGAGGCATTGCCCGTTCATGCACGTCTTGAGGAGCTTGGTGCCTGTCTATCGTGTCGCTTGACCCCGAGTCCCGCTGCATGATCTAACCAGGACCCGTGGTCAAATCAATCGCGTCTTCATAATATCATCGCCTTTTTTTTTTTTCTTTCCCCCTGTGGTTGAAACTTTACGTTGCAACGAGTCGTCCCTTTACGTCATCCACACGGGCATCAATTCCTTGCGACTCCGGTCGCATATTGGGTGTCGCAATTCTCAGGCTACCATCTGCATCTGTGGCTTGGCTGTCAGAAAGATCTACTTCTTGTCTTTCTATACTTGTCTCTCGCATCATCGCGCATTCTGTCCGGTACTAATCCTCTCGTTGCTGGGGTTCGCCTGTTGCAAGTCCGAACACCAATAGCCCCCCCCCCCGCTAATCGACTGACCATCAACAAAACCCAATAACACTGAAGAGGTAACTACAAGTACAAGAATAGATCGACAAGGCTGCGATTTGCGCATCATTGTTCTCTACTAGGCTACAGGCACCAGCATCTTGGTCGCTTGACCTACACTCAAATACCTTTTTTTTTTTTTTTTTTTTTTTTTTTCATCTCGACCCCTCTTGTATGGCAATGAATCTGCCCGCTCTGGAACTTCCTCAAACAAGCACAAAAATCCCCTCCACTGTGAAGAATCGTCGTCGTTAGAAGAATCGCCCTAGTGCGAAAAGTCCATGAGTGGTGTATGATGCGGTCGGGGCTTCGGAAACCCGGCGCGATTCCGTTCATTGCGCTCATTCTCTTTTCGATTCTTAGCTTGGTGCCGTCGCTGGCTAAGGAATGGGACTTTTACAACCTGCAAATCGGTTATCGTGGTCTGAGCCGCAATGAAGTTCGCCGTATGTGGTTTTATGTTCTCTCCGAGATCGCAACGTTTGCATGCTGACAAGCTGGACCCGGCAGACCTTTCTCCTATGAAAGACGGCTCTATCGATGTTCGACCGAGGACTCGCTCAACCGGGCCGCAGTGCAAATCATGGCCTGATTGCAAAATGCGTCCGCGACGGGCATCGTCGGTCGCCTCGCCTGTGAGCGCAGTTGAAAGGGTCACTATCATCGATAGTGATCCTATCCCACTGGCCGTCACAAAGCCGTCGAGCCTTGCAAGAGGCGTGCGCGCTTTTAAAACGTTCCTTATCAAAAATTGGGACGAGTATCAGATTCCACAACCGGTGTCTACGAAGAGTGCGCCTACAGAAGCTTCTCGCTCGCTCCCGCCTTTGGCCAATTCGTCTCTAATCCCAGGTACCCACGCCAGCGAGGAGCAATCACCAATCACCAACCAATCAACGCCAGCTCCGAACCGTCTTCTTGACCAGTACCGGATACGATTTGCCTCGGGTTATCACGATGCCTGGCAGCAGGCCTGCCGCGTCACTGCTGGGTTCCTCGAGAACCTCCTCGCTTCAACTGGGGCAATATCATCACATTCGAATATCTCGATCCCCGTCTCTCAATCTCGTGCCACTCCGCCGCTTTTCATGGAGCTAGAAGACGGAGTTCGTCCGTTGATGGGGGCGATTCTGCAAATCACATCCGCAGACGTGCCTAGCGAATCCACAAATCTATTGAATGAGACGACGGCTGCGGGACAGCCGGACGTCGCCCGGGTAGATCCCGAGCCCAAGAAAATGCGCGGCAGCTGTATGGCTATCGTAATAGGCTTGGTTGCCGGTGTGATGTGGTTCTGACGGAGCACTCGATCCTACCGATCAGGAACCACCACCACCTGATCCCGATTCGCAGACTGCGTGGCTGGGCTGCACTAATTCAACATCTTATATTCGCCATGTCCATGCTTATGTTATATACAAGAGCCTTCCGACAGGGGCTGTTGTTTACCTATAATCTGTCGTATATCGGTTCCACTTTTCCCCACTGCAGAATGGTCTGTGATGGGGCTGGCTCTTGATGCTTGTGCTGCGGGTATTTCCACCTTTCGTCCCTGAGACGATTGTACATGCGCTCGTCCGCCCGTGATGCCTCATCGGGCTTACGCCTGTTACGAAGTTCCGCAGGCTCTCCAAGGGAAGGCTCTGGTTTAGTGTCCCGTGGGGATCTCGACAACGATGTGAAAGATCGGAGAATTGACTTTGTACACTACTGAGTGCCATATACAATACTATAATGTCTGTTGATCCCATTTGAGGTCTTTCGTAATGTAGCTGTGGCATATTGGTTGGAACTATTGAGACTCTTCTAGATGACGCACCTGTAATGCGTATTTTCTACCTAATTAACGAAAAACCAACTCATCCACATCCCCGTCCTAAACCTGACAAGTTGAAGTTTAAGCAACGATGTCCCTTCGTCACCAGTTGGCGACGCACGGGCCAACTTCCTTCCGACCACAGTCGCGATCCCTCACATCTGGCAAACGACGCGCAGGGACGGACGAGCATCTATCAACCTTCTTGGGTTTCCTTGGCCTGTTTTTTGATTAATTGCTTCGTCTCTCTTGCGAAGTCTCACTCGAGATCTTGTGGTCAATTCTTTCCCGACATCTTCGCCGGTACTATCAGAAAGGGGCACCGTTCAATAGCTCTGGTGTCATTCACCCTGGTAACCGTGTAGACGACGATATGAGATAGGTCAGTATAACATCTATCCTTTAAATTAATGTGCTTCTTCTGCTATGATCTGCTCGTATCATCCTCGATTCGATGGATATATAGTTGTATGGTGGAATTGGATGCAGCAATGTTGACGTGATCCCTTGCGAGTCAACTACATGCTAAACTCCGGGACTAGGGACAATTCGACGAGTTTCAGGGAAGACCCCATCACTGTGAAGGCCATAGAGCAAGCCTAGAGCCAACGACTCTGTCATGAGTACCAAGAAAGCACGAGACCGCACCCAGCCCTGCTGCGTGTGCAGGCTGAAGCGCCGCGGATGTGATCGAAAACGACCCGGTATGCTTTCTATGTATATCCCGCTCGATTACTTTCCGAGTCTCTCTCGGCAAAGGCTAATGTGGAAGATGCAGTATGCGGGCGGTGCAACGAACTAGGTCTATCAGAGGAATGTTCCTACAGACCGGAGGACATGCCCCCTCCGCACAGCTCGTCACGGTGAGTCAATCGTGCTCGTGCCCTAATCTTCCAGCGTCGGCGCAAGTCCCTGATTCTCGTGAAGCAGAGCTTCTCAGCCACAGCAGCGGTATGGCTCACTGCCCACCCCGCTGGTGGTCATCCGGTCCACTGCAGTACCCAGTTCGACGTGGGACGGGTGGTCGGCGGCGCCGCCGCGTACCGCTAACGGGCAACGGAGCCAACCGCCGTATCCGGATCCGCTTGATCTGTTTTCGTTTCGGGGTCCGCTGCGAGGGCATGCTTCGTTATCTGGACCGCTGAGGCATCATCCCGTCCAGCGGCAGAGTCAGGCTGATGATGAGGGAATGATCTCCGATGATGCAGAGAAGCAGGAGGAGGCCATCGAGGTTCTGTCCAATCGGTCGGATGAGACGTTTCATACGGCTACGCGCTCCCCGGCGCTTGACGCCGATTCTGGAGTGAACGGCGGCTCTCAGTCGTTGCAGCTTTTGCGGTTACAACAGGCTGTGGATTTGAGGACAGGCAGTGTCAAGAAGGAAGAGTCGATAAGGGATCGGCTACCGCGACTACAGCACTCGAACCTTGCGGGAGGGATACTGGGCGACGACTCCGAGGATGACACGAGGAGTTCTCCTGTTGATCTGTCCAAGGAGACTGCAGATCGGCTGGTGACTATATACTTGAATCGGGATTTGGTGACTCTACCAATCCTTAATCCGCAGGACTTCCGTTCAGCATATGAAACAGCCAGTGCCGCTGGGGCTTCTCCGCCACCGAGCGCGTTCCATGCGACCCTCAACACTGTTTTTGCTCTTTCCTGTCTCAGTGTGGACAGCATGGGTAAGGGGAAAGCGACTGACTTCTTCAAAGAGGGGCAAAGACTGGCGAAATTGGTCGACCATCACCGATCTATCGATCTCATTCGCCTATATCTTCTTCAAGTTCAATATCTCAACGCTATAGGAGATCTGCACACTGCTTGGGCTCTGATAGGGACCGCAATTCGAGTTGCACAGTCACTGCGCCTCCCGTTCCATGCGAAACAGCATGAGAACGGCAGAAAAGACCGAGAAACCGCTCGCCGGCTATGGCATGGAGCGATGATCATGGAACGGATCCTGGCGCTGCAACTCGGCATCGCGCCGCAGACGTCGGATGCGCTACGGGTTCCCCTACCCACACATTTGGATACAGACTACGTTGATCTAATTTGGGGTGGACAACAGAATGCGCAGGCCGAGCGTGCGTCCGTAGTGGAGTTCTTTACTGCCTGCGCAAGGCTGTACGCACTTGTCGATGATATCATGGCTTGGGAGGAAGAAGTCAGGATACGGCCCAACAGCTGTGCCATGAAGAAACTGCTCTCGCTAGATTTCAAGCTATTCTTGAAGGCAGACAGCATGTTGCACGATTGGAACTTGTCTTTGCCATCTTCTCTGCAAACTGGGAGGTCCCACAGCCCCGATGATCACCCCATCGTCGTTCGACAACGGAATATTCTTAGAGCTCGCTATTTGTACCTCCGGCTGCGGCTTGATCGGCCCCTGGTGACACTTGGGCTCACCCTCTCCACCAAGTGCACCTGCAAACCAGATGGACAGCCCCATATCACAGAGAGGAGGCTCTCACCGGACGCACCTGTCGCGCTGGGCTTGGTCCACGGGGCCTCCATCAAGTGTGCTCGGGCCGCACTCGAGCTGACGGAACTCATTCGTGCGAACGAAGCCGGTCTGCTCAGTCTCAACGCACCGCTTAACATCCACCATGGCCCACTGCCGCCCCACTGGGAGATCGTCGACTACCTCTACGTCTGCGGGACGATCTTCCTCGCCACCTTCAACCACCAATGTCCCTTCTTCGGAGCCATGACCGATGAGGAGGACGAACAGTGCCGGGTCTTATGGTCCCGCATGCTGGACTTGCTCGCCCGCTACGCGGAACACCGCCCGACCGGCCGCGCAAAGAACACTGCCCAGGCGTGCAGAAGCACCTTGAGCGATCTCCACGACGCCGTTGTTGATGGCGCAGAGGGAACGGGCTGGACGGGCGATGCCGCGGTGCTGGGACCAGATACCCGCAACCGGGTCTTTGGGCGCATAGAATTGGAGTCGCCGGCGCGTCAGAGATGGGCTTCGGGGGCTAGTTCGGCGGATCTGGCTAGGCGTGCGCCTGAGTTCCCCGTGTGGATGGAGAGTCTACCTGTTGATCTAGCGGAGTGATGCGGATGGATTGGAGTTGAGTTTTTGATACCCTCGTCGTCCCGCAGTATTCTAGGGAGTAACTCGTTAGATAGCCCTACAATCTGAGCGGGAAATTGGAGCCAGGTCGCGATTGTTCCAGCATATGACGCTCTTGGTTGTTGGTAGTTTCTTTACCTCGGAGTCGGTCCGACTGGAGTCTCACGAAGTATACAGCGCCCATATCAGCCATCTTGGAATCTGTTGCAAGTGCAACTGTTATCGAGTCCACCCAGGATGTAGCTATATACTCCGTACATCTTGACAGTATCCCAGCGTCCCGTCCTATCTTATTATACAATCGACTCCAATTGCAACAGCTCATCAAAGTAAACATTAACAACAATCCCTCGGCCTCCCCCCGACTAGACCCCCACGAAACCCCCAACATCGGCGCGCAGTCCGAACCCCGGAAACCTGCAAGGCAAGCAATCCTCGGGTCATTCTTCAAGCGACTTCGCGAGAAGAGAGAGAAAGAAACAGTGGGGGAAGTCTTGCGCGCTTCTTCTTCCTCTTCTTCTTCTTCTTATTCTTCGCTGGTTCTTATCTTTTCTTTTCTTTTCTTTTCTTTCTGTTCTTATTCACCATTCTCTGCATCCTTCATTCCTCGTCTACCTCCCCGACGTCGTTTTCCAGGGTAAAAACCAAACAATGCAAGCCGCAAACCGTCTTCAGCAGGCTCTCCGCACCGAGCGCGGTCTCTCCTTTGGCGCATGGCAGATGCTTCCCGGGGCGAACCATGCCCGGTTCATGGCGCGCACGGGGTATGACTGGATCTGCGTGGATACGGAGCATGGGAATATCGCCGGTTTGTTTTACCCTGTGGTTGGCAAAGGGTAAAAAAAAAAGAGAGAGAGAGAAGGCTAACGAGGGTCGCTTGGGTAGATGCGCAGATGCACGAGGCTGTGGCTGCTATCGCGGCTACGGGAGTGAGTCCGATTGTGCGGATTGCTGCGAATGAGGGGTGGATGGTGAAGCGTGAGTCCTCCCTTTTCCTCTCTTTTCTTGTTTTCCTCTATGGGAAAACTAGTGGACAAAAGGCGGAGTTGACAGGTGACTAGGGGCGTTGGATTCGGGTGCTCATGGAATCGTCGTGCCGCTGCTCTACACTGCGGATGATGCGCGGAAACTGGTCGATTCGGCCAAGTTCCCTCCCGTTGGCCGGAGGGGTTTTGGCAGCCCGTTTGCCATGGGTTCGATTGGGGGCGCTTCCTCGCTGGAGTACCTCCAGGGGGCCAATGATGCTCTGCTCACCATTGTGCAGATTGAGACCAAGGAGGCTCTTGAGAATGTATGTTTCCATTCACAACAGGGAGAGCCGACGTTGGTAAAGAAGGAGCAAGCTAATATTGTCTGGCGGGAACGACAGGTCGAGGAAATCGCCCAAGTGCCCGGTATCGATGTCCTGTTCATCGGCCCCTGGGATCTCGGAAACAACATTGGTCGTCCCGTCATGGGCGATTTCCATGAGGATCTCCAGGCCGCTATCGAGCGGATCCGCAAGGTCGCGGTGGATAATGGCAAGAGGGCCGGCATCTACTGCGTGGGTGGTCCAGCGGCGAAGAAGTACGCGGACCAGGGTTTCCACATGGCAAGTAGCATCCGATGTGCGAGCTTTCTTGCTGGGGTCACTGATTCGTCTTCTTCTCCAGATCTCCGTCGTCGCCGATGCTGTCGCGCTGCCGACATTCCTCGCCAGATCCCTCGAAATCGCCAAGGGCACCAAGACTGATGCCGCCGTTCCCACATACTAATGTTTCTCTCTTCCGCATGTCTAGCGCTTGCAGTTGGGATGAACGATGTCTATGATTTGTTGTATATATGTGAATATCAGGCCCGGCCGTTTGCGCCAACTAAGAATCCGTCTTCTCCGCTTCGTCCACTAGTTTCTCGACCTCCTGCTCGGTGAACCGGTGGAACAGCTTCTTCGGATCCGAGAGCTGATCCTTGACGACAGACTGGACGTGTAGAACCGGGACATCAAACTCGTAGACGTCCCTCCAGGGCTTGTTCTCGGAGACCATGATATCCAGCTCGGAGTAATCGAAAGGTCTCCGCTTGTGGAGCTGGGTCACGGCCTGTTTGGCGGTGTCACATAGCCCGCAGTTCGCGCGCGTGAAGAGGGTGACGCGAGCTGGGGAGAGGAGGGCTTTCGTGAACAACATGATGATGCGAAAATGGATGCGTATGATTTGCCGAGGACCACTTGTGTAGTTCTACTCCGTCGATAGAGGCTGTCTGTACCCTCTGTTGTCGTGGAGGGGGAAAAACACAAGGGAAGAAAAGACGTGGAGATTCTCTGGAACCTTCGAGCTTCACCGGCTAAACCCTTTTTGGCCACGGCGTATGGAAACGAAGAGAGCATCGCAGTGGGATTTCTGCGTCATTCGACAGTCCTTCTGTTCTCTCGGCGATTTGTCTTTCTTGGGGAATCATCTTGTGTCTAGATTGGTATTCTACCCTTGCCCTTGCACATACAATATCATATAATATAATATACAGTTCGACAGCATGGCGTCCAAGTGCGTTCACAAGGGCTGCGGCAAAGAGTTCACCGACGCCGACGAGCAATGCGTGTACCATCCTGGTCCTCCTGTTTTTCACGAAGGTCAAAAGGGTAAGTGTACCAAGGACCTTGGGGGCCTTGATGGTCATGGTTTCTGGCTTAGGCGCCGTCCCCAGCCTCGTGGACTAATGAAGTCAACGTATAGGCTGGAAATGCTGCAAACCCCGCGTTCTCACATTCGAGGAGTTTCTTGAGATCCCACCATGCACCACCGGCAAGCACTCGACGGTGGACGATACACCCGTCGAGCCGAAGAAGGAAGATACAGTCCCTACACTCCCTGACCAGGCCGCTGTTGCTCAGCAGTCGCAGCCACCCGCTCCAGCTCTCCCGCGGTCTGCGATCTCGCCCGCCATTGCCCCGCCCAGCACCGCCGCCCCCGTCGCTGAAGAATCAGAGTCCGACGACCCCTCGCTCGAGATCTCGGCCAATACCACCTGTCGTCGCCGGGGATGCAATGCCGGCTACAACCCATCTGCGTCTCGCGACGAGGAGAAATGCGTCCACCACCCTGGACAGCCGATCTTCCACGAGGGGAGCAAGGGGTGGTCGTGCTGCAAGAAGCGGGTGTTGGAGTTTGACGAGTTTTTGAAGATCCAGGGTTGCAAGGAGAAGAAGAAGCATCTTTTCATCGGGAAGGGAAAGCCTCCCGGTGAGGAGAAGGTCGAGACCGTCAGGTATGTCGTTGGCGTTCCCCCCCCTCTCTCATCGTTCTTTGTAGAAGAGTGTCATGACTGACGTGATTGATACTCTACAGGAATGACTTCTACCAAACCCCCTCGACAGTGAACGTTTCGCTATACCTGAAGAAGATTGACAAGGACAATGCCAAAGTCAACTTCGCACCCACATCGGTCGAGTTCGACCTGCCGACCACGGACAACAAACGGTACAAGGATACGTACCCCCTGTTTGCGCCAATTGATCCCGAGCAATCGTCTTTCCGGGTTCTGGGCACTAAGCTGGAGCTCAAGCTGGCCAAGGCCGATGGGACAAGCTGGCCGGTGCTTCGGAGTGATGATAAGTGGACGGGAGAGAGGATTCAGATCGGGCAAGCCGGGAGGGCCTGATAGTATAAAAACCTCAGATTACTGAACATGGAATTATAGCTTAACGAACAATCATACTAATTAGAACACGGGTTGTGCGAACAACGCCGAAAATGGACCAGATACGTCCGGGGGATTTTATTTTTTTCCTTGTTCAACCGAATAGAATTTTGATTTCGCTAGTATAAATCTATCTGCAAACCAACACCAACACAGCAACCACTCGTGTCCACACATCAAGTGTACAAGTGATTGACAGTATGTCACGCCCCCTCCACAGCTAAAGCGCCTGGGGATCAGATCTTTCGAAAAGAAACCTAGCTCAGCCATGTATTGTAAGGGAAAAAGGAAGACGCACGTAGAGACGAACTCTACATTGCTCTCCAGAGCCGGGAACGGAAGGAAACCCATAGAGAAAAAAATCCCACAAGAATAGCCTTCAGCAAGCCGTACTTTGACGGAGCTCCGGGACGAAATTTACATGGTATGTAAACCTCTACTGATGATGAAGAAAGAAAGAAGAAAAGAAGAGGGAGAGAGGACGGATGTTGCGGCTTTTTGTAGGTGAGCAGGGAGTAGGGCGCTAGAGAAGTTTCGGATTAGTCACCAAACGCCTTTCCTGATCGAGAAGAGCTAGGGCTAGGGCAAGGGCAGATTCTGTTTTTTTTTTTTTTTTTTTTTTTTCGGTGAGCAAGTCACGTGGGGCTGACCCAGGCTGAAAAGAGCAGCAAGTCACATGGTTGAGAATCACATGCAAATCGTTGAGTCGAGTGGACCAGAAGAGACTAGTCCGGCTTTCACGTGTGCTGCTCTCCTTTTGCGATCACTTACAGAGTACTAGGAAGAAGGCGTTCAGACCGCTGCACATAAGCACTTTGTCTCGAGTTCTTGGCTATATCATCCAGGGAGATGAGATATAGGGGCTATATGTCAATATGTGAACTGTGAGGTCGCATGATCCCCATGTAAGTAGAAAGTTCTCGTAGACGTTGATCCAGCAAGTTGCGTCATGTACTCTGGCTACTTAAGGAAGGGGGGGGGGAGTGCCTTGGTGCCTTAGAGACAAGGTGTCAGAAGCGTGCCTCAGGAAGGGGGTCGAGTGGCTCCTCCAATCAGACGTCAGGAGGGGCACGAGACCACCGATTCCCTCTTCGGTTTCTCTCCTCCTTCTTTCCCCCTGGATTTCTTTTTCTCTTGGAGTTACTTCTTCATATTCAACTAGTCAATTCCTGTGTCTTCGATCAGAGCGTCAATTGCCGGTCAATTCATGCTTCTGACTGCCATCGTGCAAATAATCCTGACCTGACATCTGTGCTGATATACAGGGACCGAAGGGGTCAATAAGGGAGTGTACAGGTTGGTACCCAACCGTCGCATTAGCCTTCTCGCCTGTGGAAGCCTCCGTGTCGCTTGCATTATCTGATGCCTTGTCATTTCGTGACTGGGTGTTGCAAAAAGTACTTTTGTGCAACAAGCGTTTGCTAACTTTTTTTTTCCTACTTGGACTTTTAGACCAGAGCAAACCACCTCTCGGCCGTTTCGTTTCGTCTTTGACAGCAGGGCTTAATCCATAATCAATAGTGTTCAAGATGGGATCCGCAGATGGATTGAAGGACGATGTCCTTGCTCCCCTCAGGTTCATCCCTCTCTCGTACAACCATGCCGACTCTCAAGCCTCTGCGCTGAGGCTTGTCCTGACATTGAACCCAAATTGGGAGGGCCCAGGGAACCAGATTGAGTTCGTGCGCTTCACGGACGGCATCACCAATACTGTGTGTTTCTTCTAGCGGGTCATCAAGCGACAATATTCGACTGGTGAACTAGCCTTTGGACTGACTTTCTACAGCTGCTGAAGATCATTAATCGGAAACCTGGCTTGACCGAGGAACAAATAGACAACGAAGCAGTACTGATGAGAGCGTACGGTAATCACACAGAGATCCTCATAGACCGCGAAAGTATGATTTGCTGGGGCACCATACCCGCCCTCCTCTCTTGCCCATTGCGACAACGTGCTGAGTAGATATGCTCTATCTATAGGAGAAACCCGATCCCACGCGCTTCTTGCCAGCCGCGGCCTAGCTCCTCCCCTTCTGGCTCGCTTTCAGAACGGGCTCCTCTACCGATTCATTCGAGGTCGTCCATCGACCCATACTGATCTGGTGAGGGCTCCGATCTGGCGTGGTGTTGCCAGAAGGCTCGGACAATGGCATGCAGTCCTACCTAGCCGTGGCAACGGCGCAGTCCACCCTCCAGCCAAGAAAATGCCCTTTGGCCACCAAGTAGACATGGACCTGGAACATCTTCCCAAGGAAGAAGTGGATTTCCCGGTGATCAGACCTAGACAGCCAGGTCCCAGCATGTGGACGGTGCTACAGAAATGGGTTCTTGCTCTGCCAACCGCCACTGAGGAACAGCGCACCAGGAGACTCGATTTGCAGAAGGAGCTGGAGCGAGTAGTGAGTGAGCTAGATGATGGTAGAGGTCTTGGTGAGGACGGAGTATGTAGTCCCTTTGATTCCATGGCACGGAACAGCGGGTTAACTCTCATCAGTTGGTTTTCGCCCATTGTGACCTCCTCTGCGCCAATGTCATCGTCTTGCCTTCGACGGATGGTCCTGCGACAACCACAAATGACGATGGCTCGGTGACGGTGCATTTCATCGACTATGAATATGCCACTCCCTCCCCCGCTGCCTTCGATATTGCGAATCACTTTGCTGAATGGGGTGGTTACGATTGTGACTACAACATGATGCCGACCCGCTCTGTGCGGCGGCAATTTTTAACGGAGTACGTCAAGAGCTATAGCCATCATCGGCAGATCCCGGAATCCTCGCAAGAGGAAATCATCAACCGGTTGTTCGAGGACGTTGATCGGTTCCGCGGCATTCCCGGGTTATACTGGTACTTCTATATTACCATTTCTCTCTATGAGAAACCGCCAGCTAACTTTTCACCTAGGGGCGTCTGGGCGCTTATCCAAGCCCAAATCTCGCAGATTGACTTTGACTACGCATCATACGCCGAGGTCCGGCTTGGAGAGTACTATGCCTGGCGTCGAGAAACAGACGGGACTCGGGCCCCAGCCGGCGAGGAGATGCCTCTTCGGGAGTGTCGGTGGGCGCAAGAGGCCTGATCTGTTCACTTAACGCAACATCTCCCCCCTACTTGTATATAATTTCGCGCACACCTTCGCAGGGTAAAGGAGCATGTACGCACGCTCCCTTATGAGCCCAGTACCGCCGTGGCATCTCTCAACAGGATTTCAACACTATTCCTCAGCGGTGCGATGTCGGTCTGGATACTGATGGCAAGGGCCGTGGTTGCATAGCGTGAACGGGTATGATCTCAAGCATTTTGTCTTCAACGACTGTATTTGGTGTTTCGGGATGGGAGTTGTCTTTATCGAGCATTTGTGGTATCTACAAAAGCATGTCGGGAGGGAGCCTGATTATGATATTGCATAGAATTTTCCTTTCATTATCGTCGCATCGATCGATGTATAATCTTTCTATAAACACGCTACCAAACCCGACTATGTACCCACGCATTCATCCCCATTCCAAGAGACTAAAAAACAAAAGAAAAGAAAAAAAAAACTCATAATCGATGCTGTACCTCCAACGCCACCGCCGCCGACGACTTCGACGACTTCAACTCCGACGCAACCTCCGACCCCTCCAACAAAGCCCGTGGTGGAGCCGGACCCTCCAATTCCAACACTTCCACCATCTTCCTCCACGACTCATACCCGCGTCTCGCATGCGCCTCCGGCACGGACGGGTCCGGATCCGCCAAGGTCCGCGAGAACAGCTCCAGCGACACCCAGCCCTCGAAGCCGAGGTCGAAGAAGGCGCGGGCGACGTCCACGACGGGGAGGTAACCGCCGCGGTGTTCCTCGAAGGGGAAGAGGCGGGCGTTGCGCGACCAGCTCATGCGCGGCGGCTGGCCGGGGACATGGAAGGGGTGGCGGGTGTCGAGCGGGGCGGCGAGACGCTCGGCGTCGACGAGCTGGAGGTAGAAGACCTTGGCGACGTCGACGGTGGAGCGGAGGCGGGCGAGCGAGGCGCGCAGGTCTGCGTGGGCGGTCGGGGTCGTGCCGGTGGGCGAGGCCGGGTCGGCGAAGACGCGGCCGGCCAGGTTGAAGGAGTCGAGGCAGATGCCGAAGTTGGGCCGGTTGACGCGCTCGACGACGGCGTAGCAGGCTTCCCAGGTGTCGATGTGGTTGCCCCAGGCCAGGGCCTCGTAGACGAAGCGCAGGGGCGGGGATTGGGCGGCGCCGAGGTCGGCGACGCGCTGCAGGTCGGCGACGATGAGGGCCGGGTCGCCGGTGGTGCGCGGGAGGTGGGTTGTTGGGTCTGGCGGGAGGAAGTTGGAGGGGATCTGGATGAGGTCGGTGTTGAGGATGTGGGCGAGGCGGAACCAGTGCGGGAGTTTCTGGGTGACGAGGTATTCGTGCTGGCTGCGGTCGAGGAGGCCCTCGTAGAAGCCGAAGGGCTGCAGGCAGATGATGGAGAGGTGGAGGGCGTCGCAGAGCCGGCGCACCTCGTGGGCGGCGGCGATGTTGCAGCCGTCGAAGTCGGTGCGAGCGAGATGGTCGAGGTCGTCGATGAAGAGCTCAATGCCCTCGTATCCATAGCGCGAGGCCTGGTGGAGTTTCCCGGGGAGATCGTGAATCCCTGGACGGCCCAGGGACATGGACCCGATTCCCAGCCGGTTGGGCATGTTTGTAGGTGATGGATTGTATGGGAGGTCTCCAGAGCAATCGATGAGACGCAGTCCCAACCCTTTTATATATTCGTCGTCGCAGTCGATCAAATCAGATAGGAAATAGATCTCCCGTGTCCGTCCAGTGTCTTACAAGGAGCTGATCAATAGTGTGTCAGCAGCGAGATAGAGTTGTCCACCTATCCAGGAGAATCCTCTCACCATTTTTGCGTCCTTGATTTGAGGTCTGATATCTCATCTTTTTGTAGAGAGCCTGCATGCGCATACTCCCGGAAACTGAACGTATCCAAAAAGCGTCAGAAGTTGGCCGGTTAAGCGTTTACCACGACAAGGCTCCACCGTCGGTGTTTCTTCGCGGATGAGCGTTTCGCAGGTTGAATGTTCATGCCCCGAGGATTCAACGAAATGATTCAAACCAATCTGCATCGAGATTCGAGAAACTCGACCTCGGTATTCGGGTTGTAATCTGCAGCAGTTATTTATGTACGGGGGTGGATTTACCCCAGACGTAAATGACTCAAGGTGTGGGGGAGGGAGGGCAACATACTTATGAATAGTGTCATCCGCCCCATCAGTTGGCTCAAACTCCACAGCGAGCAAATATTAGTCGATACACACCATGTCTCTGAGAGTCATTGTCGTCGGCGCCGGCCTCATCGGCCCTCGCCATGCCCAATCCGTCATCTCCAACCCATCCACCGAGCTCGTCGCTCTGATCGACCCTGCCCCCAGCGCAGCTACAGTCGCAGCGCAGCTGCAGACAACCCACTTCCCCTCCATCGCCTCCATGCTCGAGGCCATCCCCAAGCCCGACGCCGCCATCGTCTGCACCCCGAACCACACGCACGTCCCCGTCACCCAGGAACTCCTCGCCAGCGGCATCCACGTCCTCGTCGAGAAGCCCGTCAGCGAGAGCATCGAGAGCGGGCACGCGCTCCTCGCCTTCGCCAAACGACCCGAGCACGCCCACCTCAAGCTCCTCGTCGGCCACCACCGTCGCTTCAACCCCTACGTGCTCAAGACGAAGCAGATCCTCGACTCCGGCGCCCTCGGCACGCCGATCGCCATCAACGGCCTCTGGACCCTCTTCAAGCCGGACTCCTACTTCGCCGCGCCCGGCGACTGGCGCCGCGCCCGCGCCTCCGGCGGCGTCATCCCCATCAACCTCGTCCACGACATCGACCTCCTGCACCACCTCTTCGGGCCGATCGAGCGCATCCACGCCGAGAAGACGCGGCCGCAGCGCCCGCGCCCGCCGCACGAAGCCGAGGAAGGCGCCGCGCTGACGCTGCGCTTTGCCTCGGGCGTCGTCGGCTCGTTCCTCGTGTGTGATGCGACCCCGTCCCCGCATAACTTCGAGACCGGCACGGGTGAGAACCCGCTGATCCCGCCGACGCCCGGCGGGGCCGGCGCGGACTTCTACCGTATCTTTGGGTCCCAGGCGTCGCTGAGCGTGCCGGACATGACGCGCTGGAGCTACGACGGGAGGGCCGAGAAGAGCTGGAATCAGCCGCTGGTGGCGGAGAAGTTCGAGGTCGAGGTCGGCGCGAAGCCGTTTGATTTGCAGTTGGCGCATTTCGTGGATGTTATTCGGGGGAAGGCGGAGCCTAGTTGCTCGGGTGAGGATGGGTTGCGGGCGCTCATTGTGTGTCAGGCTGCGAGGAAGGCGTTGGAGACGGGCGAGACGGTAGATCTGGATGCGGATCTCTTCGGTACGGACTAGTGAGTAGGAGTAGTTTGTGAGTAGTTTGTGTTGCAACCGGAAATGTCAACCTCTCGAAACAGCGCAGTATTCAACGATATTCAGGCAACCGCTGGCATTGAGCGTTGCTGGCAGAATTCAAGGGCCAAGTCCCAATATCGATGGTTTCGATCGAATCTACAAAATGGGCGAGGTTCATAGATTGATAACACTTCATGTAAAATATTATTTGAATAATCATGCGCATCTCGTAACGATGACTCGCCTGCAGGGCCTGTCACTCGGCCACTGCTCGCCATACATGAGACTATATCCACAAGTAACAAACCAAAAACTCCTGATACAACTCCCATTGGTCATGGACGCACATCAAGCCTCTTTGGGCTGGACGCTCTCCAACCGCTGCTCGCCTGACTTGGTGTAGCCAGACTCCTCGATGTCCTGACGGAATTGTTCCTCGTCCTCGCGAAGCTTGGCCAGGACAATTCCGTGAGCACGCCAGATCGGCTTCGTCTCAAAGAGAGCATCCATGCTCTCCAGAGGAATGCCCTTGGTTTCAGGAATCAAAAAGAACACGATGACAATGGAGCAGAGCATCAGCGATGCGAAGAAAAACCACACCCCATAGCCCATCTTGTCGAACATCTGGGGAGTAAACCGGGAGATGAGGAAATTCCAGAGCCAGTTGGAAGCGGCAGCGCAGGCCTGCGCCAGAGACCGCATGTTGGGCTCGAACATTTCCTGTTGACAAGTTGTTAGTGGAGCTCTGGTATTCAGGAAATCCAGACAACGTACCGAGTTCATCACCCAAGGTGTGCCGTTCCACGACGGTGTGTAAAAGACGGTATATAGATAGAAAAAGAACATGGCGGCGATACCACCGCCGGTCATCTCTCCATTGCCGTTCTTCGCGGGATTCGCAATTTTGATATATGCGCCGACAATCCACAAGCAGACTGAGGCACCGGCCGCACCGACGAGGAGCAGAAGACGTCGTCCCATCCGGTCAATCAGGTAGAGAAGCCAGATGAAGGTAACCACAGTCTTGACCACGCCGAAGATGCCGGTACTGAACATACCCGTGTTGGTGCCCCGGAGACCAATGCTCTTGAACACGGTAGGACTATAATACTGCACGAGCGAGTTAGTACTCAAGAATAAAACGCAGGATACCTATGGAAATGGAGATTCCACTCACGTTAATGGCATTGATTCCAGAACCATTCTGCCAGAAGAACAGCATGCTTCCAAGGAACAGCCGATACATAACCTTCTTGTTAGTTCCGGCAGCCTTGAATGGTTTCCAGAATCCAAGACCGATTGTGCTGCGCTGCTCCTCCAAGGCTTGGTCAATCGCTCCAATCTCCTCAATCATATAGATATGGTCCGCGGGCAGTTGACGAATCCAACAGAGATTCTCAATGGCCTCTTCTCTACGATCACTGGAGAAAAGCCAACGAGGAGACTCGCGAAGGAACACCGCACCGATGAGGAGGAGGCCAGATGGGATGAGCTGGACAGCGAAGGGGATGATCCATTGTTTGTGGCTGGGAGCGAGAGTCTCACTGACTCCATACTAGCAGCAGGTCAGCAATCTCCCCAGACATCAGAAGACGATGGAGGACAATGAAAAGCTTACGTTAATCCAGAAGCCCACCAGACCACCAATCTGCCAACCCAGCTCGTAGACACCGACCAGATGTCCTCGGATAGAGGGAGGGGCGAGTTCGGAGATATAGATAGGCGTGATATTCGAACCAGCTCCGACTCCAATGCCGGCCAGGACTCGCCCTCCGTAAATCAGTCCCAGTCCCCGATCGCCGTTGGCCCCGAGCATGAGACCAGCGCCCAAGGTGAAAATGGCGGCGGCAGATAGCAGACCCCATTTCCTCCCCCAGAAGTGACCGATAGGGTATGCGAAAAAGGCGCCAAAGAAGGCACCTGCTTGGTAACAGGACACGATGTTGGCACTCACCCGGTTGACAGCCGCTGGTTCCATAGTAGTGAATTCGAATTCCTCTCTGAACGATCCGAGAGCCAGGGTGGTGCCAATGAAGGCACTATCATAACCAATCATGCATGATGTGAAGGAGGCTACCGCAGCCAAAAGGTAGATTCTCCAGTTGTAAACCTCCTTGGGGGTAGGTCGATCCTCAACCAAGGCAAGGATAGACATTGTGAAGGTGCAATCCTCTTCAAGAGGATGAACACTTTAGGAAGACAGGAAGACGAAGCGAGGCGTCAACTGCACTCTGACGACGACAAGATATGAATGCCGATGTTGGAGGAACGGTGAAAGAAGTCCAATTCAACGGAGGCCCCGGTTTATATAAATAGTTACTGGAGTCCAGGTGATTGGGTAAACGCTAAACAGTCTAGAGCAGGAAGAAAACCTGGGGATATTGACAGCGTGGAGATGTAGATGCGGAGAAAGGAGATATTGTCAATATCAGTTTATAGACGTTCGGGTTAAACCATTAAAGCGGGCGAATGGACGCTCAACCAAGCGGCGTAAAACGAAAGTCATGCAACAAAAAGTTTCTTTGCCATTTAGACTTTGGTTCTCCTCATTACGCCAAGGGGACTGCTGGTGTAGGATTTCATAGCAGTCGCAAAATCTCTGCTGCCATAGTCGAGACAGACTCCGATACCGCTCGATATAGAGCGACAAGGCCATGAGTCAATATCTGTGTGGGCTGTGGAGAAGCTAGCAAGGATCTGGTATCCCAAAAAACCCTAGTGAAGCTCTGGAGTAAGTGAGGGAGGAGATCTACGGATCCATAAGACGATTGGATGTTTAGCATTGGGGAGTATGTCTCTTCGGCCGTCAACCCAGGGATTGGATGAAAATGCAACGATTCGATGACCAATTGCCACACCGAGGACATAATCAATCAGCCAGTGGCTGGGAAAAGCAGTAGACCGGACACTTGCCAGAAGAAGCTGGAGGAATACTCTGTAAGTCCTGCAGAGTGCGGAGCCGGGCCGATGGCGATCTGGGAGGTACGAAGTTTGTGTCTCGTTTCTAGAGTGTTATTTCGGTACTCGAGAGTCGAGACAAGCTGCAGGTAGCCACTCGCCAAGCCTTATGAAGTTATGAGACAGTTTAGGGCGGGAAAAGGGTTCTTCCCGTGAGAAGTCTAGAAGACTTAATACCGTTGCGGTTAGTGACTGAAGCCATGGCGAAGAACCTTCAACTAGCGTACCGTCAATTGTATGAATCTCGGATGTTGTCCGCCACTCAAGGGTAATTCCAAGATAGACTCGGTGGTCGTCGTAGTGACTGAAATGACTATCATCGATCTGTATGTAGATATCTACTTGATGAAACAATTAATACTCTGATGAAAAAGAAGATTCCGGAATTGAGAATCGTCAATTTTATCGGGGTGAGATGGATGAGAGGAGGGAGAGTAAAAGACCAAGAGAGAAAAAAGAAGGGAAAAGTCACGAGCAGCAGCAACTAAACGTTTCTCCGGCTGAGGATTGTCAAAGTGACGAGAAGTATCCGACTAATGGAACCTCATTTGACGTTGCATTCGGCTACAGAATATAATTATATATACATATAACCCCAGTCTCCCAATCCCGCTCAGTCGACACCAACATCCTCCTCGCTCCTGTGAATCGCGTCCGGTATACTTCAAAAGCCACCACCATGGCAGCAGCTCAACCCACCAACGCCATGAAGCACGAGCAACAGCCGTTGGAAGAGCCCATCCACTGTCCTGACCATCTCGACGGAGTCGCATATCTCTATGGCCATCCTCTGCTCAACTCCCTCTCACCACCTCTCCATCACATCGTCTACACCACCCTCGGTCTGAACTGGGCGCAAATCCCTCTCTCCAGCGTTCACGGCACCTCCGAAACCTACCCTCCTCCATACACCCGCTCCCCTGCCATCCCCAAATATCTGGCCTCCATCCGCTCCAACCCCAAATTCGTCGGCTCCTCCGTCACCATGCCGTGGAAGGTCAGCATCATGCCGCACCTAGACGATCTCACCGAGGACGCCCGGCAAGCCGGCGCCTGCAACACCGTCTTCCTCCGCCCCGAGGCCGACGGCTCGCGCTCCTACGTCGGCACAAACACCGACTGCATCGGGATCCGCGAGGCCCTGCTCCAGAACTCGGCCGGCGAAGCGTCCTTCCGCAACAAGCCCGCCCTGATCGTCGGTGGCGGCGGCACCGCCCGCACCGCCATCTACGTGATGCGCAAATGGCTCGGCGCCAGCAAGATCTACATCGTCAACCGCGACGCCGCCGAAGTCGCCGCCATCCTCGAGGAGGACGCCCAGCGGAACCCGAACCCGGACAAAGCGCCGCTCGTCCATGTCGCGGATCCGGCGGTGGCGGCTGCGCTCGAGGCCCCTGCGGCAATCGTGTCGGGGATTCCGAATTATCCTCCCAAGACGCCGGAGGAGATCCAGGCGAGGGAGGTGCTCCGGGCGTTTCTGGGTGAGGCACCGGCTGCGTCGGCGGAGTCGTTCACGGGTGTGATCCTGGAGATGTGCTACCACCCTGTGCCGTGGACGGAGATTGCGCAGCTTGCGTCGACGGCGGGGTGGAAGGTGATTCTGGGGTCTGAGGCGTTGATCTGGCAGGGCTTGGAGCAGGCGCGTCTGTGGACGGGCAAGGATGTGGTCGCTGAGCCGGGACTGGTGGAGAAGGTCAAGGAGGAGGTCGCCCGGCTGATCGCAGAACGGGTACCATCCAAATCCCATCTGTAGCCACTGGAGGACTGTGACCTACAATCGATTTGTATAGAGGTTGAGAGCATTGTATGTACATAAAATAATATAGAAGCGGACAATTCGTTATTCAAGCACCAGGCCGTCTGTAGTCCAACTCCCTCACCCGTTTCCATACTTCTCTCACCGTCCGCTCCTGCGTCTGTCGTCCCGTTTCAGTCTCCGAAGGCCCGGCAGGTCTACAAAGGTCAGTGAACGCAGCACAAACACGGTCACCAGCCATCCCCTCACCTAATTGCCAGATACAACCGACTCCCCAACCGCACATCCTCAATTGGGTCCGTCTCAGGGTTCGCCGGCGGATTCGCCGTCGTGACGAGCCCACCCGCCTCGAGTAGAATCGCAATCCCAGCAGCGACGTCCCTACCGCGCCAAAGTCAGTCCCCCGACAATTCCGCCAAACCCCATCAGAAAAAGCAACCCCCCAACTTACCACTCCCAGCAGCCCCCCTCCCACCAAATATCAAACGACCCCATAGCCGTATACGCCAAGTCCAGCGTCGCACTCCCCAAGCTCCGCACCCCATGCACCATGCCCCCCTTACCGCCGCGTGCCCCAAGCTCCGCCGCCATGTTCGCGAAACTCTCGATTTTGCGAGCCATGTTCCCGTCGGGGATGTCGCGGCGGTCCTTCCCCCACTCACAGGAGAAGATGCACTTGCTGGGCGCGCCGGCGGGCATGGGCGGGATCGGGTTGCGGATGAGTGGCAGACGGCGTTTCCCGTTCAGCCAGGCACCGCGGTTGGCGCAGGAGGAGAAGAGCTGGTCCTGGAAGGGGGCGTAGATGACGCCGATGAGGGGGCGGTGGTTGACGATGAAGCCGATGGAGACGCAGAACATGGGGAAGAGGTGGGTGAAGTTGACTGTGCCTGTTTGGTATTGTAGCATCGTTAGCGGTGGTTGAGCGGGTATTGTCCGGACTGCTGCGCTGCTGTGCGTGGTTTCTGCTTCTTACCGTCTAGAGGGTCGATGCACCAGGTGGGTTGCTCGTCGATGAGATACTCGCGAGACTGGCCTTTGGCGTAGGTTTCTTCGCCGTGGAAGCTGGGGAGAGGGGTCAGGTCAGTTCTGTTTTTTGTCTTCGTTCCGCATGGAGTCGTGATAGACGAGACGCACTTGTGACGGGGGTATTTCGCTCGGATTGCGGTCTTGATAAATGTCTCAACGTCTACATTGTGTCTCGATTAGCTCCACCCCCCATTCTCAGATGCAGATTTCAAATAACATACCCTCATCGGTCTGTGTCACGATATCAACCGCGTTATCCTTTTCCTCGTACGACTGCTCTCCCGCGCCATCAATCCTCCTGTCGATGCTGTCTAGCAGCAGCTGTCCGGCTTTCCAGCCCAGATCGACTGCAAAGGTATATATCTCATCTAACTCCTCCTGGGAGAACTGGGTTGCCGCCATTTCCGGATACTTGAAAGATCTAGGATTGGACTGTACGAATTGAATGCAGGAATAAGTCAATGTCCAGATGGGTTTTGCAGCAAAAGACCGATCGATGACTGCGGGGAGGGCCAAAAACTCCAAATCATTTTAAAAGACAGCAAGAAAGCCGTGAGTAACCGCAGCGGATATTTTGACATTTTGTCTCCACTGTGCAATTGAATTGATACTGCTTGTTGGACTCATTGGAGCCTTGGGAGTACGGTGCATTGGATGGGGAATGAATGGCATTAGGTAGGTATCTCGGTGAGCCAGATATGTGCGGAGAGAACCGAGTATTGGATGGCTTCACCTATCTTGGTGTGCTTGATATGAAAAGAAAAGGAAAGATACTCCGCGCAACGATGCTCTACAAGTACTCCGTATAATTAACAGGGTCCTTGGAGATCAGATTTAATCATTTACCTGTCCAGGCAAGCCCCCGGCTCAACCACATTGATCTATGAACTGAACCCACTTACGATGACGCTGTACTATTTACCATCACATACTCAGAGCCAGCAGTAGTCCATCCTCTATAGAAGATGACTCTCATCTTCCTTCAAAGATAGAGACCTGGTTTGCACAAGTTGCAGAATAATACCCTGTAGTCTGCATGCACTGTATCTATCTATCTACGGAGTATCTCAGCGTTCAGTCTGTGCTTAACCGTCCCCCACACCGGTTAAGCGCTCTCCCGCCCACAGTATCTGGTCCGGTGATGGTATCCAACTATCCATATTCCATAGTCATACTCATGGGTTATTTTTTTTGGTGCCGAATGAAGGAGATTTGAGAGAATCATTGGCAGTTAAATGCTTAACCCCTTGTCTTCTATAGAAACTATACCCCGGTGCTTCGTAGATATGAGGAATCCCCGCATAGGCAATACGCTTCCCCGAGTGTGTCATTGTACTCTGTAGTATTTCCCAATTAATGAGCACAAAGTATCCAGGACCTACTTGGTTTCAAAAGAGTCTAAGAAAGTATAAAGAGCTTCAACAATCAACCTTCGTCATAGTTTCTATTCTACATCTTTATTCCACCAAACAAACAAAGAAATATCGTCCAACTTGCATTTCCGATCACCCAAAATGGGCAAATCAATCCTCCTCATCAATGGCCCCAACCTCAACCTCCTGGGTACCCGGGAACCCCACATCTATGGCAGCACCACCCTCCCCGACATCGTGGCCTCCAGCAAAGCTCACGCCGAGTCCCTGGGCGCAACCCTCGAGGCGTTCCAATCCAACCACGAGGGTGCCATCGTGGACCGCATCCAGGAGGCGCGCGGCAATGTCGACGGTATCGTCATCAACCCGGGTGCTTTCACACATACCTCCGTCGCGATCCGAGATGCGCTGCTCGCAGTCAATATTCCCTTCATCGAGCTACATGTGAGCAATGTGCATGCACGCGAGCCTTGGCGCCATCACAGTTACTTCAGCGACAAGGCTGCCGGAATCATTGTTGGGCTGGGCGCGTATGGGTATAAAGTTGCAGTGGAGCATGTGGCGCTGAATTTCAAGGAGAGGGCGTCTTTATAGAGGAAATATACCCATCATGCGATCTATCTTCAGGAGTATCTTGTTATTGGTCTGATAATCAGACGGCCAGTTGTTCATCGCTCGTAGGCATTCCCCTTGTTCGTTCGGTGTGATTCCGACCGGATCACTGTTGCAGCCTCTGGAAGTTGCTGGGTTTGTGCCAGCAGAAAAGGTTCCATCTGACTGGAATACGAGTAGAGCTCGGAGATGCCAGCATCAGGAATAAAACCCAGGTTCTGCATGAATTCGGGCTGATGATCCCCTCTGTGGAAGAACTTCGGGTCAGCAATTGAGTACCGCAAAGAGGAGGGAGAACTCGCTTTTCAGTGCCATCCAGAGACGCCAGTTCGTCAAATAGGGCATCAAGATCGGGTGCAATTCGCGGTCGTCGTGGAGGCCCAGGCCCGACAAAAGATCCCAGGTTTATATTCGGGTCGTTGAATGTTGGCGGATATGGAGGGGTGTTGGCCGAAAAGGGTGAAGACAGATCAAGATTCGTCCCCCGGCCATGTAGGAGGTTTTGAGCGGAAGGGACTGAAAGGCGAGCTCTTTGAGAAGATGTTGGTATGGAAGTGACTTGAGGAGATGGTGCTGGGGCCCCCCGAGGTAGACTTAAAGATGGTGTAGGGGTTGGTAAGGACAAGGCGACGTTGTCCAAGCTTGGCCCTGTCCCCATCCAAGTATTCGTCAAAAAGGAGTTCGGAGTGGAGTAGATCGTTCGAGTTTCATCCAACCCGCTCATCCGCTGTGCATCGCTGTCCAATGTATGCAAGGCATGGTGCGACAACGAGTCTGGAATGTTGGCTCTGCTCTCGGACAGCGTGTTGTTCCTGGAGACATTGCTCAGCCGGGCCGCTGTGGCTGCTGATATCGATGTATTTGTTAAAGCAGGCTCTGTTGTTTGCCCTTGCGACCATACGGTAGAAAGGTGCGCGGAGAATGCTTCTAATTTACTCTTCAGGCCAAGCTCAGGTTCGAATGGCACGGGCACATTGTGTCTCTCGCCCAGCGCGGAAATACCAATAGTCAGGAACAGTCCAAATATCGGACTGGTTGCTGCCAGACTATACGTCTCCATATATTTCTGCAGCAGTAGCAGGAGTATCTTCAGGCTCTCGGTCGCGCGAATCCAGTACGGTGATTCTGGCATAGGCCTTCCGCGGTCTTGGACAGTAGACAAGGTAGCGACAGTACTCTCATACATCATCTCAAGGCCAAATATGTGAGGTGGCGCAATCTTTGTGGGATTTTGCAGGTCAGCACGATAACTTCCGGGCACTGCAGAAATCCAATGTTGTAACTGGCGTTCAAGCGTCTCAAGTTGTGCAGTGGGGGTTGCTTGCGACTGTCTCATACAGCATATCTCATTCAGGATGCACATCAGCGAAACCAAACGGTTGAATGTGCTTAGCGCATGGAGCGGTCCTCGATGAGACGATCCACGCGCCGAACCTGGCGGTCGAAGACCGGTCTGGTCCTCCCAGGGATGCCATTCCTCCAAGCCATCTTCGTTGACTGGAGCAATCTCTGCTAGGTCTTCCTTGCGTAGTGATGGAGCCTGTCCCGTCTTTGTAGCAATGAGGGTCTCGAGGACAAAGCAACCCAGAAAGACATGTTTCGAGCGTGCCGAGGACTTCCCGTCCTTTACACCATCGGTTTGGTTCGTTGAATCTAGTCCGAGACAACGCGCAATTCGGATTGCTTGTCCAACCAGCAGCCATGCAGCGGTCCACTTCTGTTGACCGAGGTTGACAAGAGACAATATCAAGAGCGCCTGCACATGTCCAATCTCATGGATACCATTCTCCGAGGGCATCAACCCTTTTGCAGTGGCGTAGAAATGGCTAGCATTAGGCCGACCAGTTGCATGTTCTGGGTTCTGACGAGGGACGTGTAAGGATGCCTCCTGCATGGATGCCAGCGTCAGGACTGCCCACAATGCTGCATAATCTCCAGATCCGGCGACAAGAGGGGAAATTTGCACCCTGTCTTCAAATTGTCGGAATGCTGTTCGAAGTATATCATGTTTCTCCAGGATAGGAAACCAGCATTGCGTATAGGAGAAGTATATATCAAGAAGCATCCACACATTCGAAGGTAAAGGAAGGGGGTTTGCGGGTGCAAGTTGTGATTGTTGGTCGGAGGCAGAGGCGGGCGCGGTAGCTGAAAGCAAGAGAGTCTGAGTGCTGCTATCCTTTGTGGCGCGAATTGGAAGACTCCTAGCAGCTCGGGTCATTGAGGGTGTTTTGACAGGAGATACGCCAGTTGCTATTGACTCCTCTTGCCCATCTGTGAGGCCTTCTGGTAACTGCCATTCGAGAGTATCCACTGTATGAACTCTGCTACCCTCAGCTTCTCTTGGAGAACCATTCTCTTCAACTGCTCTATCGATCTTGTCCTGTTCCTCTTCCGGTTGGTCCAAAAGTGTCAACATCCTTTCAATCTCTTTGAGAACACTACTGTTTTTCCACGACGACACGAGAGTATCGGAGCCTTCTGTCTCTTTTCCCATGGTGGCCAAGTGACTCGGCATGTTGGACGTTTTAAGCAGGGTACGCACCACCTCCTCGCTACCATGAATCTTGCAGAAGATAAGTCCATAAAGCAGTTCCAACGTGCGAATGTAACCCGTCGGCAAGCCGCGCTTTTTCGGGTTGGTCTTGTAGGTACAAGGCCGACACAAGGACGCGCAAGTGGAGCACACTGGCTGCACTCCGTCACATTTATCTTTCTTGGAGCGACAACTATCACAAGCGCGCGACACGCGCTGTCGTTTTGTCTGAGCCGTACTGTCGTCCGCAGCCATATGTCTGCCATCTTCGTCGGCATTCGTCAGTCGTCGCTTTGCCCTGCTATGAGCCCCGGAGGGTTGGCGCGTATCATTGCTCATGATAGTTCGAACGACGGTCCACCAGGATGTTCGGGATGCATGTTCATGTTTAGGCTATATCATCGAAATGAACGCTTTGCCGGACGTTGAGCGTATTCAGTCTGGGTTCACTAGACAAGAACGGGGAGAAGTCGGAAAGCAGAACACGGGTGATTCGCTCCTGCTCAAACAATAATGAGGAGCGTCAATGATGAAGCCCAACAGCTTATGTGATGAATCGATGCCACCGATATGATGCGTGTCGCACTCTGATGGTATGCGAAACGTTTAAAGCGGAGAAGGGGAAACCGAAGACAGAGGCCTTTTCTCGGTCGAAAAAGCCGGGGGGGGGGGGGGGCCACAAACAGCTTACCCGCGGCTGCTGCTGCGGGAAACACTCTTCATGCTTGGGTCCTTCTATCGAGAGACAAACTTGGTGTTCTCACTGCACAGTCAATTACCCGAGTCAATTACCCGAGTCAATTCCTTCCCACCGGTCGCCTGAAATTCTTTATTTCTCTCCCAGACCGACACTGATCATGACAATGAACCCTTGTGGATGCTGGCCCCAGGCATCAGTCTTGGTGACATTTCCGTCCCCGCGGGGTAAATTACGTAACATAACGGTAAATTACGATCCAGCCCTTACCGGCACTCCGGCAGAGCCTTTGTCCGCCATGCCCCAGGCTCCAAGGCCCTCCACTTGGATCTCTTCCCCCGCGAGTGTGAAAGAATCGCGTCTGCTATCGACAACTTGACACTCGATAGACGACAGACGAGAGAGTTCCCTGTAATCCAAATCTCCCCACAATCTGGGCTTTCTCCATTCGTCTAGAGCCATTGGGAGACTCCGATATGGCTCAATGAGCTGTCGAATAACGCTTTCATCACTGTCGTTCGGTCAGAACACCTTATCGAGTTTACTGATTCCTATCGTGTTGCAACCGAAACTCTCGAATCACTTCTTGATGAAATGGGGTCTCAAAATCTCCGAATGCTTATGACCTTGAATCTTGAATGAATCTCCCCTCATTCAACATGTCGCTCCTCGTGAGACCGACAAAGCGCAAGTTGGACCAGGTTGAAGCTCCAAGCGCACAGAACAGGCTTCTCTCACCTCACAGTAGTCGCGCCCAGAATGTCGTCTCGCGTGTGATTCAGTTATCGTCTCATATTCCCGGGCAAGATGGCACTTCTCCCAGACTCGAATATTGTTCAAGGAATGAGCAACTGGATCCGGCTGGTGACCCTCACTCGTTTCCACCTTCCTTGCGCGCTTCCCCATCTCCTCAAGGAAGCCCCTCTTTGAGCCAGCGAGTTTTCGCTCCCAATGCGTCCATTGTCTTGATTGGGATTCGCGGCACTGGGAAGTCTAGTCTTGCGGTAATTCTTGCTACAACCTCGGGCAGACGGATGATCGATGCGGATCAGTATTTCCAGCAAGTGACGGGGCGCTCTCGAGCAGCATTCAAAAAGGAATACGATCTAGCGGAGTATCGTCAACAAGAGGCTCGAGTGATGGAATCGATGCTCGCAGAACACAAGGAGGGCTGTGTCATTGCCTGTGGTCCCGGATCTATGGAGCGCAGTGGGCAAAGCTTGTTGCGCGAATACGCAGAAAGCCACCCCGTTATCCACATCATTCGCGATCCTGAAAGCATCCAGTCGTACCTGAAAGCATGGGATACCGACAAAGTACGTCGTTTTCTTGAGCTGTCTGGCCCCATCTATCGAGCCTGTTCCAACCTGGAGTTCTTTAATGTCTCCGAGAAGGGCCTCGCCGACCATGTCGGAAAAGACGGCCACCCCCACTCGCAGTTGGAATTGGAACTCGACCAACGGTCTCAAAATTTTACACCTTTCTTGACTCTGAAACGGCTACAGCGCGACTTTCTCAAATTTGTCGCCTTCGCAACGGGTGACTTCAAGAACTTGAGCAGCCAACAAGCGTCGTTTCCACTGTCGATGCAACCGGTGGAGTCCCGGATGTTTACTTACGCCGTGACTGTGCCACTTTCGTCCCTGCTTGAACACGAGCTAGACATTGAGGATCTAGAATCCACCGCCGATGCGTTTGAGCTCAAAATCGATGCGATCGGAGGTTCACCTGCATGTCTAGGTGTGGACTCAGGCCTCGCAGACAGAATTAGTCAAGCTGTGGCAACCATCCGTCGAAACATCATTATACCCCTTATATACCATGTTGACAGTAGGGTAATTTCTGTCGATGCTGCTATGCAACATAACGGGCTGTCGCGCCGCTCCGAGGAGGCCTACTTAAACTTTGTTCAACATGGTTTACGATTAGCTCCTGAGTATCTAACTGCTGATTTATCGTACAGCGATGATACTCTATCGCAGATCATTGGTTCCAAAGGAACTAGCAAAGTCATAGGGCACTTCGCATTTTCTCGTCCATGTCCTAGAGGATGGGAGGATACGGAATTATTGGCCATGTACGAGCGAGCCAGGCGACTCGGTTGCGATGTTGTTCGATTGACGCAGCCCGCAACAACGATAGAAGACAACTTTGCTGTGGAAAGATTTCGTCACCATGTCAAAAGTCTTTTATGGCAGTTACCCTTAATAGCCTTCAATACCGGCCCATTGGGCAGACTATCGAGCTGTTTTAATCCCATCCTTACATCAGTCACACCGCCGCCCTTACTACCTGAGATGCAAGCCAAGTCGTTGCCATGCATTACGTTGCGGGAGGCCCAAGAAGCGCTCTACTCGTCATTTGCTCTGGATCCAATGCGGTTCTTCGTTTTTGGTGCCAACGTTACCTACAGTTTGTCTCCGGCAATGCACAACGCAGCCTTCAAAGGGTGTGGTCTGCCACACGTATATACCATCTACCAGTCCTCGTCTTTGCGGGGATTGAATGATCTAGTGGAGAACCCCCATTTCGGCGGAACAAGTGTCAGTTTGCCTTATAAGACGGAAGTTATTCCTCTTCTCCACTCCATGTCGCCTCATGCTCGAGCTATTGGCGCCGTCAACACCTTGATACCCATCCGAACATTACCTGACGGCGCTGATGATGCTTTTGAAACATCTCTCTACTTCGAAAAGAGCCGGGCTGGTCCCATCAAGGCGCTGCACGGGGATAACACCGACTGGATCGGTATTGGGAACTGCTTTCGATGGGGGCTATCCCCGGCGAATGCGATCCGACCTTCATCCACGGGCCTAGTCATTGGAGCTGGTGGTATGGCTCGCGCAGCCGTATATGCGATGATACATCTTGGGGTGCAGAATATCTTCGTGTACAATCGTACTCTTGCAAATGCAGAGAAGTTGGCCCACCATTACAATCGCCAAAACCTCCAGGCACATGGCAGGAGCGGGCCGAACTCTCAGCCCAAAGTCCATATCCTACGGTCGTTGCATGATAGTTGGCCGGTCAACTACAAGCAACCGACTGTTATCTGCTGCTGCATACCAGCTCATAGCATTGGGGGGGTACCAGCGCCCAACTTACAACTTCCTTCTCAGTGGCTTGAAAGCCCTACGGGCGGCGTAGTTGTTGAGGTAAGATGATTCCCGTGTTTGGTTCTCTAGGCCAACGCTAATCCATTTATGCAGCTAGCTTACAAGCCTCTGGTTTCTCCCTTGATGAAGCAAATGCGTGCTCTCTCCCACCGTGGCTGGGTAGCCCTTGATGGACTTAACGTTCTCCCAGAACAGGGATTTGCTCAGTTTGAGCTTTTCACCGGCCGTCGAGCCCCACGACGGTTAATGCGCAGAGTAGTATTGCAGGAGTACAAGGAGGCGGAGGGGCAAGAAGATCATCACGCTATTCGAAGCCGACTTGAAAATCTAGATGGACAAGCTACCTGACGGCCTGGGATCTAATAACGGACCGTGTTCACTAGAAATCCTACGATGATACATTACGCTCTCAGCCAAGCTGCTCATCTACAATCCATATACCCAAAAGGCAGGCTGATGGCATCAGAGCCCCCACCCCGGCGGAATCATAACTGCTCTAAAGGGGATCCCAATCTGTCTGATCCGGCGGAAGCTCCCTCGTATACTCTTCTTGGGTATAATCAATACCTCGTCGAATATTCGGGGTGAATAGGACCAGGGATATCGTTAAGATATCAACATGCCAATAGCCATGAAGACCCTGAGATGACAGCACCAGCAACTCATGCAAGTCTACTCAACAAAATTAGATGTGAATGTGAGGAATGGATTATGGCAGATTGAAATATTATTATTCTCGTAAGCAGCTAGTACCCCGTTATCCCATCAATCAATAACATGGATAGTCCCAACTCAACTTTTAATACCCTACAGAACCCTTCTCAACACCTGCAACAGACCCATAGTTAATCCTCGCTCACCTTCTCCACTGGGACAGCAACCACCGGAATCTCCGGCCGAACCACCAACGTGAAATTCGCACAACTCAGCCGCGCATTATCCGAGACCCGATGCACCACGATCGACCGGTTCCCAAAGTACGCGAGCGCGCCGGGCTCCGTTGACAGGTAGAGGTCATTGTAGCGCGCCTCGAAGCCCTGGTCCGCGGCCGTGAAGATGGGCCCATGCTTGCCGCTCAGGTCGCCGATGCGGCAGGCTTGCGGGGTGGTCGTGTTGCAAGGGATGGATGCCCTGCGGCTGTAGGGGTCGAAGGGGGAGCCGGTGCGGTAGCAGTTGCCGTCGCTGGGAACGGGATCCTCGTGGATGTAGTATTCTGAGGCAGGAAGGCTGTGTTAGTATCGATGATAGAATAGGTATCTGGAAAAGGGGGATCATATGGACCGGGGGTGGGGAGGATGCGGGAGGTTATACCCAATGATGAGTTGTTGGGGAAACCCCAGAAGTCGGCGTGAACTTTCACGCCGGTCGCCTTCTCGGGGGCGAGGAGCGTGATCCAGCCGCGAATGGTGGTGTTTTGGCGGATTGGGAGAGTCGCTTGGTAGAGGGCATGATGAGGGTTTGTCACCACTGGGGCGTGGGTGCGGTTCGCCAGAGCTGTTGCTGAGAGGCACTGGCCCAGGAGGAGGGTGGCGATTGTGAGGAGGGACTGCATGTTTGCTATGCAGGCGGTTTATCTGATCTCGATGCTCGGAAGAAGGAGTAATAAAGTTTCCTTTCCAATGGTGGATCAGATTGTTGATTCTCGTACCATGTAGGGGAGCAGAGTTGGAGATGGGCGATTTATATCAGATCAAGCCCTTGTGTACGACTCAAAGAGGCGCAAGGGAGGGGGATGCCGTTGAGTAAATCTGCAGCAATTTATCGCGGAAGCATCAAGGAGGCAAAATCTTCACGTCTCGCTCCTTGTGTTGTTGTAGACGATAGATTGTTTGGGTTGATGTCAATGGTGGAATGTCCATTGCTTGGAATGTTGGCTGCCACAGTAATGGGAGATTCTGCATCATCATCAACACCAGTAGTATGCGCCATTGTCACAGTAGGATTCTGTATCTGTGACTCCTGAGCCATTCAGAGAAAGCTTTTCTTCTGATGTTGCCTCACAATGAAACAATTAATGGTGTTGTGCTCCAGAGAGTGACCGGAGAATGTAGCGAAAGTAACGCCGAGTCATGGCTGTTGTCAACCTTCGCCGACTTCATCACTGTAGTTATCTTTACATCAGTCCAAATTACATCTGCTCATCGATTCAGCTTTAGTCGCGTTAATTCATTCCAGACTGTCAACCTCAGTCCGTAATTGTGATTTCCTGTCAGGCGGAAATCTCCCCTTCCCCCAAACTCCATCCACTTCAACGAAGCGAAGCTAATGAGAACCACAGCAACAAACAGTCATCTAAAGGGTCACAAAGCATAAGAATGGACGAGATTCTCGGCAAGCTTGCCCGCGTCCCCCTCCATTATCGATGATCGGTCTGCTTTGGTCCGGCTCCTGTGGGATGATGAAGTGGACGAGAATCCGTCCACCCCCACAACATCCTCAACTCCCGTCTCCATCAACACACATCGACAGCTGGATAAGTCATCAATCAAGATGCCCTGCCGAAGCCTAGGGCTGAATCTTGAGCCCCTCGTCCATGATCAAGTGACTGTCTTCGCTTTTCGAGATGCTCGGGTATCTCCCCGAGTGGCTTTGGTAGCTGTGCCATAGCCCCAGAAGCTGTTGGAAGGGGTTGTCAGAGGATGTCCGACGACTGGTTATAGCATTGCACCTTGTTTCTCAGGGACCAATATTCTTCTCATCCAGAAACTCCTGGCAAAAATGTCTCTCGCAGAAAAACCAATACGTGATACACCTTGTTGTAGGGGCACTAGATCCCCGCGAAATCGCCCAGCGATGGATCACGAACCTCGGGATCCCATTAAAGAACCCCAAGCATGAGCTCACGAAGCTTGCAGAGCTCTTTCATGAGGACTCTTGGTGGCGAGACATGCTTACTCTCGACTGGGGCTTTCACGCGATTCACAAACTCCCAGAGATCCAACGGTACCTCAGCCTTCCGCCTCCAGCACGAAGGAAAATTCCAACCTAAAGTAGAAAGCCCCGTGGAGGGGCTCCGGTGGATATAATCTATGTTCTTCTTTGACAGTCAGGTCGGCCGTGGTACGGGCGTGCTTCGTCTCACCCAAAACGAGGCAGGGGTCTGGAAAGCATATTCGATCTACACGACCCAGCAAGAGTTAGACGACTTTGAAGAGCCGCTCGGCTTGCGACGGGCTGAGGAGACAATTGAAACGATGTCGGGGGGGCTGAGAAAAGGCAACTGGATTGAACGGCGTCAGAAGCAGGTCGAGTTCCAGGATGAAGAGCCCGCAGAGCTCCTCGTTGGTGCCGGTATGTAAACACCCCCCCACGCTCCTTATAGCTCCTATTAACATCACTGTAGGCCAAGCTGGTCTCAATATAGCTGCTCGGCTGCAGTCGCGCGGTGTCTCATGCTTGGTCGTCGACCGCAACAAGAGAATTGGGGACAGCTGGCGAACCCGCTATAGAGTGCGTTCTTCGCTCCTCACATCCAACCTGTCCAGACATACCTGACCGATCAAAAGACTCTAGTGACACAGGAGCCCGTCGAATACACGCACATGGCATACCTCCCCTTCCCACGCAACTGGCCCCAAGATAATCCCAAAGACAAACTCGCCGACTGGTTCGAAGCCTACGCCAGCATCATGACACTGAACGTCTGGCTTCCAACAAGCGTCAACTCCGCCTCCGACGACGACGCCAAAGCACAATGGACCGTCACCCTTGCCCGCGGCGCAGACGCATCCGAGCGAGTCCTGCACCCGCGTCACATCGTCTGGTGTACCAGCCACTCTGGAGAACCCAAGATCCCCACTTTCCCAAGCCAGGACTCATTCAAAGGAACCGTCTACCACAGCAGCCAGCACCACGACGCGTGCGACCACGAACGTGCGGGAGAAGATGGTAGTGGTCGTAAGAACTGGCAACAGCGGGCACGACATCGCACAGAACTTCTACGAGAACGGCGCGGAGGTAACCATGCTCCAGCGCAGTGGCACCTATGTCACAACATCCGAGCAGGGGGTGCTGATGGCGCACGAGGGCCTTGCACGAGGAGAACGGGTTCGTGATCGTCCTCACACACTCTTCCTCGACGGCTTAACGGCCGCCGGGTTCGCGCTCGACGCCGGAGTCGAGGGGTCAGGGCTCTTCCGCACGTTCATAACCAAGGCTGCTGAGGCGGGGCTGGCGTAAAGCATGAAAAGCATGAACCATGAGTCGGCATGCTTGACAGTCTTTCTACCATGCCCAGAGTAGTGGAGGGATCTGCAGGCCAGCCTCAAAAGGCGACATAGCACAAATCTTGCGATATATATTAGAGTCGAAACACACAAGAATCACATCAAGCAGCTAGTTCCAAAAGACCAGCAAGACATTATCTTCAAAAACGTAATGAGGAAATCTTCTCACCAAGAAAGCAACCATATATACATGCATGGCGGGATTTAGAACATGAAAGCAGTATGATCTTCGCCAAACGCCTTTTGTTTTCGCCATGCAGCCAGAAATGTACAAAACAGGGGAACCATTCGTTATCGAGATCATTAGAAGCAAAAGGACATGTATCGTCTGAAATAGAAAAAAAAAGGTCTTTAAAATTGGTTCGCACCGTCATCAATGATCATCTGTACATCCTTGACCGGGTGTAGCAATATCGGCGGAAGACACATCCTTCCCTCTCCTGCCAATTCTTCTTGCTCGCCGCCATCATTGTCCACCTTGTAGCCGAGCCAGCGGCGCCATAGATTGGGTGAAAACCCAGCAGAGTAGAACCAGGTGGTCCCGCGGAAGTTGTGCTCACGGTCACCGAAGACGGAAGTCCTAGCACCACCAGAGGCGCCGTTGCGGCCAGCGTTGAAGACAGACTCGAGGTACTGAGTGGGCCAGCGGCGATCGATGTACACGGAGTGCGGCACGTAGACCGCCTTGAAGCCGTGGTGTAGCGCGGTAGTGGCAGGCCACATCTCAGAGAACATTGTGTGACGTTTCAGACTCGTTTCTTTGTGCATGGTAAGGAGTAGCTTGCGTGACAGTCTCGAGGCAGTGATAATAGCCGTACGGCGCGGAGGCCTGCCGTTCTCCTTGTTATACCCAGTCACATCGTCTCGCAGAAGCCATGTTGTGCCCTCGGGGTCATACAGAGGGTTGAAGACGATCAGATCCGCGTCCTCGCCGACACCCCATTGGTACTTGTCCTTCTCTGCTGTGGTTTCCGGGACGCCTTCTCCCTCCACCTCAAGAATATCCCGTTCGTCGGGGCGCTCGGGACCCCAGATCATCTTGTCGCCCTGGCGATGGAGAGCAGATTTGTCCTTCGAAGACGGGTCCAAGCCTGGCTTGGCAGCTGCACTCCACATATTGTTCGGGCTGTTCGTGCCAATCTCAGTCTGCACACGAACCATCTGCCGGAAGTCCTCCCAGGATCCATGGACAGAAGGAACATAGAACCGAGCGTTTCGTTCCCAAAGACCCTTGCGAGGTTGTTCCCGGGCCCAACTAATCACCTTGTCGAAGAAATGATACCAATGTCCTGTGTAGCGCACGTCCATCTCCCAGTTCCAGAAGAAGTCATACTCCGGGTGCTGATAGGCAAAATACTGCATCGGCAAGAATGTACTGCGGTATACGCCATGCACGGGTAGTCCTCGAGCCCAAGTTTCTTCCAGCCCAGGGTACATGAGAGCCATCTGTTGTTCTGACCAGAGAGTTCCCATACCTCGGAACTCCTTTGGAAGGGCATCATCGAGTACGCGCTCATAGGTTTCGTCATCTGACCAAATCTGTAGATCACTGTTCTTGACATGGATCAGGAAATGGATAGTATATTCTCCACCGGAAAGCAGCGACAGTTCCGAGATTAACGAGCGCAAATACAAGATATCATCGGCGGTGTAGCGAAAATCGTGCCATGTACGAATCACCACAGCCGTTCGAGGTAAGCGACTCGCGTTAGCCTCGGCTGTTTCCTCTTTTCCAAGGGAATCTGAGGATGACTTGGGAACGCCCACAGGTAAAGCAAGAAAGCGATTGAGTCGCGGCTCGGGGAGATCCTTGAAACGATGGTTATTGAGAGCGACGCATCTGTTCTGGGCAACGGCCCAGTCAATTTGCCGGAAGTCAACAGGAGGAATGTCCTCCCACACCTGCTCTGCCCCCTCACGATCTCCTTCTAGGCCTGCTCCGATACCACCTTTCCGGACACTGTATCCTAGGCCATAGGGACCCAGACGGCCGAACCGATCAAAGCAGACATCGTCTTTGATACCCAGCATCTCGTTCGACCCCATGACTGCATCCGGGAACCCACGAGGCACACCAGGATAGTTGTGGACCAGAGGAATCCGGATAGTTTCCTGATCGTCGAGGAAGCATTCGCGCTTCTCACCATGCGCTGCCACATATTCTCCTGATTTATAATCCGGGTAGGGATTGAAAACCGAGCTCGACATCGGCAGCGTCTGGTCCCTGGCTTCAACCTTGGCGGAAGCCATCTTATTACCAGCACCTAGCCCCATTTCCTCCGTGCCATCCCCAGGATATTCAGGCACAGAATCCTTGCGCGCAACGAGAGTTCTGATGCCGCCATGATACCGTTTTAGAAACGGGAAACTCTCCCATCGAGGCGGCTTGGGGGCTACTTTAGGCAATTCGAGAGCGACCTGTTTGGCGCTGGAAGTAATGGTGAATCGGAAGAGAGTAAGGATAAAGAGCACGAGAGCTGAAAATAATGCGAAGCAGAGGTATCTCATGATCCGATTCGGGACGCGATAGGAGCTCATCGGGCCTCGGCCTCGCCGTGCTGAGGGGGCACCGCCCAGTATGGGCCGATGCGAACTGGAAGAGGACGCTGTGAGGGTATCCTCGCCACTTTCTGAATCGGTCGAACTGCGAGCGCGATGATGAGTATATTGCGAGTGTTGCGGCTGCTTCTCAATATCTACAGCCTCATTGCGAGCATTCCAGGTATGCGCAGCCGTGCGATATGCAGAGGAGTTCCTCCTCTGGACAGCCATGGCGCAAGAGGAAGGGAATGGCCGTCAATAGGGAGACTAATCTGCGAGCAGCCTCATGTAAAGATGATGCAGCGAAGGCGATCGGTCAACTGATTTCGATGGAATCTTTGGGACGAGGGCGACAAAAGCGCAACGAAAAGGGAGTAGGCAATCTGTTAAATTAACCGCGCGTTTGGATCAGCGACTGTTTGCCATTCAGACTTCCAACGAACGGGAGCAAGTACCGAGTAGAGTATATTGACCCAGCCTCAACGTTAATCAGGATTCCAGATCTCCACCAATCCGTCAGATCAAAGTCAAAGCATCTGACCGAGACAGCACTATATCGATATGCTTTTGGTATGCAGGTGGGTTTGAAGCGGAGATGGAATGGAGATGTCTAGGTAGGAAACGAAATGGACGCCTGCGCGAAACCGGACCTGATTCAGTCAGGCGGATATGCAAACCGTGGATGGATAATAGCTCACCGTTTGAGACAAGTAGAATAACAATTGGACGTGCTCTGGACCAGGGGAGTCTGGAATCTCGTCAACAAACCGCACTGCAGTCAGTTGGCGAGACTTGGCGTTGCCCAAGGGATACTGAGCGCTTACGCACGTCTAGCCAGAGAGTGGGTCAATTATTTTGGAGATGGCTGAAAACAGATAAGAGGCGTGAGAGTTGCAACTTGGAAGAGTCCAATGTTATAGGAGAATCGAAGCTCGGGATACGATTTAACGTATAGGACCTGCAAGAGTTTTCTTGAAGCTCTTCGAAGAAGAGTCGACTCTGACATCGCAATCGAATTCTCTGAAGGCCCAGCATCAACGCATATATAGTTCCCAATACGGTTAGTGTCAGGTCACGGTGGCCCTAACCCCTTTTAGAAATGTACCTTGTTTTGCGCATAAAATAACCGGTGGAATAATGAACTTTGCGATTTGACTATGGCATTGTACCTGCAGCTCCAAGAGGGTCCTTTAGAAGAAATAGTCCGTAATGGAGCACGAGAATTGAAGGTCCAATGAAGGAATTCTTATGCTTGTTGATCACATATCGAAACAGTGTTTCCGCTTCTGATTCCATATACATCACGTCTCAATCTCATCAAATTTGGATAAGAGACCAGGAACCAACAATATATCGCAATTAGAGGGTATCTTCCTAGTAAATCTGCCTTAAACCATGCCGCTCCCATTCCCGTCTCATCGAGATTTTCCAATGATCGATACCGTCGTCTTCCTCTGGGCTGCAAGGCTGAGGGAAGAACACTTCGTCGGTGCAGAGTGAGTGGTAGCCAGAAATCCAGCCGGCAAAGGCAAAGCATCCATTTGATATGCAGTTCTCCTGGTGCTTGAGACAACCCTTGCGTATCTAGCATGCTCGGTGTAGATGCATTTCTCCAAGAGCTCAAGCTGCTGCTCAGCGGACAGACATCATGCCATGATGGAAGTCGTTCATCGTGATCGTAAGAGCCAAGCCGAGTCTGCAGTCTTCGCAAAGGCTGTCCGTCATATGGAGTCGAATGTGTGGATTGTTCACGCGTTCTTCGTGCCCTTGACCACCTCGCCCTTGACTTTCGTCCAGTCGATATCTTTATCAATGGCCTCGTCGATTTCGCCGCACAGAACAACGTTGTCACCGCGGATCAGGTAGAGGCCATGCTCAATCTGCGAGCTCGGTTCGGGGTCATCGGGCGTGCGGATAATTCTCTCGATGGTGTCCACCAGAACAAGATTCGTCAGTTGATCTGTCGATAGGAGTGTTCCGAGTAATGTTCGGCCGTCGACTGTGAGGATGAGGACCTTCTCTGGTTTTGAGGTAAATGTTAGCCGGGAACTTCAGACTCTGCGTATCTACACTCTCATGTATCTTTGAGTGTATGCGGACTGAAGGGGGGACGTACTGTCGATGTAAGAGTGCAGAGACATTTTTGTGGAGCTGTGAGACCACTCAACGATAAATAATTCTATTTAGAGATAATATCCGAATCAAATGTGATCCAGAAGTAGTTTTCCCACTTGATCACTGAGCTGCCGCCGCTGCTAACTCCAAGTGATAGCTGATGGGAAGCGGGCAAGAATATACAGATGCTCAGTGGAATCAATCAGAGATATCGAGGCTTCTAATATGGCCCAGGAAATGTTGCCGCTTGCCGGTTATTGATGTAGATGATTAGCTTCGCTGTCGCGCAATGTGACGTTGTTTTTGCTTCCTCGTCGGAGATCCTATGCTTTACGTATCGCCGTCCAGCGTCTGTATTCGGTCACGTGCATCGTTTCCCAGACTGTCCACCATTGATACATTATCGAAACATAAGAGAAGTGCCTACAAACAGAACAAATATCATAGATGATGGAATTCTTTTCGCTAGAAATTTGTATGCCTTGCGACAATGACTCAGGCTTCATGTACAGGAGAAGTGCACAGCTTCATCATCCACCGAGGCTCTCTGTCCAACTTACAAAGAAAAGCGTAGCACCAAAAAAAAAAAAAAAAAGGTCCATATCTTGTGATCATACTATCCACTCAGCGCACTGAGGTCTAATGGGACACTGCTACCTCGCCCAGCACGATACCGCCGGGCACCCCCGACGAATGGCCTTGGTTTAGGGAGCAATCCATCACTTTGGAACTTGAACCTAATATCATCGACTGGGAGTATTCCATGCGGTCCTGCACTCAAATGACCGGGCGAAGATCCGCCATTGGTCAAAGTATAAGCACTGGGATCCAAGGTTGAACGACCCACTGGATGACTGGGCGATGGCGCTGGAGCTTGTGTTGGTGGAGGAGGGGGATGACTTGGGGGAGCGACCGGCGCAGTAGGAGGTGCTGAGGGAGGAGGTGGGGGAGGAGGTGCCGAAGGGGCAGATGCAGCTGGTGGGGGCGGGGGCGGAGCAGATGGCGCATGGTTGCTGTGTCCCAGGGCATTCCGAGCCGCTTGTACTGCGATGGAAGCGGCCGCTGCTCCATTAGTATATGGCGAGGGGGCAGCCGATGGGGGTGGTGGCGGAGTGGATCGCGCAGGTGCCGGGGGAGGTCGAGGCGCTGAAGCTGCAGGAGGTGGCGGAGGAGGAGGAGGAGGAGGAGGAGCAGCTGGTGTGGAGGAAACTGGTGGGGGAGGCGGTGGTGGAGCTGGTGAGGATGGTTTCCTCGAGGTCAATGGGGGTGGAGGTAGCTTCGCTGAGCCTGGCAACGGAGGAGGCGCTCGTGGAGGTGGAGCATCAGGTGCAGATTTGATGGATGTAGTTGAGATTGCGGATGAGGGCCTTGAAGCCGGTCTCGGTGGGGGCTTGCGCAGGTTTGCAACTAACGGATTGACCGGAGGAGCAGCAGGCGGTTCTGTCGACTGAGGAGGCAGCGGTGGACGGGCACCTGGAGGCCTAGGAGCGGATGCGACAGGGGGTCTGGGGGCCCGTGAGCCTTCCGAGTCTGACATATAAGGTGAGTCGCGATTTGCTCCAGTATCGACCCCTCCACGACTGCGCAATTTTGGCATTCCTCCTACAAAGAGCCCTCCTAACTGAGGAGCAGCTGGTGCACCGCCATCCCCCATAGAGCCACTTTCGCTGCTACTCCGTAGTCGGTTGCCTGGAGGTACAGGTGGTGCCAATCCGCTCGGAGGCTTCGGCATGCCAGGAACAGGTGGTGCGCCAGCAATCGGAGGCACCGATGCTTTCGTTCCCCCTCCTGCAATGAGCGGTGCTGATCTGTCATTTGTCACGGCTTTCTTCAGTTTGGTACCCTTGCTGATGTCTGAGAGAAGAGCGCCCTGTCAGCAAAGTTAGCATCGGCGCCCCATATGACACGGCCATGGGATTGGACGAACCCTGCCTTTAGCCTCCCCCTTTGTAGGCCGGTTAGGGAAATTTCCAGGAGGAGGAGGGGGAGGGGGACCTCCCATCCCTCCAGGCGGCGGCGGAGGGGGTGGTGGAGGAGGAGGCATCGTGGTACTGTGGATGACAAATGATGGAATTGACGGCTTGAGAGAAGTAGAAGAGCGATGAATGTAAAATCAAGAGACGAAGGATTCAATCCCCCGTAAGGATATAGGTCATTTGACGACTGTTATTGTTGCGGTGATGGCTGTCTTTTGAGAAAGACAAGTACGTCAGGCAGCGGAGTTAGTGAGTAGCAGTAGCTCGTAGTACTACTTAGTGGCGGTGCTGCGGCAGTCCCTCCAGTGCGGTTGGCCATCTCCGCTTTTCTCTGCCAACGCTTTGGAGACGAGGGAAGAGAACGGTCGACTCGTTACCTCCTGGTCATCTCGATTCACTATGAAGGGCATTGCTTTCAGAAGTCAGAAGGCCTCAAGGCCCGAAGCATTGGTCTGTCAATTTTGTCGGTTTTCCAGCAAGCCTGTTGTCCGTCAGACACCGTTCGCGCGACGCTATGCCTCTACAGCCTCTTTCGCTCCCCGGTTCCAACCAAGCCAATTGCGACCAAGGAAGGATCCTAGGAACCTATTGATCGTTACGAGATCTGTCCCTGGACGATTGATATCAGTTGCATCAGATGCTTCTACACTTTCTGACCCGGAGAGCGCCTTGCGACAACTCTCCCAAGAATCCTCAAAACTCCGAAACGTCAACTCCGTACCTTCAAATGAGGCGATTTTGCAGATTCTGCGGAATTGTGAACAGATAGCGGAGGCGCTCGTGAGTCGGGAGCAGGACCACAAAGAGAGTCCTTCCTCAGCAAGGGAGGAAGGTAATGCGATCTCCTCATTACTGGACCTAGAGGAAAAGAACGCTTCGAAAAAGCGGTCCAAGTCGGTTCTGAGTGCGCAACCACACCTAGCCGACGCCGTGACGGAAATCACCACCGAGCTCCTCCAGGACGAAAAGGTCTTCATTTCCCCGGAAGCCCTGGCATCGTACACCAAGACCCAGACTCTCTTGAAAAGAGCCGAGCATTTCCCAGAAATCTTCCATATGTACGCCCATAAGCCAATTCCCGAGGAGAACAGCTCTCCAGTCAAATACCATAAGGCGAACCCCAAGAGCGTCAACAGCGCAATTCCCGCCGAGCTCGCCAATTCGGCCCTGGCAGTCGCCATCGAACAACGGAATCTCTCCCTCGTCCTGTCGATCATAGATAACACCTTCTGCGCCCCGGCTTACCACCGAGCTAAACTCTTCAGAAAGGCAGCCGTACCACTTGGTGGCCTTGCCGCTACACCCGCCGCTTGCTACGCTATTGCCTCGTGGGCCTCAACTCTGCAAAACACCATGGACCCGAGTACAGCAACGGGTATTGCATTCGCAGCCACCCTTGCCTATGTCGGAGGCACGTCTTCGATTGGCTTGTTGGCCATTACCTCGGCAAACGACCAGATGGAACGAGTGACCTGGGTTCCGGGTATTCCACTGCGGCATCGCTGGCTTCGGGAGGAGGAGCGGGCAGCCCTGGATAAAGTTGCTGTGGCTTGGGGATTCAAGGATATCTATATGAGAGGCGAGGAAGAGGGGGAGGAGTGGGATAATTTACGTGAGTTCATTGGCATGAGGGGGATGATCCTTGACAAGACCGAACTTATGCCTGGGATGGAGTAAAACACCAGTTATTCATATTCAGTTGTACTATATCTATTTGATTTGTCATAACCATAAATACTAGAACCTAGCAGGAGTGCGGTTTTGATATACCAGAGAATAGAGCGGTCCAGTCAGGGATACGAACTACAGTGTAATCGGTAGAAAAAATTAGGATCGAAGTCGTGAGTATTACATTTCCTAACTATGGCATATACAATCTCACTTCTGAGCTCCTAAAGACACCCTGACACAAAGCTAATTGCGCAGAACATCTAGTAGATGCGCTTGGGGGGAGACATGGTAGCCTTGAGGACAAGGCTGCCAACGTTCTGCCAGCCCTTCTTGAGCAGGGAGACGAGGTAGTTGATGGCCAGCATGACGTTGGCGACGAGCTCGTCGTTGGTCATGCCGACGTTGCCAACGGCAACACCGAGACAGAGAACCTTCTTAAGCTGGAACTTGATGGTGGACTTGATCTCGGTGATCTTGTTGGCCATATCCTCGTTGTGGGAGACGGGGGTAGGGAATTTACCGGCTGGAATCACCGTTAGCATTTATTCGAGATCAGATTACGAGGGATAAAATCGGAGCACATACCCTTGGACAGACCGGGACCCAGGAGACGGGGAATCTGCTTGATGAGGGCTTCGGAAGCGACGAAGGCATCGTACTTGCGAGCAAGCTTCTTGATGAGCTTCTTGTTCTTGTTGAGCTTCTTCAGATCATCAGCGGACATAGCATCGATGCCGTGGTGCTTAGCACGGTCGAGATCGTGCTGGTCACCGAGAACACTACAGGCGATCAACTGTCAGCCACGTCTCCCTTTCGATTTCGAAACCGTCCATCTTCTTGTGTCCAGATTCCTCCAGGCTGGTACACCACCAGATGCGGTCGGTTTGCGACGAATTTGACATACCAGATGCTCATGTTGGGACGGGGAACGCTGGGCAGCTTGATGGTGCCGGAGAAACGCTTGTCACGCTGGGGGTCGTAGTTCTTCAGGCCGATCTGAAGCTCGACGGTCTCGAGGAAGTTTCTCTTCTTCTCATTCTGAGAGTAGTTGAGCAGCTGCTCGACATTCTCGCGCACTCCGGCTGTGATGAGACGAGTAATTAGTTGCCGCACTATGAGACTGTTCCTACTGGTAAAGGATCAGAACATACCGACTGTGATCTTAGACATGATGGTGACAGTCTTCCAAAAGAATCCTTTAAACTCTTATGGTGTGGCTCTGCGCTGAATACCGGTGCAGGGACTAGAAGAAATTGAGACTTCAATGTTCGCCGTAAAGAAATCACGTTCTCCGCTTGTGGGTGTGGATGACGCTAGCCCCAAATGAACTAGGGTTGCCCTAACTTTTGCATCTCTGCTGACTAACAAGCTACATAACTTTCTGTTTATTGAATAATAGTATTTATGTTCACAGACAAATAGAGAGTTTACGGGGATATCTAAGGGCAAAGGATATAGAGGTGGATGAGATAATCATTCCCTTACTTCGGATTCAAGCTGGGCAGTCATCGCGCACCCGATAGATTATACAGAGCGCCTATGGCAACACAAAACCGCATCAACTTTCTCTACTTTCTTCTCATTTGAAGTGATCGTCCAGTAACTTGAGTTGAGTCGGTGCTAAGGAACGTCTTCACTTGGCGATAATGAATGGGCAGCTCAAGCAGGGATATTATGGCCGAAGTTAAGGCCAAGATTATCCAAGTCCCAGATCTGGCCCAGTTCACCCAGATCCACATTGAAAAGGTCAGTCAAGTCTGAGGGTGAGGGTACTAGTCCCTCCAAATAAGGAAAACGTGGTGTCAAAGAAGCATGCAACCCAATCCCGAGCTCATCCGACGGCAGCAAACCGTTTATATCACCGAAGACGTTTTCTGAGGCTAAACGAGTCTCGGAAGTCTTTGGCCCTTCCGCAGAGTCGGCGGGTTTTTTGGGCTGTAAGATCGTATGTTCTTCTGGGGACAACGTGAGATTGTTAACGAGCTTTGTCAGTACTGAAAAGAATATTGCGGCGGTTTTAGTACTGTGGCCGATATGTTCCAAAGTATCAAGGGCTATTGCAATGGCTCTAAGGATCCTTTCTCGCTGAGGAAGACAGCGATGTCGATCATGGATCACAGCTGAACATAAAATGGCAGCCGTGTCAAACATTGCAAATGGCGCAAAATGGGGGTTGGTATTCGAAGGCTCCATGCAATCGAGTAATCGGCGAGACGCCTCCATTAACTTGAGGGCGATACCAACGGCAGTAGGCTGAAGACTCTTCTCGATACTGGCGGACCCTTGGTCAACACTCTTAGTTAGACATCGTTTCAATGGCATAAGCATCACCAAGTAGGCAATTGTATGCAGCTGAATTCGTTGCACCTCTATATAGTTGTAATCACTGTCCCACCGCGTATCGGGGTCAGTCAATTGAAAGGCAGGAGGAAATGCAGCCAGCCATTTCTCTGTTTCTTGTTGGACAGCAACGGCTTGTGTGGGAGTCACGATCCCGCCTATCACCCCAGGAATTTTCGTTAGGGCTCGCCCCAGTTGGCACTGAAGTGCAATAGGTACTATAGGCGATGGTAGATCCGCCTGTGTACCATCGGTTTCTAATCGTAAATTAGGCATCTCGACAGAGCAGTAATCGCTATTGATGATGAAGGGCCGCGATAGCATAAGTGACATTTGCCTTCTTGAATGAGCACCTAACTGCAAGTTTGGTATAAGGGTGTAACTGACCAGTCCCAGCTGTACAAAATACACCAGACTCGCCGTCTCATCTCTTTGTCAAACTCCGGGATCCCCGATCTAACAGAGCTCCTATGCATACCTATCCATTGATTAGCAGCTCCTTTTATGACCAGAATAGAGCAGTTTGTACCCAGCTCCTGTGCCTCATGGATGGCAGAGCTTAATGCATGCCACGACTCGACAAACATGGCTTGGGCTTTGAACCATGTAGCTGTAAGAAACAATTGTTGAACCTGAGTTAATCCCCCTTTACCTGGAGAAATGGTGTTGCTCAATTGTTTTGTGGCGTAATGGTAGCGCTCCGAAAGGGCCTGAACATTCTCTCCCAATTCCAATTCCAGCTGCTGTCTTGCTTCTATGTCGAGGAATAGTAAAGAACATGCACAAGTCCGTAGCAAGAGACCTGTAAATTCCGGTGTTAGAGTCTGGCCATTTGCTTTACCTGACCACCACGTGGAATAGTCGCGTAAGAACATCGGTGGGTAGAGACAGCAGTACTGCGAGTTGATGCCCCCAATATAATTCTGTATGAGGAGATCTAACATTCTGTGAGCTCAAAATACCAAACAGGGAACTATGACACACACCCGTATACGGTTTCGGGGGTATCACACGTAGCACGCTCTCCATCTCTGGAGAATATGGTCTTTGAGGTGTAGGTGATACAGCAATGGAGTTCTATCAGAGCTTAGGTCAACAAAGAAAACGACAGTTTAACCATTCATAGAGCATACTTCACTCGCATAGCCTTCTGCTAGTCGAACTTCGGGAAGATACCCTAAAATCTTAAAGTCCTCTTCATTTTCCCCGGCTGATGTCGCAGCATCAGCCAAGTTTGGCTGTGCCGAATTTACACCAACTTCACGATAAGCAGCATTTGATCTGAGCATACATTAGTCGAGGACTGAAACAAGTGAGAGCGTGTAGGCGGACCTTGAATCATTTTCAGCCGCTTTACTCGATTTCATCACCTTCTTCGGTGCAAATTTACAGAGATGGGCAATCCTCCTTGCCTGGCAGTGATTACATGGCCACTCACGGCTACACTACGAGGTATGTCAGCCATTGAAATGGAATACATATCAGATTGAACACCAGTGGTCCAGCTTGCCTTCTGTTTCCGACGTTGGCACTCTGTACAGGAGGTAGCCAGACGGACTGCCCGTCCATTTTCCGTCTGGTTCGCCATCGCAGGCAGTTCAGATCATGGAATACACTTTAAAAACCCACTGCACATTGCTTACTCCATTTAGATGAGATGAGAGTTGAGGATTAGTGAGTGAATATGGTTCTCTTCTTCAAAAGGCTGACGGAGTATGAACGATGAGAATAAGCTCCGTTTCCACAACGTGGAGAACCAGTGTGACACGTGACATGATCACCACCATATCATGCAGGCATTGGGCTAGATACTGTTGTTAAGTCTGATAAACTTCCATTCATGCCAGTAAAATCCTTCAGAGTAGAAAAGAAGCTCATTTAGAGGGATATATCCCCCGGCTTCTTGGATTCTTGCACCAGGACACGCAGACAAGCATAAAACGTTATCGTCATCTAGGCATCCCTGCAGAGCATCTGTCACGGGGGAATATATATGTGTCTCGAGGAAGGATAATCAGCTGCATGCGCTGACAGAAACAAACCAAGCAGCCAGATAAAATAAGTCAAAGATTCTGTATCACATCGACACCTAATTGATCATTGATTCCTGCAGATGACTAGGGTCATTTGAGTCTCTTCAGAAGCCACACGAGCATCCGTTGAAACAAGAAGCTGAATTTAGGCGCTGGCTAGGCGCAGGTAGAATTCTTGTGCCTTCAGGGTTGAGAAGATATTAATATCTCCTAGTCTCTTGTTCTTTTCATTTAAAATCATTTACCTATCAAGTCCTTACTACATCGTCATCTCGTCTGCCCTATATATGTTCAAGATATACAAGAATTGATGGTATATTGAGCGGTTTACAGCAAGAATAAGGGAAGAATGTCCAGCTTCTCGTCAGCGCGTAGTGATCAGATACCCCACGCATACTACTCAGCCTTGACCAGTCGACCATCTCTTCAAGATGAATTCCACGACATTGACAACGAGGGTCACTTTCAAACATACTTGCGTCGGCTGCAAGATGCAACGACACGGAATTTTGTGTTGGACTTTGGCAATGATGATGCCTGGTGTGCGATGAATCTGGAGCTGGAGGATATCTCGCTGCTGTTGCGCCATCCAGTAAGCTTGTTCCAGTACACGACGGTACTTGGCTATTGCTAAGGCTTTGAGCGTTCAGAAACCTAAATGCTTCGGGACTAGATGGATGTGAGTTAGACCCCTTGCCAATCTAGACAGTTGTGCTGATGGTTGTCGATTCCAGCAACATCTGGGCCCCTGAAGAACAGAAGGACTTCATAAAGGTTTGCTGTTGAACGAATCTCTGGGAGGATAATGTCTGACGGGATTAGGCGATCATGAGCTACTATGGCGTCTCAGAACGACTACAAGGAATGATGTGTACGGATCCTGTGGTAGTTCCATCTAAGCCACCAGTGCCTGCTCAATCATTCAGGCGTAACTTTCGCAAGAGTATCGATCAAACTCCTCGTTCTCGCATGGAAGATCTTGAAGATGGATTCCTGAAGAGCCTATCCCATCCGGATGAGATACAGAAGGCAGCTTCATTCCGTGGCCTTACATTCGCCCATGTTACGAATCAAATCTGGCATTTTTGCTCGGTGGATCATGGACCCCGATGTCAGCACGATCATTCGCATGGCCAATATAACTTGCTGATTAGTCTTAGATACCTGTATCGGGTACAATTCGGTCTATGTGATCCCGAACATGAATATCTCGAATGGTCGGGATCTTCCTAGTGGCAAACGTCTATGGTCCTGGTTGATCCTTTGTGATAACGGTGAGTATTCCATGCGAGTCCAGATAACCCTCACTGACCCGTTTTTGAGGTACTGTCATTTCAATCCAGGAGAACCCATTTCCTAGGCTAGCCGAACCACGTTCAGATGCCGAGATCAAATCAGTACTGGGTATTGTTCGCCGAAACGTGCAGATGATCTTTTCAGGAATGTCCAAGCAGCACTTCGCGTCATCAGAAAGTGATTCTTTGGTCACGATCCGTGTGCGCGCTGTGGGAGATTCATCTTCAGATCATGTAAGCATCCATCAAGACGATGGCCCTGGCTTACTCTTTTACTACATTTTCGATGACTGGGTCTCGAGCTATGCGCTGATCGCCAAACGCGAGCATCAATACGGGGTCTTGCTGGACAAACTGGTAAGTAATCACTTGGAAAACTTGCTGACTCATTGATCTAATTCCTACTATAGAGACAAGATATGTTAACTAAACCGGCCGTCGACTTGGTGAACGAACTGCACTGGTTGGGAAGAAGGATGGCGGTCCTAAAGCGCGTTTACCAGAGCTATGAGCTTGTTTTGACGCGCGTGCTTCAAAGACAGCGCTTGCTCCGCGATGAGGCGCGCGCACATCCTAGAATGGTAACTGGGCATGCGCTGCGAGAAAATGAAGCAGGAAATCTGCAACACCCCGCTCTACAAAAGAACCCATCAGATCTGTCCACCTCTTCAGATAATTCAGTAGGGGTGCGGTTGAACTCGGCAGCGGTGGCTCGGATCGAAAGACTTCTTGACCGGATCAAGTTATATTGTCTGTCTGAGATTGACGCCTGTTTGATGGAGAAAGAATCTCTCACATTCCTGGTCAGTATCCTGCTCTTTTGCACTTTCAAGGACGAGCAAATAATTGACTGGTCAATTTTAGAACTTCAACCTTATCGCCCTCAAAGATTCGCAGGCCGTTGAAAAGTTGACGAGAATCACTATCCTGCTAGCTAAGATCACGATCTTGTTTCTACCTGTCAGTCTGATGACGGCGTACTTTTCAACCGAACTGAGCGGCGTCAAAGGCGAGTATACGCAGACAGAATACTGGGTCAGCTTTGCAGTGATCATGGTCTTATCGATGCTTGTTCTCGTCTCCTTTGGATACGCCAGCGGTACCATCGAGGGCAAGCCCATATATCGATCATTGTGCCGCAGCTTTCTGTCCTCATCCAAGGATAAGTTGGCGCATCCACGAGACCATGTTGACTAATCCGCTCTTGTGCCATCACGTTTTATATGTTGACCAAAATTGAGAACAGACGAGAAGCTTTCAAACTAGCAATGACCCTGGATTTATGGTTATGACGCGCGGATGGAGTGGTCCCTGTGGATTCTGGGTTGCCAGTGAACGACGAATATATGGACCCAATAGATGGGACCTGAATTATGACGATTGCGGCATGGTCAGATGGCCATGATACCAAGTACTGTTAACGACCGCCTTGCCAAGGAGAAAAAGGCTGAGGGTCTGAAAGCACGAGACAGCGATAACGCAATTGGGATATATCTAGGCCCAGTGCCACCCAAGGCGGTCCAGTGGCATTCATGGTCCAGCCGGGGACCTATCAGACGCTCGAACGGTCAATCAGTATTATGAATGAATGTCTGAGCCTTGATTCGAGGAGATGAAGGCAAAAAGGGAGAAAAGGACGTTGAAGGGGGGTGGGGGGTATCCAGGCATCAAGGTAGAATAGACTATCTGAGTCTTTTAAAAGGCAGTCCGTATTCAACGGTCCACTCCGTAGATGCAAAGTATCAAGTTGTTCTGATCCAGATTCAACTGTTGCTTCATTATCATCACTGCCTTGAAAGGAGCCGTTCTTAGTGCGCCAATCGACGGGAAACACCGTGTCCTTTTCTGGGCCAGGCAGAGATGATTCAAGGGCGAGTTATCAGGGTAGACAGCCGACAAGGAGGAGGATACGGGTAATTTTGGATTCCAGATGAACTTTTGATGAAGACAAATAAGAATCCTCGATAAACAATACCAGGAGATTGATTTAATTATCATTATTATTATTATGGTCAAGTGAACTGAGTTGCTTGTTCATTATTATTGATTATATTTCTGGTGGTTTCGTTAGTGACGGAAGCTACGCCGGCGGCTGAATTTCTCGACCTGACCGTTTTGCACCCAAAAATTCCACCGTCGACAAAAACACAGACAGAGAGAGAAGTCAGAAGACGGAGACAGAGAGGATCACAGGAGAACCCGACCTACTACTACCTGACTACGACTAAGGTGTGTATCGACCTATTCCATCCCAGCCTATCTATCAAAGTCATCCTTCCCACACCCCCTTCCTGTATTCCACCCTTCATTATTGCTTTCATTATTCCCAATTTCACTTGTGTTGGTAAGTCTGTCTGGCTTCTGATTGTTTTCCTCATCCCCTCCCCTCCTCCATGTCACTGTCTCCTGTTTCCTTTCCACTCTCCCCTTCTTTGCCTCCCCCTCTCCCCTGACTCTGCATCACACTGTTATTCCCCGGGTGTGAACACGCTCCCCTCGTTCTTCAAATCACCCCATTCCTAGTCCTCGTGGCTTTTTTTTTTTTTTCTTTCTCGCCTTAGAGTTGGATTATTTCCATCCTTCTTATCTGCAATTACCATAATTTATATCCTCTTGCCTTTCGACCCGAAGACGCAACGCCGTTCCGATTGCTTCTTCTTCTCCAGGAATTAGATTGACTGATTTGACCTTCGCGCTCTATCTAGACTCGCTCACACCACCGACAACATGGGTCTCACCTTCTCGAAGCTGTTCGATAGACTATGGGGGAGAAAGGAGATGCGAATTCTGATGGTTGGTCTCGACGCCGCCGGAAAGACCACCATCCTGTATAAGCTCAAGCTTGGTGAAATCGTCACCACCATTCCCACAATCGGTCAGTGCTATGTTTCCCGTGGCTTCGAGTCGATTCACCTCGTCCACGGTCTATCACACTGGGGGATCTCGATATCCGCTTACTAGGAGAGTCGTCGATGCTGACGTATGATTGGTTGTTGTCACAAAGGTTTCAATGTCGAGACTGTCGAGTACAAGAACATTCAGTTTACCGTGTGGGATGTCGGAGGTCAGGACAAGATCCGTCCTCTCTGGAGACATTATTTCCAGAACACCCAGGGTATCATTTTCGTCGTTGACAGCAACGATCGCGATCGTATTGTCGAGGCCCGGGAAGAGTTGCAGCGCATGCTGAACGAAGATGAGCTCCGTGATGCTCTGCTCCTTGTTTTCGCCAACAAGCAGGATCTGCCTGTATGCAACCCTTTGATCCAGTCTTGGCGGTTATTTTGGCACTAGAACGTGTTGTGGTACGGCTACTGATGATGATTATCTTTAGAACGCCATGAGCCCCGCCGAGATCACTCAGCAGCTGGGTCTGCAAAGTCTCACCCGCCGTGCCTGGGTAAGTTTCGATATTGCTCTAATCACAGGTGTTGAGATGCTGGCGCAGACATGGACTAACATGATTCCCTCCAGTACATCCAATCCACCTGCGCCACCACGGGTGACGGTCTGTACGAAGGTCTGGAGTGGCTCGCCGATACGCTGAGGAAAGTGAACAACAACTAGAATGTTATAATGCGATGAGGGGACGATGAATACCTGGACATGTGACGAGGAGTTGTGCGAATGATGGTTGGGGGACCAGGGCCGGCAAAGACACCTTGCATACAGAAGGGATTTGCTTCTTGGTGGTACTTTTATGTTCTCTTAACGGCTCTTCATTCCTCTATGCTATTAGCTTTTATTTCTTCTTTCGTCCCGGCGTCGATTCTAACAAATACTCTTTTTGTGCCTCTTTTTTTTTTCTTAAGAAAAAAAAAATATTTCCATTTCATCTGTTGTCCATGTCCTACCGTCAAAAAGGCGCGACGTTTATGATTTACTCAGAATGGTTATGTTTTCACTAAGCATATGGCTAGGATCTGGATGTAGTCGGGACGATTGGAATAAAACAATCATAGTGTTACTTGTCCTGATATCAAAATCCCACGATCTCTGATCTCCTTCACCGACTGTTTTCATGACCAATATATACACATGCTACTACTAACTCGCAGTCCTCAACCCCTCAACTCGAACGCCTCACCTCCGTGCCACTCACCCACCACACCGCCGCCCGAATAATCTTCATCACACACTCCAGCTCCCCCTCATCCCGCGGCGCATACACCATCACAAACCCCGGCGGCACGCTCCTCGCCCACCACCACCACCCAGCGCCCCAACCATCCCACGCCAGCGGATGCCGCTCCCCCTACCCCTTCTCCAACACCGCCCTCACATCCGCCGGGTGCAGCGCCAGATGCAGACTCCCGTCACTGGAGTGCGAGTGGCACACTTCGCCGTGGCAGGTGAGGCGGCGGGCCTGGGCGGGTGAGAGCACGCGCGACGCAATGGCGGGGCTCTTCGTCGCGGCGACCGCAGCCGCGCAGAAGATCCCCGTGCTGTGTTTCTCGAAGCAGGAGGTCCCCGTGCTCAGCGTGTGCGGGTGCTGCGCGGCGAGACCGTGGATGGCGCGTGTGAGCGCGGCGTAGTTGGCGGCGCTGGCTTTCTGGTCTGTCTGTCTGTGCGGGGCGATGCCTGCGACGTGGGGGCGCGGCCCGTGTCGTGGTGCGAGGGTGTGAGGGAGGAAGCCGTGTTTTGGGTGCAGGGTTGGTGGGAGGGAGGGCGGTGCGAGCGGGTCGGGGATGGTTAGCAGGCGGAGGACGGTGATGCGCGCGTAGCCGGTTGGGGTGGACGGGGTGCCGCCGGGGCCGAGGGCGAGGAAGGCGTGGTAGTCTTTGCGGATGTAGTGGGCTGCGAGGAGGAAGGAGGGGAGACAGGTGAGGAGGATGAGGATGGGGAGGGCGGAGGGTAGAACATGTGGTGGTGCGGGTGTGGTGGGTAGGTGTTTGGAATCTGCGGCCAGGTTGATGGTCTGGAGGAGTTGCGGGCTGGTGAGCTGGTATTCGGATCTGCTGGCTATTATGTTGTATGCTTACCATGTTGATGATGTTGTCGTGGATGAGTGTAGTTCGATGTGCATACGAGGGAGAGGAGTCGGCTTTACTGTTTTGGGTTGGGATCATGATAGAGATGCCGTGGTGCATTGTAGTTGAATCTATTTATACAATATACCCTTCCTCTGAGGTACGATCGTCGTCGTCGTCTTCGAAAGAGACTTCACAATCACGCAAGACAGCTCCAGGTGAAGTCGGCAATTCTCAATCATCACTGTTGCATCATCCGCAGCGGGTGACTTGATGCCATGGCGAGTGTCTATTCCAAGTCATGGAATTGGTCAATTGAAGGCCATTCGGGCGTTAAGCGAGAAGTTTGCCATGGAACTGTTTCTCTTTGACAGGTTGACAGGCACTGTGGCCACATTTTTGCGAATACAAATCCCGACATTTGTTGTCGCACAGTCCAAGTCAGTTACGAATCATCCTATTAGTGATGCTCTAGCAGCACTTTACTGATCATGCAAATACAATGAATATGGATATGCAACCAACTCCCATATGCATAATTCACCGACTATCTATGGATGATCATAGATGGTTTCCTTGAAGTTGAAAAACGATATCTCCGCCTTGATATCAAGAGTGCAAGTGTCGATCAATTGTAGCCCCTCCGTGAACTGGCCGTGTCAATTTTCAGACACGGTTTGAGCTAGAGTACCGTGCAGACGGCTTGACGGTCGCGGTTTGTTTGATCCTCGTATACCATGGGATTTCCGTGAACGAGTGAGGTGCAGTTGCACGAGTATTCGAATCATGGACATAAGGAAGGATAGTGGATCTTCAATAAGACCCCTAAGTGTCCATACTTCAGTTATATCAGTGACTGATCGTCGCACACTCAATTCGAGGTAGGTGCGGCGAACAATGTATGGATGGTTTCAGCATCACAACTCAATTGCATGGTACAGAGCACATCCATACAGGAGACGTCGCTGAGTCAACTGCACATATAGGCAGCCGAATTCTTAAGGTGTCAGACGACAAGGGAAGCCAACTGCTCGACTATCCTTCGCGAAGTCATAATTTTGGGATGGCGATGCCGGGTTCTGCGTGAGTCTGATGGTAGCATCAGTCCTCTCACGCTATGAACCAACTTATGGTTTCAATGATGCCGCCGTTGACTTCTGAAACGCTTCTAGCATCAAGGTTTCAAGCGGAAGCATCCCTCGTGAGCCGAAACCTTCTCCAACAGCCGCTCGGCTGCAAAGGAGTCTTCTATTAAAAGAGAGAAGGGGTGATGGCAGATACCCTTGCTGTATGTACCTATGCAATAAGGTAAGGGTGGCTTGGAGAAGAGGAATGTCAATTTCCATAGAAAGAATGGAAGATCTTTGAACTTACCTACTCTGTACATGCAGGAATGTGTCTTTTCTTATTTTCTTGCTGCCTGTTTCATAGTGTGTGGGGGAATCCAATGGTGATTCATGGGTTTCAACCCTCAACGCTCATCCAGCTGGGAGAGACGAGAGACAAGAGACAATACAAGAGACTTCACAGAACTACAGTCTCATCCACAATGAGATTGCATCTGTACAGCATATAGTCTTATGATTATTATTCTCTGAGACTGGTTGATGACCATATCTCAACCTGAATTGAAGACTAGAAAAAAATCCCGTGTCTCCTCCAGAACGGTCCCGCCTCTCTCTCTCCATCCGCCAAGAGCGACAATCACCCAACTTCCCCTGACAGCCCGAAACCAACCTCTCTCTCTCTCTCTATCTAGTTTATCCATTCATCCTCCCATCAAATTCATCTGTTCTCCTCCTATCCTCGCTTCTTCACCTTCTTTCCCATATCTCATTTCATTACCTCTCTCTTCCCGTTCGTTTTCAACCACTCTCACCCTCTGATTCCCCTTTTCTCCTGTGCAGATCGCTGGACGATCTTCCTGTGCTCTTTCCTCAGAAATTCCGCGTTGGGACAGAGAACGCCCTTCATGTTGTCATCATCATTCTTGCAGAGATCGAAGTCAAAGTACCAGTGCCTCCGGGCCAAAACGATTTCATAAATTCTCAGAACAATTCAATTCCACAACCTGTCTCCCGGGCTCTTTTCTCTTTTCCGTCGGATCATCTCACCCCCACGCCCCTCTCCGTTTTTCTGAGACACCTGGTCGCAGTTCACCGCCATGTGGCTGTACAGAGGCGCTCAATCGGCCGTCTTCTACTACGCCACCTGCACACCATGTGCTATCTCCGTTGACCGACGAAAACGCAAGAAGGAAGCCGTCCGATCGCAACGAGAGAAGGAGAAAATCGATGCCGTCGTCACCGATCAACCGAAGCCGTTCCCCCAGCCAACCCCTTTCAGTACCAATCCAGGATGGGCGGAGGAAATCGCTCTAGGACCGGGTCCTCCGACAAGACGAGGAGGCCATCGGAACAACCATCGACGGACCGACAGTTGGAATACAGACGCATTCTCGCCGGTAGACTCCTGTCCAGACGGAGGCGGGGAAGCGCTGCGCAAGGACAAGAGCAGTCTAAAGCACCCTCTCGGGGATCGATGGAATCGTATGCGTTATCAGCGCGAGGACGAACCACTGTGGGGCGAAGAAGTGGAGGTAAAGGGGTCCTCGGTGGGCATCTCCGGCCGGGGTAAAGCGGATAGCGACGAGCCTAGCAAGTACTATGTCGCTCGCGTACCCCCCGTCAACGACCTCCATCCTCCGATTGTGAGCGGACCCAAGAGCAGGGCAGAGACTAGATGGATGCTGCAGCCCCCTCCCAGTGCCCGAGTCATGGCCGGGAAGGAACCGTCCAACACTGCGGTCCGTCAAGGCGACCACGGGGGTCAACCAAAGGACATTCGTAAAAACAAGACGGTCTCGGGACCTGCGCAAAGAAACCGACAGTTACCACCGCTGACCACTCAGGCTACTGAACGAAAAGCTGCCAGCAAGCCCACCCCTACTGTGGTGTCTCCCTATGACTACATGGCCCAGAAAGCACCAGCGCCCGAAAGCGACAGTCAACCCCAGTCTTCTCGCGAACTTCAGCCCAGTCTACTTCCATACGGACGTGACGAGTCTACGCTTGTCATCTCAGTACCAAAACACGCGCGTTCCGATTCTCCCTCTACCATCGCCTCTTTGGGGTCCTCGGAGGCAGACACTCCTAGTATCTCATGGCAGTGTCCCGAAACCCCCACGTCACGGCCTGGGTCCAAAGCAAACGACGACAGCAGTCGGAATGTGCGTCCGAAGGTAGCAAAGACACTATCCACTTCGCATCAGGATAACAAGATGCTTCATCTATATCAATTGGAAATCAACGACGACGGGCATGACGAGTTTGGATTAGGCCAATTCGAGCCGCTCCGGCCCTGGCGTTGGAGTATGGACATTTGAGTCCCTTGATCTTGATAAACCCACCCACTTTCCTTTCGCCGTATCTACTTATCTACCTTTTTGGCTTGTGCATCTTTGGATGATCCCCAGCAATTGGTTTGTTTTTGTTTTTTTTTATTTTTTCTTTGGCGTTGGCAGCACAAAAGCGGTTGCTTCCCTTATATTTCTCTTTCTTTTTCCAATGTTCCATTCGCATTCTCCATTTGACCTTCCACTCAGCATAATTGGATCTTCCCATCTACAGGACTCTCTCAATGGCAGGACCAAACGAAGAGACCAGATGAGCCCGATGATGTCCTCCTACCAACCACCATTTTTTTTCTACCACCGTCTGTTCCAATCGCATATGCTTCTGTCTCTCCAAGTTTGTCCTCCTCATCCTCAGCGCAGATCACCACCATTCTTTAGCCGTCTCCTTTGCTTCTCTACTTACTCGTTACTTCCAGTCGTTGTCCATGCTCGAACTTATTTCCTTGTCCTCGCTCTTACCTCTCTAAACTTAACCTTTTCCCCTGTATACTACCTTCCTAATTACATAACGTCTTGCTTCCACTGTAGTATGCAGAGTATACATACCCTCACGTCCAACCCAAAAACAAAAATAAACGAACGTGTCAGACAGTCGCACACTGACACGACTCGCAAGTCGACGTCTTGCATAACCGGACGAGAACTAGTGATGCATCCTGCATGCAAGGACCATCCAAATACCTAGGTCCTGGTCCTTCATGTACAGCGTACAAAATGCACTTACTCAAGTGCACCGGACTGGATTCCTTTTCCTTACAACCTGTCTAGGAGTCAATAATGTGACCGATTCGATTTTTCTATTCAAGGCGTTTAGTACACTTGGTCCTTTCTTTTCTTTTTTTCTTTTCTCTTTTCTTATTTTTTGTTTCCAATCCCTTCCAGTCGCATCGTACATGATTCATATCCGCGGACCATACTATACTCCGCACAATGAGCTTCATTGAAAGAGAGAGGAGGAAAAAAATAAAAAATCAAGAAAAACCAAAGAAAGCGAATTGAAGTGATCTTCATTCCTCATCTCGATTCTGATCGATCTAAACAAGCACAAACACTAGTCTAGCCAACCATTGAATAAAAATCCTCGAGACCGGAGTAAGGGAGGGAGAGTGAGAGAATTCTTTTCAAAAAAGGAAAAGGGGAAAGGAAAAGGGGCACCGGACTCCTTTTCGATGATGTGGAAAGTTCAAAGAAGAAGCTGATTATGTTTTTTACAGCTTCACGAGATAAAGGGGAAGAAAGAGGGGGCCTCGGTAGAAATGAAATTTCATAGAGACATGTTCATGAAGGAAAGTCCATGCGGAATGGGGAAATATGTGGATGTGTGAAAAAAAGTGCTTAGTAGACTTTCTTCTTCTCGTCCATGCTGAGTTGGCCGGGGCCCATGTTGACCAGGAGGACAAGGCCGCCACTATAGGGATTAAAGATTAGTGGTGTGGCCGATTTCTTAGCACAGGGAGGATATAGAAACTTACACGATGGACAGGATCTGGAAGAAGTCGTACTTGGCGAAGTCCTTGTGGGGGTGGTGAGGGTGCAGCTGAATGAGAGTCAACAAAGATCGATCAATAATTCCCATTAGGGTTAGGCAAAAACATACTGTCCAGAAGTTGTTGACGAGCACATTGAAGACACTCAGCAGCACGACGAGGATAATGGCGCTCCACTTGGCCTTGAAACCGACGATGACCATGACGCAGGCGATGAAACCGAACAAGCTCACCAGCACGCGCCACAAGCTCCACTGCCCGGAGAAGACGAAGCCGACGAAGAGGAAGATGAGCAGCACGCGACCCGCAAACTGGACGTACATCTTGCGGTCCTTCTCGTCCAACTGGGGCAGGCCGGCGGGGACGAACTTCTTGCGGACCCACGAGTCGGACAGGACCATGAGGAGACCGCCGACAACGCTGAGGTTGCGCAGGAAGAAGTTGAGATCAAAGATCAAACCGTAGCCGAGACCTTGCGTGACGACGACTCCGAGAAGACCCGCGACGGCGATTTCGGTGTGACGGCGGCTGATGACCAGGAACGAGCAGACAGACATGGCGATGACGTTGAAGATGAGGAAGGTATGTGTGATTCCCCAGGGGACTAGACGAGAAGGGAAGGAGATGTTAGGACTCGAGCCCGAGAGACCATCCAGGAAAGCCGCTTACTCTTCCGGTAGTCACGGAGGTAGAGGAGCTGATCGCTCCATTGCGTGAGGATACGTATGCTATCCTCGATGAAGGTCACCACGATGAGGAAACGGCCAATGGCAGGGAGATATCTGCATAGTGACCACAAGTCAGCCCTCGATTTGACATTTCCAGCTCAAGGTCCCCCTTCCGAGAAGGAGAAGAAGAAGCCACGCTAAGATCCAGAGACCAGGTATAAAATGGGGACGAAACGTACGGCTTCACAGGATCCGAGATTGTATCCAGCCAATCCTCAATCTTGCTTGTTTGTTCCCGGATCGCATCCAGTGGACTCGGGTCGCTCGTGGCATCTGCTCGTCCAGGCCCGCCGAAGGGGTTCTGGTGGCCGAGATTGTAGCCCGCGGTGCCGCGAATTTGGGCCATGGCGGGAGAAGCAAGCGATAGGAGAGAAACGAAAGCGGGACTTTTGAGAGATCAAGGATAGATCAATGTCAGTGAGGAGTCGAGCAACGACGGAGCAAATAAGTCAATGTAGACTGTAGGGAGTGGAAGCCACAAGGAGCCGAGGCAGCGGTGGAGAGTGGGAGAAGAAGAACAAGAAGGGGATGGAAGTCGTGGTATACGAAAGGGTACCAAGGAAAAAACAAGCAAGCGAGGGAGAATGTCGACAGGAAAAATGGGGTGATGGATGGGATGGGATGGATCATAACAAACCTTGAGAATGGAGAGAGAAGGGTCGAGAGTAAATACCCAAAGAGTCAATCAATAGAAGAGCTGAATAGCAGACGGGGGTGGGGGGGGGGGAAACAAGAAGAAGACGAAGTAGAAGAAGAAGAAAGAGAACGAGAGTGATGATGATGATGATGATGATGACAAGAATACTTTTGTCCTGTGATGCACTGTCTGTCTGTCTGTCTGTCTGTGTCTGTCTCTTGTGTCTCTTGTGTCTCTCTCTCTCTTTCTTTCGTCTCTTCGACTTCCTGTGTTTGCCCGTGACTTTGTTCAGTTCAGGCCACGATGACCGAAACACTTCCGCTAGTCTGTTTCTGGCATGGTTGCCAAGTCCATAGCTCTCTGCGTCCAGTGACATCACGTTTCTCTATCTCTTGCTGGTCCTCCCATCGATACTACCTAGTATGTACCTACTATGTAGTCACCAAGTGTAACTATTCCGAAAAAATAGATTGACTTACACTACTCCGTACTCAAGAATCAATTGCTCAGAGTTCTTGAACGATTGACACCTCGGTGGTGTGGCTGCACGACAGCCAGCATCCAGCATAACCCCACATATCATTCAGGGACGTCGATCTTCCGTCCCTGATTCGGTCTCGCTCCTCGTCATATTTCATTCACAATAAATAAACAACAGCAAGGCAGAAGTCCGTCTCAAGATTTGATTTCCAGATATACAATATCTTTCATGAGTATTATCTAGATACTCAATTGATACAGTACAAAGAGTTCCCATGTATGTGGACCTACGGAGTAGGTGAAACCAGAACTGGCCCCTCGTCCCACTGTCGGAGATCTGAGACGGCCACCACCTCACTAACTATCTAGTCACTAATCATCGAATGCTCCTGGCAAGCCCCGAATAAACAAGCTCCACCCTGTCTGGCTGGTTGGTTGCTGGACTCGAAATATTGAGATCTGTACTCAAAGACTTGACCTCGAGAGGCACATTCAATCATTATGGCAGGATCGAATATTGAATAGCTAACTTCCAGCCAGTGTTTAGATCAGCGGTCGATCCTGATCAGTGCACAACTAGTCTTCCATCTAACTACCTCAATACTTTGTCTTCAGCATTGACATATATCACTTATGAAGAAGACTCGGATTGGCCTAGAGAGTCCAGAGTAGAAACCAAGAGAAACAAATATTACATGTACCAGTCACTAAACCATGATGATTACACTGCGAAACACAGGCTTCAAAGCCTCAGCATTGAAGGATCTCTTCAAGCAATTATCAATCAGAACAAATATGTTTTTTGAAGAAAAAAAAAAAAAGTAAAGTAAAAAGAATAGAAAAATAAATCAGATCACAGAGACACAGGAAGAAGTACAGGAGTTTCCTTTTTCTTTTCTTGTTTTTCCCTCCCTCCCTCGTCCAGACAACTGTTCGTTGAACTTGGTCCAGTTGACCCTTCTTTCTTTTTTTTCTTTTTTTCTTTTTTAACAGTTCTTCCCCCTGTGCTAATACTCGCCATGAAGTTGAACCACCAGCCCCAGGTTGGAGAACTTGGTGACTTGGTGGATGGTGGAAAACAAACATTATCCCAAACGCCAAAGCCATGAGTAATAAATACAGTCCAAGGCGTTGTACCCCGGGATGGAATGGAAAGCGTGTTGATCTGATGCGACATCGTGATCGTCCCCCCCCCAAAAAAAAATCAAGACAGGATATGGGTACATGGGTAATTTAGGCAGCCCAGTCGGAGTCGAGGGGGTGGCCCTTGTGCTTCGAGCGCAGAAGATCGGGGATATAGGTGGGGGTCACAGTGACCTTGGGCTCGACGGGAGCAGGAACGGCGGGGGTGGACTGGCGCTGCTGGGTCTCGGAAGCGCTGGCCTCGCTGAAGCTCTCATCGGCCTTGCCTGTCTTCTTCTTGGTCTTCTTGCTCGACACAGTGGTCCAGTCATCGATAGCTTTCGCACCAAGGATGCGCATCTGCTCCTCCTCCGAGGGGAGGCTCTGGTCCCACTTCTTCGAGCTGGAGGCAGTGGCGGGAGCCTGGGTCTGCTTGGCAGCGGGCGCCTCGAAGGTATCCAGAAGGCCCACGTTGGGGCTCTGAACGACCTTGGTGGTGCCATTAGTGGTCGGGCTCACGCCCTTTGTTTGCCATGCGTTCGTCTGGGGGGCAGCCGGCTTCGACTTGGCGGCTTCGCGGCGCTCAGCGTCCCGAGCCATGTGAAGCTGTTTCTCGAGAAGCTTGCGTCGCTCAGCCTCGGCCTCCTGAACCTGCTGCTTGCGAGCCTCATTCTTCTGGCGCTGCTGACGCTGCTTCTTGGTCTCAACCTGCTTGAAGGACTGAGTCTTCTGCTTCTTCTTGGGATCTTCCACAGATCCAGTGACACGAAGGACCGAGGCGCTCGGGGCAGGGGCCTCCAGCATATCGGAGACATATCCAGCGGCAGAAGAGGTGGGTGGCGCCGTGGGCGATGCTACCGGGGACAAATCATCATCCGCATCCGCGCCAGTGGTGGAGGAGGTGCGAGTAGATCCATGGGAACCAGGGCGCTCGCTAGCCTCAGCCTCCAGCTGGCTGATCGCGGCGTGCTTCTTCTTCTTCTTCTTCTGAGACTTGCTCTCGCCGCCGCTCGCCTGAGCAGGGATGCCATCCTTTACCGCGGCAAAGCGCTTGGCCATCTCCTTCTTGTCAATCTCTTCGTCATTCTCATCGGCCTCCGGGGTCTTGTATTCGACGGCAGGCTTCTCTTCGACCTTCTTGGTCGCCGGGGCCGAAGTGGTTTCGGGAGCCTTCTTCGCCTTCTTTTTTGGTTTCTTGACACCCAGTGCACTTTCTGTCTTCTCAACTACAGGCTTGATGGGGGCCTTCACTTTGGGTTGGGGGCCATTGTAATACCATCCCAGACCGCCTGCTACCACGAGCAGCAGAGCCCAACTAATGTAGGGATTCATCATCGTTAGAGCTGTGTCAAGCAAGGCGATGTCAGCTTGTCATTCGCGAAGGCGACGTAGTTTTAGTCTCCGAGTCCATAGAGTTCATACACACCTTGAAATTCGTTCTTTCAGAAAATGTTAAGAGAAAGAAGAGAGGAAGGAAGGAGATGTCGTAATATGTGAAATCGTCGTTGGCTCGTGTCAGTCGATACCGGAGTACTTTCGCGTTAAAAGACGGAGGATAAACGGCGCGCAGCGCAACCGAAGACTGGGCGGGCGGAAAGGACGAAAGAGGCAAACAGGAGAGAACCGTCTCAAAATGCTTCGAGGGTATTCCTCCAGCGCAAAGGAAGAGAGAAAAGGAAAATCAAAAGCGAGCTTCGCAATGATTTATGCCAGACTATATCATCGAGCTGGGAGCAACTGAAGACTCGAGACGCAAACGAAGAGTCGAAGGGGTTGGTGGAGAATTGCGACAAGAGAGGACAGATTGCCTCCGCAAACCGGGGCGACGCTGGCTATGAGACCAACACAACACCGCTACTCCTCAGACGATGGATTATCAGGGATATCCAATTCTCGTTGCTAAATTTGGTATCGCTCAAGGAATTGAGTCAATCGGAGAAATTGTGAGGTTGCTCAGGGAGCTGACTGTGCGTCGGTGAAGAGAGGCGCGAGATGAGGGAAAGGGAAAATGAGATCACCAGAGGGACATCGAGGCAGCTGTCGGATTCTCAAAGAGAAATGAGATCAGAGAAGCTGAGGGATTGATGGACCCAAAGATAATCACAAAAGTGAATTCAAAATGACTGAGCAGTCAAATGAAAGAGTGAAAGGGCAGACAGATGGAAAGGGAGGAAGACCAGAATAATAGAGGACAGATGTGAAGGGGCACTAGTCCGGTAGTCACTAGTTAGCAGACTGTCTCCTGCTTACCTTAGTTAAGAAGATAGATACACGCTATGTATCTCCACCACCAGCAAATATAATGGATGATATTCACTCACCTTCATCTCAATCCATCAAGCGCATTGAAGATGGACTAATGGCGTTGGTGATTGGCAGTTTTCCTTTTTTTTTTTTTTTTTTTTCTCATTCTTATTGAGCTCTCGCGTAGACTCAACCTGTCAATTACAAGCCTACATCTACACATAGATTTCATATCCTAGTCCAAGTAGAAATCTATTCCTCACACTCCTGCTACAATCAACAGGGGTGAGTCTCAGAGGAGATTATCATATTATTGACTTGAGTACTTGACTAATTCCTCAAGTCTTAGGATTCCAGGCGTCTTCCACTTCTTCCATTTCCCCCTGACTGATGAATGTCCGCAGAGCCTAGGTAGTCTGGGTTCCCTTGACTTGGGAGTCGGCATGATTGGTGCCGAGATATGGAGGTGGTTCCTAATAGTAATAATAGCCACAGCCATCGTTCTTGGGAGAGGACAATGGAGTATGGAGGTTGGAGTTTGTTTCTGTTACACTAAGAACAGGCCACGTTGATATTGAGAGCAACAATGTCCAAACTCCCAGTATTATTTTCAGCGAAGAGGCAAGAACCATAACACATCAATAGCTAGATACTTAGCCCTCCTGAATCGTATTTTTGGAAAGGACTTGCTGTCCCTTACGGCGTACAGAGAGTCATTGGCGGCCATCACTGCCACGAGGGACTCGGAAGACCTTTCCTGTTGCTTGGAATGTAGCCGTACTTATTCTCTTCATTTTCATTAGATATACTAGGTCATTTTTGAACTTCAATTACTCTTGAAGAATGTACGGGTTACGAGATCACAGATGGGTTCCTGGTTGAATTTTGGTAGTTGAAGCATGGTGGACTATTGATTGCCTGAATTATCAGGAGTCAAACTGGCTGATGTACAGCATAGCACAGCATAGCATTACTGTCATAAATTGAGCATTATTATTATTAAACAGCCAAGTTGGAACCCATTCGGATCAAATCTCTTAGCAAAAGGAACCTTGATAAACCTTGTATCAGTTACCTAACAATATCATCGTCAAATACTACTATCTCCTCCGTATGTAACCTCATCAAGGCGTCCCTATCACTCTAGTTACGGAGGACTCCGTGGAGTCTAAACACACAAAGACAGATAATCATCCAGCTTGCGACTTGGGGCATGGTGGGGAACAATGATAACAGAGCCAAGACTCATGCTTCGATCACCATCCCACTTCGCCTTCTGAACCAACTCCCTCAATCTCATCAGAACGTATTTGTTTGGGACTTTTCTTTTTCCCTCGAGCATTGACAAGTTGAGACAAGCTTTTCTGAATCGCATATAGATAGATCATGGCGCCCAAGAAAATCATCATCGACACCGATCCCGTATGTTGACTCACCCCCGCCATAGTCCATCGCATACAGCCTCTAATGTCCAACAGGGCATCGATGATATCCTTGCGCTTCTTCTAGCTTTATCCGCGGATCCAGAGGAGGTAGAAATTCTGCTCATCTCTTTGACTTTCGGTAATATCGAAGTAAGAAGGTTAGCAACTATTTCCGCTCTGACGTACGCATTCAGATTGCTGACTCCACCAAGCTGTCTTCGCAATGTCGTCTCTATGTTCCATGTTCTGGAGCGAGAGATGCAATGGCGTCGGGAACAGGGTCGGCCAGAAGGTTTTGGAGCCCTGCGCGCCTGTCGACCAGTCGTCGCTGTGGGAGCCGAGGATCCTTTAGGGGACCAAAAGATGCTGGCGGACTACTTTCGTATGCGGGTCTCTACTCCATGCTCCAGGTTATCACAGGACTAACTTTCTTTGCGTGATACAGACGGAACAGACGGTCTGGGAGGTATCCATGCTAGCGTATGTTGGACCATTTTTGTCTCATATACCCTTTCACTGGAAGCTAATGCGTTGCAGCACCCGCACTTTACACCCAAGGAAACCTGGGAACATCTCTTCGACCCCTCCGCAGATCCCACTGTGATTCAGTCCGTCCCCACCGGGGATGCGGCGCATCAGTCTTTCATCGCCTCCAAGCGTCCCGCCCACGAGGAGATCCTTCGTGTCCTTCGCGAAAATGACCCAGAAACGGTGACCCTCGTTGCTGTAGGCCCTCTGACCAACCTGGCCCTGGCCTCTGCGGAAGACCCAGAAACGTTCCTTCGAGTCAAGGAGGTGGTTGTCATGGGAGGAGCGGTCGACCAACCAGGCAATGTATGTCAACCATCCCACATTTCCTCCAATATAATCGTTCGCATCGATTGACACAAAAGACAGGTCACACCCGTAGCTGAGTTTAACGCATACGCAGACGCATTTGCAGCAGCACGAGTCTTCGCCCTCACATCCCCTACCCCCAAAACCACAATACCCTCAGGCACCGTTTTACCTTCTTACCCCCCCACCCTCAGCAAGCAGCTCACCCTCCGACTATTCCCTCTCGACATCACCCTGCGCCATGGGATGACTCGTGGCCAATTCCGGCAAGCCTCTACCGCCCTCGTTGAGGCCGGCTCCCCGCTCGCCGAATGGGTCTCGGCATTCATGGCGCACACCTTCCAGACCATCGAACGTCTCCACGTAAACCAGGTCGGCGACGCTGTCGATCTCAGTCTGCACGACCCCGTCTGCGTTTGGTACGCCCTGACCGCGGACAACGAGGGCTGGAAGCCTGCCGGTGCCTCCCCCGAGGATATCCGGGTCGAAACAACCGGGCAGTGGACCCGGGGCGCATGCATCGTGGACCGACGCCACCGGCACCGCATTGACGGTGACGAGGAGAGCTCCAGTGACCACGGTCATTGGTTGAGTGTGCGTGCTGGAAACCGGATTTGGAGGATGCATGATTCGCCGGAGGAGAAGAACTTTGGAGCAATTCTCCTGGAGAGGATATTCCACTGATTTTTCTTTCTTGGGAATTTGGAACGAGGTGCATGGATTCATGAACGCAATTGATTGCTATATAGACTCGCAATGATAGACTCGAGACTGGTATTAGCTGGAATTACCTGCATCTCTATGATCCGTCATAGATCGTAAGAATCGCAATTTATCGCGTTCTGCGCTTCATTCTTGAACTCACCTTACCCTACTACCCCTGCTCGGGTCTTCTCTACGCGAAGGCAGTCGTCGGTTCCTCTGTAATCTTCTCCTGTCTAGTTTTCATACATTCACTCAATAATCACAAAAACTCAGCCATGCCGCCACGAACCTCACCGCTCACAGTGAACCAGAACCTCCTAACCGTGTAGTTTAGTGGATGTCGCTCTTGGCCAGACCAGCAGCCAGGATGTCATGATAGGTGATCTCGCTGCTGCTGTTGAAACCAGACATGGTTGGGACGGGGAGCAGAGCAAGTTTGCACTGGAGTAATCTGCCGCCGCGGCAAGACGGGCGACGAGCATGCCAGAAATAATGACCATAGAGAACCATGCCCCCTTTTGCTCGGGGGCCGGCAAGCTTGCAGATAGAGCAGAGTGCACAAAACCCCATCACATCACATTCTCGTCCTCCCCTGGTACACCCCATTATACCCCTCCACGGGTTCGGCCATCTGCTGAAACACAAACTGCGCCAGCCGCGCAGAGGGATAAACCCTCAGCCCCGCCGGGTTAAGAACCTGCATCAGCGCGCCAACAGCACCAACATACCCACTATCCATCACGCCGGCACTCACCAGCACCCCGGACCGGAAGAGCGAGCTGCGCACGAAGATCTGGCCCATGAGATCAAGGGGCACCGCGACAGTCTCGTTGAATTCGACAAGGTAAGAGCCTTGCGGGAGGTCGAGGAAGCTCTGCTTTTGTGGATCGGCGGTACCACCGGTATCGCCTGGCGAGGAGAAGGGGATCTCCTTGGTGGACGCAGTCTGACGAAGGTGGTTGTCCAAGTCAATTGTGCCTGGCGAAGTCCATGCCAGGACTCGTTTCAGGGTCAGATCGATGCCGCAGGGTTGGACCTGCAGAGCCGGAGATCGAACATTCCGGATAATAGACTTGGTAAGGAGAGTGCGGCCAGGGATGATCATGGCTGGCTTTGGGATAATCGACGGCTATCTAGATATCCGGAGTAGATAGAGGAAGTAATTATGTGTCTGGGTAGTAACCTAGGCAACACTCTGTTTCGTACCCTCATCAAGTCCCCCGTGGTCTCAACCTAAGTACTCTCAGGCATCAGCGACTCGGGCCGTCCTAGCCCATTTATAATGATTCGGTTGGAGCTACACGGCGGCTGTGGTTTCGATATCAAGGGCTCATTCTAAGAGCTTGTTTCGTGGTTGGCGTTTGACTTCCGTCGGGTCAACATGTCCAGTGCCGCCTTAGTATAAGACTATGGGGTTTTGAGATGAAGATCCTGAGATGGAATGAGATATAAGGGGCACTTCAACAGGCCTTCGTAGATTTTTCTTATTAGCCATCACAAGTGAACAGACTAGACAGAATAGACATTAAGTGCTTCCGTTCAAGATCACAGTTATTTTTTGACTCTATTCTATGATGACCCGTATAAGATGGTCGACAAGCTATCTTTCGTTGAATCTTGCCCGTGGAAACAACGTATATAGGAATATACGCCTGATAATTTATCGAGTTAGTGATGGATTTTAACTCGCCTCCTAGGCTAAAGCAGCGCCATTTTACTGATGTGGTTTCTTTAAACCCATATGAAAGTGCAGTCGGTGCGACAAGAAGCTCGAAAGGTGAGGATTGAGGTTTCTCTTGACCTCTATTTCTTCAATCAGATCAGTGAAGAGCATTAACGCACTAAGACGGGATTGGAAGCATCACCGGAATACGAGAATGATTTCCATGATGCCTAGAATCCGCAATACAAATATGAATATGAGTTCTTCGTGCCTTGTCAAGTCTCTATGACCAGAGACTTCTCACCATCATCGACTGCAGCTATCAGATAATCACAGGTTGTTCTGATGCCGTCACTCCACCCCGAATGGAGCGCGTTTCTCGCACTCAATCCCACCACCAGCCATGACGAGAACGGTAGAAATGAGCAGTTCCTCTCTTCCCCGGAAAACCACGCACTCGCTTCGCAAGTGTCAAGCTTTGATACGACTGTCCCCGCTAGGGACAATCATCCCATCCCCATTCGCATCTACACTCCCCGAGACCACTCACCTGAGACGATCGTCATATTCTACCACTCGGGGGGCTTTGTGGTAGGATCTCTGGACACCGAAGACAGTACTGATACAAGCCCCTGTATTTTCAAACAGCCCCAACTGACCCTTCTCAAAAGTCTCATGTAGGCACATGGCCCTTGGGGGCCCCAGCACAGTCATCAGCGTTAACTATCGGCTCAGCCCGGCGCATCAATATCCGGTCCCAACCAATGATGGCTGGGATGCGTTTGAGTACATACTCCTAAGCAGTCTTTCCACCATTGTGCAAAACCATCGCGTTCCCGTCAAGGTGGTGATCAGCGGAACCTCGTCGGGCGGACAGCTCGCCGCCATCGTCTCGCAGAAAGCACGAGACTGGCTGCAAGGTCCGGAGAATGCAGCCTCTGCGGCGAACATTGTTCTGTGCGGAGTCCTGCTCCGAGCACCGGTGACGGTCCGTGGCGCGGAGCCTGCGTGTATTCCACCGCTCTTCAGGGATCTACATCAGTCCTGGACTGAGGAGCTGGAGACTCAGAGACTGGATCGAGCGGGCATGGCAGAAAATCACGGTATGTCTTTATGCGCTACCGACTGAGAGCATGATTAATTCCAGATCCGCGGTGGATTTTTCAGCCAGCTCACGCTTTTCTGTAGATGCCCTCGGGGTTCCTTGTGCCGAAAGAACTCGGCCTGAGGCATACCCTCTCTGGGGCCGGTTTGACGGGCTGCCGAAGACGTATATCCAGGTGTGCGATGTCGATATCCTCCGTGACGATGCTGTGTGCTATGCGCGAGGTCTACGGGACGCGGGGGTAAAAGTGCGTCTGTCCACGTACACGGTATGTCTTCTACAGTCCTTGTTCCTAGAGATACATCTGACAAGAGTTCAAGTCGCTACCCCACATCTTCTGGGTCTATGCCCCGCAGTTGGCGGTTTCGAGACAAGCCCAAGTAGACTGTGTCAACGGGTTGAGGTGGCTTTTAGGGTCGGAAGAAGTTACAGATGCGGATTTGTAACTACCTAGACATGCCGGTGCAATGAGCAGGCAAAAAAAAAAAACTCCATATTTTCGTGGTTGAAGGACCACTCAAAGGTTGTCTCCGAGAAGTCCCTTGAGGGTGAAGGATTGCCTTTCATTTCTCTGCAATGAGAATGAGTGGCGATGCACCACTGCAGAGGGCGGAACTACTGACACTTAAGGAGACGTCTAGTAGTACCGACGAGGCTAGCTAGACTTTGTGCTGTGCATCTCAGTTTCATGGTCCCGGACAGCGTCAGTAAAGTAAGGGCTTGCCAGTCTGGAATGCCATGGAGGTTCTTGTAACTAGAAATATGCAGATGAATAATTCCAACGGTTGCCAACACAGGTTCACTTACCAATTAGAGCACCAGGGTAAGGCGCTTGTGATGATCGTCTTTTCCGGGTTATCCATGTCACTGCGGGAGAATTTCAAGCCTGGCGGTAGACTGGCATTGTGTTATGTTTATGCAAGGATAACATCGGCGCAGATCTGATCTCCATTGCTATAGGCAGTTGTCACGTAGAGGTTCCTGCGTGGTTATTTGGACTGCTCAGAGTGTTAACCGCTCCTTTCTGCCGAAAATGAAGCTTTTCAGTCGATCAACGTTACCTCCTACTCAAAAGATCTCACAGAGCAACGAGGAACACATCCGGGAAACATCATCAATCAGAGATCAAGGTACCCAAGGGCTTCATCGACAAGCAGGGGTATGTTTGAAGTATGAATGGGGATGATCCACGTTGTCAGTCAGTCAGTCAGTCAGTCAGTCAGTCAGTCAGTTCACACCCATCAACGTCGTCAACGCACGCACGAGCCCTGGAGTGGTGGACGAGATGGACTCAACCTGGAGTACGTAAGCAGAGGGAAAGTCTCGTGCCTCGACAACCAATGGGGAGGGATATGTGGCCAATCAGGGCGGGAGAAGCAACCGCGTGGGCTACCCAAGCACGCGACACCGACTCTGGATGTTGCTTCTGGATGGGCAAAACGCTGTTCTCTAGTGCTTGGTGCTAGATAGACTGACTAACTAGGTAGTCTGTGCTGCTCACGCTCTCCCCGAGTGACGCTTTCAATCGCCCATCGTCCACTCCAGATTCCCAAACTCTGCACATGCGAAATATCCTGATCGAATCAGATCCTCAGGAAGAGGCAGCACGCCTCTTCCTTCCGCTATCATTTCATCTCCGCCATGCTTCCGACTGGATCAAACCCGGCCAGGGGTCGACGGCACTCGAGCAGAGATCCTCTTAACTAGTTAGTGAGTTAGTTATTTAGTACCAGTAATGAAGGTCCAGAGTAAACTTTCTCTTATCTACCTTACACTGCAGACTCATCATATTTATCCAGTTGCTGCTGCTTTTCTTCCTCCCTCTCTCTCTCTCTCTGTCTCATTCACATTTCCTATCCTCACACCCCCGATCTCAACTCCTCCTGTACCCGGATCATCCCGGTCGTTGTCCTACTCAGCGGTTATCATCAGGTCAATTCAGACTATTTGATCGACCTATTTATCTCTATCTGTCTCTTTTGTGCACCATCACTGGTTTGGCTGCCTTCGCCCAGAATGTCCCGTTCACGTCTACCTCCGACTCCCGCCATGTCTGGGGAGTTGATCATCAAGGAGCAGACTTTCACTGAAGGCGTAGATTCCTTTGCTCTGCCCCCGGCGGCCTTGAGTCCGTCAAAGATCGAAAGTGCGAGCAGAAGGTCGTCCAAGTCAGATTCATTGGCCTACTTCCCTGCATCTCCCACATCGCCCGAGCTTCTTGGTCTGGGCCGCAGCACCAATCCTCCCCGTCAGACCGGTACCAAGAGGTTACTCGAGGACTTCGATCTCCCGCCTCCGCCAACCAGAACCCGGAAGATCATCCAGATGAAACCCAAGACCCAGAGTCCGGTCAAGCCAGCTGCAACCGCCGGCAAACTTTCAACCAAGGAGAAGTCGAATAATGCCGCAACTCCCGCAAATTCGAAAAAGAAGCAACCCAGTGCGACCAGTGCGGCGGGTCGGAAGATTGCCAGAAAGACTGCGCACAGTCTGATCGAACGGCGACGGCGGTCGAAGATGAACGAGGAATTTGCGACCTTGAAAGATATGATCCCGGCGTGCCAAGGCCAGGATATGCACAAACTTGCCATTCTGCAGGTCAATGATTCCCTGTATTCAGTTGTCTTCATCACATATATCGCTGACTCTCACATCGCAGGCAAGCATTGAATATGTCAACTACCTGGAAAGGTGTATCCAGGATCTCAAAACTGCTGGTAGTCAACGCACGACAGCATCTCCATACCTACCTCCCGCACCACCCTCACCCACATCACCCGAGATGCTGAGTGGAGTTCCGAGTCAAATACACTCCGCGTCGGTATCTCCTGAGCTATCGCCCAGCCATGCTCATACCAACAACACATCCCCGGCCTTCTCTCCCCGCACTCGGATACCCTCTATCAGCACAGCCATAGAGTTCCTACCTGCCATCCTCCCCAGCCCAGCCTTGGGCCCTGTCCGCTTTAGCGAGGGTATCATCCACCCACCGCGCGGATCTTGGACGGTACCGTCGTCCACGGACACCTCACCAGTGCTCCAGCCCAGGTTCAGCAATGCTTCATCGGGATCCGACGCCGACATTGACCATGAAGCCTCCGCTGCTTTGCTGATGCTGAACAGAGATCGCCGTGGGACTGCCGGCTCCATTCAGGAGGGTCTTGCAAATTCCACATTGGATGCCCAAGAGAGTAGCAAAAGTCCATCAAAGAGTCCGCAGAAGAAGATGGGAATGAGCGTGAAGGATTTGTTGATTTCTTAGATTTTTGTTTTCCTATACTATTTCCGTGCTCCTCGGTGTCTGGTGTGGGGGTTAATGTGGGTCCAAAACGTACAGGCATGGCGTTTTACACCTTTTTTTTTAACGATAATGATATTGAAGTAGCATACCTACTACCGGATGGTACTTGAATTTATGACTATGACGAAGTTGTTTTGATTAAGTATACCAGTTCTACAAATGAAACCCGGCACTTCTACTGATCCCACACTCAATGACAAATCACCTTGGATAGTCTCATGTCAACATCAGTCATCGAAGCCATTGCATACATGTCTCAGCACTGTGCCAAAAAAAAAAAAACCAGTAGAAACTAGAAAGACTTTGCAAAAGAGCTCACTGCCGAGATATCCGCTTCTACTCCTACAACATCCATGCACATCCCATCCCACTCCAACGACCAGGGTAAAGGAGAAAAAAAAAAAAGAAAAGAAAAGAAACAGGGGTAACAACCCAAACAGTCATAAGTCAACCCTCAGACGCCCGTTTTCCTCCAGTGGCAACTGGCAAACCCTGCTGATGGGAGGGCGAGCAACGAATCAACCCCGGGATGGACAGACATGTAGCTGCACTGGAGAATTAAGTCGAAGCCCAAATCTCCCCCGTTACAGGCGTCTTCTCTGAACCCAGTTAATATTTTTTCTCTCTCTCTCTAATTGATGGGCTAGACTGTTCTATTTTGTGACTGACTTGACTGATTGGGACAGGCACATTATATAAAGGGGGGGTTGAAGAATCGTTATGTGAGAGGTTTTTTTTTTTTTTTTTTCTTCTCCTCTCTAAATCTTCGTTTGGGGGTTTGGCGCTGGAGGCGCTGCACGCGAACATATTTTTTTCTCCTCTGCACAATCGTCTGGACTGTCATGGCCAGTGAGTGGGTAAGTGTCTTTGCAGATTTCTGGTCATGTTGTACTTGTACAGCGGTCCATGCTTGTTGACTGGAACAGTGTACATGTACACTACACTCCGTACACATGGGTATAATTGGGGCTGGATTTTCCCCGGGGGAGTTGTTGCTTATGGTTATTGATTGGGGAAGGGAGTCAGTAGAGTGTAGAACACATTTGGTGATGTCGATCATTATTGCAAGGCGTGTATCTAGTGATAAATAAGTTCGTTGTGCCAACTGCCAAGCAGTCATGAATGCTGACTCCACTCTTTTAAGACTGTCGAGTGTGGAGTGTGGGGAATGGGGGTATGGATCGTGGAACGATGAAGTATGGACAAGAGAATGTCTAACTCTACGGAGTAAATAATAACCATGGTCACGATGGAATTGCCCAGGTCTAGAAGGGCTAAACCAAGCCACGCCAAAAGCAATCATAACCTTGTTCTGATGGTTGGGAAACTTGGGTGCTGAGGTGATAGTCGTTTGCTTCAAGTCACTCGGGGTAGTTGCCACTGTGGGCGAGTACTCGGGAGATACTTCATGGACAGGTGAGAAATATCTGACTTGGGGGTGTTTGGACTTTGGAGAGATCACATGTAGTACAGGGATCTACGCCAAGTTGCTTGGTATGCATTGGGGGTCAAGTTGGTGATCTTGATTCTCTACAAAGGGTTATTTTCATGGTTCATACTTACTCATACTACCTAGTCCTTTTTATTTATACAGCACCATGAATCAAGTGATGTAAAGATTGAGCTGATTAAGCCAAAAGGCAGTTGGCAAGTGGCGTCGTTCAAGCCTAAGGTATCAAAGATTTTTAAGTAATCACTTCTAAGAAGTGAAGTCAAAGGGTAATACCCTTAAGTCTTAACACTATCGACCGAGTATCCACTAAACAACAATGACATGCCTGCCAAGTGGTCCAGTCCTGCCGTCATGCTGTACCAAATAACAATGGCACGATCAATCCAATGATGATTGCCAAGCGCATACACTGACGTCGCTGTTCCCCAATCCTCTCTCGGCACGTCTTGCCGTGGGACGGAACATATTCCCCTGTAACCCCTGCTGCTGCTACTTCACTTCTTTACTGTTAGCATCGTGATTGATAATGCGCCCTACTCCGAGGAGATCCCGAGTGAACGCCTCCCCGCACAGAGACGGACTGATCACTGAGTATTATTCTGGCTTCTGGTCCAGTGACTCTTGTCTATCTGACTTTCTCTTCAAGTACTTAATACTTATACAGCCCGTCTTGCCCACCGCCCCTCCTCCAACTCACCTCTTCTGAATCACTCTATACCTACCCGGGCCACCACCTATCTCTTCTTATCTTCAGTCGTTCTCGAGTGTCTCTTTCATCAGTCAAGACATACACAATGTCCAAATTTCGTTCACAGCGCAAGAAGAATGCCCGCCCCATCGCCTCGGAGGATCCTTGGAGAGTCGATGTCCCGTTCGGCCCCCCACCCATGTCCTCCTCCCCCAGTGGTCGCATTGGACGCATCCGCAACACACTCTCGAAACTATCACCGTCTGCCCGAGCCGAAAAGGAACTCCTGAAAGAGAAGAGCAAGTGCAAGGTGCCTCTGACGGAAAGAAACATCGACACTCTGGTCACGAGGCAGCTCTTTTCCGAAGCCTGCCATCCGCAACAACACACCGAGTTGCAGATATCCGCCTGGTTGGAGCGACTGGCATATTAAACGATCAAATTGGCTTTTGTATTTGGTGCAACAACCATCTTCTCTCTCTACACCGCACAAGTCCACGAGATATCCTCTGTCGCCAGCCTTGTGAATATCTTCGCTCGACGCGTCTTGTGCCTGATCACTCTTGAATAGGGTTACGTATGTGTGTGACCCGATAAAATCAAAGGCAGAACTGTTCCTCGCTATCAGAGTGGTTTGGTGATCGATGCACTCTCACACATCTTCTCTTGGCGCCAACGTCATCAACGCGAGGTACCACCGCCAAGTATGCAGGTCTCGATGCCGCCTATCCACTGCATGTCTACCACCACAACAATATTGAACCCCGCGAGCATCTCTGTAGTTTCACAGAGCGATAAATGAAAGTCTCATCAACAAGAGCGGCCCGGGTGGTCTAGTGGTATGATTCTCGCTTAGGGATTAACCCAAGCATATCTGCGAGAGGTCCCGCGTTCGATCCGCGGCTCGGGCCATTTCTTTTTCTTTTTTTCTTCTTGCGTTTGCTACGCTTGCCGTTAGTCGTTTTGCTTGCTTGTCACTTTTGCTGCGATAGATATACCCTACCTGTTTCGATAGAGCCTGTCTTTTGACAGGCATTGTGGCTTTAGCAAGGAGCTTTGGTGGTTCTTTGGCTTGAACGCTTGCAGCTTCGCTGCACTGTTCCATTAATATATTAATATGGAGGCTACCTTGAATAACGATGGAATTTATTAAGGCTTTGCTCTCTCTCTCCTTGCTTCTGTTATATATATATATATGTATGTGCATGTAGTCAAGTAGCTCTCTCCCCCTGTCATTATATATTCCTCCCCACCTCTAGCAAGATTATCCACGCACCACAAACACCCGAGATTTCTGAGGACTTGCTTTTCTTCTCAGTTCAGAATCCTGCCCCCCTTTTCTTCTTCTCTTTATCTCGAAAGATGGTCCAGTAACCCCAAGATTCTTGGAACTGTGTTCCCAAGCAGCAATTGCCCAACGGATTCCAAGCAGACCGTCCATACAGCCAGTGAGGGGTAACACAGCGACGCAGCCGTAGCTGGGAAGATTCAGAATGGCACGACCAAAAAAGGTGGCCGTTATCGGTGAGTTCTATCCATTCCAACATCCACGACACTTGAAACCAGCATCTGGTGACCCCGGACTGTCCAACTGACCTGATCCCTATAGGCGCTGGCCCCTCCGGCCTCGTTACCGCCAAAACACTCCTCCACCAGTTCCCGGAGGGCACCTTCGCCCCGACTATCTTCGAAAAGCGCCCCGAAATCGGCGGTCTATGGCCAGCACGACACGACCGCCGGTCCAGGAGCACAGTGAACCCACTGATGCGAACGAACCTGAGCCGGTTCACCGTGTCGTTTTCCGATCTCGCCTGGGAGTCGGTTGTCGGGGATGCCGTGCCCACGTTTCCGCGGGCGTGGCAGGTCGGTCTGTACCTGGAGAAGTACGCGGAGCGGTACCTGCCCGCTGAGGTGGTGAGATTGGGGCACGAGGTTGTGGGGGTTTCGCGGGCCAGAGTGGATGGGCGGCCGCGGTGGACTGTGCAGTGGAGGAGGCACGGCTACGAGGACGGAGTACAGGCCGATTCTGCGGGGGACTGTACAGTGGTGGGGTCCGAGGAGTTTGATTTCCTGGTTGTTGCGTCGGGCTACTTCGCTCGTCCGTACTGTCCGGATATCCCTGGGCTTGATGCCTTCGCGGACAGGACGATCCATAGCTTTGCGCTGCGCGACAGGGAGGATCTGGATGGTCTCGTTAACAGGGCTGGACCTGACGGTGGTAAGTTGGTGGTTATCGGGGGAAGTATGTCAGGAGCTGAGGCGGCTTCGGCTCTTGCCCTGCATGTTTCCTCTTCGCGAGCAGCTTCGGGGGCGGCGCAAGCGGACGTCCACCACGTATGTAGCAGGCCATTCTGGACTGTCCCAACTCACCTACCCCACACGCGAAAGGAGGACGCGGCGGACACGGGAACGGTTTCTCTACTGCCGCTCGATCTGGCCATGTATGATCTGGCGCGGCGTCCTCCAGGACCTGTTGAATATGCATTTGGCCCTGTCTCGTCCACGCAGGTTGCCAGAGTGAACGATTACTTCCACTCTGTGCTTGGGGGTGACTATGCGAGTATCGGGGTCTCGGACACCGGGGCTCATGACGATGGCGGAACACATCTACGGCCATCGTGGGTAGCCATCGGCAATGACTATGCCGAGTTCGTTCGATCGGGGATAATTAATCCCACATTTGGCCGGGTCTGCGCGGTACACCGCTCCTCGGAGAACCGCACGAGAATCGAGATCGAAGTACCAGGGAAGGACAGAGTATCGCTGGAGAATGTCGCGGGCATTATTCTTGCGACAGGGTTTACTCCGTTTGCCTCACTCGGTTTCCTTCCCGACGAAGTCCTCCAGATACTAGATTATTCTGCCAATGACTCGTTCTTCCCGCTCCTTTTAGATGGAAAGGGTACATCCCATGCGGAAATTCCAGACTTGGGATTTGTTGGCTTCTACAGAGGCCCGTACTGGGGCGTGATGGAGATGCAGGCTCGAAGTCTTGCAAAGAGCTGGGCCGAGGCCGACACAGAACATGGCATCGAATTCTCCACGGAACAGCTGGAAAGCAAAGCAACTGAAAGACAACGAGTCCGCGAGTATCGGCAGTCGGACCCAAATCTGCACCGGGGCCAGTTTCCCATGGGTGATTACACCGGGCTGATGGAATCCTTTGCTCGGGACTTGGGGATCTCTCGTGCTTCGTTGCTGGGCTTTGGGGAACGGGATGGCCCTGTTGTTCCTGCGCGGTATATCATGCGACGTGAAGGGAACGAAGAAGGGTTAGGGACTGCTGATGTGCAAATAACTTTGAATGCTATGAGCAATGTCCTTATCTCTCAGCCCGCCAGTGCTGGCTCAGCGATCTACATGGCAATCTTCCGGGCCCTTCACGGGGCATGGAGCTTGATGAGGACATCCTCAACGCACAAGGATCAGAGTACTGGCATTGCTACCTTTCACCCGCGGTATCCATCTGAGCCAGCTTATGAGGCTGAATACTTATATGAAGAAGCTGGAACAGACTCCATACAAGCTGTGTATCGGCTGGCTGAGAGTCCTGGCGATGCAAAAATTATTGTGAGCCCTGTTGATCGAAGCCAAAGTCAAGCCGTAGCCGCATTCTCGCATGCCTTGAGTGTAACGGAGCAAGAGTTCCAGTCCACCGAGGGGAAGTATTCTCTTCATGCCACTAGCACTGGCTTTGCGGGGTCTGATTCAAACCATTCGGACGCCAGCAACTGGAAGCACGACTATGTCTTCCGGTTTGATGGAGTCGCTATATCATCCTGGACATGCACTGTGTGGCGTCCATTGGAGCAGCTTAACCCTTATAAGGAGGATGAAACAGTTACAACGCTATATAGACGACTATAATATATTGGCGATAGACTATCAACTCCCCATCTCTAGTAAGTGAATCGGAACGAAGGATGATCATCGCCCAGGTTCTCCACTTCCTCCCTGGGCAACCCCAACCTCCAATCTCGCTTACCAGCGTTTCTCGCACGGTTCTCTCGCGCCAGGTACGCCAGGAACGAAGCACACGCAATCCCACAGACCCAGGTCATCCCCAGACTCACCCCGTACCCCGTGCGATACCGCGGCGCCTCCTCCTTAAAGAAGATATTACTCGCCACAAGTCCACCACAGTTTCCGAAACCAATCTGCATCGCGGACGCAATGGACTGCTTGTAATGGCCCGCCATGTTGTTGCTCAGCCAGCCCATCAGGATGGGCTGCGTGAGGTACCCACCGCCCGTGATGGCGAAGACGGCGAAGTAGCGCGCCGCAACGGGCACCGAGGCCTGGCAGAGCAGGATCACGTAGCCCATGGTGGCGATGAGACACCCGGCCAGGGTGAACAGGTACCGGTGGCGGAGCCGGTCGCTGACGTATGCGGCGGAGAGCGTGATGACCATGGCGACGCAGTAGACGGGGATACTCATGACCTGGGCGCGGACGGCGGTCCAGCCGAGCTGGTTGAGAATGGTCGGGGTGAAGAAAGAGACGGCGTAGCCGGTGTTGACGATGCCGAAGTACATGAGGGGTCTGCGGAGAATGTGTGAGTTAGCGTTTTGCTCTGGGGCCTGACGGTCAAAAGGTATACAGCGAGAGGAAAGGACAGACCCCAGGTAGATCTTCGGGTCTGCAAATGTGCGTTTCAAGGACTGCTTATCCAAACGGTTCATTCTCGCCTCGCCCTGGTCCTCAGCCAGGCGGCGGAGCAGCAGTGCTCTCTCCTCGCCGGTCAGGAACGTGGAAGCCTCAGGCCAGTCGACGACGATGAACTTGGCGATGACTGCGACGACGATGGTGGCGAGCCCCTCGATGATGAAGATCCAGCGCCAGCCGCTGTATCCGGCCACTCCGTCCATGTTGTTGATTGCATAGGCGAGGAGCTGCCATGACCATTAATTAGCAACTGGCGCAATAAAAAGGAAAAGAGAAATGTACCCCGCTGATTGCGCCAGCGCAAATACTAGCACTGAAGAAGACATTGAGTCGCCATTGCAGCTCATGACGACGGTAGTACATGTTGATCAGGTAGACGGATCCTTTTCCCCTTGTCAGCCAGACGGACCTCGTTATGAGCACTTATCCCAGGCATGCATACCCGGCATAAACCCCGACTCAAACAACCCGATCAACACCCTACACGCCACCAATCCCTGATAACTCTTCGTGACACCCTGGCAGACGGTCAAGATCCCTGTCCCCGTCAGCCCGACACCCCAGCATGAACGACCAAATCACCAACCCCAAGCAAACATAATCCCACTCAGCCACCACGACGGCTTCACCTTCTTCAGCACCATATTGCTCGGCACCTCGAACAGGATATACGGGATGAAGAACACAAACAGGGCGACGTTGTACTCATGCCCGGTCATGCCCAGGTCCTTCTCCAGCCCCATCAACCGCGCATTGCCGATATTGATGCGGTCCAGGAACGCAAACATGAACAGCAGCGTGAGGATGGGCACGACGTGCAGGTCGCATTTCCACAGGAGACGCTTCTCGAGTGCCTTGTCGTACTCGGTGGGCGTGGAGGATGCAGAAGCGGATTTGATGTCCTCGATGGTCGAGTGCGTGCAGTCATCCTTGTCGTCCATTGTCCGGGATACTTCACGCAGTAGTAAATCAGGATACTGTGTTGCAATTGAGAGTGCAGTTGCATATAGAAATAGAGACACATATCCCAGAGAAGTGGGAGGGATCGTCTTTATACAAATTCACCCCGTCTTCTATCTACTGCCATTCTCGAACAGAGAGTGCACCGCATGCATGCATACCGCAACCCCCGCATCTGCATCTGCGCGCTGTCCATCTTTGATTCCGCAGTGCGTTACCGAGTCATCGGCAATTCCGCCTGCCAAGAGGAAATCCTGGGGTTCAGATCACAAGGACAGGAGCACGGCGTGTCTCGAAGCCGTTCCTCACTAACTGATTAATGCCATAGTATAACCAGCTAGTGTACCATAAGCATCGTAGACACTACTAGATACCCGCCAGGAGTCTAACAGACTCTCCCACCCCAAACTCAAAACAAACATCCTCTTCGCCCGAAGCTTTTCGACCAGAACAAAACGCCACCAAACAGCAGCTTTTGCCTTTGCCCTTGAGGACGATTCCGTATTTGTTCGAGGTTTGAAAGGTCAAGGGGGTGGAGGGGGGGAAGTACGTTCTACCCAGTCAATCAAACACCAACAACAACCCAATCTCATGAACGAATCTGACCCCCAGCTCTGAGGTAATCTGAGTGTGAAGAAAAAAAAAAAGATAGCCGGACCACACCAATCAATTTATACACCATCAAGCTCCCACACCACCTATAAACATTAAACATGATGCTTAAGATTGCGTACGGGGAGGGGGGGGATCCACAACCCCAGACGGCTTCCCCCGGATTCCCAAGTGCGGACTGCGGAGCGATTCCACTGTGGGGAAAGACGCCCAACTCCCAAGTCCAACGGGGAATTTGACGCCCATGGGGGTCCCTGAACCCTTGTTGGGTGTTCGTGGGGGAGGGCGGAATGCTGGTTCCGCTTGTAGCTTAAATGGGAATCGATCAGTAGTGGTGTTGGGTTAGGTGGTGGTATGGGCATGAACCTAGTTCATGGATGGGTGTTTTTAGGTACTCGTTTGCTGTAGACTAGGAATGGGGCAGAGCAGAGTAGTGATTGAAAGCCTGGGAGGAGAGTCGGTCCTTCGAATGTTTCGTTGGGATTGATCTGGCCCGGTCTACTCCGTACGTGAGATTTAAAAGGGGCCTTGGGGTAGCAACAGTCGACCCATGCAAGCTTAGCCATCACACTGTGTCCATGAACTGTCGACTAATCTACTACAGGACTAGGAAAATGTTTGCAAGCATACATTCAATATTGCCATTGTCGTATATCAATACCAGATTGACCACTGATAAACATTAGCTGGGATATCACAATCCCATCATCACACCACTATCTACCGCCGTGTCTCCAGGTTCTCAATGGTCACCGCATCGAGCTTCTTGGGCTGGCTATCCAGACGCCTCGCCTTCTCTGCGACCATCATTTCTTCACCGTTGGTGACGTGGTTGGCACCGCCAAAGAGAGCGTCAATTTCCTCGAGAGGAACCTGCTTGGTCTCAGGGATAAAGAAGTATACGAAGATTGCCAGCAGGATGTTGATGCCCGCAAACATGTAGAAGGCATAGAAGCCGCAGTTCTTCAGGAAGATGGGGAAGAATTGCTGCACGATGGCGTTGGCGATGTTCTGAGTCTGGGAGGCCATACCCACGGCCTGAGCGCGGACGTTCATCGAGAACACTTCAGATGTCCAAATCCACACGGTGGCGCCCCAAGAGGGTTTGTCTGCAAATTGAAGTTAGCGGTGAAAAGTTGACCGCAGAGTGGGCAGGGACTTACAGAAGAAGATAAATAGGAAGAGTAAGAACACGATCGATATGCCGACTGGTTCTGTCTTTACTCCGTTTGGCGATGGTGTCTCCGTCTCAACAGCGGCCACGATAATCATACAGATACCCATACCGATGCCACCGACAATTAGAAGGAACTTCCGTCCAAAACGGTCGATGATCCACACAGCGTTCAACGTAAAGAGAATACCGCAGGTGGCATTGAGGGCGTTGATGAGAGCAATCTGACCGGCGCTGGGGAAGACCTTTTGATAGATCTTGGTTGAGTACGAGTTGAGAGAACCTTGCCCGGTGACCTGCTGGCCAGCGTTGATGACAAGGGCTAGAGCCATACGCTTGCGGAGGGACTTGTCCTTCCAGAGAGCACTGTAGTTGCTTGAGATAGCCTCTTTCTCGTACTCAAGGGCTTCGCGGATTCTCAACAACTCTTCCTCAACTTCCTCCTCAGTGTCTCGCACTCGGTGAAGAGCAGAACGCGCCTTTTCAATGTTGTTACCGTGTTGGATGAACCTAGAGTGCGTGTGTGAGTGATATGAAGGCACCGGTGTTGGGACTCGAATCTGTCTTACCATCGTGGAGAGCCAGGAATAGTTGGCAGAAGGATTAAGATCAAAGTCGGAACAAGAAGCTGGAAGATAACGACCATTTTCCAACCCCATTCGCCTAGTTTTCCCTTATGCTCCGTGCAGCCGTAGGCAACCCAGAAGCAGATGAATGATCCAACCGAGTAGAACATTTGCCAGAAGGTCATGATCTTTCCTCGAATCTCAGGTGGCGCCAGCTCGCCGATGTAGATAGGACCGGAAGCTATTCGTGAAATCCAATCAGAACCCTGAGCAACAACAAGCGAGAGTCGGACAGAAATAACTCACTCAAAGCGATACCCTGGCCGATGCCGATGATACACCGACCAGCAAGGAAACAAGCAAGGTTCCCTCGTGGGGCCCAGGCCTGCATGAAGGTGGAAGCAATCACCAGAATACAACCACTGGCCATACCAATCTTACGTCCAAGGTAGTCAGCAGTAGGACCTCCTAAGAAGAAGCTGCCGAAAATAGCGCCCACAGTGTAAGCTGTGTTGACGGTGCCGATCATGTTCTCGTTCGGTTCATTAAAGTATCGGTTCCAGTTTTTGGATCCCTGTACCGAGTTGTAGACAGACGCATCGTATCCATAAAGCACCATGCATGCTGCTGCAACAAGAGAGATGAACCTGAGGAGCGGCTCCTCGTCAATTGGCTATCCCCAGTTTCGGCGTACAGATATGGTACTTACCAGTTATAGCCTCTTTTGGAGAGGAATTTGGAAACCATTTTGGGCGGATCGTATAATGAACAAAGTAAGAAGTAAAGACAAGAGATGTATAACCCAGGGGCTCCAATCACGGAGTGTCCCCGTCCCTATCAGCGTGACTGTATAGGTTTTTGGGAATTTCTGCTCTGGATGTGAACAAGGACAATGGCTGGAATAAGACTTTGCCCAGAGGTCCCAAGAGACGGAGATATCCTCCTGAGAGATCGAGGAAAGGTGCTCTCCAAGAGAAAAGCAATCAAGCCAGAGTTCAACGCATTATATTATCATCTGCTCCGTAGAACATGCAACACTTAAGCCCATGGCTTTCATCCCGTGAACGCCAAAAGAGAAAGGCACCCTGGAACACTCCAATCAAAACCGGCAAGCTTGTCCCCCCTCCCCCCGGTGGCGCTACCGTTGCCCTTCATGCTTCGACAAGGGCTAGCTTTCATCTCCAGGTTTCTGAGTGGTGGGGTATCTGGGGTGAGCCGGAAGATGGGGACTCGGGGAGAGACTGAAGCTGCCGCATTCGATATAGCTCAGAGTCCCGAGTCAGCACTCAGCAGTGGATGGTTGTGGAGAAACCCCGGATTGGGATTTGAGGGATTTCTTGCCCGTTGATAAAGCATGCCTTAAGCTTTTCCACGAATCGGCGCCAGGCAGGATTCACGATCATGGGGAAAACCGAATCCACCAATGGAAGCTACTGGGACGAACCCGAAAATCCAGGCATCTAATCCCAGATACAGAGCCAGACGAAGCGAAAGACCAAGAATCAAAGTCATCTGCTCGCTTAGATTGAAATCTGGGGATTGATGATGACAGAGGAGCGAGAACTTTTAGAGTGTGGAGAAAGAACTTGAGAAGATGAAGTGATCGTGATCATGACTGGGATGTCACGAGCTGTCCACGTGAAAGAATCAAGGTAGATCTCCGTCCTCTTTCTCGTTTCCCCCAGGTAGGTTCCACATATCCACCTTTTCTCACCGATCTTGTTGACGGGAAGGCTCGCAGATTTAGGCAAATATACCCTTGACTGATTAGATCCCCGTCCTAAGTGCTCGAAGCTCGAAGCTCGCTTGGAGAGTGGACTATTATGGAGCCGGCCGAGTTCCGTCTGGCAATGCGCATGTCTACATCTTGACTCAGTTAGCCTGAATACTGATTATCTCATTCTCTTACAATATAGATACATCGTCTAGTCCAATAAATCATCCGATTTAAGCAGGGATCTTGCTGAGCTATGGAATTCCAGTTCAGTGAACCTTGACTCCTACAGCTCTCAACAACCACACCGCTCAACTTGGAACAGAGGTGATAAAAGGATCAGCTAAAAAGTGGGTAGCTTAACATAGTGCTGACCCATCATTGCTGCTTTCAAGTTCCTTGCGATTGAACGACTCTGACGAGTGGCTTGGGGTCATTCTCTCAATATGCATCCGGATACTTGCATTGGGTGCTCGGGGAAGAACTGGGACCCTATCACTATTCTGCGTATCTTCTGCAAGCTTCTCCTTGAGTGACTCAATGTCGAAGACATCCTGGAGCCTCCTGCGAGAGTCTTTGCGATAGACGTCGAATTTGCGCCACTTCCGCTGCAGAATTGAAAGGGATGTTGCGGAGCCATTTGCTTCCATCGCCTCAGAGTTATTGTTTCTTTGCAAAATCTCTAGCCTCCTGCTAAAGGATAGCCCAGGAAAAAGAGCAGGCATAGATTCATCTCGCAGTACCGAAGATGACCGTGATTTCGTGACGGAAGTTCGAGAACTTTGAGGACCCCATAGACCCCTGAACATTTGATATCGCCTTCGAACTCTTCCGCAAAAGCCGTGCAGCGCATACAAAAAGGCTGCCATCAGAATAGCGCAACCAAGCAATATGCATACACCGTAGAAGACCTGGCGTTCCCTAATCTCCTGTATCGCACAATGTTGCTCAATGACTGCTTCATTTCTCTTGGGATAACACGTTTCGCAGAGCTCCTTATTAACCGGGGAAATACCCTCGGATACACAAATATTGTTCGAATCGAATCCTTCACAAAAGTCATCCATACACCGAGAGCGACGATTGAAGGAATTCTTCCGGGCAGCGTCAACGTGATCATAGAAACGATTGGAATCATTTGAGCCAACCCTAGCCTCTGTCGTCTTGTTGAATCTCCGTTCTTTGATCCACACCACTCGACGTTGGAAGACTGACATTATGTAGTCAACAATCTCTTTGTACTTTCGGGCTTCCGAGTCTGATTTGGACGATTTCTCTGGTTGATCATCCGAATCGTGGCCACGCCGCTGCGTCCACTGCGGATCACTGTGTTCCACCTTGAAATCTTGTGCTAGGCGTGTATGATGCCCTTGGAACGTTTTACGTGCTGGGGCGTCCTCCCGCGCTGTCAACTGTTCAAGGAAGACCTTGATGTCTCCGACTCTGACTGCTTTGGCGAGACTTTCGCATCGCTGTAGGCTTTCTTTTCGGTCCTCCGGAATGCTCAAAGTCAACGCCACATTCGTTTGGGAATGTCCCTCAACCTTCAAAGTCCTTGGGAAATCTGTATCATCGTGCTCGAGCACCGTTGTTTGCATATCCCAATGAGTTGGGCAACCCAACGATACGGTGTATCCTTGACCGGCTCGATTGGTCTTTGATAACGCGAGTTCAGTGAAATTGGCTAGCGTGTGCTTCCAGCAGTCGGTTCCATGACTATGGTTGCCAAATGATCTGTCCATAATCGACCTCAAACACTCGGTGTTGTCCGTATATGGCCCAAGAAGACCATAGAGAAGAGCAACAAGCTGCTGTTGACAATGCATTGGTAATATACAGTAATGGCTGGGATTTGCTATACAATTCAAATGCTGCAAATTTGATAGCACAGAGAGTCCTGGAATTGTGCTCCTGGCAGAGGACGAATTCTCAGGACTGACCTTGCTTTCATTGCACCATGAGGGCCTCAGAAAGTCAGGAAGGAGCAAGATGGAACAGATGCCACACTTACAGAAGGTGCACCTCTTTACAACTGACCAGCAGTATGTTAAACTCATCAGTTATCCCTCGAAGCAAGAAGCGGCAAATACGCGGGGGTGAAGTAGTTGCCCATTCATCCTCATGTCGATTGACGTTGGGCGCGGTTCCAAGACACGAAGATAGGTTGATTTTGTTCTAAATGAGCTTTTGGGGGCATTCTTGAGACGGGATACTGAAAGTTACTGATCTTTTTTCATTTCCCTGAGTCTCACCTTTGATTTCATTCTAGAGCATGATCAGTGTGAGGCTTTGGTCTTGATCAATAGAGTAATTTAAGTCACGTGCTCTCGTGATTCACTGACGCGACACCATTGCGGTCACTCTGACCTCTCGAACCTTTCACTTCTTAATTCACCCTTTTGATTTGTGCCTTTTCACTTAGAATCGATAATAGGTATACTCAGACTTCATAGAGTGATCTTCAAGTCCAGCGGTAAATTCAAACCAGCCTGATGCCCCGCACTTATGGCAAAGGGAAACAGACGCGGCTTTCTTTCGTTCCGCTGCCATCCTCATCACAGAATACCGATAAGAGTTCAGATCCTTCTCAGAAGGATCGTTTAGCTACTTTACGATATGATCATCCTTCTCTTTCTACCCTTGGCAAGGGACCTTCACTCAAACACCGCTTGACGCGCCCAAAGAAATCCCCTACCCCGCCATCGAAATCCTCACCCAAGGACAGTTCGTCTTCAGATCTAGAGCAAACTTCTCCGGAGCCTATAAAAGGTGCGGTGCATTGTCTTCTTCATTCATCGCATTCATAACTTACGGTAGAATCCCGAAGCCCAGCCATCGAAGTCACCGACGGAAGTTATTACTCTGGATGAAGACGAAGATAGCGACCTTGAGGTCCAGCATAGCGCACGCAAGATGAAGTTAAGATCGGGAAAACGCAAGCGATCTCCAATCCCGTCGAAACTACCAGCTGGGAAGCGATCGACTGGCAACTCCAGTGACAGCGACGTGGACATTTTGCGAGCACCCCGCCGAAAGCTGAGACGGGGAGCCGCCAGCAGACAGCCCGTTGTTGTGGAGGATGACTCAGAAGTCTCAGAAGAACCTGTTCGTTCTTCACCTGCCAAAAGACAGAAGAGGAACATCGAAGCGGACATCCCCCAAACCCCGCGGCGGTACACGGAGCAAGAGCAATTGGATCTCGAAGAGGATCTAGAAGACTTGCAGGATTCAGGTAGGAATGTTTCATGACATTCAATATGACCGTATGCTAACAGAGGTATCTTTCTAGTTGTCAAGGAGTCGCGTACCCGCGGTCGTCTTGCTCACTCTGCGAGAGCTCAACGTCAATTACATCTTGAAGCACTACGGCGCCGAAGAGCTGGTGGAAGGGAAGTGGAGGAGGCGGAAGCAGAAGCAGAATTGGACTCCGACTCCGATTCGGAATCATCGAATGATGGTAATTCCGAAGATGAGTCCGAAATTGAAGCCAAAAACGAGATCCAGCCGCCAGTGTTCCGTCGAGTTGACAGCGACGTCGACTCCTCTATTGCAGACAATGAAGACCTTGATCGATATGAGGATGATTTTGTGCTAGAGGATGACGACGGCGAGCTAGGAGTTCCATCTTCGATGGTAGACATGCCTTTTGAGTTCACCCGACACGCTTACAAACAATTGAAAGAGTACTTCCAGGATGCGGTCGAATGGATGGTGAACAACCAACTGAATCCCGCTTTTCCTCGCTCTGACCCTTTGTATGAGGTTGCCTTCAGCAAGCTCGAGGATGAGGTAAAAGGGCGCACGGGATCCCAACTGCTATCCACTGTTTGGAGCGTCGAGTTCCGTCGAGCACTTTTGGCAAGACCTCAAATTGAAATCACATCATATCCTATCATGGACGATCATCCGTGTGACGCCTGCAATCGATCTGGTCATCCTGCCTCGTCCGATATAAAACTCTACGGGAAACCATATTCTCTGACGACTCTTGAGCCGTTGTCCGAGGAGGAAAGTGATGAGGGAGAGGAAGACGGCGTCGAAAGGGACAGGGATGGCTACAGCTTACCCGACCAGGAGAGGCGGTTCTACCTCGGAAGGTTTGTCACCTGCCTCCTGCCTCCTGAAGTTCGAGTTCAAACGTTGACAATTCACAGACATTGCAAGAACAAAGCTTCACTAGCGCACACTCTCACGCATTGGCGATTCCACCTCAATGAATGGGTAGTCGACTATCTCAGACGCATGGGGCACTTGGAGGATGACAAAGTCCTCAAGCGCAGTCACTGGAGCCAGAAACGAAAGTCCCGACATGCCTCGGAGGTGATGGGCTCGATGGTCGACAGCGGTGAGGTCAAGAAACTCTGGCGTGATTTCCACATCACTCTGAGATCGGCGAGAGAGTCGACGGTATGATTGACCAGCTTCGATTTCGACTGCCACGAATACTGATATACGTCAGACAATCGGCTGACGTTGTTACCACGATCCTTTTTCTCGAGCTTATCACGGTTCTATTTTGGTTGCAAATATTTTTAGGGGTGATCCGAAAGGCCATGATCTTCTCTTCGGCAGTTGATCAGCCTGTTGAAACACCATCGTTCTTTTCGAGTCTTCTTGGTTACAAGTGGTCTTATTTTTCTTTTCATTTTTCTTCTCAACGATACCCATGCTATTTAGTACATGTGGCAAATGTCTTGTTTATCGCAGAAGCAAGCGATTCATTGATCATTCAAAATATATCAATATGGTTCACGCAGTAAAGCATCCACATTCCGTTATCTAGCAATAGAAAATCAAGAAAAACGAGTAAAAGGAGATAGACATAACAAGAAATGAACACGAAAACCTTTGTTATACAAGTACATATTGATCTGGAAAAGGTATAAAGGGAAGAGATTGGGAAATAGACCAAAGGCTTGGAATACAACAAGCGGAAAAAATAGACACCTAAATCATGAACCAGACCTTGTAGATGGTTTCCTCAGATCGCGCCGGCCCAATATGCAAACCAGTCGCAGGAAAGGGTCTAAGGACAATGCGACTGGAGAGAACCAAACTCCATGCCTCCTCGGAATGATGCGCTTTTTACCGAATGGTTAACCGACTTTTTTCTCACCCCGTTGATTCATTATACGGAGAAGGTTGCCGCCATAAGTCGAACGCCATATCGTGAGACCGAATCACGGGCGTCTCAAGTCGAGTTATGACATTTGGAGGACCATGATGGGGGTGGAGTCGCTCGCTGTATTCTTCACCTTCGGGCCGAGGTGTTCATTTACAGAGTAGGTTGAGCTTGCTGTTGCTCAAGGGGAGCACCAGGGGTAAGCATCTAAAAGATCATAAATGTCAGCGAACATGAATCACCCCGCCAATGTTGAGCATAGCCGCGAGTCCGTGAATCCTGGAGGTAGAGAACGATATTCCGCGCTTTCTTGGCGAGAAGAGTCTCGGGAAGAAAAAGACTTTTCAGATCACCGCGAGCCCTCAGGATCCCGAACACAAGCAAAATCCAAGCCGAATAGCCAGGCTATGCCATTCAGAATATAGGAAAGTAAGTTCCATCAACATACCTCGTTGGCGCCCTTGATCATGCCCTGCTCCCGCTCCATCTGCACATACTGCTCCTCTTCGGCATAGGCGAGGGCCCATGGGACACCGAGAAGGAAGGCGCTGGTGCTGATGATCCAAAGTGCCTGGCCGCTGAAGGAGATGCTGGACTTTGTGAACGAGGTGACTGTGGAAACGGTGCTGGAGAGCTGACGGCGGGCGGAGGGAGGAACGATATCTTTCAGAGCAACCAGACGCTCGTACAAAGTCTCGCTGTCAACCTCAATATCGGATTCGACGGAGATCTCGGATTCTGATGTTTTTGGCAATGACTTGTCAGATTATGTTCTTTCGAAAGGGTTTTTAATCGTTGGACGATGCGATTGAAGCGGTTTGTCACCATTTCGACGAATGGAGAGACAGATCCGAGATGGCGATTGGAATCGCAGCAGACGTGCTTGCTTTTACTCCAAGTAGAAACCTGAAGAGTATGGAAAACTGGGCGCAGATTAACATCAATACTCACCGGTGTCAGTGTAGTCTTCATCCTCATCATCCGTGGCGAGCAGGACGTTGTCCCGGGTGGGCATAGGCTTCTCTTGAGTGAAGTGCTCATCCTCAACCTCGGTAAGCTTGACCATTTTGGCGGTGGTGAAATTAAAAGAGTATAATAATAATAATAATTCGAAAGAAGAGGTTGGAAAGAGGGTTGAGCGCGATCGGGGTTGATACTTCTGGAGGTGACGGAGATTGTTGAAGGACAGCGGATTCGAACTGGTCCGTTCCAACTTTTTTCCTGAGCCAAAATGGATCTAAAGCGGCAAGCAGCTCCGAACGTGATCTCCGCCGCTGGAGGAGCGCATGGACAACTTTCGTCAACATCAACAATGCAGATGCTTTATTCGATGATATTATACAAGTGGTGTATTGGCAAAAAAATTCTTAGTTACGTACAGCCTGCCAAAATATCATCCAGCCATGGAGTGAAGAAACTAAACCACCATCCACCCTCTATATAGTACACTTAGACTTGATTCAGGCCTCATACAGATCAGAGCGCTCATCTCCTTCCGAGCTTCCACCGCGCAATGCGCTCCTGGATCTCCTCCCAAGGGAAGGGACGGAGTTTGAACCCTTCCAGCTCGCCCTCCTGCAGCACCACAGTGGGTATACCAGTGCCCTGGCCCTTGTTTTGGACGTTGCCCCCGAAAACGTGTCTGGCAACACGACGCAGGTCCTCCACAGTCAGAGCCTCGATGCGGTCACACATCTCTTTGACGCCGACTTTGCGGCCGTGCACCTGGACCTGGCGGCCAAGATCTTCCAGTTCCACCATGCGAGATTCCAAGTTCATCAGCAATGAGGAGCGAAGCTGATTCTTGGCGCGGTTGACCTCCTGTGGCTGCAGCGCACTGTAGCCCGTATCGAGGGTCAATGCTTGCAATTCCCTGCACATGACTTCAAGCATCTCGGCGGTGCGAGTGGGGCTACACGAGGCAGAGATGCCGAAGATACCGCTATCTGTGTAGCTGTGGTTGAAAGCGATACAGCTTTCGACCCATCCGTGCTGGTTCAACACGTTTGTGTAGAGGCGAGAATACATACCCTTGCCCGGCCCACCGGCGGAGAAAGACCCGCCACCTCCAAGCAACGTCTGAAGTGTTGCGAGGGCGTAGATATCAGGGCTAGAGATGGGAAGAGCCTCGAATGCGAGATGAACATAGCTCAGTCTAGGGAGCATAGGGTTTGCTGGTGGGGGGATTGGGGGGAGGGAGAGAAATCCACCAGTGTAGTGAGAGGGCCTTGTCAGATCCAGCGAGGACGGCTGCACCAGCGAGGGATCAAGCGGTGCGACGGAGCCGGGCTTCTGGGTGGGAGTAGAGAGGTTCTTCAGGAAGGGAAGTCTGGAGAGGACAGACTGGGTTTTCGTTGGTGTAGGTGTGGTAGAAACCGTTGACGACGGAGTGAACTGAGGGATTGTGGGCAGCTGCCCCTCTTGAGCAGCCGTCTTGGAGTCCGAAAGCGTTGTCTCGATACCAGCACCAGATAATACGGGACCCTTGCTGATGTCTCTCGCCTTCATGTCCCCAAAGTACTGCTCGGTCAGTCTGACAGCCTCGGCGTGTGGCACACCAGCAAAGGCGACAACCATCCGATCGGGATTGAAGAAGACCTCCCGGTATCTCTCCACGACCGCCTTGTTAATCTCTTCTAGCCTCTCCCGCGGACAAAGCAGAGGATTTCCCAACGTGTTGTCCTTGTAAGCCGCCATGTGTACCAGTTCCGGCAAAATAAGCTCAGGCTTGGCCCAAATCTCATTGACCTCATATTCGGCCGTCGCCAGCTGCTGTAGCACCTCCTCGTCTGTAATCAAGGGGTCGCGGATCGTCTCCGCCAGAAGGCCCAGGGTCGCAGGCACAGCCGAGTTGAAACTAGCGGACTGGTACATCAGCGACTCGCGGGACGAAGCGCATTGAATGTTTCCGCCCAGACTCTCGAGGGTCTCCAGCATCTCGTCGCTTGTGCGCGCCTTTGTCGACTTGAAGGCCAATCGGTCCATGATGTGACTAACACCCCGTAAACTCTCGTCTTCGTACCGAGAGCCCGCATCGACGTAGACGCCAACGCCCGCAAAGGGTCCTGGCAAGGATTCCGTGGCGACGCGGATGCCATTGGGCAGTGTGGTGATCTGGTCGAGCTCCGCAGGGTCCTATATAACCAGTGATCATCAAATCGTCAGCTCTGTACACATCCATTGTGAAGAGAAAACCATATGCCTAGTGTTGCTTTACCTTGGAACTGATCTCAGTGGCAGAAGCGTAGCCTCTTGAGACCGATCGAGGCACACGAGCCAGAGGCTTCGCGGACTCGACGGCCCGTAACACGGAGCGACGCATCTTTCCAGTCGGAGGATTTGTGTAATTTCAGTGCAACCAGAAAGATCTAATTGCTCGTTCTCCGTCCTGCGTTGGTTTGACTCCGTACCGGAGGTCTTTTGTGATGACGGCGGCGGAAAGGATTTGGAACCGGAGACTGTCCCCAACTACTGGCTTATCTAATCAGATATGGATCAAGATATTCCATGATTCTTTAGGTCATTTGATTTCGATTCCTTTCTTCAGTAATGGATGGATTTGGAAGTGTTTCGATGCTCAGATCATTTGCCCTTGCTTCTATTTATATGGCTGATATAGTATGCTGCGTACAGACCAAGACTGCATTACTCCGTAGTATAGCTAAATCCTGCTCCTTGGTAGTAATGAAGCACTACAGTATAAACACAATCAAAATGTTGGATCTATGCCTTCTAATTATCCATCTCGTTAAAAGTCCATAATAGCTCATCACTCTGCGATCTTCAAGAGTATCTTTATCCAATATACTTGCCATACTTGGCAAATTCCTCATCCATCTTCAGCCTCTCCATATCCTCATCTCTCAAGCATACAAGTAGCGCAATTTCACCTTCCAACGACCTAGGCATCAGGTACATCAAGCCCTCAAAGGGCATCAGCTGCGGTCTCCGCACACACTCAGGCTTCCCCAACCCAAGATTGAAGTCAAGCTCGTAGCAATCGACCTTGGCCCACGAACTAAGCATCATGTCGCGCGCCATGTCGATCGATGCCCCGAAGGAAAACACGCTTTTGTCGGGCGTACGGCTGAAAATTGTCGCTAGCGCGCGGACGTGGTACACCAATGTCTTGGGATCTAGCGAGGATCGCAGCTGGGAGGCGATTGACCCCAGTGGCTCGTTGACAAGTTGTTGAAGTGTACGGGTACTGAAAGTCATATCCTGAAATAAGCCGGGGTATGTCTCGGGGACACCCAGATAGCTCCGTACATTGACGGCGCGGCCGAAAGTTGACTCGGCGCCGGGGTCAAGGCGAGGTAGACGCGCACGGGTGATGGCTTGCCAGACAAAGGCGCTGAGGACGTCGTCTGTGGAGACGAATCCGGAGGTGAGAGTCTTCGTAGCGAGTGACTTAAGTTCGGCAAGGGAGGCCGGTGAGAAGGTGACATAGGCCCAAGTGCTCTGAGGTGGTGGTGCTTGCTGCTCCACGGCCTCATGAGAAGGAGGCGATTTTTGGATCTGCCGCAAAAGCTCGGGGCCGGGTTGGTACGAGTCATCCAGCAAAGGAATAATTTTGTCTCGAGCGAGGTTCCCGTACGAAAGCTCTTCGTTAGTGAAAGGCTCATTGCGGCAGGCTTTCGAGAAGAGACGGATGAGGTGACCTTGACCCGTCATGTCCATTGCCATGTGGTGTCCCACAAAAGTCAACAATAGACCGCCGGGAATAAAGGTGGCTTGCACAAGGAAGACAGGGTCTGAATCGAAGGGCTCGCTGGGTAGCGGCACCGTCTTGCGGGGCGCAACGACGCTCTCATCCAGCATACTGGCGGGAAAATGGGCCTGTCTCAGGGCGTCCATTGTTGGCGCTGAAGGGTCATTTTGTAGATCTTTGATGACTAGAGAAGGGACTTTATCCAGTGGCTGGATCTTGTAGACGCCTGTGTCGCCTTCACTTGCGCCCTCATTGACGATCTGGCCGGCCACCCATGGAAAGCTGATAGCTAGTCGCTGAAGGCCCTTGGCCAATGTATCGATTATTGCAGGGTGTGATGAGGCGCCTGGTAAAGGATAACAGAGGGATATTTGTGTGTATAGTTTCAGCAATGGCTGTTGTGCGAGAATGTCAACGGGATAGTCCATTGACGTTGCGGTGGTTGTGGTAGTTGTGTCTGACATGTTGATGAGTTGCTCGTTGACTGAATCAATTGACTCGAGATGTTTATTATTAAGGAATCATTATTGACGCCGCATCTTGTGCTGACTTTATAGTCGTGTTCCCAAATTATCCTTGATGCTATCGTAGGACTAAGATGTTTAGTTCTATTGGTGGGTTGGCGTGAATGGGGAACGAGACTGGATGAGACACCATGAGTCATGCTTGCTCATAGCGACATCTCGATCCATGTTTTAAAGCTTTCTTTATCAAGTTCAATATCGTGTCCTTATTCGACATGAGAATCAATCTTTACAGCTGGGAGTTTGGACATCTTCGACGCTTACACTATGCTCTAGATGGTAATCCATTGCAGCAGCATCAGGATGGCAGCAATGGAGTCGAGCCGGAGATATCTAATTAAGCAGACCGCTTGTTCGAACTTCAAGCAACAAAGCACGATATCAGATTAAAGGACGCCTCCTCCTATGGAGATATTATATATACCATGCACGACCTTGAGAAGGGACCATGATAACACGATTGCCTCTATGTTCTATATTATTATTCTAAAGCCATGTAACTTTCAATTCCCTCAATGTCGTTGAGTAGTCTATGGATGCTCGGCAGCCCAGTTCCTGTACCAATCAAGACAGGCAGCATTTGCAACACTCGCGCCGATCTTGATGTTTAAGCCGCACAGAATCTGCTTCACCGCGTTTTCGACCTTCTTGCCGTTGGAAGTTACTGGAATCTCAGGGCAAATGTCCACAATACCTGGCACATGGCGGGGGCTCAGTTCCTTGCGGATGGTAGCCTGGATTCGAGTCGCAAGCTCGGAAGGCATGGTTAGGGATTTCTGGGTTTGCGAGGCAAGCTTCACGAACAGCACGACGGTTTCATCCGTGTCAATCCCTTCTCGTCTGCGTCCGATGCACAGAGAGTCCTCAACCTCCTCCGCAAAGTGCTTCAGAAGGATATTGTAGATCTCGGCACTGCCAAAGCGGACACCTGCTGGCTTGAGCACGCCATCACTCCGGCCCAGCATGACAACTCCACCAGTTCGGGGATTTAAACGGACAAAGTCACCGTGGTGCCAGATCGATGGACCGAAGACATCAAAGTAGCTCTTACGATACTTTTCCGCACCCACTGGGCCTGGCGGCCAGAACATCACGGGCTGCGCCGGAAACGGTTTTGTGCAGACGAGATCGCCTGGCTCATCTGATGCACTGATGTCGTTCCCAGCGTAGTCGAACACCGATACTGCCATTCCCAAGCAGCGACACTGAATCTCGCCTTTGTAGACGGGGAGGATGGGGCAGCACGAGCAGAATAGTGACAAGATGTCAGTGCCGCCAGTGATGGATCCCAGCATGATGTCGGGGTGAATTGAAGAGTACACGTATTCGAATGTAGAAGGTGCCAATGGAGATCCAGTACTGAAAATGGCCTTTAGTGTTTGCAAGGTCACCGGCCGGTGAGGGTGCCGCGTCGGATTCAGAGACGCCTGTTCCAGTATGGAAAGGTACTTTGCAGAGGTTCCAAAGTGCGTTATCTTCAGTTCATCGATGAGCCGCGGCATAGCCATTTCCCCATTCCCGCCTTCTGGATCTAGGGGTCGGAAAGGAGAACCATCGTATAAGACAATGGTAGCGCCGCTCGCGAGGCCGGATATCAGCCAATGCCACATCATCCAGGTCGTAGTTGTAAAATAAAATAAGCGGTCACCGGGACGGATATCGCAATGAAGCACATGCTCCTTCTTGTGCTGCAGCAGTGTTCCCAGAGCACCATGCACAATGGGCTTGGGCGCGCCAGTAGTACCTGAGGAGTATAATATGTAGACCGGATGATCAGGATCCAAGCTTGCAAATTGAAGAGGAGCCGACTGGTTCTGAGCCGAATCCAAGAAAGCCTGGTAAGCGAGAGCTGTCCCCTGGGCCGGCTTCAATTCGTCCATGTTGATGACGTGAGATTTGATGGTCTCAAACACAACCAATAGCTGTAGCTGTGGTAGTTCGGAGACAATTTGACGGATCTTTTCATGGGCACTGTGGACTTTGCCGTTGTATAAAGACGCATTATCTGCGAAGAGGATCTTCGGCTCTATTTGCCTCAGACGCTCCAGTACAGCATGCACACCTGTGTCGGGTGATACACCGGTCCAAAAGGCGCCTATTGAAGCCGCTGCCAGCATTGCAACCACAGTGTTGGTATGATTGCCGAGGAAGCCTGCCACACGATCTCCGGCTTGCAGTCCTGCTTCTTTCAGCGAGTTGGCGCACCTGCGCACGCGGTCACGCAGCTCTTTCCATGATACATGCTCCCTATCAGATTCCGTAGCTGTGATCACTGCGATGGCATCATCATCTGGTGCGCTTGCTGGGTACAACAGATTCTCTGCGAAATTCAGCTTGCTGCCCTCAAAAAAATGAGGTCTAGGAAAGAGCAGTTCATCAGAAGGGAGGACCTAGGTTGTGATCAGTGATACGGATTGCTTGGTTGGTAGAACCTGATTAGCAAGACACACTACTCACCTGCTGATATGGTTGATGTGCTTTGATATTTGTGTAATACCAGATTTCCTCCCAGAACTTAGCTGGCTGCGATACACTCCATTGCCAGAGGTCATTGTAGCTTCTAAAAGAGAGGTTGTACTTTTGATTCAATCTCTGCATGAAATCATATATCTGGGTACTCTGCGGATCAGAATGCCTCCATAGTTCCTTCACCTCTGTGGACCCCTCGGAAGGATGAGCTGACCCGTTGACAGTCATGTTTGCTTGTTATTGAAAGAAATCTTCGACGCCCGAGCAATTTCCCACAGATACAAAGGAAGAATACCTTACTCTTAGATGTCTTCGGATGAGAAAGATGTCGCGGGCATGCGGTATGGAACAGGTGAGATCTTCTGGGGGCACCTTTCCGTTTCCGTCCAGTACGGCTATCTTTGACGGCGGCCTTCCGGGGTAAAGCGACCAACGATAACAATGGTCCAACAGCGTCTATTTCGACTTTTCGAGTCCTAGACAGGAGTGCAGATCCCGTATATATCAGTTTCAGAGTCTAGTTAATATCGAGTAGTCTACACTTCACACTTTGGCAGACACGTTTGAGACACTAAATGTGGGATCGCGGGGAGGCGGCAAAAGATCGGATGGGGAGCGGGTAAGGAGAGAGAGTCTTCCGCCCCAGTGTTCACATTGTCCGCGGGTCTATATACGGAGTATCTATACTAGCTACAAGTCTACAACGGTAGTTGACGTGACCGACTCGGTAGCTGGGGGATGATAGACAACAGTCTCAAATCCAGCCAGATGGAAGTTGTAGGGATATTGAAAGCAGTTGAGCGCATCGCTCAATGTGGTTAAAGATGGCTCGTCTTTATATCCCGAGGTATCTACTTCTGCCTGAGGCAGCGAGGTGCCAGCCTCTAGACTTGAGAAGCCTCTATCACTTTGGGTAATATTTATCTAGTATCTGCTCCGTAGTCTATACGAAGATCATCAATGTACGCTTTGATTCTAGTTTGATTAATTTAAAGATTGAAACTAATATTCTTGAAAGCCGTTATCTTCATCCATTTTGAAGTCAAGAGTGATTTAAGACAAACAAGTTGAGATTGGAGCTTGCTGTTTGACTGTGACTTGGTGACGTTGCGGATCTCCTTACAGTGCCCCTTTCCTCATTATTATTCAAAGCTGTGAGAAGGATGAGTAAGACAGCTGAAATCACAGAGGCGAGTCACCGAGAAAAAATAGAGAAAATTTGAGAAATCGCTCTCCCACTGGATTAGTGGATTACGGAGACAGTTCATAAAATTAATGAAAATCAGGGTCAGAACGGTAGCAGGGAAAGGTATCAGCCCACAATTGACATTTTAGTCCAGGGGCTGGAACGCACTCTAGTTCCATATGGTAAAATTACCCACTATGTGCACATCAGCAGCTTGGTTGTGCATTAGCTAGTGGCATATTACGGTGGGTGAACGGTGGGTGAACAGTGATTGCCCCTGCATATGGAAACATTACAGGGTATCCGTGGTAGTACCGTATGTTGCAGTAGTGGAAAAAAGAGAAGGAAAAAAAAAAAAAAGCCTTTTCAGCACAGCTTCATCATTCTAACTCGACTAGTGCAGTGCAGTGCTATCGATAGGAGGACGATACTATTTGATTAATATCGACTGCATCGCACTCTCATCATCTCTTTTCTCTTCAGCTGGACGACAATGTTCTCTTGAAGTAGATACTTACTTCTTCCAACTTCTGAGATCATAGTCTCTCTCTATTGCTATCTGCATTGGGGCTCTCTGCCCTCCAAGTGCACTACTAAAAAAAGAGATAAGCCGGGTTCTTCGGATTGGATTCTGCCTTGACTCCTACTACAACGACGGAGTTACGGAGTACAGCAACGGTCTCACTACCAACTACCAAGTGGTACGTTGTCCATCGTCACCCTGGATTCCTGCCTCGTTTCCTCCCTTCCACTCCGCCTATTTCATCAATTCATCATCCAATGCTCGTTCTATCAAGTGTGACACATTTCCAAAAATCAATCAGAAACTAGAACTAATTGTCCTGTTGGGGGTGTTTCAGATTCAGCGTGAACGGTCGTGACTGTCAACAACTGTCCCACAAAGACTCTCAGTCGTAAAAGACGAATATACGCGTCTCATTTGCTTTCAAAAAAGTCTATTGCTGCCTCCCCAGGTACCTCTTACCATCATCGTCACTCGAGGCTGCAAAAGAAAGAGAAAACAAAACGAATACACCTTTTCCCTCCCATCCCGGCGGCACTTGAACCACTCAGTCTTCGATCCTGCCTAGTTCCCCCCCCCCCTACTTGCGATGCCTCGTCGATCTGCTACTTCCCTTTCCACCAACGACACCAACTCTTCGTCTACCTCTGGAAAGGGCGCCATCGCCAACAAAGCACCCGCCTCCAAACCCAACCGCTTCAGCCAGCTCTTTTCAACATCTCCTAAGTCCTCAAAGCCCGACCCTCAGACTGCACAGGCCTCTCTCCAGGCTGCCGGCGGGAACTTCCACCCTCATATCGTCTCTCCGCCGATCAGTTCGGCATCACTGTCATTACCGACTATCTCGCTATCGACGGCTACTGCGGGTAATCCCAACATGGACGAGCCCCCCACCACTCTCTTTCAACCTCCATCGCCCGAGGAGGCTCGTCGCCAGGCCAAGCAGCATGCTCAGTTCGGTCCCATCGGTCATGCCAGCCACAGATACTCGAGCCGACATCCTGGTGGTGTCTTTCCGGAGCCGGTGATGGACGAGCCGCCCTATTATTATCTCCTCACCACCTATATCAGCTACTTAATTCTAATCGCCTTCGGACACGTTCGTGACTTCTTCGGAAAGCGCTTCCGCGAGGAGAGCTACCGCCACCTGAAGCCTCGGAATGGGTATGGTGCCCTCAACAGCGATTTCGACAACTTCTATGTGCGTCGTCTTAAATTGCGAATCAATGACTGCTTCGAACGACCTGTTACTGGTGTCCCTGGCAGATACATCACCTTGATCGATCGCGCCACCGATGACCACAACAAACACTTCTATTTCACGGGAACTACTACCGATACCTTGAACTTGAGCTCTTACAACTATCTTGGATTTGCCCAATCGGAAGGTCCTTGTGCTGATCTTGTAGAAGAGACTATTCGGAAGTATGGCATCAGTGCTCCGAGCACTCGTGCTGAGGTCGGAACGCAGGATCTTCATGCGGAAGTGGAGACTCTGGTCGCCAAGTTTGTGGATAAGGAAGCCGCAATGGTTTTCTCCATGGGTTTCGGCACTAATGCCAACGTCTTCCCCGCCTTGGTCGGCAAGGGTTGCCTGATCATTTCCGATGAATTGAACCATGCATCGATCCGGTTTGGCGCACGTCTTTCCGGCGCTTCTATCGGTATGTTCAAGCACAATGATATGAAGGACTTGGAGGCGAAGCTGCGCGAAGCGATTTCTCAGGGCCAACCACGTACACATCGCCCATGGAAGAAGATCCTGGTCGTCGTTGAAGGTCTTTACTCAATGGAAGGGTCCATGTGCAACCTCCCTGGTCTCATTGCTCTGAAGCGGCGCTACAAGTTCCACCTTTTCGTGGATGAAGCACACTCCATCGGCGCGGTTGGTCCCAAAGGAAAGGGTGTCTGTGACTACTTCAGCATTGATACAAGCGAAGTTGACATTCTGATGGGAACATTCACCAAGTCATTCGGTGCCAATGGAGGGTATATCGCCGCCGATAAGGTGATGATCGATAAACTTCGCGCGACTAACTCCGGCGTGTTTTATGGAGAGGCACCAGCCCCTGCTATCCTGGTACAAATATCTTCTGCCCTCCGCATCATCAACGGCGAGATTGTTCCAGGACAGGGTGAGGAGCGGCTGCAGCGCTTGGCCTTCAACTCCCGATACCTTCGTCTAGGGTTGAAGCGTCTTGGCTTTATAGTGTACGGTCACGACGATTCGCCAATTATTCCTGTGCTCCTCTTCAACCCTGCCAAGATGCCCGCCTTCTCCCATGAAATGCTTCGACGCAAGATCTCTGTTGTCGTGGTTGGCTATCCCGCAACACCACTCGTATCTTCGCGAGCTCGCTTCTGTGTCTCTGCCGCGCATACCAAAGAAGACCTTGACCGTGTTTTGACTGCTTGTGATGAGATTGGTAATGTCCTGCAACTCAAGTTTTCCACTGGCATTGCAGGAGGCGCTCTCACCGTGGAGGAGAACATGTGCCCTCCGCCAGAGAAGGAAACGGAATTGCATCGCAGGCGTGCGTCAAGATACGTCGCTCCGCGCTGGCGGATTGAGGATGTAATTCGCCGCGGTGTACAAGACGTCCAGTCACCGCTGTATTGATCTGACTTCACTGCGATTCAGTAGTCAGTAGGTTCATCCTATCTAATGTCACGTGCTTCCTACCGACCATGTCACAAACCCCCCATGCGATGCTTCGTGCTGTGTGTTGCCAAAGTTAGCAAACGAACATCGATATCTAGGACTCGGTTGATGCTGGTCATGCCGCGTCGCAAGCTGTCTAGACACGTCTTTGCCGTGTCACATTTGACGAACATGGTGATCGTCTTTTGGTCTTTTGCGGTGTTCATGGAAGAGTACCCAGTTTGAAAAGGAAAAATTCACGAGTACCTGAACAACGAACGATTACGCCCTTGCGGATCCAACGATGACCTTGCCAATATTTGCATTCTTCTCCAACCGCATCGAGCACATTGTGGTCCAGCTAATTGGACAAACAGATGGCTCCGTTGCTCAACTTTTTGCTCATTTGATTTTCTTCTTCCCATCCTTTCGTCGTCCAACTTTCCTCCTACATATCACTGGTTCCGTTATTCCCACCAAGTGCTGGAGGGTCAGGATGGGGACCAACCCTTGATTGCTTTCAATTATCTCGCAGCCAAGGAATTGTATTCTATCGAGGACGATGAAAGTGGACTTGCTGAAGGGTTTGCTAAGTTGGAACCGCACTTAAATGTTTATAATTAGATGACTGTTAATATATTCTTATTCATTGTGAGCTGTGAATTGTGTCTGTGTCTGTGTAGGGGTAGATTCTATTCTGCCTCCTCTGGAATATCTATTTCCCACTGAGGAATACATAACTCGGACCATGACGGCTGGGGGTGATGAGCCCTTCGCCCAAAGAAAACACCTAAACAATGACTCGAGAGTCACAAAAAGCCCAGAATCCCATGAATATCCATGAATGAACGCCAGCCCATGAATGGTGAGAATGGAAACACGTGTCATGCATATTGCAACAAGAATGGTCATGCATGACGATCCATCTATAGGTGTGAATCAATCCAAACAGTCCCATGCCGTAATGCAACGCCAGAACGAAAAGCAAAGATAACGCAGTGTATCTGACACTTAAGGCCAGAGTGAAGCCAAAAAAAAAGAAAAAAAAATATGTGGAATAATAGTCATCACTGCGTGAGAGAAGAAAAAAACAAAAATAAAAAAAATAAAAAAAGGTCATGCTCTGTTCCGCAGAGGACACAGAGATAGGGAAGCAAAGGGGGCGGGATGGACTAGGACTAGGACTAGACTGCGCCGTATTGTCCATGCTCGCCGCCCCGCAGGAGCGCCTGGCTTTCCTGTGCGGTCGCGTTGGAGAGATAACCGCGCGTAGGGGAAACGGAGGGGATCCAGCCCCTCATCCAGCCGCGGACGCGGGTCCAGCGGCTCCCGCGCTCGGAATCCTCGACGCGCACGACTTCCTCTTGGTCATTGCTGCCGTATAGAAGGAACTGCAGGCCCATGCAGCCGTCGAGGAAGAGCACGCCAAAGGCGCCCAGGAAGAACGGGATGGACAAGCCTACCCATTCAAGGCGGTTGTTACCGTCTGCGCCGGCCCAGCCGCCGCCTCCGTAGGGTGGGAAATCGGACCATGCGTTGGGGTTGGTTGCGAGCGAGGCGGAGTAGAAGAGGTTACCGCAGAAGGCGGCCATGAAGAGCAGCGGTGACAGGCCTGCCGTGCTTTTGCGGCGGTAGTTTTTGTAGAGCTGGGGCGGGCGGGAGCCTAGGTAGAGGACTGTGGAGGCCCAGGAAGCGACGCGGCCGATGATCTCGACGGTTGTCCGCTGTGCGGCTATGGGAGTGATATTGGGCTCTGTGGGCTGGGCGTTTGCAGCAACGGCGCAGAGCATAGAAGCCAGGAGCAGGGTGCGGGTGGACACAAGCGGCAGGCTGGGTCCGCTGGCGGATCTGGTGATGGTCCGACGCGAGGAGCTCAGTTTTTCGTTCGTGTAGAGAGATGTTTGTCTGTCCATGGCGAGGGGCGACGACCTTTTGGGGAGCTCTGCATCTTTCCCCGTGGAGCTCGTGTCTTGCTTTGTAGCCTTGAAGGATGCTAGATCGTTGACGGAATCCTCCTCGGACATTGACACGCCTTCGAGAACCGCGCCGGTATCATTGCCATGGTGGGGGTGAGTGTAGCCACGGTACACGGCCCTTCTGCTCTTGTAGTGCGTATACCAGAAGAATTGGAACACGAGGGTCACATCCACCAAGACGTAATAGCCTGCAACAATCACTTGCCAGGCCGCTTGTCGGGTCAGTAGGGCGCCCACCAGATTACCCGTATCGCCTAGACACCATTCGATCAGGAAAAACAGCGACAGGCCGGAGGTCGACTGGAGCTGGTGGTTCTTGTATATTTGCGGGAGCTGTGCAAAAAGCCATGATATAATACTGAGCGTGCCGAGGATGGATGATATCAACGCAAGCGGCGTGGGAAGGCAGATATGTAGATAGGACGAGACGGCGGTGAGAAACGGCGAAGACGGCTCACAGTGCGCTGGAAGAGCAGCTGGCAAGACATTGTATAATAACGGAGGAGGCATATTATGGATATCTGTTCAAACTGAACAGCGCCCTGTTGTTGTCGTCGCGTTGTTCGTACGTCGAAAGTGTGGGGAGAAATCCGGGGGTAGTAATCAGATTGGCGACGCAGATAAGGGAAGTCTCATAAGAAACCAAAGTGAAAGATATACTATTAGAGTATATTCTTCAAGTAACCTTGATCCTGCGAAAGATGTGCAAGAAGAATGGAAGGACAGACAGGCACGATGATCAAGAAGACCGGAATGCGTGACGAAGGGAGTGTGACTCCCCCCCGTATTGATGGGTGAGTACAGAGTAGGTCACGAGTCACCCCGATCAGGGCTCAGCTGAAGGATCGACGAAGCAATCGCCTTATCACAGGCGCTGATAGCATCTAAGGCCCTATCGGGATATCATAAGGCTCTGATTGGCTGCACTGTCTTTATGGTCTGCTACATTGGGAATAGTTCCAGATCACCGGACACACCCGTGACAGATGACTAACACCCATTTGTGAGAAAAGTCCCTGAGAGTCACGTGAGATACGATATCAACCCTATCTCCATCGGACTAGGATTACTCTTATCTCCTCCACTACGGAGCTTGATATCATCACTCAGTGACCCAGTTCCTATCGTGTTAAATCTTTTTTTATAACGACCGTTACTAACCGATCTTCATCCTTGCAAAATGCAATAATGGTCAGATGCTGTTTGTGTGCGTTTGAGACATACAAGCCACTGAATTCTTTCCCTGTTATCTTCATATTCAAGCCGGAACGGTCATCAACGACAAGTATGCCAACTCTTATAACAGTTCGATTCCCCTGTCTATATATTGTCCTCTTGATACCCATGAGTATGGGTGCTGGTTTCCTGGGCGTATATGAACAGTCAGATCTGCAGAACTACACCACCATGCACAACCTCAGAGCTGCTATTCTTACGAAAACATGGCTAGATGAAATGATGCTGCAGATGGATTCTTGGATCTTTAATCAAAATAAAAACCTTGACTTTACTTATACTAACCATCAAAGCAACATAAAAAGCTGAAGAAAGGAAGCGTGCCATCCCACATATCCTTCGACCCATAAGAACTCCAGACAACACGAAGCACATCGATAACCGACAACCGCCATCCCAGCCTGCACGAGCATAACATTACAGCTCAGTCTCGAGATCCTCCACTGTGCGTACTATGTCGCGAGCGGCTACGATGATGCCGATGACTGTGGTGCTTACGACCATAGTGACTGTGATGTCCGTGGTGATGGCGGTGGTGGTGATGGCGCTTATGATGATCATCCCCATGCTGTTTATGGTCCTTGACTTGGTCACCGAGGAAGTTCCCCAAGAGCGCGCCACCCAGTGCACCAAGCAAACCGTGCTCTTTTTTGTGTCCCAGATAGTATCCGGAAGCAGTCCCCAGCAGCGTCCCTGCCAGATCACGCTCGTTCCCGGACGCTCGGTCTTTGGATCTAGATCGCGCTCTCGATCGCGATCTCCCTTCCGATGCATCGCCAGAGGCATGCGATCGTCTGCGCCGTCTCCGAGAAGAGCTTCTATCCGCGTCTGGGTGCTGATTACTGCATAGGCGTCAGTCTCAGACCTGGACCAGATGACAAGGAAGGAGGTGTCATGCACTTAGGGGCAACATACTAATACTCAGCGTTACTTCCTGGGCGACCACTACCCTCGTAATTCGATCCTACCTGGCCATTCCCCGGGCCATATTCGTACCTCAGTGCATCGGAGGGACTCAGGAAGTGTTTCTGCGGCTGAGGAGGTTGATTCTGATACTGCCTAGGCTCCTGGCTCAAACCGTGCTGAGAATGGTACGACCCATATGCTTGCTGAGCCTGAGTATGCGGGGAGTCTGGGGTCCCATAGAAGGCTGCCCCGCCATTAGGGCCTGCTGCGTTGTAGGGCGGATACTGGTTGTACGAGTCTGACATTGTGTAGACGGCGATCGTAGAGTTTCCTAGGACAAACTCAAATTGGATGCATGCTGTTTACTCAAAGAATAGAAGAGCTGATTAATGCCAGGACCCTGTTTATATGGAGAATCTCCAGGGCATGGATTATTCATTGTCTCGTGCAGTTGATTGCCAGCCGTCTGACTGTGTCTGTGCCAGATGACCATCCCCCGCGACATGGACCAGTCACGGTACATCCCACCATCACCTAGAATGCCCATACGCTATACGAGAAGGGTTGGTCAGGTCATCAACCCCTGGTAGATCGCCGAGGAACTACAGCACTGCGTATACAAGAACACCATCCGCCGCAGAGCATGAACTTCACCAAATCCTCTACCTACGATTGATGGTTCTCTACCGGCTACGACAATGAAAGAAAGTGCATGCGAGAAAGATCTCTGTGGCTTGGATGTGACACCCTTGATAACATGAGATGCTAAATTGGCTGTAGAGTAGAAGAAACATAGCAAAATGGACAAGTCCATATGTGTATGCCGCGGGGTATCCCTATAAAGTAAGACAAATAATGGAGCGAAAAGAGAAATGAACGACGGGATATAAGCTGGAGTCGAGGCCAGCCTGTGCGAAAACGTTTAGTAGTCACAGGTCACAGCAAAAAGAACCCAGTCAGCAAAAGACCAACACTTGACGGATTGTCTGAAACATTCCACACCAGCGCCCGTTCCACTCGAAGATGAAAGGAAAGAAAGAGAACCGAGAATGGATCAAGAAGGAAGCGAATGAAACAGAAATGGGTCCAAAATGAATAAATGAACAGCCCGCGTAATGCGTCCAGCACACTCTGAGCTCCGGGCTATCGTGAGGGAAATGGTATCATCATGCGGCGCAAAATATAGTGTCCAAATCAGAAGTAGGGACGAAGCATATGAGCAATCATGAAGATGCAATGCTTGCCGACCTCGTTGCAGATGCAGTTCGTGCCCGCCGACCGACCCAGTCAGCGAGCATCAGATCTAACTGGCTACCCATTTCCTTGATTCTTCTGCTCTCTTCCTTGAACAGACTGCCTGTAATTGGATGTTCCGGACCGGCAGGTGGAATGTTGGAGTTGTCATGCACAATGATGTACAGGTCACGGATATCGTTCTCATCGTCAAGATATGACCTCAAGCTAGCGTCGCTCCACGTGTGGGTATCAGGAGAGATCACGTCCAGTGGAGGACTCAATGAACCGGCAGTTTTGTCGTCATTTGGAGAGAATGGCGGCGAGATCGGGGACGCAGACTGGTCTCTTGGAGAGGACAGAGTCGGCCCAAGGCCGAGTGGAGCACTCGTCTCCATGGGCGACACACTCACAGGAGATTCTACAGTCCGGTCGTGATACTCATTTTGCTGTTTCTGGGGGGATCTTTGTGGTGGGGATGACACAGAAGGTTGAAGGTTCACCATTCGGTCATACGGGCTCTGCCTCGGCTCAGGAGGTGATTCTGGAGACTCGATTGAAGCATTCAGATCGTCAGTCTTGCTAGGACTACGACTGGTGAAAGAGGTTGTGTTGTCAACAGGAGGAGTTATGACTTCCTCCATGTTCACAGGAACTATGGGACCTGGGGATGGAGGTAAAACGTCATCGTCGTCAGCCAAAACTTGTCGAATTGTATCCGACTTCTGTTTGACCTTGAGAAGCGCATCCTCGCCACCCAGGCTGGGCTGAGAGACAACGGTTCCCTGCTGTGGTTCTTGCTTGGAGGGAGAAGTAATGATCGAGGTTGGCTTCTGTAGCTTACTCGCCTGCTTTTGTGCCGGTGTGATTTTAGACGGCCGGGACTCTGGGGATGAAACGGACTCAGAGGACGTCTTCGGTGTTGGCGAGGTTCGAGATAATTCTCCTGAAATCTTTTCGGGTTCCTCGGCATCGTCTTCATTTGACTTAGTTTTCTTATCCTTCCTTTTGAAGAGCCCACTGAGCATGCCTGGCTTCTTGTCTTTTCTCTTCTTATCTTCTTTACCTTTGTCATTTAAGCCTAAAGCTTTATCAAAGTTTTCAAGGCTTCCGCGACCCTGGATATGGAGGAGTTTACCGTCAGTATTGATGATCTGCGCAGATTTTCATGAAAGATCTAGAAAGATACACACCTCCTTAGTCTCAGTCGTAACGTTGCTGTTGTTCACTTCATCACGAAGCAGGTTAGGTGTTAGAGATATTTTCTTGGTCTCAACAGTGTCGTCTTTGAAAAAGGAATCCGTATTCCTCACGGTTCCGTTTCGAGACCTGCTGATGGTACTCTCGTCTGGTGATATGATTAGCGAATTTGATGGCCTAACATAGCGCAACTTCCTTACTTGTTGCATCTGATATCTCTTGACTCGAACGTTGCTTCTCAGGACTGATAGAACCAGACTGATGAAGCTCGTCCACAATTTCCGACTCATCAGAGACCCTGTCGCGATTTGGCTTTGGCCTCAGAGGTTCGACGACAATGTCGTCGTTTTGGTCTTCCCGGATATCATCATCTTCACGCAACATGTCTCCATCGCTAAGAGAGTCTCCATCATCCAGGTCATCGTCGGTCGAATAATCGACATCGGATGCTTCAATGTAAGTAGGAGAAGTAAATGTAACGGTTTTCGCGTTTCTGCGACGCATTGCTTTCTTCAGTGGATTCTTCGATTTTTCTGAATTATCCCCAAGCATCGTTGCTGATAGCTGCCTTTTGGTTAGTGAATTGATTGGATGAGACGTGGTGGTACGTACATCAACATTTCTATGCTTGTTTAATCTTGCAAGTCTTTCCGTGGGTGTCTCAATATGCTCAGCAGGCAAGTACCCTATCAAGTGTCAGAGGTCTGTTCTTGTACGAAAACGCTGAAGGGGGAAAAAAAGAATTACCTATACTGCCATCCTTTACAATTCGCACAAGCCACCAGTAGCTGTTGCTATCGTCGAGAAGCACCATTGTGTCTCCCTTTGCTGCATTGGCTTGTCCATCAACCGTGGCGACGAAATTATGAAGCGCATACACGAATTCGAAATCGATATCCTCTAGTCAGTGTTAGCTATATGTCAATGCGAGCAAAAGACCATTTAGCATGTATAGAAAACTCGGGCCAAAGAGATATTGCAACAAAATCAAGGAATCCCGCAGGCCTAGCGTTTTCGAGGAAAAATCCTTACCATCATCAATTGATGGTGAACTCGATATTTTGTCCATCAGGTCATCATCCAACATGTCATCACTTTCTTCATCGGCAAGATCGCCTTCTTCTGAGCCCGCGCCGCGATTATGATGGCCTAAGCCATCGTCTATTCCCTCTAATCCGTCGTGAATATCCATCCCCTCGTGGTAATGATTGCCGTTCAGCTGGTCGGTATCGGGGTCGTTAAGCATTTCAGCTCTCGAATCTTGATCTGCATGTCGAAGGGTGTTTTCCTGATGAGGGGCAAGCCCACTATCGGTTTCAATGGGGTATTTCGAATGATCTTTCGCAAATGGGGCATGGTGATCTTGAAGATCAAGGGTGTCTAACAACGGCAGGTTAGTGCTTGGGCGGTGGGATCGGAGACTTATGATCGCATCGATTTATGCGGTTCATACCAGCTCGGACAATTCGAGGTCTCGCCATATTTGTTCTCTCTCAGATGACTCAATTGCCGGAAGAGCGAAAAAGTTCAATGGGAGAAAGAGTGCAAAGCGACTTTAGAAACCCGGCGACATCAGTGTCAAAAGGAATGATAAAAACAAAACCCAACTCGATCCCAGCGGGGTTGGAGAAAAACGATGTCAAATGATAAGGAGATTCTTCTGAATCAGAGACGCAAGGACAAAGACCTGGCAACTAGAGAGTAATCAAAGTTATAACGTGGACGGGACTCGATCAACTCCGCAGGTAGCATCAGCGGCGCCGCAGGTATAACGAATGGCAATGAACAGTTCAAAAGCGGCCAGATGACCTGTGGGACGAAAGAAATACTTCCAGAGCAATTCCTCGACAGCAATGAAACAACGTAAAGCGAAAGAAAGAAGTATGCAACGCCCGTGACCGTGTCAATGACCGGATAATCAACGTGCTCCCCAGACTTCTAAGACCACATCCAAAAGGAGGTCCCCAGAATGTCCAAGCAAGCGCCCCTTGCGCGCGCTTATTGCAATTGGCCTGAGGTCCCTGAGCCAGGCAACCCGGCGGAAAGCTCTAAGCCACGATAGGACTAGTGTTACCAGGTTAGTCCTTAGGGCATAAAATTGATGATTTGCCCCGCTTATCAGGTGATCTTTCGAGGTCAATGGGGTAATTGGCTAGCGCTCATTGGCCAACAGACTCAGTTCGTGTCGATCTGCCACCCCCGCCCGCAGTTCAGTTCCCGATCCACTCACGACCCTCTTTCCGGATTCACCCGATACAACCCATCCTTGCCCATTTTTGTGTCACATTTGATGTCGTCGTCAATCCTTCCATCAGTATTTGCATGAGAACAGATGACAATCTATCTAAATTTATCCCACCTCTGACTTAAACGACGCTTCTATTCACTGGGGTACTGCTGCCTCCATCGTACCACTCTTTTCCCTTATGGTTGCCTTCCGATAAGCGACAGCGTCATATACAGCGGCCTCCTCCCACCTTCTTCCATCGACTCTCTCCTATGTAGTCCCCTCATTGAATCATCAAATTATCGACGAAGTCAGGATTCCCGAAGCGAATTTTACCTTTAAAAAACATTATCGAAATCGTGTCGTGCTCTCGCGGGGGGCATGGCTCACAAAGAGAGAAACATATTGGCAGGCTTGAAGATCGAAACTTCTTTTCAGCGACATCGGTGGCAAGGGCATGAAGGAGGCCGACGGGGGACGGAAGATAGAAATGGCATCGAGGGCGACCGTACAAACATCTTTCACGATTCTGGCGCACGCCGTTGCGGTACTGATGAAGACAACAGTGTCCTAAGTGGTCTACATTCAGCAACCCCTCCCATCTCGGTCCCTCGTCACGATGACCACCCGGCACCGGATACCAGCTATCCGCACAAGCCAGAGGATGTTCAAGCCTCTCCACTAGACAGCTACACCCACAATCGCCGCCCCTCTATCAGTTTCGACCCCACTGTTAGTGTGGATTCTGGCCAACAACAGCCTCTAGAAGAGCCGCTGGCCAGGGGAGAGGCTACAAATCGAGCACCTTTCAAATATCAATCAAAGAGCTCCGGGTTGCGCAATGCCCTGTCCCAAGAGGACAACGAGGAGCACCGTACAAAGCCTGTCGAGTACGGCTCCAGTCCCAGAAGATATCGAAATCAGCATGGCTTTCCCACCGGTCCTCGTGGCAGCTTCCCTGCCAGCCCCGAAGAAGAAGCGCCCATGGGCTCTGAACTTGAACGTCCAACTTCCTTAACATCGGTCTCGACTGTTTCTCCAGTGACGGATGAAGTACGAACCCCGCCCGAGAGTTCCAGGGACTTGCTATCACCCATCTACATGGCATCTCCAGTCCATACATTTGCTTCCCTCGATGACCGCAGTTCTTGGTCTGGAAGCGTCATGACACCCTTTGGAAGCAAACCTAGAGGCTTGCGGGGCTCTACACGCCAGAGCTCCCGTCGTTCGACTCTCTCAAGCGGCAAGTCTCCAGCTAGCATGTTTCTTTCCATGTGGAGTAGTCGTGAAGAACCTGCGCCAGAACCCGATGATGAAGGTCAAATGGTCGGGACGGATTATGTGCTTGGAAAACAGATCGGTTTTGGTGGCTTCAGCACAGTGAAGGAAGCATACAAGGTTGAAGAAAGGGGCGGAACAAGACGCCTTGCAGTCAAGATCGTTCGAAAACAGGTCTTCGGAAAAACTGAGAATGAAAACGACATGGTACAAGCAGAATTCGATCACGAAGTCCGCGTTTGGCGATATCTCAACCATCCAAACATTTTAACCCTGGATGCTGTCTATGAAACCGATTACGCCACCTTCTGTTTCACAAAGCTAGCCATTGGCGGCACTCTGTTTGACCTCGTTCGCCAGAATCGTCAAGGCTTGGATATCGCTCTTGCCAAAAAATACACCTATCAGTTAGGATGTGCCTTGCGGTATCTACACGAGGATGCTCGCGTCGTTCATAAGGACATCAAGCTTGAAAACTGTCTTCTCGACCCCATTGGATCCTCGGACGGCTCAGGATCCTCGAACCTTGTCCTCTGCGACTTTGGTATGGCCGAATGGTTGAACACAGACAACGAGGGTGATTCCCCCGGTCCTTATGGCGATGCAGCGGACCGACCAGCTCCAAAGAATATCGGTCCTGCCGGGTCCAGTACTAGTGTTGCGGGAAGTTTGGAATACGCTTCCCCGGAGTTACTCCTCTCGATTAATGGCGTTATTGATCCTTCCGTGGACATCTGGGCATTCGGTGTCATCATCTACACTATGATTGTTGGATCACGGCCTTTCCAAGACGCCTTCGCGCCTCGCATCCAGCAAAACATTCTGAACGGAACCTGGGATCGGAAAGCGATTCTGGGCCCCGAGGACGACTCGCCAAACCGCCAGGACCGAGAGGCTGCTCTCGAGCTGATCCAGGGCTGTCTGGATATGGACGTCGGAAGACGTTGGAATATCCGTGAGGCACTGTCGTCGCGCTGGCTGCACGGTGTTTCTGAAAATGTGCAGGACGGCGCAAACGAGTCGATCTGGAAACTGTGAATACTCCTATATCTCGGCAGTTTTTGCCAAGAACTATAAATTTTCTACGCCCTGAGATGCGAAAGATTGACATGAAATTTACGAATTGCGTTTGCTTTATGATGGATCACGCCAGCGCTGCTGTGATGGAACAAGCGCTGGTGAGGGATACTTGATCATCTGTGATACCCTTTAACTATTCCTTTTCCGTGGTACTTTTAGGTTTCCTCATGATGTTTATATATGATCAGCTTGATATCCTTTGCGTTTTCTATGCTTCAATTTCGGCTTGATTTTGTACGGTCTGGTTTCTTGAGGATTGGGTTATCGCTGGGCCTTTTTTTTTTTTTCGGAAGCAAAAGTCATTACGTATGTGTCTACGAGCACGGCGTTCAGACTGGGCCGGGTTTTACTTACGTTCCTGTTATTTTTTTTTAACGATGGCTCTATTAATGTACACATTCCATCTACATCGTTTCCCTTTTGTCCGGGCTGACTCAATGTGATCCCCGTGTACTTCTGTCTTCATCTGGCATTTGTATATCTTTGTCGTAGATCGACTGGCAGTTGTGCTAGTAACTCTTGTAGAAACAGCACCTTGACGCCCCGCGTGCAAGTTCACTGGTAGCGGTCAGTCTCACTGGCTGGTCTTTATGCTTTTTGAATTTGGTATAGGCTTTACGTGCTGTTCAGAGATAGGCAAGAGAAGATAGGTAGAGAGACCAAATCCCAGGTGTTATCCATTCAAACGCAGTATTTATACAAGTATTCCCACAAATCAGAAGAAAACAGTAGCAGACGAAGCCAACACAAAAAAAATAAAAGAAATCGGCTAGTTGTATCAAAAATACAAAGGAGGGGGCGATCAATGATCCATAAAATAGTAGCAAGACCCAAGAATCCCTTCAACCACCCTACTACCAGAGTCTGTTCTCGGGCAAGATCTTCTCCTTCTTGACGCCAGCGGAGGACTTGCGCTCCGCCGGTGAGCGGAAGAACAAACTGGGGCTCTCGGTGGGCTTGAGCAGGTGGCTCAGGTAGCCGCGGTGGGCCGGGTCACGGTAGTATTCGATGTCGCGTCTCTTGGTAGGGTCGGGGAGACGGTACTTGAAGCCAGAGTCGCGCATGACGGCGGGCTCGGAGAGGGCTGATTCCTCGAGGCCGGCGGCCTCGTTGAGGGCGTCGCTGCCACTCTGGGGGCTCCAGGCGTTGGAAACGAAGGGGTGCGTCTCGCGCTTGAGGATGCGGGCAATGGCGGAGCGGGTATAGAAGCGGGTTGTGACGGAGCCGCCGGCGGCCTCGACGGCGGCGATGGCCGAGGCCGAGGCGCGCGAGACGACGATGTGGATGGGCTGCTTGAGCACGTTCGCGTCGGCGGTGGTGCCGCGGGCGAGCAGCTTCACGCCGTCCTTGGTCTGGTGGATGCAGCGCGACTGCGCCAGTTCGCGAATGGTGATGGGGCGGGTTGGGTCAATGCGGCCCTGGTCGATCCAGTCCTGGATGCGGTCGAGGTTGGCGGGTGCGAGGTCAAGAGCGAAACTATAGGAGCAAGGCCAAGCGTCAGTCCATTGCCTTTTGCTCTTCATTTCATCGTCTCCTTTCCTCAAGACTCGGGGACATACACGTTGTTCCAGCCACGCTCACCGTGCACCACGATCTCCGGCGTCTGACCACCATTAAATCCCGCAGGCACCTTGCCGTGCTGCTTCTGACCCTTATGACCCCGTCCAGAAGTCTTACCCTTGCCGGAAGCGGGACCACGACCTCGTCTGATCCTCTTGTTGTACGCTCCGGCGTTATCGGACAGCGACGCTAGAATGTGTGCATTGCGGCTCTGCTGCTGGAACTGCGGCAGGAGGAACGACAGTGGCGACGCTGACGAGACGACCGGTTTCGATAAGATCTGCTGCCACCCCAGTGGCAGGACCTGAAGTCTAGGAGGCATTGTGATCGTGGGACGACGTTGATCTGGGACCTGAGGTTTCTGTTCGGCGTTGACGATACAGCGGCAAAAGATCTTCGGGATGCGGGAGCGGAGAAATATCGGTCCGGGGATTTCTCTCCGCCGTTGCTTTTACTATCACCAACTATTATATTTAGCCCCTTCGCGTCTGACGTCGTAAGAACGGACTTTGATATTATTCGAAATGAATTTGTCCATGAATATGAATAACAAAATATCAATCCTTGGGACGAATTTACTCAAAGTGACTCGTAAAACGCCTGTGTTCTAACATGATCGCGTCTTCACAGCTTGACCTTGATCAAATAATGTACGGTCTCATATATCTACTTGTCACCACAATTGCTCTACCAAGGAGAATCCTAAAATATTTCGATTCCTTAAACACAAAAGGTAGCCAGAAAGATCATTTCACTCCAGGTCGGATTCAGTACACCATGCTAGAATTATAAGCACTACTCGGGCTACGACTACCGGGTTTCAAACCGTAACGAGATATAAGATGTTGTACAATGTGTCATTGTCCAAGACCAATATGGTCGGATCAAGCCCTCTTGGGCTGATAAAAACGCCTAAAATATGCAAATGCAAGTCTGGATGGGGACAATGTATATGACCTGACCACATGTCGGGGGAACGAGAACAGAGACAAAAATACAACGCGTCGCGTCACTCAGAAAACCTCCCAATATCACAGGATTGTCCCCATCACAACACAATGGAGAGACAGCTGTGGCCAGGGTCGAAACCATCTAATGCTAAACGCCGTGATGATGCAAGGTCGTATTGAAGGGTGTGAAAGATTCTGTACAATATACAAGTTGTTGAGAGTCAGAAGAGAAAGGCATCCTTCTCGTATCAATGGTCGTAAGAGGGTCGTAAAAGGTGAAAAGTAGTGTGACAGGATATCAGATCGAGTAGTTGGGAGTAGGGTGGAAGTTCGGCTGAACGAATGGTCCTTGTGGCCAAGCTTCATGATGAAGATAGGGCACTGGTCCTGTGCGCCGCTCCGCAGCCGTCTTCCCAAGTGGCTGGTAGTGCATATGATCAAATGGAACACTCCGCTGCTGCTGAAGAGAAGTGGATGGGGGCGGGATCAACAGGGTATTGACCGCCCGAACAGGCCGATACGGCGAGTTCCGGTTCGCCAAAAAGAAAGAAGGAGAAAGATGCGTTTGTGGCGTGTGAACAGAGTACGCAGATACCGCTGGCGACACGGTTACGGATGAAACTCCATAGGGACTGCTGTGGTACCGTGCAGGGTCTGGGAGAGAGATAGGAGTCGTGTAAACACCACTAGTCACCGGTGGCACTGCTGGTGCATGCGATACCTGGGAAACATGCGCGGCCCAATTCGTGGAAGAAGTATATGGAGCGGAAGAAGGAATAGCACGGCCAGCGGAAGGAATTTGGGGGGTAGAAGTGGAAATGGTCGGAACCAAGTTGTGTGACGAGGTAGGGAGGTTGGGACGCGGTAGATGGGAGACCGGACCAGGAATGAAAGGTTGATATGCCGGTGCCGAGGTCGGGGTAACAACTGGCGGCAAAGACGGGATACTGGTCAAGGTTGAAGAGGGTGGAAGAGTAGTAGTCGGTGGAATTATCTGAGGCATCGCCATTCTCTTCGCAGGGTGGTCCTCGGTTGGGCCCTCCCGGGTCCGCTTGCGAGGGTTGGCAAGCTGGATATCGGTACCCAGTTGAGGAAGCGATGTGTACGAGGGTCCATTTGTTGGCAGATTCCAGGTTGGCTGTAGACGCATAGAGTCGGATGCAGGTGGTGAGGGCAGCTTGGACGGAGTCGATGACGACAGCTGGGGAGTTGGTCGAAGGGTGGGAGAGATGCGGAGCAAGGGGGTTGTGGGGCTCAAATCGGTCTCTTCTGGGATCACAGATGCCCTGTTGAAAAAGTCCGAGAAAACGCCCAGCTTCGTATGCCACTGAGCCCACTCTTCCTCCGACACATAGAGATTGTATCGAACGTTGCTGAGGAATTCAACTTCCATGACATGAATTTCTTGCACTGGTATGCCGGAGACCTCGGCCCATGTCTTGTTCGTATATGTGTTATCATCCAGGACTAGGGGACTTTGTCAGCCTTCTATCGCACACAGTTATCGCGGAGACACGAGGGCGAGATCTCACATTTGTTTCCCAGCATTAGGGCAATGGTCATCAGTCTGAACTCGCTGCCTTTCTTTCCCCGCACCGCCGGATTGAACTTCTTCAACCTGTAGATGAAGAGAAGCGCCAGCAGGATCACATTTTGGCTCACTTGAGTGGTCGATAAGATATTCGTTACCCACTTCTTGAAACCAGCAGTGGGAAAAGCTTCAGGAACAAGTGAAGGAACCACGTTTAGCCGCTCTTCAATCGTCTTCAGTTTGGATGTGCTTTCGAACCAAAACAGACATGTCATCTTGAAGGTGTTAATTCAACGCATGGCATACCATGAATGGACAGCGTCAAAGCTTACCTGAGCAGCGAATTCAGACAGGCTGCCTTTGCTTTTGTTGATTGACGACGGAATCTGTAGATAAGAGGCTGGGCTCGACTTCTTTTGACTGACAGGTTCGGACACCGGAGCATCCTGGGAAGAAGGCTGGCTGTGCGATTTGATCGACGGAATCGTGGCGGAAGAGGATTCATAATCTGAGCGAGGATATCGCGGCGCCTTGATGTAGGGAGGAAGAATGATGCCATTGTGTTTTCCTCCATAATTTGCCAGTGGGAGAGACTTGTAGGCCACCCCATTCATATCGCCGGGGGGAGTGGGCAGACCGTCCCTGAAGGGAGCAGTCCAGCGGTGATCCGAGACCTCTGAAGTAATCTCTGGATACTGCTTTCTGGCTGTTGTCGAGGTGTCGTCTTGCAGAGATGGATAGAAATTCGTGGTGGGGGTTATCGGAGCCGGGGCGGAGGGGAAGTACGGCGGAACCAGTATCGGAGGAGGCATATGGTACGAAGTGGTCGAACTGGATAGAAGATGGACAAGTGAAAAGGAACCCTGGAGAACACACGAGTGTCATGGGAATCTCATTCCACCTCTTCTGATTGTGCCGTGTTATAGATCAATGGGGGAAATAGCCCAATGCACCGAGTTGCCGCGCGCAATGCTGGTTCGACGTCTCTAGAGATATGGAAGGAACGAGGAGATCAGGATTCTCAAATAATTGTTTGACTCTCTATGCAACTTGATAACAAGACAGCGGTGGAGTACTGGAGAGGTAGACGACAGCAACCGATCTGGTGAATGCTGACCATGCCTTGCCCAGATGGAATGAAGGCACAGAAGGGGGTGGGTAGATGGAAGAACAATGTGGACGAGGCCGATCCAGAGCAGGCAAGAATCACACAACAGGACTAGAAGGAAGTAGTCATAGATGCTTGAGCATCGGTAGAAAGTGCAGGTACAGTTCCAAGATATAGAAAAGGGAATACGTTCCAAAGGAGACGGGTCGTTGGTATAGAGGTTGACGCAAGTATCAGGATAATGAAGGAAAGTCTAATAGGACAATGAAGTAGTAGAATGGAACGAAATTAAAGATGGAGTCTGAATAATAAAAAGAGAATTCAAAAAAAAAAAAAAAGATCATTAGAACAGACTTGATCCTTCTATGGATCCAAGCCATATAAGAAGAAAATAATCATGGTGTATAAAATTGATAAAATATATCCATCTGGATGGAACTGAGAATGAGTAGTAGGTATGAACTATGGAGTAAGTAGGAAGTAGTAGTCAGAGAAGTTTGGAAGCGTGGAAAATACGAATTAGAAAAAAAATTTAATAAATAAATAAAAATAGTGAATAAAAATAAAATAGTGAATAAAAATAAAATAGTGAATAGAAGAAGAAAAAAAAAGGAAAAAAAAAAGAGGTAGTAATAATAATGGAAGGATGAGGTCAAGGACTCAAGACATCATCCCTCAATCCAGCAACATCACTAAATCTGGCTTCATATCACTACTATGCTAGGTGACTTATTCCGCTAGAAGAGCCAGGGTAGGTTTAGTCCGAGTGCTTCGTCCGGAGAAAATTTAGTGGTAGATAGTTACTAAGGTATGTACTATGGTTGAGTCGCAGGCTCAGCTATCCAATATCCATACAGAACCGACAGAGTTTGACCTGGACGCAGGTCCAGAGGGTTGATCCTCCCTTCTGGACTCGTTTGGGTCGGTTCCGGTTTGATTTGGTCATCGATGTATGTCAAGGGTTGGGATGGGATGGGATTAGTGTGATTTGTCTTTGCTTTGTCTTAGAGCGATGACTGACGAGAGAGAGAGAGATAGCGAGAGGGAGAGACCGGTTGATGTCAGAGCCACTGGGGGAGCAGGCTAGAGTGGATGCATAGCAGCATAGGACATAGTACAGAGCAGTTAGTGGAAAGGTAACAGAGTCAGCACTTCGGGTGCCCCTAGACCATTTTCGGCTCCAAGTGTCCTTCCACTGCCTGCCAGACAATCAAGAATCAGACTGTCTGAGTCTGGAGTTGGAGATCTTGAGACTGGGGCTCAGAGAGGGGATGGTCAAAAAGAGAATTCAATGAATCAATGTAAAGAGCGCCCAAAAAAATGGAGGGGTTCGCACTCTGGATGATGATTGGAACATGGGTGCTACAGTCTACTACACTTCCTACGAGACTAGACGACTAATTCTACTAAAAAGACCCATATCAAATCCAATAATAAAGTCTGGTTTAGCGTTGCAATGCAACCGTCGCTGTTGGCTGCTGACGAAAAAAAAAATGGATACAAAATGAGCAAATAAAAAGAGGAGGGGCGGCAATGGGCATTGCTCATCAAGCCCGGGAGGAGGCACGGGAGAAAGTCAGTCTTTCTGTAGATAGTCGTAAAGTGAATGAGTAAGTACTCCGTAGACTAAGTACCGAAACAAAAAAAAAAGGGGGGGGGGGGGGAGGGGGAAAAGGAAGAAGAGGTTGGTGCACCTTGGGATGGTTGATCACTACTTGTTAATATTATGGAACCGGCGGAAGCAGTAAGAATGTGTAAATTAAAGAAAGGGACTGAATACCTTACGGAGGACGGAAGTAACGGTCATACACTCTACATTTTCTTTACATACAACCAGGTCTGGTACTACTAAGAAGGCAATAGGAGGAGAACAGGCCCAGGATGGAACCGGATGGCTGCGTATGAAACCCATCCGTAATTGGCGAAATACCAAGTGGCTTGCAAAAGGTCAAGTTCCAGCTCCGTCCAGCAGGACGAGTTAGTTAGGTTATGACCAGGCCAAAAAGTCAGGTCAAGCCGTCAGCAAGGTGGCACTTTTGTTTTGTACGGAAATGTCTGGGTATGGCAAGGGTTGGTTGAGTTCAGGTTGATGGATGAATCGGTCGGGTTGTCATGGATGCGTAAAGAAGAATACCTAAAACTTACACAGTTAACAGCCAGGCGTCGTAAGATATGCATGTGTAATCCTCTGTACGGTGGTGCCGGCCGGTGTCAGATAAAGCACAAATTCGGATAGGCTGGAATGGATGGCGACCGACAGTTGGATGGATTGGTGTGGTTCTGACTGTAACTGGTTAAGACGTAGAGGGACCTAGGTACCTAGGCACCTTAGGAGTAGGAGGACAACTGATGATGGGCAATTACCATTCATTACCATTCAGTACACCGAGTAATTCTATGGGCGTAAAGCCTTCCTAGAAAGTAGATAGGTACCTAGGTATCACAGGTAACATGGAAGCATGTTGATGGACACAGTGTGAGGCTTAGCAGATCCCAGCCAACAAACCCACCCAACAAGACGATCCGAAAGAAAGAGCGAGAGGAAAAAGAGAGAGAGATGGGCAGAAAGGTTTCAGCGAGGCATTGCTCTCTCTCCACTCAGTGCTACTATCTTGAGTACCCGTCCATAGTTAGTCCATACTAACGACCTACCAAGCAGGCTGAATAGGTTTCCGAAGTGGTCCAAGAATGAGGAGGCTTGAGAAGCCAAGGCAATACCGAAACCACCTGGACGTCTGGGACTCTGGATTGTAAGTAAGGCATCTAGGAGCCTCCATTGGACGGGTAGGTGCACAAAAGGGACCCATCAAGGAGTCTACTAAGGTACTACTATGTATGTAGACAGACACCTAGGAGTAAGGTAGGTAGGCGTCTTGAGAATGACCAGCCTATCAACGATGGAGGACTGGGCATCGATTGACTCCGAGAGATCAGTCCAATCGCTGCGTTCAACCTGTTTTTTCCATTCTGTTCTTGGGTTTCCAAAATCCAACCCACTAACCTTCAACAAACTAACCGAACTTGGTTTAGCCAGCATTGTGTTTGTTCTGGTTCTGGGCAGGCAGGCAGACAACAAGCCATCCGTACGTAGTAGTAACTACTAGTACATATGTAAGTTCTTTGTACGAAGTAGCTTACCTAGGTTAGCAACACTAGCCACTGATACATTTTTGCCTCCCCCAACAGCATTAATCCTACCACTAATAATAATGGTAGACAATTTGATCCTGGTAGCTATCGAGCGTTGTTCAGTATGAGTGGTGACAGACTACAGCGTGCTAACCAGCTCAACACAACTCATTCTTCGTGTGGTCAACAATTCAATCCACCATGATAACCCACCGCTTCATGATGATGATCGAGGAGATAGATGAATATGATCGAGAGTTGAGACTGAAGTATTGCTATCCACAAATCAATTGCCCACCCAATCCAATCCTTGGCCTCTGCGCGTCCGCGCAATCGTAAGATTGTTCCGTGTTCAATCCGAACCATGAAAATGAAGAATAAAAAAAAGAAAAAGAAAAAAAAATCATCGCGAATGATTCCAACTATCTCCAACTCTTAGGTTCAACACCGGTAGTTCTATCTACATTGTTCTCCGGAGGCACGGATTTCAGTCAGAGTTAATGCATCATGATTATTCGAGATTCCCGCGGCTACGACGATAATCAATCCTAACACTGACGCGATCGCCGGTTTCGAGCAGATAGGCTGACAAGAAACTGTCCCATTCATTTATTCCTATCCCCCAGTGGATCAGCTGGCCAAAGAAAAAAAAAATACAGAGTAAGTAGAATCTCCGGAGTATGGGAGGACTTGCGTTTTCTTTCTTCCTTGAAAAGATGGGAAGTCTGTACAGCCAAGGATCCATCCAGGCTTAGACGAGCTGAATCGCGGCCTGTTCGTGGCTTTTTTTTGGCCGACAAAGTCGCCTAGTAGTATGGTGGAGTTGGTGCTTTAATTAATATCGTCAAACCTGTCCAAAGACAGTTCAAGGAATTGGAGAGAAAGGAAGGCGAACTGATTTCCATGGTTGAATGTGAATGTGATGATGGTGATCATACTCAAAGGACTTGCGGCATTCAGCGGATTGGAGGTGAAACCAACAATGGCCCTTGAATCCTACACGGCTTAGGAACGGAATAATTATCTGGTGACCTAGTGTTGCCCATTTCATATGTCCCTAGCATGGGTAAGGGTGCGCAACATTGTTGATAGTAGTGGTACTCCAGGTGCAACAGATGATAATACCATGAGAACAAAAATTAAAAAAAGACTTTTGCATCTGGGCACAGGGTATATTACATGCTCCTGCTTCTCGAGAGTGCCCCAGATGAAGTAGCGATGGTAGTCGACTTACAACCAGTAGGGAGTTTCTACATGAAAGTACTCTGTAGCTTCTTTCAGCATGATCCAAGCAACCACAGGATAATCCTATCCAATCGTCCCAAACCACAACAACTTGTCCTGATTGGCTAAGAGCCCGCGTCATTCAGAGAGTACACAGTAACTCTGCGCAGTTTGACTTTCCAGTCATATCCTAACTCCTAGAAGGGGTGATCATTAAGACGATGATAATGATGGTGGATTGATTGTTGAGGCATTTGGCAACCAAGGGCAAATTCCGACAGCAGTGTCCCGTGCTGCGTCCGGTGTCTCGCTTGCAAGTTGCAAGTTATAAACATGCTATGGTTTAAGAAGGTCAACAAGAGCTAGGAATAGGATGGGAAGGGTGACTCTGGCCGCGCTGGAAGGCTGATGGTTGATAATAATGACATGCTCAAACAACGCACCAATATTGACCCATGTCCCATACAGGCATACAACCTCTTAGAAATCGGTATTATCTGCCTATCCACATGGGTGTGGATAGTCCATGCCAATCTTCAATCTCGTTTCTTGATAGTCTCAGCACCCCTCTCAAACCCCCATCATCAATGACCTGATATCGTATTTCGCTGTCTCCTTCATCCAGGATTTTATTGTTCTGGGGCAATTTATGTGCTATCACATCAATAACCAGACTAACCTCCCGTCTCTTGGAATTGCAATTACCACTAGTAGGGATTTCCCAGATGTACGTACAGGAGCTCAGGGGCCCAAGCCTGATGTAAGCACGTAGCACTCCGTGCATAAGATAGTAGGATTGAAATAGTTCCCAGTTCAATACCCAGTACGGGGAGTATGGAGTACTACGGTCTAGTAGTTATGGGGAACGGAGGCAGGCTATTATGCATAGTACATTCTGAATGCATGTACAGACTACAGATGCTTTCATGCAACCTCTCATTCGTCCAGTTACCCCCAAAGCGGCTAGTCGCTCTTTTTCATAGGGACGCCGGGGAGAGCGATAGAACGAGTACCTTCTTCCGAGTTCAAACTGAACTGGTGACCACAACTGTGGCCGGTCGGGGATCGGAATACGACCTGGCTACTAATTGTACGGGGTCCTACGGGAATAACAAGTTAACAACTGAGTAGGCATTCGCAAGCGTCGGGCGTCGTGATATGGAACAACCGCGGAGTTGAATCGGTGAAATATCAGTAGATATTCTCGCCCCCCAATCCCTTTTGCCTCTTGTATCATGGGTGTCACGGATGGGATATGCCAGTACAGAAATGGTACTTACCTGGGTATTGACGAGGTGATGAACCCTGGTTAGGATGGGAGCGGAGGAGAGTAGGTAATATATTGAGGTATGACCAGAATAATGATGCATAACCTGATCATGGATCCCAGTCATCTGCAAGTCTGATTGGTGTTGCACTGCCATTGCCGCAGATCAGTCATCAAATTGTGACTTTTACTTTCTGTTTTACGTCAAATTAATTCCAATTAATGGCAATACCATCTGATTGACATATGATACGGCGTACCAGGGGCAACACTGCGGGCATGGATCCTGATTCCTGATACTTACGGGCAGTACGCGCTGAGTAATTTATCCATATCCGCAGTCTGTCACAGATTGAAGCTGGCTCCGTCCGCATATACACATAGCATCTGATTCACTTATTGCTAGTAATGATGAGAAGACAGGCTCATCTCAACAATGAATCCATGATGCCGCGGAAAAGATGATGATGAGTTGGATCAAAGGATAGCACTAGTTAGGACTTCCTACAAAGGTAAAAATCTACAGAGTAGAGTCGTCAGGTATGCGCCTTTACTGTAAAAGCCTTGGTTACAGATTAAGGAGTGTCAACATCTCGCTGATCAACAATTGATCAAAGCACTGAGCTGAGTGAGGTCCAAGAATGGCCTTCTGGACTCCGGCGGTTAAAGTGCCTAGGAAGGATGCTCCGCCTCTCCTAGAGACCTTATTCTTTGACTTGTTGGAACTTTCTTTTGTCTCCCCTTGTCGTGGATCCTGATATATCGGTTCTTTGGCACTGATAGTGATATACACTTCGTGGGTCTCCCGACTTCTGTCTTTCTCGGATAATTGCCTCCGTCAGCCCAACTATCATTGAAAACAGGCAAGACCACGATCATAAAGGCTCGCTAGCAGTCTAGTAGCTATACATAGTCCACCGCTCTTCCAGATTACGGAGTACCATTTGTTCCAAGGTGGGCTGAAGTGGTGTTCCAGAACCCCCAGATAAAGAAAAGTGTCCACTTTTCAGAACCGTGCCACCGTCCAGCAGGATAGATGATGAGCTGACTGCTGAGGCGTGGAGATGTTTCGATTATTGACCATAGTGCCTCCGTAGGAGGGAGTGTTTACCTAGTGCATCCCTGGGGTGAGGACTAAAGATGTATCATCATCTTGAAATTGGACCGATTTGGCGTTCCGTCCCAGAGAGAGCGAATGAAGGATGTGAAAGCGGATATCGACTGGGGCTCAATCATCCGAGCACTTGATGGAGTTGGCTGCTATGATGATGATGATAATGATGATGATGATGTCCCTAACTTCTCGTCAGCGTGGCGGACAGTGACCTTGTGCCGGTATCCATATTTCATACTCTCTCATCCACGAAGAGGTGATGGGAACTTGGGAAACCTAGCTCCGAATCACTTTTAGTTTTGCTGCGGCGATCGAAAAGAAGGCGCTTGACCTTTTGAGGCAAGAAGCCTGGGACGAAAGGCTGCCTCTCGGTCCAATGTCCATAGTGGCATAGTCATACATACTACGGATAACTACTACTACTTACTAGATAGATAGATACTACGGAGCACTATCGTCGTATTCGGTGTCGATGCTCGATAGATACTTGTCACTACTTCCATTGCTGTCCTCCGCCGTCGTGAGGGCCCAAGAAAAGACCCCAAGAAAAGACCCCAAAAAAGTCTAAAGGGGAAGCGGCATATGGTAATTAACGAACGACGATTACCTTCTTTTTTTTTTTTTTTTTTTTTTTTGCCAGTGGGCATGGATGATGGATTTGGTTACTACTGGGCAGGTACGGTGGACAAAGTTCCGTCTGATTCAAATGCAGAGGCTAGAGTAGTATGTAGAGTGCCAAAGTCAGCGTAACTACGAACTCCTGACATTGATCGGCTCGAAGGTCATCTAGTTGGATATTTAGAGATCTCCTGGATAATTTCACATTTCCCTTCATTTCTCTCTCTTTAGTTTTTCTTTGGTTCTTGGCTTCAGGGAGTTCAACTACCAGTAAGTACCTACTTCTCGTACAACCAATCAGGTAGCTATTCTCTGGCGCTCGTTCTCAAGTAGTACTAGAGAGAAAAATGGTACAACTACGGTAATGCTTTGCGCAACTAAGGTAGAGTTATCCATATCGATAGTGCATGAATTGATAAGTGAGGATAAATATCGAGACTTGGAGAGCCAGCTACCACACAATTATTACTGCTAATATTAATAGTAGTTCATCTCGAATTCACCGCCTCGGGCTTTCCTGTTCCCCGACACAAATTAGATACAGGTTACAACCTAACTTACATAGTACAAGTTACAACACTGTCGCTGCTCCACAGATCATAGGTAGATGTTCGGTGGTTATCATGGATGTATCGAGTATCGAAGTTGCTAACCTGGTCGAAACCTTGCTAGTCATCACACTAGATACTGCGACTGAATCGTCGATGGTGACTGGTGAGGGTCAAGCTTCTCAGCGTGATGGGATGAAAGTCACAGTCTTGATTGTCTAGATCCATGCACTGATGCAGATGGATTTGGGACTTGGGTAGCCGACCATCCATTATGGCTTTGGGCGTGCGCAGTATCTTGATAGGTCCTGTCTGCAAGCAGTCACCTCGATACTGCACCATAGGACGTCCATACAGGAAGTTGGGACAACCCTGCACTACTACGGAGTACTACTATGGAGTATTTCTCTAATAAGTATACAGTGGATAACTTCAGAGCAAAGTTCCATTTTGAGGAATTAATGTTTACCCAACTGGCGGTGTCTCGTCTTGGTTTCTACTCAGCTTCGAACAATTAACTTTTAAAAGGAGAGTGAAGTGGATGATCTCGGGCATGGATGTCTAGTCTGGATGCTGCACCCTTCAACTGGCTGGTGTTATTGGGAGATCACAAGGCTGACCAACAAACAATTCACCCCCGTATGTTGATCCTGTGTGGGATTACTCAGAGTATAGAGATGTCTCGACGCCATACTGTTTCTTTACTCTGTAGGGATTCCCTTGAGCTCAGCTCTAAACTGGGAGGAAGATCAGCGTTACAAGTTATCACTTGGTCAACTGTCGTCACTCATCAAGACTCACGCAATTTTTATCATGATTTGTAGCATATTATTACTTACTGGTATCTCTAATTTCCACCCTCCTCGCGAGACTTCCCCTTTAACTACCAGAAGGGCAATGATATTCGTCGGAGATTTTCCCCTATTGTGACTGCACCTGCCTGTGAATGTGTGCAGGTTGCCCCGTGGGTTGGTTGTCATTCCAGGTCATCCATCAACCTGCAGCCTCGCAGCCCTCCTTAATCACAGCAGAACTAAAGTCTCAAGAGTTAGGCTTTGGACATTAGACACACTCCTACGCAAGGACCCCAACGTATCTATCTGTTGACGGTTGCCAGGGACAGATAGGCTGCTGGATTTCCCACCTTGCTACCAGACTCGGCTCCTTGCGTTTTCCTTATCCTTGCGGCTCGAGGCTTTCCATCAGCAGCGCATTCTTTTATTTGAGGATCAACAGCAACCACCACTTCATTGCTGTGGTGACTGGTGACATGGAATTGCACCGGTGATTAATCACATGCGTCCTCGTTCTGACTTAGAATTCAGCTGTGAGTTAAGTAACCCCTGCTGTAGCTGCTCAACCTCCTCCATCTTTCGACACGTTGATACAACTAGCCTCGATGAAGGTAATCCATATGTACTTCAGGGCTCATGGGAGCAGACAATATTGAGATGTCCTATCTCTTGTCCTTGGGGGCTGTGAGGGAATACACCTTACTCCCAATATATGGTCCAGTGCAGGGATTGTTTCACGGCCGAGTGATTCAAACTCTCAGACCTTTGGGATCCAGGGCTTTAGATGCACAAAAGCCAAATCCTCAATTTTTTTTTCCACGATGTCATCCGCTCCAAGTAAGAATTCTCGCTCTAAACCGAGGTACGCCCACCACCCTCCACAGCCACCAAGCAAACAGGGGCGTGTATCCTAGCATCGCATCGAGGTTTTATAGGCAACAGTAATAACAAGTCTGAGTAATGGCAAGGTCAGAGCACTCTTCTGTGCTCCGTACACTCCATACAAGATCGTCACAGTAATGGGCTCTCAATCGCTGTATAATTTGGCTCGAGTCTCAATCGCGGCGTGAAATAGAAGTCGAAGCCCAATCTTTGGTCTTGAGGCGTGAACAGGGGGTTGGTTCCGCACTATGTGAAACCTCCCTGTTATTATTATTGCTAACTTATCCATGATCAAGATGCCTGGAACCACAAGTTGATTGCGTCCGATCTTGAATATGTCCCACATACATAACAATCTTGAATGACCACCAAAACCTACTTACTCTCCATATTCCATAATAGCGTTCGTGTACGAATCCTGTTTCACTTCTGGAGCATGGAATCGCCCAGCTTTCGAGCCAAATATAGTATTCCGATTTGTCCAGGCCTAGCGTTTTTGGTTTTCCTGTTTACGACCTACCAACTCTTTTTCACATATCGTATCTAGCTAGCTTTGTTAGCTTACGACTCTCATTCATAAATGTCGTAACTACTGTGAAATTCTCATTACCGAGTCCACTTCGAATGGCTCGGACGTCAACGCCTCCCAAGTCCCAGCAGGTACGGAGGACTAAGGACCGGCATTTCAGCAGAACAATCTTATGTCAAAGGGACGAATGTCCTCTTGTTTGTTTCACCAATAGGCATTAGCGAAGTTTGTCTCGAACAGACAAGGGGAACGAAGCTCGTCGTGCTCAAAGCCAGGAGTCAGGACGTCTTCTGTCTAGGCCGATAATGGATCTGCCTGTCCTGCACGACTGCCTTGCTCAAAATTGTCCTACATTGCCCAGAGACATGTGAGAATCTAACCATGAACATTCGACTATTGTCGGTAAGCATGTTCAATATGGTTACCACTGTCCTGTGTGTTGTGAGGGACTCTCATTGAGAAGGACAGGAGCCCCAGCGCCAAATTCTATTGATGTGTGACCGCTGTCGTCAGGCTGAAGTATGTTTGTGGTTGGTCCAGTCGGCCGGAATACTTGCCCTCTCTACAAGGTGTACTCTCACTTCCTCGTTCGCCACTATGGAACAGTAAGAGAAGCCGATGTGCGTGGTGAGGAGCTTGCAGTTGTAGTCCTCATCACAGATCCACCTCACGGCGACTCCGTGAGGAGCCAGGCTGAGAGGGAAACATTAGTGTAAAAAAAAAAAAAAAAAAAAAAAAAAAAAGCACTAATCCCCAGTCTGAATCGGAATATGACCAAAGTACTCTGTACCTGTCACGGACTCGTCGAGCAGGACAGTCGGGATGGCAGGCACGCGGGTTATGACCAGGAAAAAAGAACGTGGAGCGTGAGTCGAGACCCTCAACCTCGAGTCATAGCCATAGTTCTGATGATGCAGATCGGATATCGTTTTCATTTCTTCTGATTATGGAAGTGTACTCGCGATGCATTACCCTGCTTGGACAAGACCAGACCCGGCGGCAAAAGGTACTTTGTAGCAATTCTGCCTCCGGAACAGTCCACGAACATATGCAATGGAACGCCAACATCGGCTTCTTTCGCATAAGGGTACAGTCCCCTATAAGGCTGGCTGTCCGCGGGACTCAGACAGGGCCAGGGATGGGTTTCAAACGCGACCAGGGGGCTTGCTTGCCGTGTGGGTTGAAGCCGAAACCTCTTCGCCGAATGGGATGCGATCTGCGTACGTTTGAGAGCAGGTGCTGATGCGGGACAGCGAGGCACTACGCCAGATAATCGGATGTTCATCTAGAGGCTGTCGCGACAAACCTCCAGTCACCGTGCTGTGAGAGAAAGCCATAACCAGGGTGCACATCTTGTCCCAAGAAAACGAGATGTTCTTGCTTTGCACAATCTTCATCTGGAGGACTGACTGTAGCACCTATGTCTCAACGTTAGGATGGTCCTGAACGAGACCACCAGCCACTCGCTTACCGCACATGCATGCCTTCCGCCCAAGCAGACCTCTATGAACAGCACTAATCCAAGGCCATGAGCAATCTGAATACCAATACCCAACAACCATATCAAGATCTGGCATCTAACACTGGACTTGAGCCCGTGAAGTGTCGCCATTGACCTCGAAGGCTGGGGTTGAGCTCGTTGCACCATCCACTGTCGATACGCGAATCTGGCTGCGTTATCTAGAAAAGTCAACCTTCATCGGCAAGCTGCAGAAGTTATTCGAGTGCATCGGTTTTGGTCCAAACTGTCAATGTACGCCTGGTAGACCCGAAACAGCGACGAGCCGAAGCTGCGGTACTACCCACTAAAGGCACATTGACGGTGCTTCTGATGACTGCGGAATACAGAGAGACTGCAAGATGGATGACTCGGTAAGATATGTTGGATGCCCATTGGCACTGGGAATTTCTGAGAGAATGGGTGTGAGGACACAAGATATGAAGATGTCAGAACAGGGATAGCAATCCCATTCTTTCATCATTTGTGTCTGTGGTACCAACCTTTGGAATCTTGGGTTGAGCAAGTATATATATCCTTCGAACTTAAGCTCATAATTATACACTCAACAATTGCATACAACATGACTGGTTCGACATGAGCAGATGATCCTGCTAACCCCAAGGCTCAAGGAATCTGCATTGGGCCAGTTCGAGTGCTCTAATAACGCTCAATCTCAATCGTTGCTGAAGTGTTGTATGGACAGAAGCTGGACTGACCGGATGATAATTGCCAGATAGACACTGCAAGAGTCTAGGTTTGGGATATCTACGGAAGTGATTTGCATAGGAAAGGTGCAGTGAGTGGCAGTCCATTGCAGCATGATGTTTCTGATAGACCATAAGTAGCACCGGAACCACTTTGGGAAACTAGCATCTCGTCTCAACATTGAACGTGCTCCATTAACAGATGGTCATCTTCAACGGTCACTCCAATGCAATAGGTGCGAAGGCCAGCTTTCTGAGATTCTCACTCTTCGCCCCTTTCCTTCGGAGCAAGGGAAAGCAATCGATCTTGTGTTCATTGCTTCTGGCTTGAGAGTGCTGCTTTCTGAGTGTCTTGGGAGAAGGTGGGAAACCTTCATGACTCCACGGTCTTCCACGGTCTGATAGTGTCTCTCAGGGTCATCCACAACGCAAGGAGTCGATCGACTAGAAAACCATACAAGACTTCTCTGAAGTCAATTGCAGATCAATGCATTGATATCGAGAAAATCCGCATTCGAAACATCTCCGTTAACCCGCGAAAGATGAAGATTCTGACCACTGTGCGGTCACCAAGCAAATTGTCAAGGAAAGAAACGGATGGACGAGAAGAAGTGGGGCTGGCTTTCCCCGGACTGTCATCGTCGGACGGTCTCTATTCAATTCAGCTGCGAATAACGTCCTCATAAAAGCCCAGAGATAGAATAATGCTGATTATCTAGACTCATCAGGAGTGCGGGTGATGCCGGCATCGGCTCGGGGACGACCGCAGAGCAGAGGGATGAGTCAGCAGGAGCTGTTAACAACTTGAGAGGTTAGAACTTAATAGTTACAAGCAGGAGTGATGAAATCATCAGAAAAGGATATTATTTATCGTTTTATACGAATGTGAGTAAAGAGACGATTAATCTGAGCGAAGACAAATAGGATCAGTAATTCAGTATACAGGCTAGATATGAACTCCAATAACAAAATGATAATAACCAGATCGAAAAGCTGTGGAATTTAGCCTATTAACCTTGCAGACAAAAGATGTAGATATGAGATCAGAGGAAGATAAGGATTCGGCATATTTTTGGAGTACTTTTCTTCTTCTTGGATTTCGCCTCTGATTGCTATTTACATGATTAGAAAGAGAAACTTCTAGGAAGAGGAGAGTTTCTTGAAGTGACTCTGGAAGACCACTATCATCCTCCTTGGACTGTATTATTATCACCCTATCTCACACTCAAGTGAATAAACCCTCACAAAGAGGGAAAAATCTGCAAGCTCTCTCCCCACGACTCCAATTCGGCTTCCCCAAACGAAGTCGTCGGTGTGTCGAAGGTGAAAAGGAAGACCCAGAATTCAGAATAGGCTGGATATCGGGGCCCATTGTTATTAGAGGAACCCGTTCGGACCCGGAATCCACCCAGTTTTAAGGCTCTAACAAGGCCAAATAGCTTCAAAAAGCGAGGCCGGCCGCCGAGCAAGCACAACGAAGCGTCCCAAAGAGAGAGAAAAAAAAAAGAGAAGAAATAGGGAAATCTCCACCGGAGCTCCCAAAGACTCAGCTTGTAAGAACGTGAAGGTGGAAGTAAGTATCCTCGGCGACACACCGATTCGCCCAAAACAGCTTAACTGAGGCGTCCAGAATTCTTGCGATTCTCTCATTCCGCGCCTTGATTGCCTCAGGCCTTCATTTTCTTTTTTTCTTCCCTCTCTTCTCTTCTCTATCCACCTTGTCATCCTTGTCTTCATCCACAATTCATTTCGTGAATTGACGTCCCTTGGTGGATTGCATTTCATCTCTCACCTTCCCTCCTATCCCCATACTTTCCCTTCGTTCGCCAGTGTGCGACCGCAGCCTTCAATGGTTGGAAGTTCCATGGTGATTCGCTCCAAGATGGTCTCTCCCGCCGTTATGCAGTTGACGTCGCTGTCGCGCAGGTCGCTCTCGACACGATCGCAGTTCATTGCTCGTTCCTCGCGTCCTCTGCGATCTGGTAATTTCTCGCGCCAGCCTGTTCAGCGCACCTTCCGCCGTTCCTACGCCGACGCGGCCCCTGCCCCGAAGCCCAAGAAGCGATTCAGATTCCTGCGATGGACCTGGCGTCTGACCTGGCTCTCCGGTGTCGGTCTCGCCGGTGCGCTTGTTTACAGCATCTACGAGCAGCGTCATCCTATCGAGCAGATCAATCCTAGTCCGGACAAGAAGACTCTTGTTATCCTCGGTATGTTGGAACTACTCCCTGTCTGCTATCCTCGTTGCACAACCTGCCTTAAAAAAAAAGAAAAGAAAAGACAAGCTAATTTATCATTGCAACTTCAGGTACCGGATGGGGTTCCGTTTCTCTTCTGAAGAAACTTGATACTGAGAACTACAATGTCGTGGTCATCTCGCCCCGCAACTACTTCCTTTTCACCCCTCTCCTGCCATCCTGCACTACTGGCCAGGTCGAGCATCGCTCGATCATGGAGCCCATCCGTAACATCCTCCGCCAAAAGAAGGCCCATGTGAAGTTCTACGAAGCAGAAGCCACCAAGATCGACTACGAGAAGCGCGTTGTTTATATCAGTGATGACTCTGAGATCAAGGGTGACATCTCTCACACCGAGGTTCCTTTTGACATGCTCGTCGTCGGTGTCGGAGCCGAAAACGCGACTTTCGGTAAGTAGCAGACTGTTTCAGGCGATCATGAAAGACACTAGATCCTAACAGCGCGATCACAGGTATCCCAGGTGTCAGAGAGAACTCCTGCTTCCTGAAGGAAGTCGGTGACGCTCAGAAGATTCGCAAGCGTATCATGGACTGCGTCGAGACCGCCATGTTCAAGGATCAACCCGAGGAAGAGGTCAAGCGACTGTTGCACATGGTCGTCGTCGGTGGTGGTCCTACCGGTGTTGAATTTGCCGGTGAGCTGCAGGACTTCTTCAACGAGGATCTGAAAAAGTGGATCCCTGAGATCAAGGACAACTTCCACGTCACCCTGGTCGAAGCTCTGCCCAATGTTCTTCCCATGTTCTCCAAGCAGCTGATCGATTACACGGAATCGACCTTCAAGGAGGAAGAGATCACTATCCGTACCAAGACCATGGTCAAGAAGGTCACTGATAAGTACATCGAGGCCGAGGTCACTAACCCCGATGGAAGCAAGAATCTGGAAACGATCCCCTACGGCCTGCTGGTTTGGGCCACTGGTAATGCCGTGCGTAACGTTGTCCGCGACCTGATGAACCAGATTCCCGCCCAGAAGAACTCGCGCCGTGGTCTGGCTGTGAACGAGTATCTCGTCGTCAATGGTGCGGAGAACATCTGGGCTGTCGGTGACTGTGCCGTCACCAACTACGCTCCCACTGCCCAGGTTGCCGGTCAGGAGGGTGCCTTCCTGGCTCGTCTCTTCAACACCATGGCCAAGACCGAGACTGTCGAGAAGGAGTTGCAGAGACTCTCCGAAGCCCAGGCTCAAGCTAAGAACGAGGAGGAGCGCAACCAGATCTTTGACGAGATCCGCGAATGCCAAAAGCAGCTGCGCAGAAACAAGCAGATTGGTCCCTTCCAGTACTCCCACCAGGGAAGTCTGGCTTACATTGGAAAGGAGCGTGCAGTTGCGGACATCAGCTGGCTGAGCGGCAACATTGCAAGCGGTGGAACAGTGACCTACCTTTTCTGGCGTAGTGCCTACCTGAGCATGTGCTTCAGCAGTAAGTGGCCTTAGCCTGCTTAATTTTCCCCGAAGTTTACTTTTATGCTAACAAATCACGCAGCACGTAACCGTGTTCTGGTCGCTGCTGACTGGATCAAGGCCAAGCTCTTTGGTCGTGACGTCTCCCGGGAGTAAATGACTTCCCTCAAGAATTCGACATGATTCATCCACCTCTACAACATATCTTTTCTTTTACAACCCACCGCAAGAGGTTATTCCTCTTTGCTGCTGCAACACCCATTCTTCATGACGCTATTCTACGACTATTCACTATTTCACTTCCCTTCCTCCATGTGAGGCATCATTGCTGCCCACCTATCTCTGAACAGCCAAGTCACGATGGTCAACTATGAGACTCGTTTACCCTACCACAGCCCCATCACGCGGACTGAACAGCCACGGGACGTGAAGAAAAGCCCATTTTCTCTTTTTCTTTTTTCTTTTTTTCTTTTGTCTCTCTGTGTGTATGAATTAGATAGGCAGGGTGCGGGATTCCTTTTTTAGACATATTTTAGGATTGGCCATAATCATCTTCTTGTATCATTCATGTCTGATCATATACCTCTTCTGTCTGGTATTTGCAAGCATTTCAATTCAAGTTTGTGCTTCTGGGTATTCAGCTCTCTCCATTGTACTCTGACTGGTTGCTGTGGCTTCGCTTTCAGCCGAAATATATAAGTAAAGCTCGTCGGATTGTTTAAACTGATATTTGGCGGGTAGAAGTGAACATCGAAGTCAACCAGGGAGAATGCTGGCGTATACACCAGGCTGAGTGATATCTATCTATGTATCATGTGTCCACCATCTATTACCCAGTCCATTCCAGAACTGATTTCCATATCTAGCTAATATTTTACATGCAGTGGGTAGAAAAGGGAGAAATGATGAAAACGCCAAATGGAAGAGGCATGGAAAGATGGAAAAAGGAAACCCGCTATGCTGACAACCCCATTCGTTGACTACGGACATGGCCTGGTGGATAACAAAATCTGAGAGGAATGAGGATAAAGTGCTCGGAATGAGAGGAGAAACGTGAGGGGAAAGGGAAAGAGGCAGGGGAAGTATATAAAAAGCCAGGTGAGATTTGGGTTATCGCTTAGAATATGTTCCACCCACGGCTCCTTTGCTCCTTGTTAACCAACGGACGGTCCCCGTTTCGTTGCTTAGTCCGACCATCCAGCTGCCGGATGCTTTCGATCTTCTGCAGGGCCAATTCGAGGAGCTCCTTCTTGCGGATGACGTCGAGATGTTTCCGGATGCGCGGGTCTTCGCGGGCGAAGCGCTCCACCTCGGCGTCGGAGAGGTGCCGGCCGAGTCTCATGTCCAGTTCGCGGGGAAAGTTGTAGTAGAATTCGGAGAGGAGCTCAACGTTAAGGAAAAGGACGGCAGTGGATGTGAGCTTGTCGGCAACAACGTCAAGGAAGACTTCTGGGCAGTAGTACTTGTTCTTCTTCGAGGCGCATTGTTTGGAACGGATCGCGAGAAGACGCATTTTGATCAGATCGGCGCGGTCACGTAAGAAGACACCTTCCCGGCCTGCATTTCGTTTGGTTAATATTCAATGAAAGATAAAAATCGCGAGCAGACTTGACATACCTTTATCCAGCAAGGCGGAACTAAACCCACCAGCGCCGCCACCGCCATCGCCTTCTAGGACAGCCTCGCCCTTGCGGACTCTGTCGACAAACGACATCACGTCTTTGAACTTCCTCTTTCCAACAGCGTCTTCAACATGCCGATAAGCAGATTCGCAGGCTTTAAGCTCTTCCTTTAGCACTCGACTGATGTTCTCCCTCCCCTTTGCCCACTCGGGGTCTTCCACTTCAATCTCGAACTTGTAAGGCTTGATACAGTTCTCAACCTGATCGCTGGTGCTGAAGAACCGATCATTTAGAATGCTGGTACACGCTTCCACGATCTGCCTCTGCGCATATGGATGGTTCGCGAAGGTGGAGTTGGCCAATAATCTATCAACATGGTTTTGGATGGCGCTGGCAACCACTGTAGTGGCGAGCCTGCCTATTCCCAATTTCGTCAGGGACGAGGTCGACGCATCGAGCTTACGCCGCCAATATTGTGAGTCTGGATCCGCCTTTGGAAGGTCGCTGAGAGGGTCTAATTCCGGCATCGATGCAGCCAGGTACTCGATTGGTTTGTTCCAATATCTCTGTGCCAGAATGTCCATAACACGTTGGTCCAGTTCGTTCTTCAGCATCTCGCGAACTTGAGGTCGACCAAAGTTTTCAGCAAACGCCTTGAAGGAATGCTTGAAGCTGTCCAGGCTCTCAGCAAGATATGACTCGGCACTGAGTGGCCGATCATTATACTGCACTTTGAACTCGTATGTTGCTTCCTCTAGTTCTTGGCTGATGGCATCCCTAGTACCTGCTAGGCCTGATGCCATGGTCTGTTCCAGAACGTGCATGAGCTTGCTCCGCAATGTGGTGACGCCCACCGAAACACCAGACTGAGGGCCGAATTCAGATGGATGAGCAGAAAAGTAAGCATTCTCATTCTTGAGAATGGCACTAGTAATGTTTCCGCTACCTCTAGAGAAAAGAGCGGTTGTCTGAGGAATTCGAGACACGACGCCAACGTAGCCCAAACGGAGAGGGTACTTTTGATCCGAGAGAATACTCTGGCCCCTCTCCGGATCGACGAGGTCCATCTTCGTGATGACTCCAATTGTCCTTTCGCCTCTGGGGTCCACCCGACGGCTTGCTCTCAAGGCAGTAGAATTAGCTAGGTCGACATCTGCCGCGGAGATTGCAAGAATGACGTTAGGAGGTTGAATATATTTGTCACAGAGGTCGGATATTTTCTGCTTCAGCTCCAGTGGCTGATCCTTGCCGGCAACCTGGATGTAACCCGGTAGATCAATCAAGGAGAGGTCGGGGACATTAGGTGAATGGATGGTGAGCTGAATAGGGTCGTCCGAGACGCAGTCCCTCTCCGGCACCGCGAGATTCAGATCGGTCAAAGTCCGCTGAATCTGTGAGAAATCCGTGATTTTTCCCAAGCCGAGAGCTGGAAATTCCCCGTACTCCGACTGTGAGTTCGGCGTGTTGACCAGAGTGAGTTCGATTGGGCGCCGAGTGACCATATTGGAACCTTTAGGAAGGAACTCGTGTCCAACAATCGCCTCCAAGACGGAGCTCTTGCCAGATGACTGCGACCCGATGACCACTATTGATGGCAAGGTCAGGGTGCCGGATTGGCCGACGGTCTGAAGGATGTTTCTGATCTCGATCATCTTCCGCGTAAGGAGCATCATCTGGTCGTCCTCTGCTATCTCTCTTGCACGTCGAAAGTCTTCCTCGTCAGACTGGTTGTAACCAAAAGCTGCGCCAGTAGCTGCGCCAGCGGCCGCCACGCCGCTTCGACTCTGTTTCGGGGATTCTCCTCCTCCAGACGATCCATCATTGCCACCCTGAGGGTCTTCATTTAGGCGAAAAATCTTTTGCAACCATTCGGGTACTTCGATATCTTCGGTGGATTTTTGCCATCCTCGCTGTGTTTGGTCGGCAACGTTCTGCAATTCTTGGAAGAAGCTTGAAGCAGCACCGCCGACAGTCTCTCCCGTTCGTTTAAAGATGTCAATTGCGTAATTCCCTGCTTCTGTAAATGGTGTTAGTTGATCGAAGCCATCCCTCAAGAATCAGTTTCCAAAACGTACGTGCAGCTTGGTACTGAATATAGGCAAAGCCAGCAATCATAGCTCCTCCAAACATAGCTGGTACTCTGACTAGCTTCATTGCCAGCTTCGGAAGCATCCGTGCAAATGATATGGTCCGCACAGCTGGGACATTGTGGATGGCATACGCTCCGGCAGGCCAGGCACGGCGTCGAAGCGCAGCCCCTCCCTCCGAGCGCAGAAGCCCTCCTGTTCTTGCGCCTGCATTATGGACATGGCGGGCTAGGCGGCCCGTCCGCAAGAGCGGAATCAGACGATGCGAGAGGATTCTCCCGCTCATGACGCCTGGAAACTCATACACCACAGAGTAGTCGGGGCAGTTTTAGTTATCATATCCGGGCTAGAAGTCGTGGATAAATATGACACTTGTAGGTCTATGAGTTGGGAATGAGCAGCACGAAACGATGGTTGATGTAATCAACAGTGTCCCGCGTTGGAGGCGAATCTCCGCTGGGCATCCCGTGACTTGCGCCGATGGCGGCGTCGTCTCCCGGATACTGTCGGTGTGAGTCACGTGTAGTTGAATGGTGACTCCATCACGGCAGAAGATACTATATTGCAAGGGATGTCCTTTGGAGGATCTTAAAGCTTATCTACTCTGTACAGCGATCCTTCTTCTCTCTTGCAGTGCCCTTGAAATCCCAAGTTATAATTGGCTGTTGCTTGAGTGAATGGTGGAAGACAGGACTTGACTTGTATCATCGGCCTGTGCATCCTTCTACAGCACAGAGCAGGGGTTGAGAGACCTCTGACTTTCTTTCGGATTGACTTCTTCTCACTAGGAGATTCTTTTTATTCTGTTTTTATTCTGAATAGGACTTTGGGGGAAGCACATTTACTGGAGTTGTTTATAGAAAACTGTGCAATATGTGCCGTTTTTTGGTAAGAAGGAGCAACAATTCCCTGAAGCATAGTACTGTCATTTACTGACCGCTCCTTTACCAGGTATACAAGGGTAGACATGAGATTCGTCTCAGCAAGCTCGTCACAGAACCTAGTCATTCCATCTTGACGCAGTCCTACGACTCCCGCTTAAGATTGGTGAGTTGGCGGTAGTCTATCATCGCAGATTCACACATCTGCCACCACGTTCCTATTGACCCAACTAGGGCTAACCGACATCTCCAGGATAATCGCCGACCTGTGAACGGTGATGGCTTCGGGGTAGGTTTCTACACCGACCCAAAACTAGGCCCAGAGCCATGCATCTTCACATCCACCATCCCAGCCTGGAACTGCGAGAACCTGGAACGGCTCGCAAGCAAGACGTGCTCGAACCTCATCTTCGCGCACGTTCGCGCCACGACAGAGGGCACGCTGTCCGACACTAACTGCCACCCTTTCCAGCACCAAACGCTGATGTGGATGCACAACGGCAATGTCGGTGGATGGCATTACATCAAGCGGACGCTGGCCGACTCGCTCGCGGACCGGTGGTACCTGGGTGTGAAGGGCGGGACGGATAGCGAATGGGCCTTTGCGCTGTTTCTCGACCTGCTCGAGAAGGAGGGCGTGGATCCTAGCTCGGACCCAGGGCCGGAGGGCTTCGGGCAGGCGCTGCTGCGCAAGGTGATGGTCAAGACCATCGCTAAGATCAATGAGTTCATCCGCGATATCCCCAAGCGGCATAATGTGTCTGGGGTGGAGACACGCAGTCTGCTCAATTTCGCCGTGACGGACGGCCATACCGTCGTCTGCACTCGCTACATCAGTAGCAAGACGGATGAGCCTGCTAGTCTGTACTTCTCGTCGGGAACCAATTGGAAAGAAGGGAAAGACAAAGGCCACTTCAAGATGGAGCGCCACGATAAGGGAGCCGACATTGTGCTGGTGGCCAGCGAGCCTATCACATTCGAGCGACGTGAGAGGACCCTGGCCCTGACCTTAGTCTGATGCGTTCTCGCAAAGCTAACCTACCTTTTAGATAACTGGGTATCTGTGCCCACCAACTCGATAGTCACCATCCACAAGCAGACCGTCCTGCTCCACCCCATAATAGACGAATTTTATAGCGAGGATCTGAATCACGATCGCTCTTCATGCTATGCTGTTTCCAAGGGCCTTGTCAGCACTGCGCCTGGAACAACCGTGCAGCTTCAACAAACAGAGGGATCAAACAGACCAGTCTCCGAGCCCAAAGATCCTGCTGTTTGTGGCACAAGCCGCATGGTTGACGCAATTGACGTTCAGTTTTCCAACCAGTGCGCGTTGTCGCACTGAAGCTCTCGCCCTTGTAATCTGTTCGAATCAAAGCTTGAATAATCGTTGTTGGAGTTGGGAAATTGTCTTCTTCGAGGGATTGTCCTAGTATGTTTGTCGAGATACCCTTGGCCGTTGGGTTAAGTGCGATTGATTCGATGGATTTCCTTTTTCTTATATGGGTTCGTTTGATAGTCTGAAATATTATAGATTGTCCTCGGGTCTTATGAGGAAAACAAACGTAGATAGCCCGCCCTTGAACTCCTAATTCGGCATGCAAAGAGAAACAAGCAGCAATGAATATACAGCATTATAGAAGCCGCCGATCATGTATCATCGCCTGTGATATTGGCATGCTTGAAGTACTTCATGCCCACCCACGCCACAACAACCCAGACCCAGGACATGACAGCCGTCAATATGATCAAGGCTGGATAATACCCGACGATGGGCAAGGTCAGATCATCCTCCAGCTCCGGCGGTGCATACGGAGTCTCCCCCACGTCCCAAGCCCAGCTCCAGACACCGAAACAACTGCCCATTCCCACCACAAAGACCAACCAGGTCACGATCAAGATAATCCACCCCCACCACTCCGTCTCCGAGTAGTCCCAGACGATCTTCTGTGTAGCCTTCAGGTCCGTGACGTGTGTCGCAAGAGGCGATTTCGTGCGGCGCACGGCCCTGTATGCCGCGCCTGCTGGGAGAGCGTAGTAGGAATCCGAACTCGAGGACGGCGTCGGGATGTGTAAGCCTGCGGCGGCACTGGTGCTGCTCGCAGAGGAATTCTGGAACGCGGCTGCGACGGCAGCATTGGAGTTTTTGACGCGGGGAAAGGAAATCATGTCCTCGTCGTCGGTGCCCAATTCATCTCTAAGCACGTTCCACGTTGAGAAATTGGCCGAAGAGTCGGCCCGTTGAGTATCCGCAGTGCCCCAGCCGGAAGGAACGTTTTTATCTGCCCGCGGAGCGAGCGCGCTTCCAAACGACGAAAACCCATCCCGGACTGGGACCGTATCCACCACGGATTGCGCCCGTGTCGCGGATATCTGAGCCGGTAGTTGTGAATCTCCATCCCCGCGCGACAGATCAACAGACGCCCGCGTAGCCTTCTTATCCCGATAATCGAAGCGTGTCCCCAGCAACGCTGTTTTCCTCAGCGAGCCTCTTCTCCGTCGCGTCCGTCGTTGTTGCAGAGCGCTCGCCATCGCCCGTCCCCCACGCAGACCGGATGCGAGGTCCTCGCCATCGTCCTTCCCCATTGCTGAGTGGTTGTGTTCAGCCGTGTGGTGGGTCGCCTGGTTCATGCGCAGGAATGCGAATTTCGAGAGCAGCGAGCCGGACGAGCTGCGCTTGTGTCCGCTGCTTGTGCTTCCAGACCGCGCCCGTCCTGTGAGCCCGTCACCGTGGTCTAGCGATTGTGCTACACTTCCGTTGCCGCCTGCATCTTCCATTGGCGCGAGCTGGGCGCGACTGTGTTGACTTTAGATGGAATCGTCATTCAACTTCTTGATATGGACAGTCTGAACCCGTTGCAGGGGCTGATCTGGGTGGAGATTGCCATTCGCCGAATTGAAGATGTTGATACGGAACAGGAGAGTAGTTACGGGAGAGACTGGTGGGCCTAAGGCCAAGACTGCCAAGTGCCGGCACTACTTGCTCCATTTTCTCCGCATGCTATGGAGAATTGGAGACATGGACTCATGGTTCAATATTCTATGACTACTTATGCGCCGGAAGGAAGCTAGATCAAAATATCAGAGAGCGACCTGAGCGATTGGTTAAAGCATGTGCCCTCTCAGTACTGTACAAAAGATGTGTGAAGCCGTATTAAGCACGTAGGAACCTCCCGAGACTAGAACAGCTCTCTTAAGAGCTTAGTTGGGCTGGCTATCGACCCTGAAAATGGTTCAGACTGACTGACATTATGGCATGAAAAGCAAATTGGTATATCATCCGAAGCGCCAGGAACAAAAAGACTTAGAGCAAAATATGAACAAATAATTGCAATCATAGAAAGCAGACCCACTATCCGAGGAAGCCTCAAGATGTGGTATCTTCTTCGAGTTCGTTAGGCAGAGATCATGGCGGTGACTGGGAAGAAGAATATTGAGTGAAAAGAAAGAGAAAAAGTACACTATCAAACAAAAGACTCCTGCTGCGTGGGCAGGGGAATAGATCCATCAAGATGTTGAGGGATCCGCACATACAGTTTGAGAAATACGGTACAATTTTCAGGAGACAACAGATTACCAAGATGGTGGTCCAAAGATCTCGGATCGCAGAGAAGCCAGATGAGGATAGGTACTTTTCGATTATTCCGCAGAAAGCCCGGGGTAGAAGTCCAAAAAGCTTCGCTCACAATTTGCGCACAATCATTCAAAGAAGAGAGCATGGCCTTGACAAAACAGAGTGGACTTGGGGTATTGGTGTACGATAACACACAAAATTTCATTCGAAAAGGAAGCACTTGGGAACGGAAACATGCGCTTAGAAATCCACTTCATAGGGCAATCGTGAGACGGAGGGCAACAGAGCAAAAATGAAAGAGAACGGAAGAGGAGATGAATAGGGAAAAATATAGGGCAGAAACTGGAATAATTCTCGGAGAAGAACAGGGATATGGAATCAGATACACCTTTTCTTCTCACTGTTGCTATCGCGAACGGCTACTCTCACGGTCAATCGAGGAGTTTAAGACGAGGCAGTATGCAGCAGTGTCGGCGGGAGCCAGGCTACGCCTGGTAGCCCCCAAAGCCGTTTCCAAAGTTGCCATTGTTTGGCTGGTTCCAGCCAGCAGAGTTTGGTGTGGTCTGTCCACGGCCGAAGCCTGCATTGCCTGGGACCTGGCCATAACCTTGACCAGTCATTCCCGCCTGGTCCCAGCCTCGTCCAGCAGGGTTGGGGCCTGTGACAGATCAGCGACCAGTCGAATAGGATGGACGGTGGAAGACATACCTTGAGGGGTCATCGGGGCTCCAGGGCCACCATATTGGGGGAAGTACGTGCCTGGGCTGGAGTTGAAGGGGGATGTACCCTGCTGGCCGGAGAAATTATCGAATTGACCGGTAGGAGGACGGTCCTTGCCCCACTAGGAGAGTATGTAAGTGACATTGCAGCCAGGAATGTGGGTCGGGGTCGAAAGTAGACTTACACTGCATTTCAGGGGACGCCCGTTAACATTATACCCATTGAGTTGACAAATCGCCATAGCAGCGTTCTCATGTGTATCCATCTTGATAAAGGCAAACCCACGGTCCGCTTGGAGGCGAGTCTCAAGCACATATCCAAAGTTCTGGAAAAGCGGAACGAGGTCGTTCTGCGCGGTATACGGAGTCAGATTGCCCACGTAGCAGGTAGTCTGCCACTGCGGGGTCTGTTGAACGACCATATCGTAGCTTTGAACGCCGTGGGTAGGGAAGTGGTGGTGACCAAAAGGGGTAGTCGGAGTCATGCCCATAGCTGCCATGGCCTGCTGCTGAGAGATAGAGGGTTGCCCCTTCTGATTTGCCCAGTTGCAGCGAATGGCACGAGAGCCGAGCCATTCGCCGTCCATGGAGTTCAATGCCTTGTCAGCATCTCCGCGATCGCGGAAGGCAACAAAGCCGTAGCCGCGGGAACGACCAGTCTTCATATCCCACATAACACGGGCCTCCGACACCGAGCCGAACGCGGAGAAGGCTTGCATCAGGATCTCATCGTTGACTTCATTGCTCAAATCGCCGACAAAAATGTGGAAATGGCCCGAGGTATCTTCCTTGCTCGTAGTGTTGGATTGGTATGCCCAGTTCACGCGAATTTCCTGCAGAGAGCATCAGTATCGCATTGATCACGTATTATAATCTGACTGTGATTTGCAGACGCTTACCGACTGGTGAATTCGGCGCCCGTTGAGAGTCTGCATAGCCCTCTCAGCCGCGCCAGGGTCGTCAAACTCGACGAAGCCATAGTTGTAACCTTTGCTGTTGAACTTCTGGGGATATCAGCATTGCACAAGAGACACAATCATTCCACAGAGCGGGGCAGAACATACGTTCTTGTCGGGAATGACCTTGACGCTCTGGACATGGCCGGTAGTTTCGAAGATTTGCTTCAAGATGTCCTCAGTGACCCTCGGGTCAAGTCCACCGACATACAGAGCTCTCTTATTTGGCTCGGGGGCAGCCCGACGCACATATCCACCAGCGCTGGTCGGGGACATCATGTTTCCAGACATAGGAGAGGTGATGGCGGTCGGGATAGGATTGGTATTCTGAGGAATCACAACAGGAGGACGAGGCGGAGGAGGCATGTGGGACGGGTTGGCCTGGCCATTGCCCTGAGAAGCATCATACTGCTGACCGGAAGAAGCAGCCGATGCTTGTGGAGGCGGAGGCGGAAGAGAGGAAGAGTTCGAGGTGGAGACGTTCTCGGCCATTGTAGTTGTAGTTCGATTATCAGGTGAGATATACAAAAAATCTGTCAGGCGATATAATGCACAAGTGAATGAACGTTAAGATGCCTGGCTGGATAACACTGTTTGTTGGTAGCTAGTGCAGAGCGTTAAGCAGCCACAAAATTGGTTGTCGTCGAAAGGCGGAAAGCGACGCGGGGATCGAGACAGAAAGAAATCGCTAGATAGAAAAAATGGAGACGTTTGAGACAATCCTGTAGGTAAAGAAGACTCGTTCACACAGACAAGATCTGTGGTGGATTAGGCTGAAAAAAAAAGAAAAAAAAAAAGGAAAAACGGTAGGATTCAGGGCGACTCGGACACGGCTCTTTTTCAACACTGAAACACTGAACACACAATCCCAACGAGTTGAGAGATGTGGTGATTTAAAAAAGCTTAAGATTCAGGTTGACAAACGCGAATGATGATGGGGGGATGTAGGAAACGAGACAAGGACAAAGGATAATCAAGGCGCGAAAAGGGAAGAGCAAACAAAGAGAAAAAGGAAACCAAATTACTCAGGATCTCGACGCCAACAATAGCACGATGGACGATGCGAGAGATGAGATGAAATGGAAATGGGAAAGGGAACAGGGAGAGAAAGGTGTGTGATGAGTGATGGGAGGGATTGATAATTGATGGATCTCTGGTCGGCAACCTTAGCAGCTTACCTAGCTAGCTACCGTAGTCTGTTGTTGTTGGTGCTAATTTTATTAGGTACATGGACTGGACTACTGAGTACTGACTCTATGTATCGACTCCATACGGGGAATAATTCGATAGGTAGAATCCATGGAGAACGAGCGGAATTTCCAAGTCAACTGTCAACTGGCAACCTCTAAAGAGCCGCCCTCGGTGGGGGAAGTGCTAGTCTTATCTTGGGTAGTGCAGGCACTGGTTGAGCGAAGGGCGCTTAATCTGACTCTATTCTTCTATCCATCTGAACAATACTAGGCTTTGTTTCGACGCAGAAACCCCTTCGAATGAGGGATATAATAACATCACCTGAACCAGTAGTATTAAGGTAAGGTTATTGAAACAGGTGATTGGTTTGACACAACCGGGTTACGTGCATCCGTCCTCTTCTTCCTCTCCCAGGACCTCCGTATTTCCAGTTGCAGCGTTTGCACGCCGCGCACTGACATCCTTTCATCAGGATCGAAACATAAGATCCATTTGTTCTGGAGTAACAAATAGGCAATTCCTGTTACTTTACTTCATCATGGAAACATCAAACGGTTCGAATCCAGAGTCCCTTGCTGTACTGACAGCTATGGTGAATCAAACGGCAAGTGTCAATTCTAAGCTGTCGTGGTGGTCTCATGGCTCTAACTGCTATTAGCTCGTCGACATGGGTCGGTTCTTCCGCGCTGGGGGCTCAATGCAGGCGAGGTCTCGACTAAAGAAATCAATTCCTGCTTCTCATGAACGATTTCAAACCGCACTGGACGATTTGTCCGAGCAGATAGTAAGGGCCAATCTCTCTTTCTTGCTTGCTTATTCCATTGGAGAACCATTGTTGATAAAGAGCAGTTCATGGCCAAAGCTTTTCTCGAAAGAGACTATGAGGAACTACGAGCTACGAGAGCAGCATTGCAGCCTGCTGAGGACGTAGTGATGGAGGAGCCTGACCAAAGATTGGGATCTGAAGCTGCACCTGAATCGCCTCGGAAAGAAGAAATTGAACCAGAGACGGAACAGGCTGATGTCAAAGCGGCAGAAGAGCCTGTTACCACACATCAGCCTTCTGGGGCCGAGCAGGCTCAACCAGAAGCAGCTGAGAAACCGGTAAAGGTGGAAAAGGAGGATGAACCGACTCCAGTGCCTGATCAACCAATGCACGGCGCCACAGATATTAACTTTGACTCGGTACTTCCTGACACCGGAGGCGGGCCCAATGAATTTGACCTTCACCTTGATTTTGGCGATGATGATATCGGCAACCAGAATTTCCTGTCTGGGTCAGGCCTAGGCAGTGCTGGCATGGGCGGGGAGCCAAGCGCTGATCAGCCCGGGGCTCTCGACTCGGCATTTCCTGAGGCGGGCGATGACGGCGGCAACATCCCCAGCGGAGGGGATGCGTTTGACTTGGAGTTCCAGAAGGCTGACACCTTCCCAGGCCAGGGCCAGCCTGCAGATGGGCAGACGGGCAACAATGCAGACGATGTGATAGGCCCGGGTGAATCAAGTTTTGATGACCTTTTCATGGAGAATGAGAATTTTGGCGGTGACGGGCTTGGGGGTCAGAACCTGCTGGGGGATGAGCTCATGAACATCAACGAGTTGGATGATAGCTGGTTTAGTTGATGGGAAGGCTACCACCAGGATAGTCATACCAAAACACTGCATCATATATCTACCTAATTTTTGAACTGTTTTTTTTTTTTTTTTTTTTTTTTTTTTATAAAAAAAAAGCGCATAGATATCCACTGCATGCAGTGACTGCTAGTCTGTCACCGATCTCTGAACCACGAGATAGACATCCCACAGCAAATCAAGGTAAGGACCGTCCAGGTCCATGCAAGGAAAAGGTGGGAATGTCACGGTCCGCCCTCCACATTCTAAGCTAAAATGACTTTGAAAGGCATAAACAACCGAAGCAATAATGACGCATGGTTTACTATCAAGACTCCATCGGACGCTTTTAGTCCGTTCGATAGTGCTAAGGTACATCAGCCCTATCAGCAACGAAGTCCAGGAACGACCGAACAATCTCCGTGAAATCTTGGCGATGGACAATACTGAATTCCCCGACGTTAGTCTATCTAGGATTCTAGGTAGAAAGATTTCGTTTCTGGAGTATTGATCGAAGTATGGAACACATCCCGGCTCCACTCCTCTAGTAAGAGACAAGATTGAATAATCAAATATGCAACATGGATGCCCAAGGTGCACTTACTGTGGTAGTCACTTACACAGTAGGTTTGCCGTAGAGGCAGCCACCAGGTTTTGACGTCTCACGCCACAATTGATCCTACAATTACAAGGTTTCAAGGACTCAGGCGGCCTACGGTGTGCATCTATGTATTGCATACTCAAAGACTCAGAATGTAGTAAAGCAGAGTTAGCCACACGTAAATTATATACATAGAGTACACACACTCTGATCATTGCTTTCTGCAGTCTGCATCAGAGCAGATGATGAGGTCATCAGGCTGTCAAAAGATCCCCGCTAGTGGGCCTCGGTTGGCGGCGACCTCTATGTTGATTAAATTAAACAACGTTGTCAAAAAATTCTTGGGAGGCGTCATGAGATCGATCATCGGAGAACCCCTGACGGTTAGGCTTGAGGATTTGAAGTGGGAATTTAAAGGAAGGATGGACTAATGAAATAATGACAAGAGAGACTGTCAACCAGGGCTTGATATTACCTAATATTTAGAAGGCCTGAGGACACTCGGGGCTCTGATGGCTGATGCCTGAGTCGAATCCATTAAGTACTCATTTAATTTCTTGCCGACTATCCAAACATGGCAGATAAGACATCAGAGTTACTAAACTAGTAGAAAAAGGCGCATGAAACGAACTCGTTCATGTGCTGCTGCTGCTGCTGCTGCTGATATGATATCACCGGTTGATGCTTTAGCCTGTCAATTGGCGAAGATCAACAGGCGGAAATCAAAGCGAACCCCGCATGACTGGAGTACGGACGAAGGACTCTTTGGGGGGCTCTGTAGATCCAAAAAGAAAAAGCTTCTCCTCGGGGTTCGAAGAGGTGGAAGAAGAGTTTCTGAGAGGAAGAAAAATATGAAAAAGTGTGAGAGGGATCATGGAGAGGAGAATAATCACGGTGCCGGCCTATCCGCATGTCTTAATTACCTATCTACTCCGTATGTAGCTATCATTTTTTCATATTTATTTTTACGACGACGTCATGCCTCTTCAAGACGATGGTCCAGAGGATTTGGATTAGCGCCGGGGATCCTGATAGTCAAAGGTCTTAGCATCATTCAAAAGACTATCACAAGAGACTACGAAGTCAAAACGACTAGCGAAGGAGTGTAGATACATGAACTTTGAGGCTTGACAAGGCATCACATGGATGACTCGGGATTAGATAACTCTTGGGTCAGTTTCTCTCCAGACAATCCTTCCACCATCTGGAAATCTCCTGCTCCAGAACCCTGAGAATGACTGTCCCGAAGACCGCGCGAATAAAAGCCGTTGGAAATTAGGTTATGGACTGGACATTTCGGATTCATTGGACTTCAATTTTCTTGGAGGATCCAGGCTCTTCTCTAAACAAATATTTGCCTCTACCACTCCCAGACTCCCAAACTCCCCAGTCCGTCGGCTCGCCGGGATGATTCAACCTGGGTTGGGAGTAAAAAAGTGGTGGCTCTGGGGCCGGTGTTCCGCGTCATCATACTCTGTAGAGTCTTCCCATCCACTGGTCTGGAGATACAATATCTCCATCGTAATAATTATTATAGGTCATCATTAATATAACATGGTTGATCTACCTTTTTTTTTCCCTTCTATCTATCAAAACCTTTTTTTGTGTATGCCCAAGGAACAAGTGATCCGCACCGCCTCATTGCCATCGTGTCGATTCCGTCACTTCGTCCCATGAGAATCTTGGGATTTCTCCATCCTGCAACTCTGTTTTGCTGCTGAGGTTGAAATCACCCCCGTGTACACTTTGATTGTACTCCCGAGTTTCTTGAGTTCTTGAGAGTCTGTTGGTGAGATCTGTTGTTCGAACCGGTCTTGGGTTTTTTGTCTTACACCCGCAATCCCCGCATCATCGGCCCTTCTGGCCTGCGATCTTGTTGGCGGTTTGGTGATCACCAGGTAGGTGGTGGTGTTCTTCTTTTTTTTTTTTTGTCTGTGTACTCACTCTCCCACCGCCTCTCAATCCAAGGGACCAAGGAAAGGTAAGTAAGGAAAGACGCCGGCCGAGACAAAACGTGAAGAGGTCGAGTGACTGAGTACTGAGTACTGACATCTTCATCTGGAAATTGACAGGGTATCCATACCTCCCAAGAGATTCGGATCTGGGGGAAACGACACCTCGTTCTGTTTCCGGGCCAAGTCGGCGTGGCTCCTTGCGTGGTCGATCATCAGCCAAAGAAGCAAAAGGCACCCGAAAGTACGCTGTAAAAAGCACACCAAAGGAAGAAAAAAGAAAAAAGAAAAAGAAAATAATCGCAGGATCCAAATGCACTGGGAGTGTGCATAAGTTTATTATTATTGGAAGAGGAAGAGGAAGAAGGAATATTTAATTGATTTTTGAATTATTTGGAGGGAGAGTGAAGGGTCAATACCTAGTTGATCGTGATACGATACATCATCATCAAATTATTATTATACTAATAGCTGCAGACCACCAGGGTAAGTCATTTTTCATTCTTGTGTCTCTTCTCTCTCTCTCTCTCTCTCATTCTCATTCCACCTGCTTCACCTTTCTTTCTACTTCACTATCTTCTCCTTTTGAACTGTCACCCCCTTCCCCTCCCCCTTTCAATCCACTCTCCTTCTCACCTCAGGGTCGACTGGATCAACTTCATTATGCGTCTAGCTCGTTGTCCTTCACAATGTTAACCGCTTATATCTCTCCATTGCAACAGGACCCGGACTCACCGGAGTTTATCCCAGCATCATCTGGCTTCTTCAGCTCCAGATCTGATCGACGTCGGTCTATTGCTGCGTCTACCGTAGACACGAATCTCGCTGTTGAACAGTTTCCCAAGCAGACCCGTTCTCGTCGCGATTCCCTACGAAAAAAGCTGGCGGGGCCACGGGAGAACGCAAAGCGCTTCCTCCGCTTGGGCGCGCCGCCCATTAATATTCCTCATTCCTCCCTATCACCGCCACTTACGACCGCTCCCGCGACTACGCCTAGAACCTCAACTACGACTAATCATTATCATACCCGCGCCATGTCCCGGACAACACGGCCTCGTCCGGTGTCCGAGATCATCTTATCCCCCAACGAGGCGCAAATGTTAGTCTCTGCCGCTGCTGCCGGCAGGATGCGATCCGACTCTTCCTCCACAGTCTCTATGACACGGCCTCCGGCGTCGGCGCCAGATACCCCTCCCGTTTCGGACACACCGGCGCCGTTCCCTTCGCTCCGCAACGAGAAGATCGTCGCCACAGGAAGCGGCATCGCTGTTGGGATCGCATTAACGGAGCCTGTGCTTTTCCTCCAAGGTTACGATCAAAACGATCTCAGTACTAAGAAATCCGCCATTCTCCGCGGTCAATTACACCTCAAGATCACCAAGAGCGTTAAGATCAAGAAGATCTCGATATGTTTCCGTGGTCATGCCCAGACCGACTGGCCAGATGGTAGTGTCTCTCCGTCAAATAACTGCCCCCATCAATTGTTTCGGTGTTACTAACTGAACCAGGAATCCCTCCCAAGAAGATTCATTTCCACGATAAAAAAGACTTGGTTACGCACGGCGTGATGTATTTCAACCATGGAGACACTGCCCTGATGCAGAACGACTACGGAGCACACTTCTACCAGCATGCCAAACCCATTCCCTCGGTCACGGGCAAGGATGGATCGATGACCACGACCCGAGAGCTGTTTTCCAAGAGCGGATCCTCCACCTCGCTTCATCATCACCAGCCGACCGCGAAGGAGCTCAAAGGGCTTTCGCTGCAGGCAAACCACTCGCACTCGCGCAGTTTCGGAAAGAATGAATTGCCCACCAGCAATCATTCGCATCCTCAGCGCAACTACCGATTGTTTCCAGTCGGGGACTATGTGTACAACTTTGAATTTCCTATCGACGGCTCCCTTCCGGAGACTATCAAGACGGATTTGGGCTTTGTCCGATATGACCTTGAAGCGATCGTGGAACGTTCGGGGGCATTTCGTCCGAACCTACTGGGTACCCTGGAGGTGCCCGTGATCCGTACACCGGCCGAGGGCTCGCTGGAGCAGGTCGAGCCCATCGCAATTTCTCGGAACTGGGAAGACCAGCTCCACTACGATATCGTCATCTCAGGGAAGTCTTTCCCGCTTGGCTCTCAAGTACCCATCGCCTTCAAATTGACCCCCCTCGCGAAAGTGGAGTGTCACCGGATCAAGGTCTACGTCACAGAAAACATTCAGCACTGGACGTCGGATAAGAGTGTGCATCGGTTGCAGCCAGCAAAGAAGGTGCTGTTGTTCGAGAAGCGAGCGGACTCGGCCAGTGTGAGCACTTATCCCGGGAGCTCCATGCGTGTCACTGCGGGCGGCGGCATCGACTGGGATCATCGTGCAGCCGCTGCGAGAGGCGAGGAGATTATAGATCGCAATCGGACGAATTTGCTTGGAAATCTTGCCAGTGATTCGGGGATCGGCCCCACCGAAATGGAATTCAACGTTCAGCTTCCGAGCTGCCAGGAGATGAAGAACCGGGATGAATCACACCGACTACATTTTGACACGACTTACGAAAACATTCAAATCAATCACTGGATCAAGGTAAGAATTCTCTTTTCCAACCCTCGCGCATGGATCACCGCTGATCGATGATTGATACACAGATTGTGTTGCGTCTTTCCCGACTCGATGAAAGAGATCCAGGCAAGCGCAGACACTTTGAGATCTCCATCGATTCACCCTTTCACCTTCTCTCTTGCAAGGCGACCCAAGCCAACATCTTTCTTCCGGCGTACACCTCTCCAAACTCGGATCCGGTGCCACCAGCGCAAGAGTACGAGTGCGGATGTCCCGGAGCGGCCTTGATCAGCAGGAATAACTCAAGCAGTCAACTCATAGCGTCTGATCGGGAGGATCCGCCGGCGGTTTCCCGCAGCTTCACCAATGGCTCCGGAGGCCTGGCTCGTCCACCGCAGGTACATCTCGCGCACGAAGCGAGTAACGATCGAGTGCCCCGACCCATGCACCTTCTCCGGACCCCATCCTTTGCTCCGCCACCCTTTGAAGATGTTCCTCCTCCACCACCTCTCATCACGCCGCCCCCAGAGTACAACTCGATTGTGGGTGACAACGACCGCGAGACTGTTCTGCAGGACTACTTCTCACGGCTATCATTTTACGAAGAGCACGAGGACGAAGATGAGCGCGGCCGCGGCCGCGTTGACGTGCCTCTTACGCCGGGAGGCCGTGTGAACCGCAGCATGGATGTCCCCCGAGAATGGATCCGGCTCGGGGAACCAGCTCTCCCTTAAATCCCTACGGATAAACTCTGTATGCGTACATGGTGTTTTACGAAGTCATGATCTTTTGGAAAGTGTACCTTGGGAAGGTCTTTTTTTTTTTTTTCTTTGAATGACGGATCCAAGCGGGAAAGCATTAGGAGTCCGGGTACAAACGGAGGAACATTTGGAAGTCGTTTGGAAGTTTTAACCATACCATGGGATAGTGTGTGTTTTTATGGAGGCATCAAACAAGTTTTCATTTTCTTTTTTTGTCTGCTGGTTCGTTTTTATTCCCAAGGCGCAAACAAGGCTGTGGTTGGAATTTGACAATTGCTTGGAAGCTGAAGTTGGGCAGCATCTGCGTCTTCTGAGCGGACTTGACATCATATATTTTATATTCATCGAATATATAATGCATTGTGCCAGCACCTGTATACTCTTTTACACTGAGAATACTCAATGCTCAGTTGATCAGTTGATCAGATGATCCAACATATGCCAGCACAACCTAATGACTCAACACACCGAAGTATACCCCCATAATTCATAGAATACCCGACCACATCCACAAACAACCCACCAACCCTAAATCTTCGACCTGCAATCAAACCCCGCCAAAAACCCCGACTTCTTCATCACCGGCGCCTTCGCCAAACACGGTGCAATCCGCCGCGAAAAGTCCTTGAACTCCTGCGTCGCCGCATGCTCCTTCAAATTCGCCAAATCGGTGTACCTAGAGGATCCCCCCCCCCCCAAGCACCCCGTTAAATCCGGACCACAATCATTCACCAGGTTTATCATAGCAAGGAGAAAACTTACTTCTCCACGATGACCAGCTCGTCGGTTCCCTCCGGCCGGACGGCGAAGTAGATCTGAGTCTTGGACTCGTGGGCCTCGATGTGCTGCGAGAAGGTGCGGAAAGCGTCAACGACCTGGTGGAGCGGTTAGATTGGTTTCAGGGTACGCAACGGACGGAAGATGGAGGGGGGGAAGGAGGGGTTCTGTCTACCTGGTCGTATTTCCCTGGCTTGGGGACCAGCGTGACGATGTTGTAGATGGCGTCTGAGGACATTTTCGCTTTTCTTGTTTTGGGGTGATGGGAAGAGAGAGCTGGTATATATAGATGTAATACACACCAAGGGTTGTCAACTAGCAAGACGCGAGCAGCACCTGATATAAACTATAGAGCACTGTATGCATACTACACTACCTGGAGACATCACGGACCTAGGTACCTATCTACCTATATATCTAAGTCTCCGCTGAGATCCTAGCGTGGCCAATCACGTAGTCGGCCTCGGGCCGGTCTGAACGAGAGATCGATATGCCCAGAAGATGCCGAGGATGTGGAATTACGGATTACTGATGCGGAAAGTCGATAAGTTGGTGGTTTATAGTGCTGAGTATTGGTCACCTCGTCCGCTGGCATACGTAGATCATAAAGATGCATGCTGGGATTACTGACAGTTATTTTGGTTGCATGGCTGATACTGTCGTCCTACCATCGGATCGTGGTAGCACAGCCTTCAGGCCTAGATATGTTAGTGTCTTCGATCTTGGTCCTCTTCGGTGAGATTATCCATTTCTTGGTTGATGAACCCTGTGCTAGTAGTTCATGCAATCGCAAGTATATAATAATAGAGACATCCAATTATCTCTAGTACTCCGTATGAATGTACAATCAACAGCTGGATGTTGATGTATTAATATTGGTTCTGTTGTCGTTGAGCGTTAGAGCACGTGATTAGAGCGGGCACCAATGACGTAACCCAGTTCTAAGGTACTTTTCTGTCGAACAACTTTAGTCTCGTGCCTTCTCTCGATACTCTCAACTCTATGCATCGCGAAGATGTATTCTCTTCGTCCACACAGGGCCCGAACATGAAGAAGACATTGCTGTTAGTGTTTATCCACGGCTTCAAGGTATGTTTGCTGCTGAAGGGTCCAAGGCTCCGCCCATTTGTCAACAAATGCTGGGGAAGTCCTGTCACAAGAGCTCATACTAACATCGCTCTATCTCGACAGGGAGACGATGATACGTTTGCCAATTTCCCAGATAGTCTGCGGTCTCTAGTTGCCCGCGCGCTTCCCACGGTTCAGGTCGCCACCGCGGTATATCCCAAGTATGAGACTCGCGGGGTTCTCAAGGAATGCGTGGGAAGGTTTCGGGAATGGTATGTCGGCGGGGAGGCATTCTGGGGAAACTCCAGCTTGGCTGGGCCATGCTCATCGTTACTGATATGGATTTTCTTACTTGTAGGCTTCAAAATCAGGTCATCGACTTAGAAGTTGCAAACCGAACCGCCTCGCCTACCGTTGATCCCTCCGTGCATGTCTTTCTAGTCGGTCACTCCATGGGTGGCATTGTTGCCGCGGAGACTCTTCTGTTACTCGCATCCGAGCAGCCTATCCCGCCGAAATTTAGCCCGAATATATCGTCGAGTCAAGCTACCGCGGACTCTCTGAACGATTCAACTGCTGCCGAAGGTTCGCGTTTGGTGGAACCAGGCTCGTTCATGTTTCCTCATATACAAGGAGTGCTCGCGTTCGATACTCCGTTCCTGGGGATTGCTCCAGGTGTCGTGTCATACGGTGCTGAAGGACACTATCAGACTGTAGCAACGGCGTATAACACAATTTCAGAAGTCGCTGGCATCTTTGGCTTCGGAGGAGCTGCCAATACTTCCAGCAAGGCCTCAGATGCCAATCGACAAACACAGCCCAAGCCCCTACCTTCGCCGTCTGCTAGCGGCACTGCTTCAGCTGCGGATGCCGCGGCCACGCCATCCTGGCAGCGATGGGGTCGATATGCCATGTTCGCGGGCGCGGCAGGTGCAATGGCAGCAGGAGGAGCCGCTGCAATGTACTCGCAACGGCAACGTTTGACTGATGGCTGGGGCTGGGTCTCATCTCACCTTGCTTTTGTTGGGTGTTTAGCACGTCCGTCGGACCTTCGACAGCGTTTGACACTCTTGTCGAAGGTTCACGAGGAACGAGGTATCAACTGCACAAATTTCTATACGTGCCTCGGCAAAGGCGCGCCATCATTAGTCGAAAGTACAAACCAAGGCAAGACCTCCTTCACCCAACGGATCATTCGTTCAAAGCATCGCACCTTCTGCTCCCTCCCACCCGAGGTCGAGGGAACTCAAGAGTCGTCGCCTTCCTCCGGTAACGGGATTACGTGGGTCAGAGCGGTCAATGATACAGCAGCGGACGAAGTTAGAGCCCATATTAGCATGTTCCTGCCGAAGCAAAATCCCGCATTCTATGAGCTTGTTGCCGATGCATGCAGACTTGTGGTGAATTCGATCGATAAGGGCTGGTACTCATCAGCCACAGAACCCATTATTGACGAAGTTGACGATACCTTATTCGGGTCTAGTAAGAGCAATACTTCGCAAAATACCGATAGCGTACTCATGGATGGAGACGATGTCGTGGTCGTTGACTGACAGACTGAGGGGGTGACAATCGAACTCAAGGTCTCAGAGCCTGGAACAGTTACCGCTATCTACTCCACTATAGTTATCTGCGCGGGCTTCTTACGGACTCGACTGGGTCTTGTGGTTAATGTCTCGTGGATAGAAAGCGGTTACAACTACGTCCCTGTTGATCTCCTTGCCGTTGCAGTAAGAGGTCGCGTGGTAGCGTTCACCGCTGATGATCTAGAAGCATATTTGCGGACATCGATAGGAAGACCAGAAGCCGACTGCACCGCATCATCCTTTGTTGATGGTGTGGGGGCGCGATCCGACTATTGTGGCCAAGAAAATTTGTTTAAAATCCGACTATCCATGGACCAGAAGGTAGTTAGCAGGCAACAAGCAACCAGTCTGGCAGTGGATACAGGATGTGTCTCAGAATCTGAGGTCATGCTATGGAGCTGCGGCCTAAAAGGCTCACGATGATTGCCGAAAGTCCACGAGTCAAGGCAACCTTATTCCGCGGTTCTTATTGGTCGTGTAGGCTGATTTTTGATTGTCTGATCCCTGTACGTGCTAATTAGCGGCGAATCCTGGCCGCAGCTCGGGAATAGAAACTAGAAAGTGTTTCGCGGAATGGAGTGATCGACCACGGGGTCCCACGGCACCCTTGAGTGCGACGACCTGCCCGTTTTCTCGTATTTCAGAAGCAGCCTTTCCATGCGTGGAAGACCATCTGTGCAACTGAAACAACATCGTCAGTTAAGGGTCCAGAATCTGCTTCTGCGACAGTAGTGCCGATAGTTTCAAAACTGCGAGTGATTGTTTTGGCTTTTGTGCTAAAGCTGTGGGCTTTGTCTGCCGAAATTGATCAACGCCCGACTCGACGCTTGATTGGTGTTCTTTTAAATGACTTAATAAATGAAAGGATAGTATATCCTGGTCAACTCAGGATCAGATAATCAAACAGCCACCGAAAAAAAAAAAAAAATACACATTCTAAAAAAAAAGGAGTTGCAACATATAGATATCGCACAAATGCTATGACACGCTAAATGATAAAAGGGACGATGCAGTAGACGGATAGTGGTTTGCCGCATTCACTCAGATACTCATCCATTTTCCCAAAACGGACGTTAGAGTAAACGTCCAGAGGCCCAAGTATCCCTGTTAAACTCAAAAATCTTATCGAGTCGGAGATGCGTATGTATTCGGGCAAAGTCATGTTCATGGCCCATGGCGCTTCGGAGAGCAATAAAGGGGATCGTAGGGATTATCAAAGCTGATACCGGTGAGTACCGGGTATTCGCATTGCATGACAAGGGTCGATGGGGTTAAAAAAAAAAAAACAAAAAAAAGAGAGACATGAAACCGAAATGATGAGCCAACGAAAAAGAAGAGTGTTTTAATTTTGTCTTGGTACAAATGCCATGATCACGGATGCTCGAATGTGAAGAATTCAGATTGATTAGTAGTTCTGGTTGCCATAAGTGGATGCCCGATGATGATACATGCTGCCGGCGTACTCCGAGTGGGAGTCCTGATATGCGGTCGTTCGACGGTCCTCTTCGGGAAGGAGCTCTTTGACTTCCCAGGTGTTGGGTTTGATGCCCACGGAGAATTCCAAGTCTTCCTTTGTGATATAGTCCCAGAACTTTTAAAGCAAGAGAAAAGGTCAGTCATGCATGCTTAGTGTGTTGGAGGAGAGCAAGGGAACAAGTAAGGGAGACCCACTTTATAGACCATCATGACGGCAAGCAGGTTACAGAACGTGGCGAAGAATAGCCCGTCCAGGTAGTGCTGGACATTGTCGCAGATGGTGTCGCTAAAGGCATACAACAGCACCTGTCCGCAGATAAAAACTATAACACCGAATGCGATGTGGCCCAGCGGCCAGCGGTCCTCGAGAGTGTTCATGACCAAGAGGAGCTGCATAACGAGATAGATGGCAATGCAGAGCGCATTGAGGATATACAGCACAACGAACAAGCCAATGGTGTTAGTAGGGCTCATTCCCCCCCACGACTTGAAGGTCAAGATGGAGATGAGGAACGAGACGACAAACATAACGGCTGACGTCAGGCGGAGGAGCCAGACCGACAGGAAAGTGCCATCTTCATAGAGCTGAAACCCGACGAAACCGTTGACGAGCAGGCATGTACAAAGGGCAGAGGCTAAGCCATTCTGCGCTGCCACAAAGTACGGGAAGGGACCGCTGCGAGGCGGAACTACACCGGCATCAATGACCAATGAACATATTGTCAGAGCCATGTAGATGTAGAAAAAAGTGATGATTTCCTTGCGGCCTGGAATTGATTGTGTTAGCCACAGCTGGTGTGTTTCGATGTCGCTTTGTTTCAACCAGTGAATAAAAATAGCAACAAGGGGAAGTGGCGGAAGCGGATCTCTGAGACCTACCAACAGCGGTGAATTTCGACCGGACGTGCAGAATCATGATTACGGTCATGGCTAGGGCGATGATGTGCACGAAGGATGCCGCACCCTCAAAGATGATGGTGTTGGCCAATTCGACATTGCGAGCATAGCAGTTTGAGATGATGCCTGTCGAACCTGATATCGAAGATGATGAAGGTCCCACGAGGGAGCACAGGGGAAGCGCTGTCTTTGCGCAGATGGAGTCAAAGTCACCGAACCCCATGATGATGAAGGACTGTCAGGAAGAGAGATGGCGAATATGTGGTGATTGTCTGAGCGGTACTCCGTACGATGATTGTCGATATCAAAAGAAAGAGCGGAGCCCAGAGGTCGTCTCCACAACAACGAATGGAGATCAGAATATGCTAGGACCAGAGCTCCTATCTCCAGCTCAAATGAGGGGCCCAAGTTTTTCCAACGAGTGACTATGAGATCCCAAGAAGGATCACCAAACGCTAGCAAAAGTCGAACAGGCCTTGATGGTGTCCGATTTAGGCAACAGACGGAGCCTTGAAGTTGGACGAGGGGATTCCTCCGTGTTTCTTTTTCAGAGTCTCCTTGGTCTCAGTTATCACGGGGCACGCTAACGCCAGATCAGGACTGCCTGATATGGGTTTGTTTCTATTTTCGGGATAGCGTGGATCTAGACCCAAAATGGCTAGTCTCAGGGTACGATTGTCAAGGACAGCACTAGCCTAATACAGCTAGCCTACTATTGATATGAGAGCGTAAGCGAGTACCTAAGGTAATCGACAGTTCCTGTTTCCAACCTACCTCGAAGATTGCCTGATGCGATCAAATAGTACGGCCAGGCAGTATCGAACGATGCCACAGGGCGTGAAAGACCTGCTATGATCATTGAGGAAGCAGTACCCGAGTTTACCTTTTGGCTCGGATTGGAACTTGGAACATTACTCTGACTTAGGAGAGAAGAATCTCGATGCTTTCCGACACGTAAACTTCTAGCAGATCCAACCAACCCGAAGTCCCAGAGCCGGTAGTCTAAGCCCGCCTCGCAGAATATAAGGTTTACTAGGCCAGGAACCAGCCCTCTTCGCTCTCTGGTCTCTACTCACTGCTCCGGGGTCCTGATCGGAACGAATTTGCCTCGGACGCTGACTCGGCGCAAAGCCAAGCCTGAAGTATACCGTGAGGTAATTATTGTCACATTGATATCAACCCTCCAGGTAAGGGGTGATGACTTTGGTGTCTACTGTCTACCACCAAATCAGTCCATGTCGACAATATACTACGAATCCTTGTCCATATCAGTGAGGCCGAAGACTTGGGGTCAGAATCTTATTTTGCAGGCTGGCAATCAAACGCTACACTTTGAAATCTCGATTAGCGTAACAGCGCCGGGATCTTGACTGGCAAAGTGATAATGATGATGGGGTTTTCATCATACTAATAGAAGCCAGGATTTTGTGTGAGATATACAAGCTTCTGCAGTTCTGCTCCGCTTGCATGTGACGATAGGGTGAGGTTGAGGAATATGGCATAACTCATAAGTACTAGACTAACCTACTAATAGAAATTGAGTTTTCCACTAAGCCTACTGCACTCTCCACATCCTTCTCGAAGACTGGAGTCAATGTGAATACGTAGTTAGTAGCTAGATATTCTAGTTTACTACTCCGTAATAGTGAATAGAAGACAACATCCGTATATCAGGCAATTCTGGGTCCGGAGTTCGGACGGTGCACGCCCGAACCCTGCCCTGACTCCCGAGAGTTGAGACTCGAGCATCAGAGTGGGCCATGTGTAATCAGCCAGTACTCGTAACCTGCAGAGTAAGTACTAGCCTACTCCCTACGACCTAGGTAGCCACTAAGTCACTAACTACGGAGTAACGGTACTTAGCATGGTAGATTGTCTCACAATCGTATGGTTCGTTGCCTGCATAACTTCGAATTATCTAGATCCCTACGTACTCACTCATCAAATACTGCAGACGAACGAAGCGGTGTCCCAACAACAGCTGACTGTGTCCAGCAAATTGCTCCTATTCAGAGGATGTAAGTATCGCATTGATCTCCAGGAGGCTTTTCTTTTTTTTTTTTTCTTTATTTTTTTAATTTTTTTTTTATATCTTTTTTGAACAGTTCAGTTCCCTAAAGAGGATTAGTCTTGGCGCTGCAAATGTCCCCCTGCTCGCTTCACCATCATCTCCAACCTTGGCAAGATCCAGAACCAACGGCCTTCCAGCAAGCCTTGATGGCTTGCGTCAATCATATCCGGCTGTGACCGTTTGGTGTTGAACCACGAGCAGTGTACCAGGATACCGGCATCTAGCTCCCCCCCCCTTTCAAGTCTGTTCATGCCCATGGGAATCCGATAAACAGCCCCAGGTATTCAATAGGTTGGAATCCAGGAGTCTGAATAAAAGAGAATGAAGTAAATCCATGGGCCGAACCCCATGCCCCCGGTCCTGGACAAATAGAGATACATCTGGACAGGCGAGCCATAGGTTTGAGTACGATCATCGCGCTGCTGGGATGCGTTGTATTGTACAGAGTATCGCCAAGCTTCTCTGAGCAATTATTGCCAGGTATGCTCTCTCAAGCTTGATCACTTCGATTATTAGAATGCCAATGCACTCGTTCCAGAACATGCTCCAAGCGTCCTTCATCTGCTCATCTCCTCCTGGTGAGTCAATCCTGTTGGTGAATCTCCGAGGATTCTGCGCTCCGAGACCAATTAGCGGATGGGGATATGCCATTCAGTTAGTAATTCCCAAAGGGAATAGGGATGACATAGGTGATGAAGCGAACCCTCTCCAAATGAAATAATCAAACGGTGATTGGGATCACACTCACCTACCCTAATAGGTAACCGACAGACGCAACCGACATACGTATGTCGCTCAGGGTGAATTTGGAGCTTTGACTCTGTAGAAATAGTCTTTATTATCGAATCTCGGATCAACTGCGCATCTAGGTTAGGAGATTAAAACCGATGAAACAATGGACACAAAATTAAAAACTGCGCTCAGTTGCTGACCTCAAGATCACTCTTGTTTAGCAGTCGACGATTGATTGTCTGTTATCCTGGAGGGCATCCATCGCCCACATCGACTAATTTGTACAATTTTCGTCATGACACTCCCTCAGCGACGGCCCGACTGGCAGCCAGGCGTATTCCATGGTGGACCATTCCCGTGCCGAATGTATTTAAAACGAGACAGCCTGCTTCAAGTCTCGATCTTTTCGAACGGAACGGCGTATCTAACAAGTCCCGTGTCGGGATCGGCAATGATGGACAACCCTCCACGAGCAGGGACTCCGAGTCAACTTCCAATTGAATCCTAATCGTTCTTTGCCAACCTATCCTCCTTCACATTTCTATGACATCGTAATTGCGTATGCAGGAAGATCATAGCTCGCTGCTAGCGCCACGTGCGGCTGAAGCATCAACGGCCTGCGAGGGACCGCGTCGATCTCCCATATATTCGAGCCGATTAGGACGGGATGGCCACACTGTATCATGGTTCAGGATTCTCCTGGTTTTCCAGGTGGGCCAGGGTTCCCACCAATGCGGCCTTGAGAAAACAAAAAAAAAAAAGAGAATATGAGCTAGGATCGTGACTGTTTTATTCTACTTCCTCCTTGTTTCCCACTGCAGGGTCCTGTAATGTTCCGATTGAGCCGGCATGATGCCGGGCCCGCAATCCCTCACAGGACAATATAGAAACCAGAGAAGCCATCAAGCCACACTTCTTCGGCTTGCGCTAGTAGAGTAAATACGATGCTAGTTTTTTTGGTATTGATATGTGATACTTTTAGGCAGGGATCAGTTCCGGCAGTTAAATAGGATGCCCGAGTGGTTCCTGGAGGGTTTGCCCGTTTGGACAATAGGCAGGCATCCTTAAAATTCCTATTTCATTTGACCCTATATCCGCAGCTCTTATTATTCGCTTTTTCCTTTTTTCCCTTTCTTGTCTTGTATTTTCTTTTTCTTTTTCTTTTTACCTCTTCATAGTATCTGGCATTTAGCAAGAGCATTATAGACATTAACTATAAATTAATCATAGGGATTAATCTTGTCCAACCCTTCTGCAGTTGGCTTGTGATGGCCCCAGTCAAAAGATGGACTTGTAGCAGACACGGCCAACGTCTTCCTGCAACTGCCCACGACAAGACACAGCATATATCTATCTCTTCTCCTCTCTAATTTCTCTATTGCTGCCACCAGAACTCTGCTACATCTCAAGACCAAAACCCAGATCTCTGAAATCTGTTTCAAGTCCACCTTGCGCGTGCTTCAACCCTTCTGCATCTTCGATTGCATACTTCTTCCTGTCTCCGTTGCACGATTGAGATTATTGCACTCTTCACCTCATCCATACCAAGACTATCGTGATGACTTCAGACCCTCCATTCAAAGTTTTCACCTCACAGCTGCAACCATGTGCAACTATTTCAAGAATTACTACATCTACAGCACCTGTCGGGAGCCAGCACTACACTTCATCCGCACGTCAGTCGACGGAAGCAAGGAGAACCGGTGCTCGGACAGCCCGCACGACCGATTCATCGTGGTCGTGGGGAAGTGCCGTCTCTGCCGTTGAGCTTGACTGCTTTGTCTCATGCTTGATCGGACAGGGACCCCTAGCATTCGATAGATCCTGTACCAACAGCACGCATACTAAATGACGGCTTTTCACTTTCTCCGACGCTGCTGAATGTTGACGATGGATGTTCTCCGGTTTCGAACGGCTCTTTTTTTTTTCTTTTTTTTTTTTGTTTTTTTCTTATACGCAAGGCATCGCCTGATGAAACGGCACAAAATGATTGCAAGCGGGGCTCACATCGCCGAAGTATGTCCGCGGTGGTGTCTTGCATGATTCCTCGGGCGAAACTACGATGATGATTACGATCTTTCTCTAGGGACCATCTTTCCTGGGGAAAGAATCCCTCGGTTTTCCTTTGAGTCTGCCCCGGTATTTATGATTTGTTGTTTGCAGAAGAACGGCAAAACAGCGTGTACGTTTTTTTTTTGGTAGACTTTCTCTGGCATGGGAATGGCGCTTGGGAGATTGTACACGGAGGAATACCTATTGGTGTTGGCGTTCTATCGCATGTATATCTTGTTGCTAATCAATCTTGCTGCATGATTTTCTCAGTCATGCTTTTGTTTCCTCTCTTTTCTTTTTCTTTCTTCTAAAGCCTCCTTTCGTCCGTTCTTTTCGTCTCATGTCTTACTACCATCATTGATCTTGCTCATTTTTTTTTTTTTTTTTTTTTTTTTTTTCTTTTTGTGAATGCATTTCTCGGGATTGAATGGCAACGAAATCGACTCAAGCAACAGGGTCGACTAACCCACCATACTACTTTTTAAGTGACTGCCACTAGCTCTACTCCATACTGGCCGGCTATGCCCGTTGTTCCGTTGCATTTGCTGCTCCGGAGACTGAAAAACACTCAACTGTCAAAACGCACACCAGACCCGTCACATGCAGCTCTTGGACTATCAATTGTGCAACTTAGGAATTGGGTGAGCAAAGTCCGTGTCTAAAACGAGAGCATTGCAGAACCTGCGAGACTCGAACTCCGCAGACAGAAACGCATTCCTTACATTAGGACCCGGGCTGGGAATACTCCGCCCTCAATCAAAGGCGGTAGTCTCCGGACTTTTCCTTTCACTTCTCCATGTTGTGCGTTGTTTTTGTTCCACTACACTTCCTCCGAGATGTTCCTATGAAGGAATTGTGAACGATTCAACTAGGTTTTTATCGAATGACAAATTTCGGCGGGACAAGGGGGGTGAATAAAGGTCAAAAAGACATAAACGAGCTTTCCGAGACGTTATCAAGATGTATTAATTCTCATTACGACCGTTGATAACTGACGCAAAGGCCTGCATCCTGCATCTCAAGCCCCCGGACCGTTGGGTGCCAAGCACCCAACCTACTGCATCGATTGAGGGCCCGATGCAGTCTGTGCTTCTTCTCTTCTCCACCTACATACTGGAAAGCGTGCTGGTGGTACTACAATACCGCAATACCATCTAATGGAAGGATGCGATTCACCCAGATTAGTGCAACCCACTTCTGACATTTCATCTGATGCTAGGACTCGGAGATTTATGCACCAGGACAGCGATGTTCGTCCTCACCGGCCCCCAACGACAGCCTGAACATTCGATTTGGCATCCCAAGTCGATATGGATGTGACTTGGCCCCTCCATGCGTGGCACGGCATTCGACAAGCTTGACGTCTCAAGTCGACCAGGGTTTTAGATCGAGAATTCAGATTAATAACGTTGATACCCATGACTAACTACTAACTACCTACCAACCTCGATCGGCCTTGTTTTTGGGCCCCTGCTGCAGCACCTCCCTGCTTCATTTATTCTCATGAAAGATGATCTCTCTAAATTAACGGTTACTTTATTTGACTGGCAACCCTGCGATCCGGACACGTTCAACGGTTTTTAAACAGTCGATAAGTTATCTCCCACATTCATCTTACCTTAGAACAGCTTAGCTCTGTTCCGATTTTGCGGAATCAGAGGCGCGATAGAATAAATCCATGTGGCATGTACATATACATCGCAGTTTTGACACGCGTGGTTACACAACTGCCGGTAGGATACACTCGGACGTGATCAAGCGGCCGCATACAGGCTGCGGTTTGTTTTGCAATGTCCACCTATGCAACCGCATTAACCTGAGGGACGGCTTCGATGGCGATCAGTAAACAGAATTTGGCGAGACAGATACCCCGTAACGAAGAATGATTCCGGCCACAGACGTTCCGAAGCAATTCCGTGGTAGAGTGGTAGGAGGCTTGAGAATGCAGATCAGAAAGGATTGCGAGATCGCATACTTTATTCTTTTCTTTAAGGAGCTTACAAGACTTTTCTTTGAAATCTTGGAAACTTCCACGGGCTGAGGATTGATGCGAGCAGAAGATGGTTGGATTCAGACGGGTCTCGGGCCGAGCAACGGGACCTCCTATATGGCAGTTAATTTACGACTACAATGCTACCATCGTCTCAACGTACAATCTATGCGAAAGAGCTAGGATGTCACGCAAGAATATCTAAAATACCGCCAACCTCCCCTTGCAACTGCGAACTCATCTCATCAAGCGCAGTACCAGCAAGCATATCCCTGACGGCACCAAAACACGCCGAGACCTGGCCCCTAATATAACTACCGAGATGACCGACAGGCATGTAGCCATCGGGGTAGAGTAGGAAATACCGCTGCCGTCGACACCCGTATTCTGATATTGACCGTTGGTTCCTGGGCTACTTCACGATCCTAGTTTGCCTATATGTATATCGCAATATGACGCTGCCCTCAGGCTGCAGACCTATGATACTGGGGATACGCGCATGGCTTCATCTATCTGAAGCCGGGGGGCTTACATCATAGCAGAGCGCTCCTGGCACAGCAATGCTCAAAAAGTGTGAGTAGTACGCAATGCGCTATATGCTATGTAGTATTGGGCACCAGACCAAGCAACCCAACAATCGAATGTGACCGGGTCATGTCAAAGGGCAGCCCGACGATCATCAACGCCACTGAAGACATGGTCTCCTCTGTCTTCGGTAATTCATTATTAGCATTAGCTCAATAAAGGACAATCAGATACGGAGTCAGGCACGAGATCTCAACTCTATGCTGCTGCTGGTAGGTATCTAGTGCACGGCTAAAAGAAGAATGATCAGGGGAGCTGGCCGTTTAGGCGCCGGCTGTAGATCGAGCGAAGGCTAAAAGAGAGTGAGCTAATATTTTGTCACCGAGTGGTGTTCATTGTACGAACTGCGCTCTGTCGGGCTTTAGAACGGTCTCTGGTTGGGGTAAGAAGAAAGCAGAAAGAAAAGGACATGTGGCTAAGATGAACAGTGGCTGGGGAGTGCTGTATCAGGATTCAGGAGATGCGATCCTGCAGCCTGTCTGGAATTCGGACATGTTGCATAACTTTTCAGATGTGTAATTGATCCATCTGGGTCCTAGACTTTTGCCGGCCCGCTATAGCCACTACACTAGCTCAGGATGTACTCTAAGCGAACCCAAGCACGACATGAACGATCCCCACGGAGTCACGGACACCTACCTACCCAGTGTGCATTGATCTCTCAACTATCTAGGTGGTAGTCATTATGGAACTTTGAGCAGCCCACGCAAGCCGAGGCTATTGGCGACTGGCAAGATCAGACTATGCACAACAGCTCGATTAGCGATCCAGTCTCACTGTCATGCGTCTAGATTAGATCGGAGGCATCACAGAGCCCGAGACGGACTTCTGTGAGCTTCCACTTCCTGCTGTATAGACTATGATAGTAGCGCACGGATCACAATGCAATCTATATTTATGCAGCTCGCGGTGTAATCAGGGGTATGGTATTCGGCCGAGACTACGTCAATAGTTAGATTGTTCTCATTATCCGTATTGGGAAGGAGATACACAGACCGTATGTGCGAAGAGGGCAATATATCCCCCCTCCCCCTCCCCCTTGTAATATGACAGGATGTGGAAATTGCTGTGATTTGGGGGCGTATACTTACTCTTTTTCATAAGATAGATTCCTGGTGTATTTGTAAACATTTGGCTATGATGAGACAATCTTTGCTTTGTAAATTATGACAGTCCTACCGATCAAGAGATCATCAAGAGATCGACTGTCGGCCAATGGGTGTACTGAGGTGGCTGCGGTAGCAGTCAGAATTTCCTGCTCCTGATTGATACATATACAGGCAGACATCCTTCCGGCTAACCTACTATTTTAAGGAGTGGCTACAGGTGTCCACGGTGGTTTGCATAATCGACCCCCTACCAGTCAAGAGGATGCAGCATATGTCTCGAAATGACATATACCGTGCACTATCTCATAGTGCTGGTCAAATCCTGGTTCATCAATTCCCAAGTGCCGTGTAACCATAGTTGACCCGTCTCGACTAGAGCATCCTGGGGCAACGGTCCGTTGCGGTCTCAAACTCTAGCTTAAGGCACGGACCCTATTCGCAGTGGGTCATCAAAGCTAGAAAGGAAGATGCCTGCGATGCTCAAATTGCTTACAACTTTTGGAAAAGTCAGTCTCTCTGCGAGACAGAAAGTCAGCACCTTTCACCCCATGCACGAAAAGGACCCTGGAATATGCGCAGAGACGATCCCGCGAGCTTGCGCATGCTTCATTGGACGGAAAAGAAGACCACGAAACAGCGATATACGGATCTCCGTCTCCCGATTGATTATGATTAGCCGTCTGCTGACGTTACCGGGGGGGTTCGAACTTCGAAGCGAGCATTACAGAGTATAGCGACTATAAATTACAAACGTGCTTACCCAGTGATGATCGATCGGCGGGTGACCCCAATTCCCTCTGTGTTTCGGCCGGGTTGACACTGATGGGTCAAGTATTCGAGATCCGTGTCAGTTTCATGAGTTTGGTGAAATATCTATCGTAGTTGCTGTGAGCCTGTGATTCGCGTTGATACTTGATAGTTTGATTGCGGTGGATATATACTTTGACAGGTCACACTGGCGTGTTTCAAGAGAACACGGACCCCTTCGTAGAGATAGGCTAGCTGTACTCCGTCAATCGTCATATTCGAGATTATGTACCCTTGGCATATTATTGTAGGTCTGGATCTGTCGATGACAAGGGACGTTGGCCATGATAGGCCTCTCTGAACCGGAAAACAGAGGCAAGTGAAATGCAAGTCGCGGTCGGTCCCAAGGCGCCGTGTTTGGATAGGTCGGTGAGTGTGACTGTGGATTGAACTTGTCCCGGCATGCATTGCATGGATTCAGACATGGATGGGATGCATGACGCTTATCTTGAGGTCGACTTTATGTTTCTAATTACGGCTGATTGACGAACGTGCCGTGCTGGGTTGAAGGCCTGTCAGGCTGTCAGGCTGTCAGGCTGCCTGAGCCCAGTCGTACATTTTGATAACGGCTTTGGGACATCCCTGCGTTTGGACAAATTCAAATTGGATTCAACGGATAGTAATGCAAGAATCTCAACCTAAACCCTCAAGAAGCAGACAAGACCACTGTTGCCTAGTACCTAGGATCAATGCTAGGGGGACAAATGATGAACCACAAAACGTGATTTGTCGTAAATGCCGCATGTCAGCAATAAAACCCCCAAAGTCCCAACGCCCCCTTCAACACTTTGGCTTCGGACCTCGAACCATACAATACAGCTGCAGCTAAACGTCAGTATGAGAAGAACAACAACAAATCAGACTCAGGTCATACCATGCACACATCCTCTCCGTCCCTGCACTCCATCTCCTTGGCCATCTCGAATCCCATGCGCCGATAGATCTCCACATTGGGAACATTCTTTGAACTCTCCAAATAGCACTTTACACCTTCCTCATCCGCTCGATCAGTAACAGCCTCGAACAGCTTCTTTCCAATGCCCCTTCCCTGCGCGGCCGGGCTGACTGCCACAATGTTACAGAAATAGTAACCCCGGGGATCGTCCCAGATCTGGCTCTGCGCCTCCCGCTGACAATCCTTCCAGATCCAATAACGGCGAATGTTGAGGCCGCCCCTGCCTATGTGGCACACATTGTTCAGGAGCTGTCGAAACGACAGGACCCAGCCCTGCGCCCAGCTGTACCAGCTCTCAGGTTCCGTGGCGGGATGCGGCGCCAGCCAGCACGAAACACCCAGCACAGGTGAACGGGCGCTGGTGTCGTCTTCTTTCCCTGCTGGGGGCACTTCTTTGGCGACTTGGAAGATGGCGTTTTTGATGCCCCATCTGCAACGTGCTTCAAGTGAGTCATAGTTTCTCTGTTTGTTGAACTGTCCACATTCAAATTCCAAGGAGAAGAACGCGGGTCGAGATCAACGACCGCGCCTCGGAGAAGGGATGTGTTAGCTTGTCTCCGACATGCAGATTTGTTCATTTTAGTGTGCATGTTTCATTCCGTGCAACTTGACATACCTTGGTGGGATTAAAAACCCATTTGAAGTACGGATCGTCTGCGAATGCTTGCTGGATCACCTCGATCGCCTCGGGGATGTCTGCCTCGGTGAGAGGGAAAACTTCAATGGCCATTTTCTGAGAATATGTACGTTGATACAACGGTGATGATGCCAGTGATGAGATTGACTGTCCTGTTCGGCAGCGCCTTGAGCACGTGAGGGTGTTGCGGGTACTCGAATGTATCTTCAATATCTGTCTCTGCGGAGGTGGTATAATCAAGTGAGCTATCTTGCGGGTATTTCTGATACATCACAAGGTTCGAATGTTGATTCTGGGTATATGAAATCGCAGGGATCAGTGAACCGAAGATGAAGTAATGACGTCCAAGACCATTATTAGACTAAATAATGGATATCTCCACTGGGTTAAGCCCTACTAGGCAGTTCCACGCGGGCACTTCATGGATGCTTTAGTCTTTTTTGGCTTATCTTCACAAGTACTTTCCCTGATAGATTCCTCGATAAGCTTTATTCCCATGCTTGCTGCTGCTCCTTAGTTAGGGCATTTAAAATTATCTTCTAGGTTATACAGTCCAGGAATTCTATCATAAATAGCCTCTATCTTATTTAAAGCCTTTCTCGACCCGGGTTTGAAAGCCGCAGCATGCTATCCTGATAGCTGGTGGCGATCAATGTCCCTTCCGGACTCCACAGGTAGCTCTCATGAATAGCTCTGTTCTCACCGGATGTAGGCGTCCAACCTTCCTGAATGAACCATTTATTTGGTAATTCAGTCGCAGCACTGTTTGATGCTGCACTCCAGTCAATCATCCTCAGTGCGTCACCATGTTGGTGAAACACCACGGTGAGGGTCAGACTCGCCATAGCCGTCCAGTTCCTGTGACCTAACGCGCGCGGTATCAGGAGCAGCGAGTTCTTGTCGCTCGAGTACATGTGCGCACAGGCATAGAGATTATCGAATTCGCCTGCCTGCTCTCTGGCTTTGAGGTCTTCCTTGCTCGACACTTTCGACGGATCCAGTGGTGATCCCTTCAGCGAGTAGACCGTTAGCTGGCGAAATTTTTCCGGACTCCGCTTGATCTCCTCTGTCTGGTTGTAGTCTTTCATATCCACCTTCTTCACAACCAAACCGGGAAACTCGCGCTCAGTGACGTTCCCCTGCTCGATCTGCTCGATCCACCAGTCCGCGTCTACCCCGTAACTGGGCAGATGGTCCTCCGGCCGCTTGCCGGCCAGCAAGGCCTTGAAGCGCTCCTGCGCGGGGGCCGGCTGATGATGGAACGTCCGCTGGCCTTCATCGCGCTTGAACGAGCACAAACACGAGAAGCAGATTTTGCCGTCTTGCCGCGCATCGACCGCGCGGGTGCAGTACATGCCTCCGTCTCGCAGGTGGCGGACTGTGTACAAGTAGGGAACATCCAGAAGACCTGGCAGGATGAACGTGCCCGTCATGTCCTGGTGCCGGTCAGCTGGAGTACCATGGGCGGCGAGCTCGTGCATCTGCGACTCACGTGGATCACGAACCCCTGTTCGACCGTTTTGGATGCCGCGTAGGCGGATTGAGCGTAGACGTGCCCGCCGAATGCCCGGGTCCCCTCACCGGGAGGGAATGGTGCAGCGAGGGACTGGAACCGCTCGACTTTCTCTGGTTCGGTGGGAGTTCCGTTCGACCCCTCGAGTCGCTTCAGAGCCATCAACTCGGCAAACGCTGCCGGGGAAGGCAAATCAACTGCATTCTTGCTAGCTGGCTCATCTTGTGAGGCCATGATGTTTTCGCGCGTATGAATTTAGATTTCTTGGAAGCAAGGGGCCCCAGGCGAGCTTTGAATCTTAAATGGCGGCAGCGAGGCTGGTCAATGATTCAATGAGTACTGATCAAGACGAGAAGGACAAGGGAACAGATTATTCAAGATACAAGGATCATGTGTCAATGCAAGTTAGTTGGCTGTGCTTCCGGCAATAATTATGTATCTTAGTCTGATAGCGCGATTGACTTCAGGTGATCAACCTCAGCCGATGGTGAAGGCAGAAGCCTCGGCTTGTCGGGGAGAACGCACGACGTATGCATTGAAACTTGCCGCTTTCCTAAAGCATAATTGACAGAATGAAAGCGCATCTGCAGCATCTTCACGAAGCTCTAGCTAAGTCCACTATTCCCGTTCGTCGCTTCAACTCAACGCGGGGTTTGGCGATTGCTGGGAACAGCAGGGCCATATCACGTGCTAGCAACAGCAAGCGTCTGCAGGAGAAACAGATGATGGGCGAGTGAGAGCTAGACCCCCGAAGGTGGAAGGAAAATATTTCTTTATGCGCCTGCAATGTTGGTATGATAGTACAGATAGCCCAGTTCCCATAAATGATACAATGATATCTTGATGCCAGCATTCAAATCAAACAAAACCTCAATTAGCTCAAACCCCTAACCCTTTCGTGTCCCCATGCTGCGCTTCCTCAAAAAACCGTGAAGACGATCAGATCGAATCGGCAATTTTGCGAACATTGGTCCATTCAACCTTGCCCTCCACGTCCTTGATGTCCTCGAGCTTGTCGCCCAGCTTCACCACCGAGAAACGGATCATCCGGGGGTCGAGACCGAGGGTTCTCCGGACAGCCGACTGAACGGGACCTGAAGCATCGAAGCGCATGATGAAGTGATGACCATCTGTGTAACGAGCCTGATGCTTGGTGGTAGGCTTGGGTAGTCGGAAGGTACCCCAGTTGGTGTATCCACGGACTACGCCGCCTGATCGGAGGACCTGAATGCCGGCATTACGGGCGATTCTGTGTTTCAAATCAGCTGATGAAATCCTTGGGCTCATTCCGGCGAAAAGCTCGAGTGATATCTGGACGCGCAACGGAGTGGTGGGGGGATGGAATCGAACGTACTCCCGGACCTCGTTGAGGCTGCCTGGGCGGACCTACAGCGTGTCAGTTCTACATTCAAAGAGTAGATAAAACAAAGAGCCAGAATCAAAATACTCACAACGGCAATCAATTCATACAACATCGCATCGACGGGGCTAGTGTGGAATGACGCTTCGGAGACAACTGGCGGCGGATGAGATTTTCGTGAGCTTTCCCTTCCGGCGTTGCGGACAACAAACGGCCGTTCCTTATCAGCAGGGCTTGGCATTGCCTATCAGTTCGGAAATCTAGTCCAAGCTGCATTTAATCTCCATTTCTCCTCCGCGGGTTCATCATCGTCCGAATTCCATCTTTCTGTTCTTCTTCTCGTTCGCAATTGTCTCTCTCCGTCTCCCCTCCATTTCTCAGTCCTCAATCCACCATGTCGACCGTCGCCAGATCTCTCCGCCCCTTTGCTTCTCGCGTTCTTTCGCAGAAGGCTCCTCTGAGCTTCAGCGTCCGCAGGGTCTCGCCCGCTCTGGGTTTCCCGCGGGGAACTATCAGAAGCTTCTCTCAGAGCCCATTCTGTACGATCCCCCCTCAATTCAGCGCCCATGAAGCCATTGAGCTGTAATTCCTACGGAGAAACTACGTACTGATATCAATGATGTTGTTCAGTGGAAGTCAAGAAGTACACCGAGTCGCACGAATGGATCGAGCTGGCGGAAGACGGCAAGACAGGTTAGTCCTCGGCTCACGTCACACAACGATGAGTTGCGACCAGCTTCTTTCCCAGCTGCTAACAACTCCAATTTTCTCAAACAGCCAAGATCGGAATCACAGAGTACGCCGCTAAGTCTCTTGGTGATGTTGTGTACGTAGAGCTCCCGGCCGCCGACCAGGAAGTCAGCGCCGGCGAGCCCGTGGGTGCCGTCGAGTCGGTCAAGTCCGCCTCGGACGTCCTCTCCCCCGTCTCTGGAAAGGTCGTGCAGGGTAACAGCATTCTGGAGGACAAGGCCAAGTTCATCAACGAGAGCCCCGAGGGCGAGGCTTGGATTGCCGAGATTGAGGTCAGCGACGCCGCCGAGTTGGATGGTCTACTTGATGAGGCTGCCTACAAGGAGACCATTGATGAAGACCACTAATTGATTATTTACGAATGAAATCGGAATGGGAAATACAATTCAGCACAGCATTTTTCTTTTGTTTATTATACCGGGGATGGCTCATTCTGTCTTCTAGAGATATTTTATGGAGTGATTCATGATTCTATATGTGACATCATTATCTGACCGTCATGTTGGATCGCCAGCGACTGGGCCTTTATTCAACAAAGTGCCCTATTTCCGCGTGCTATGCCAGTTCTTGGATCAATTAAATGGGAGTTTTTTTTTCGTTTTTTTTTTAGAAAAAGTGACTTGCATATCAATATGAATAATGTATTATGTTCATTCTTGTACAGATATCTATACAGGAGGGATGGACTCTCGGCATATAGGACACTGCAGTCGGAGTCGCATCCAGCTCTCAAGACATGTGCTGTGGAATATATGTCGGCAAGGCGTGATCATGTATGTACGGCGACTAAGGATGCTTGTGGCTCCATCCGTAACACTACTGCCTCCGGCAGCTCCGAGTGCTGCAAGAACCGGCACTTCGATTTCCTGCATGCAGATAGCGCAATCGAAAACAGCCTTCTTTCTATCCTTGGAGCGCGGTTTGTCTTCACCATCTTTAGAGTCGGTGGAGATATCCCTCTCATCAGCTCGAAGAGCCCCGATTGGAAGAACACCGCCCGACTCCAGGTCTGCTTCAGGATCGGTAGAATCTCGCAAGACCGGATGGTAGTCATACGCCGGGGGTGCCCAACCACGCGGGACAAAGAAACGAGGCCCAAGAATGTCCTGACTGGCCAAAATCCACACTTGAGCCCATATCCAGCCAGCCAATGCCATGGCGGTGGTAGTGTCAGGGCGGACGAATAAGACGTTGCCGCGCACCGTCAAGAAGTATATGAATGGAAACAGTCGCAGCAAACTCTGGCCAACCACAAAATCCCAACGCAGCGCTTTGCGGCAATTCCGCATGACGTTGCGGCCGATCTGAGGAACCCAGAATGACAGATAGACAAACGCTAGGGCACGCGCATACAGGGCTCCCAAACGGTTCGGCCAAAGGAAAGACCATATAGAGATAATGAGCATCACAAATAGGGTGAAATAAAACCGGGCATACATGGCACCGACGTCATTTCGAGTCTCTTGAGCTGTCGGGGCTGTACCTCGATTTGTTGGAAGGTCATTTTCCTCGGCAGGAGGGTCTTGGTCTGGTGTCACTATGATCGGTGTTGCACCAGTGTCTCTTGCCATTGTTGCAGGTAATGGTAGGCCTCCAGTGCGCTGATTCGGAGTTGGATTGGAACGGCGTTCTTGCTCTCGACGTTCTGGCGCTTGGACTGCCCATATTTCCATCATGAACTTCATGCCAATGTAGCTGACAGATAAAAATGTAAGAAACGACGCTGTCGTCATGACCAAGAAGGACACCGAAGGATAGAGCTCCAGCAAAATGAAGACGAGAACAAAAGCATCTCCTATAGCCATGAGCGCGATTGTATAGAAGCTAATACGGCTTCTGGTTGAAGGAGTAGAAGCTTCCTTGATCTGTCGCAGAAGCAGCGTGATTTGCGCAGCAAATACTCCGCATACAAGAAACACTAGTCGCGCGGAGTACTTGCCAAACTCTTCGATCTTTGGCCCAGAGAGGTACAGAGCTTCGCTGGGGGGAAAGTCAGGAGTTCCCTTGGTCTCAAGAATGTACCCACAATCAGGAGAAAACACGACAGCCGACATGACCATTAACGGAGCAGATGGTATAGGAGCCCCAATTGGATACCTCAGTTCCTGTTCTATCTGGTCAATGAGTGGCTTGTCCGCAAGAGAGCCGTGGATTGAGACTGGATGTTGTTGTATATAAACAACATGTTCACACTTTGGCGCAGGAAACTCCACCTGCTCCGACCCGACCAGAGATGGCCATGGGAAGAGTGTGGGAGGGCGATTTGCTTTCTCAGACAAGGTATCCGAGAGTGACTTCATAAGGAGCCGATGAGAGAGTTCGTATGCATCTGGTGAGAGAGTTAAATGCGGGAGTGCGAACAATCCTCCATATTTCTCGCTTGTCGAAGTGAGGATGATGCCACCTGACTCTGGGAAATGAACGCCGAACAGGGAAAGATACCACGTATTTTCCCAGAGGTCATCACTTTCCACTGCCAAGGTCGCTCGAATCTCTCGAACGTGGCCGTCGTCGACTCGAAGCTCCTCACCCCCTCCTTCCCGAAGATCCAAGTAAAAGGTTCCACTGCTACCAGTGATGTTCAAGCTGAACTCGTGGGTGAAGTATTCGTTTTCTAAGGCGATAGCTGTTGTGTTGAGCTTGGGATGTTCGCCATCCTGCTTGCGTCGGACCCATTCCCCGCGCAGCTTGCCCGTCACATTGCGATAGACGGGGAGGAGCAACTGTGTGAAATTCAAGGGAGGAGATGCTTCGGGGTCTTCGAGAACTTTCGGAGGCTCTAATCCGGCATCTAAGATAGCGTTTCGTAACTGATGACGAGCTCTATCCTGCGCGTGCGGTAGAATATCCCAAGCATAGCTATCGTTCTTCCGCACACCTGTAAAAGGAAGCCATTTGTCGGCCTGCGGGTCAAAGTCCCCATAGTTGGTCTCGTTCAACAAACGAAGTGCATCTCGTTCCCTAGCAACTTCTCGCTGGTGCTCGCGGTCCTGATCGATCAACGGAGGGCGAGACTGTGAGCTGAGAAGAAGGTAGAAGACGATCAAGAAAAAGAAGAAGGAGCCGCGGTTATCCATAGATGCCACGAAGCGATGCAGACATCGGGATACTTCGAGTCTCCTCAGGTCACAATCTATGGTGATCGCATCGCTATTTCACGATGGGGTTTCAATTTAATACGCCTGCCGCAAGATTCAAGGGCAAAAAAGGTTCACGAACCGAGTATGATGATGGGTTGAATCTGTAATCAATGGCAAGAGATGACGGTAATCGGTGGAGGCGACAGTCAATGATGCTACGAGTGAGTCGAGGCCTCAGGCCGCGCGCTAAACCTCCCCGCCTTTCCCGACTGTTCCCTGATATCGATCGGCCGGAACAGATCGTCTCTTCGGCGCTCCTATCGGCATTACTGAACCAAGTTGTTTCATTTCCCCTCTAGGTAATTTGATTGCGATAAGAACCACCGTGTTCAATTTGCTCCTGTTGGCGCAGGCGTCGGCCTTTATTACACGTTTGATGCTATGGCATCGAATTTACCCATCCCTCAGCCGCCGCGCACTCCAACTCCACCCCCCGATGATAACCTCAATATGACCGACAACCAGCCCCAACTGGGGTATACCGCGCTCTATGACAAAGATTCACTGTCGCCAATGGTTGACAGCTTCCCTCGGAACGTGTTGAATGTGGAAGACCGAGATCGTCTGAGTCCTACCAGATCCTCCTTCAATCCTGGTTCAACAGATGGATCTTCACAAAATGAAGCAAGCGACAATGGCTCCGCAGGGCCATTCAATTTCCAGACCACAACTATGGCAAAGAGCCCGTTGATGAAGTCGGTAAGTTCATGTGCCTTGTGACTTCTATCCATCGTGGAGCTCTTGCAGACGGCGATGCTGACGATCAATGCGTGATGCTATTGCAGAATATCGGCCAGCGACGAGGACATAAGTACAAACACAGTAGCATATCGCATCAAATATTTCTTGAGCCCCCTCCGCGCGCGCCTCTAGCTCTTCCTAATTCGTTACCGATACCAACTCTAAAGGAATGTCGTGCTAGCATGTCCAAGGAGCAGAAGACGCGGTTTTGGTGGAGCGTGTGTCATATGTTCGTCGCCGCATACACACTTTGGAGTGCCCATGGATCCTTGGCCATGACAGCCCTGTCACATTTGATACTATTTGACTCCCTCGGGGCCTTGCTGTGCGTCGCTGTTGATGTATTAGGCAATTTCGAGGTCTGGAAGCGGTCCTCCATCCGCCATCCGTTCGGGTTGGAACGAGCAGAGGTACTTGCTGGATTCGCCATGTGCGTGCTTCTTCTATTCATGGGAATGGATCTCATCTCCCACAATCTTCAACACTTCCTCGAGTCGACCAACAACCACGAGCCTCACCACGCTCATGCTCATGAGCGTGTCTCTGTTGGCAGCGTGGACATCACTGCCATACTCGCAATCTCATCCACCCTTGTCTCGGCAATCGGGTTGAAGAACCATGCGCGGATTGGCAAAGCCATGCGGTTCGGGTACATAGAATCCCTCCCATCGGTTCTTAGCAACCCATCTCACTTTCTCACCCTTTCATGCTCCACGCTTCTACTAATTCTCCCCTTGGTCTCTGTGAAACTGTACAACTGGCTCGATGTACTTCTATCGGCCACTATTGCTATCTGCATGTGCGTCCTGGGTATTCGACTGGTGAAGACGTTAGGATCCATGCTTCTCATGTCATATTCAGGACAAGGAGTTTCGGATGTGTTGAGTGACATCGAGGCTGACCCCAGTGTCTTTGGTGTCGATGACGCAAGATTCTGGCAAGTTCATTATGGCCTGTGTATGGCGAACTTGAAACTTAGGGTTTCTGGCTCCGAAGAGAACCTAGTTCGACTACGTGAACGAATCTCCAGCCTAATCAAGAATCGCCTGAATGGGGGATATGGCACTGGTGGCCAAAGATGGGAGGTATCTTTGCAGTTCGCTGTGGAGAAACCATAGCATTGAAGTTTAACCGTGTGTGAATGACCCATATTGTCTGATTATGTATACATATGTTTGACCATACATATTTGGTTCCTGTTTTGGTACATGATACTGCAATTCTGGACTGAAATATTCCATTAATATTATAAGTGGTCGCTCAGGCAACTAGTATTTAGTTATCTACCTACTGATTATTTCCTTAACAAGGATTTTTGGTCATATATTCTGTGTGGCCTCAGCCCTTACTAGAGCCCATTACTTAAGTATACGTGGCCTAATTTGTTAGGTAGATATACTCCGTAGTAACTAAGGCTTTAGTATCTTTATCACTACTACTAACTATTATTTTTAACTTTATCTATATTACTAGTGCATTAAAAACCCTCGAAAAGAGTTCATTATCAGTTCCACTCTGAGAGTGTAGCCTTGAGGTTCCGGCTTGCTGCCTACACATGGGTCAGGTACCTAGCCATTCACCTGCTATTACCAGTATAATCTATGGTATAAGCCCCACACAGGTGCTTCTGCCTGCTCATTCATGTTAGTATATAATAACTTAGGTAGCTACTAATAGTTATATAGTTAGTGACCAGATTGAATTTTGCTGATAATACATTATATTCATATTGACCTTCCCTCCTCCCTCCCTTGGCTGTGGCACGCCTCCCTACCTGCCTATTCAATCCTTCCTCTACCACACTCTGACCGGCTATACTCTCCTCTGCCTCTGCTTTCACACTATTTGCGCCATCTTGCATGCTTACTGCTACCTCCCCACGTTGAAGTGATTCCCATTTTATGTCATAAGACAGTAATCTGTTTTGACTGTTTACACGCTCACTCACTCTCCCGCACTACACGCACTGTAACCAAACCACACAGAGATAAAGAGAGCCCACAGTCTGAGACAATGGCAGCGCCACCGCCCTCGTACACCAAGGTCACTCACTCCGCCACATATGCCAGCATCAATCCAACTCAGCCCGGCCTCTCCACTGCGGGCAAGGTTGTGCTGATCACTGGCGCATCTGGCGGCATCGGCCGGGCCACGGCCTCATCCTTTGCTGCATCGGGTCCCCGAGCCCTCATCCTCCTCGGTCGACGTGCCGACGCCTTGGCGGAAACCGCCACGATTGTCCGCGCTAGCTACGCAGAGGTGACGATTCAAACTCACAACGCTGAGCTGTGCGATGCTTCGGGCGTACGCAATGCCATGAACAAGGTGGCTGCCGAGTTTGGCGGCATCGACATCCTCGTCCACTGTGCCGGCGTCCTGGCCCCCGTTGTTCCCCTTCTGGAAGCTGACCCGGCTACTTTTCTGGACGGCTACAAGACTACCGTTATCGGTACGCTGGTGACGGCACAGGCTGTCGTCCTGGCAAACAAGACAGTCAGCGCTAACGAGGACAAGCCAGTCACCTTTATCAATCTAACCACGGCCGGCATCCTGTTCCCCCCTTTCGCCGGCATGGGCGCCTACGTGAGCAGCAAGATGGCCGCCGTCAAGCTCTTACAGGCCTTTGCCGCTGAGAACCCGCAAGTGCGTCTTCACAATGTGCATCCCGGACTCCTCCAAACGGCCATGTCTGCCAAGCTGGCAGAGACGATAAAACTGCCATATGCCTATGATGACAGTAAGTGTAAACTGATCCTGTCCTTTGTGGCCAATCTGTCTTTGTATCCAAACAACTAACGATCATTCTTTCTTTCTTTTTTTCTTTCGCAGTCTCCCTTCCCGCCGACTTCCTTGTCTGGATTGCCTCCCCCGAAGCAGAGTTTCTCAAAAACAAGATCGTCTTCGCCGCTTGGGACGTTGATGAGCTCAAGGATCGCAAGAAGGAGATTGTCGGTGGCCCGCCGGGAACTGGTGAGCTCTGGCTCGGCTACCAAGGATTCCCACGATTTATGGGTGGCCAGCCTTTGCCAGGCACCCAGTAGGCGGCCGGTACTCTGTATGGAAAGTCGCCATCCCACGCTGAAGGGACTGTGCACGCGCGCGTTGATTAAACATGTACACGAACTATTCACACAGTGGAGTACTAGAGCGCGAAGACGCCAACGAAAGGAATGCTAGAATTATGTTGCTCAGTTAAACATAGCTTTTATATAATAGAGAAAAGAAGACGGATAAAGAGTCGTCATCTTCAATTTCCAACTCAAAGGGGTACTTTCAAGGCCGTTATATATTGTTCCGCAACTAGGCTTCGGACTTACCCTCCGCGGGTGAGGGTGAGCGACCTTGGGGCTTGGACCCTCCTCTTGCATGTCCGTGTGGCAACTGGCAAGGGGCTCGGGAGGCCCCGAGGGTGGGTTCGCCATCCGTCTGGTGGAGTGGTGGTACATAGCTCCCGCTTGGTAACAACGGCAATTTTCCTCAGCAGTCATGTGCTTCAACCCCAGTATCTCATCGTTACTTACAGTTCCGTTCCCACCATTCGCCACCGTTACCGGCAAGATCCTGTATGAGAGATACGATGAAATGCGATTCTGCAGAGTCGTAGATACTGGAGGCCGGCAGCTTGTTGAATCTTTGGCGGTGTAGTAATATATGCAGGTGAGCTGCTTACTCTGTAGTCAGATTTGAAAAACCACCGGATTTGGATGAAAAGGCCAAGGAAGTATTAGAAAGATTGTCTTCAGTCTAGTGGCAAAGTAGCTAGGTACATTTTCCCCGGTTGCACACAGTTCTCTTTACCGTTTCCTCGATTACTAGAGATCAATCAAATGGCCAGTAACGCTCGTACTCAGCCTTTTCCTCATCAGTTTCAGCCAATTGCTCTAATATCAGACCCTTTATTTCGTTAAGCGCGGCTTTTTAATCATGGTATCACTTATGCTTAATGAAGCCTTTATCTGGCCATAAATCACCCATTCTCTCCTTAACCTCTGTAACAAGCTTGGTTCCGGCCACTGCACCATCACTATCCAGTTTGATCTGCTCAAAATCAGCTTCCAAAAAGTTGAACGGGAATGGGATATCACTAGTAATGGCAGGTAAATCCGCCCACGTGTCCTTCAGATCAACCAGAAGTGATTGGAAGTGTGCCTTGCTGTATTCAAACATTCAGTGGGCAAGAAATATCAGCCCATATGCTGCCGTCTTTCAGAATTTGACTACTTGATAGAGGTCTGGGTTTTTGGCATGCATGAGTTTCCGCCACCCAATAAACATGTTTTGGATGGTATATTAATAGCTATTATATAGTAAGGCTAGCCTAATATATAATAGCTTAGTATAAAACCTTACTAGCAGAGGAAGATTCTAGAGACTAGTAATTAGTTCTGTGAGGCCTCCTAATAGTATGGTGAAGATATCCATCTTGCCTACATGAGGGTATCTCTTAGTCAGCCCTTACTAAGCAGTAGGTTGGGTAAATTCTCCCTTACAGAGGAAGAATCCTAACCTAGCATTAATCTACTTAATCATCTAAATTCTTAAAATCTAAGCTATATAGTATCTATTCTTTTATACTAGTTATATTCTATATATATATTTAAGGATCGCGAAGGTCCATTATGTATTATATTAAAGCTACCTTTACAGAGGAACCTACTGATAAGAAGGCTCCTTATAAGAGGTTATATAAATAGTTATATAATATATAAAGATATAAACCCTGCCTATAATTACTAAACTCTAAAATTTAGTAATAATCTCTTTAAAAAAGGATATCTATCTTTAAATCTATTTATAATAATCTTTTTTTATACTGGTGGTATTACTAAGGGTAAGGTAGTATCACCAGGGGTGAAGAGGGATAGGCTGGGCTAATGCCTCTTTACTTACCTGGGGTAAGATCTTCTATTTGTGATATTGGTGAATAAATATCATGAGTAGATCAATAATTATTAAGGTTGACTCTAGGTTACTAAGGTCAACCTAAGAAATCTCTATAATATCTATAACTTATCTTTTAGATAGATAGCTAGTAGCTAGGTATAAATAGAAGATCTTATCTTAGGTAAGTAAAGAGGTATTAGCCTAGCCTATTTCTCTTTATCTCTAGTAATATTATCTTATCTTTAGTAATTCTATCTAGTAGTATATCTAAAGTTATAGATAATAAAAAATTAAATACTCTTATTTTATTAAATTTATATTTATCTTAATAAATACCTACTACTCTTCCCTATAAGTAACTACTAAATTTAAGCTAAAAGATAGTAGAATAATTATACTTAATAAAGAGTTTTTACTATAGGAGAACTCTCTACTAAGCCCTACTAGAAGAGATAGAAATAAAATAAGATATAGTAACTCTAGACTAGAGAAGTATTACTTAATTATTAAAATAAGTCTTAATAAAAAATAATCTCTATAAGATAATATTCTTAAATCTCCCTACTAGAACTACTAGTAATAACTAGCTACTTATAATAAATAATCCTACTAAAGATCTACTAGAGAATATAAGATAAGTCTTTATTAAGTTATTTAAGATAGTAGCCTAAAGAGTACTACTTATTAATATTAATATATTTTTTTAAAGTATTTACTAAAAATAATATAGTAAATAAGTACTATTTCTAGAATTATAAAAGATAAATTATTATTATAAATTATTATTTATTTTTAAGGTCTTAAATCTTACTTCTATCCTAAAATATAAAGATATATATATAAAAAATACTACCTAAGAATAATAAAAGAGAGTTAAGAAATATTTTAAAGATATTTTATTAGTAATAAAAAGAATTCCCTCTAATCTAGAATATCTTATTATTATTAAGTAGAAACTTATAGAATATACTTATAAGAGATAGAAAGTAGATAAAATCTAATTATAAATTAATCTTATACTTATAATTATTAATATAGAAATCTTTTATATATAGCTATTAAGGAACTTTAAGAAATATAATATAAATAATAAAAGATAGAAGGAATATAAAAGCCTTATCTAAGGTTTATAATTTATATAATTATATATTACTATCTTAGATAAAGCTATAGTATATATCTCTCCCTTAGTATATAAAGCTTCTCTTATTTAAAAATTTATTATTAGGAGTTAACTAAAGCTTAGGAAAAGATAGATAAAGAACTAAATATAACTATAAATATATAATAAAGTAGTTAAATATTTCTTTCTTTATAAGAATAGCTTAGCTACTACTTAATAACTTAGAGGTAATCTATAGTTAAAACTATAATTTAATTAATATAATAAAAATCTAATAAATCTAAGTATAATTATTAGCTCTCTCTAGCTAAGAAGAAACTTCTTATAATTTAATAAGAGTTTATTAAAGTAGAAATTATAGTATTACTAGAATAAAATATACTTTATATATAATAAAACTAGATATCTCTAACTATATCTTATAAAGATAATAAAAAATAGGAAAGATTAATAAATCTAAAGATATTTATTAATTAAATAAAGAAAGCCTCTAACTACTAAAATATATAGTATAATTTTTTTAAAGATAGGAAGAAAGAACTACCTAAAAGAAGAAATCTTTAATTATTATAAGGAATTATTAAAGTATACCTAAATATAGTAAGTATTAACTCTATATATTATATAATAAAAGTATAAAATAAGGGATAAATAATTTAGATTAAGGCCCTATAGAGCTAGTTACTTATTTATATTATAAATAATTATTAGTTATCTTAGTATAATAGAGCCTCTTTATAGTAAAAGAAAAATACTCTTAGTTATATAATTATTAAATAGAGCTATAATAAATACCTACTAATAAGTAAGGATATTAATATAAATTAGATAATAGACTAGTCTTATTAAGTTATAGATTCTAAATATTAATAAGTATAAGATAATCTTAGGTTATAACTAGCTAAAAGTTATTAATCTATAGATTAACTAGTAATTAAATTAGATAATTCTTTAAAATAAGAGAAGAACATACTTTACCTACCTTATTAACCCCTAATATAAGATTAAATATTATAAAGATAACTTAGTATAATAAGTAATTATAAAATAACTAAAATAAATCTTATAAAAAAAGAAGTTAATAATATAGTTATACCTCCTCTAAATTAGTAAAAAGGAATTAATAACTATAAATTATAATAAATAAATAAAAGACTTTAAGGATATATTCTAAGAAGAACTTAATCTAGGAATACTATCTATCTAAGGGATAGACTATATTATTAATATTAATAATACTAAACTAACTAATATAAATACTTACCCCTAATTACTAGAGAAGTTTAAGGAAACCTACTACTAAGTAGAAGAACTACTATAAAAGGAAGTAATCTAGATCTTAATAAGCTAGTAGAATTTATTAGTAGTATTAGTCCTAAAGTTAGAAGAAAAATAGTAAATATATATAGATTACTAAGTATTTAATAAAGTTACTATTAAGAATACTTATTCATTTCTAAGAATTTAGGAGTTAATTAACTAAGTTAGTTAGATAAAGATCCTATTAAAAATTAATCTTCTCTTAAGGTATTAATAATTATAGATAATAAATAATTTAATTACTAAGATAATATTTAATACCTTCTTTAAGAAATATAAGTTTCTTACAATACTATTTAGACTCTATAATACACCTATAATATTCTAGATATATATAAATAGTTAAATATAAGATCTCCTATACATAGTAGTATATCTTAATAATATCTTAATATTCTTAGTAAGTAAAAAGAAATATAAATAATACATATAAGAAGTCTTTATCTAACTATAAAGGAACTAGCTATTTATAAAAGCCTTAAAGTATAAATTTAGTTAATAAGAAATTAAATTCTATAGATATATTATTAAAGGAGGAACTATAAAGCTAATACTAGCTAAGATAAAAGCTATTTCTTAATAGCTAAAACTAAAAAAATATCTATAAAGTATAATAATTTCTTAGACTTATAATCTATTATTACTAGTTTATACTAAGATTTATATAGGTTATAGCTACTCTTTATAACCTACTAAAGAAGTTAGATAAAGATCTTTAAAAGAAGAAATTCTACTTAATTACTTAAATAATAAGATACTAAGATATCTTTACTAACTTAAAGAAACTAATAATTATTATACTAGTACTAATAATTATAGATCTTAATTAATTTTATTAAATTAAGACTAATATCTTAGAATAGGTAGTAGGAATAATTTTAATATAGAAAGATAAGAACTATAAACTTTATTTAATTATATTTAATAAAAGGAAGCTTAGTAGCATAGAAAGAAATTATTTAATATAGGAGAAGGAGCTACTTATAATAAAAGAAGCTCTTTAGAGATAGGATTATTATATTAATAATAGAAAGATAATAATAGTAGTAATTAATTATAAGAGTTTTTAATATCTTATAAATATAACTAAGTATTTAAAGTAGCTTACCTAATAGATAAAAGAATTCTAAAGTTATGACTTAGAGATCTATTATTAAGAAGATAATAAAGTAATAGTACTAGATATAATTAGCTAATACTCTAACTTTATAAAAGAAGAGCTAGATAATATTATTAAAAGAACTTTACTTAATATACTAGAAGTATAAGAGATAGTAAAGATAAGATATTTTAAAAGTTTAAATAATCTTATAAAGTATAAATAATATAATACTATAATAGAATATCTAGAGCTATAAATCTTATTATAGGATAAAAGAAAGCAGGAGCTTATACTAATAATAGCCTTATTTTTTAAACTAAAAAAGAGATACTATATCTTTTACTAAATTAAATTATAGGTAGATAATACCTAGGAGGATGATTTATATATTACTAGAAATTAATTTATATTATAGATATTAGAGATATCCTATACCTAGAGATTCTATTCTAAAGGGACTTCCTATAAGAAATATATAGAGAATATAGCTATATAAGCTATCTAGTATTACTAGGAGCTATTAGAATTTAAGCCTAGTAGCCTTCTCTATAATATAATATTTAAGCTATAGTTAAGGAATACCTAAATTATTAAATATTATAAGGATTAAAGAAATATCTTAAATAGGAATAGTAATATTATATAATAAAAAAAGATATCTAATCTTTTAAATACTAGGGTATTAACCTTATTAGATACCTATTAGTAATACTAAATAGTAATAAATAGATTATTACTACTATTAACTATATAATAGGATGGGTTATTATAAAAGCTATTTTATATACTATAGATAAAATAATAATAAAGTTTCTATATAAAGAGATATTTACTTAGTATAGTACC